TGTAAGATTGAGGATGTAATTAAGTACAAGGGTATGGCTACTATTAATTAATAATAAGTTCCATTTTCACAGAGATTCATAAGAAGACTAAGAAATTATGATTTTTGGTAAATAAGGTCTCATTTGTTGAGTTTCGCTTAAGTGGGCCATTCCCGGTGGCCTCAGCTCTTACATTTGCGATCCGAAAACACCACACTATGGCTTCACATCTTGGGATGATTTCTTCACCCGCCGCTTTCGCCACAACGTCCGACCAATTCAACACGAGAACAATAGTAACATCATCGTGAATGCCTGCGAGAGCGCCCCCTACGCTGTTTCACACCACGTGAAACCCCTCGACAAATTCTGGATCAAGCAACAGCCATACAGCTTAAAGCACATGCTCGATCATGATCTTCTAGCCGAGGGCTTCGTTGGCGGGACCGTTTACCAAGCTTTTCTGTCGGCTACCTCATATCACCTCTGGCATGCACCGTTATCTGGCACTGTTGCCAAGACTTCGATCGTACCTGGCACTTGTTTTTCCGAATCACAGATCTACGATGTTCCGAGTCCGGATCCGGATCGGTCGGATTCGTCGCAGGGGTATATTGCTGCTGTGGCTGCAAGAGCACTAATCTTCGTTGAGGGGATAATCCGAAGATTGGATTGATGTGTTTTGTTGTTGGAATGGCGGAAGTGAGTACTTGTGATGTAGTAGTGTACGAGGGACAGCATATCAGAAAAGGGCAGGAGACGGGGATGTTTCATTTTGGTGGTAGTACTTACTGTTTGGTGTTTCGACCGGAAGTTAATTTGGAGTTTGACTTGCATGGACAGGAGGAAAGACTTGTGTTGAGGCAAAGAACATCAGGTCGAATGAGAGATTGGCCACAGTGTTATAGATCATGGTGTAGATGGAGATCCCATTTGGGTTATGTGTTGAAAATATTATATTATCTTTTTTATAGCAGATCATGCGGCATACTCACCGACCCATGCCACTATCTGCGCGATTGCTTGAGCTTGAACTGCAGCACAACCAGCATTTGCAACGCCATTTGCGGTGACTAGATCACTCGTATGATATCCTCCCGGTACTTCAAGAACAGGCTGAGCGGCTGTAGATGGCTGTGGACCTCCAGGCCTCAACGGAGATGTGACTTGGCTTGTTCTCCATGGATCATTTGTGCCGGAAACGAAGATGAGGCGAGTTGAATTAGTGAAGCCGAACCAACCGCCAGTGTATTGATTTGTGGTGTTGTAGGTGTCACCAGCAGCGAGACCATAGGTATAATTACCTTCCTTGGGGAACCACATCGGACACTGTCTTTCCCAGTAGCGGTCTTGAACTGTCCGTGAGACAATTGTCTTCATTCCGGCCGGTGCTCCATTTTGCCACCTAGAATCACGTTAGAACAGGATCCCGAAAAGAAGCAGACGGCTCACCATCCAAATCCTTCGCATAAGAACCAATCCCACTGCCTATCATAAGTATTGTCCACGCTGTAATCGGAGTATGTAGGTAATGAGGCATTGTATGTATCGAAGCATAAAACATTATTTGTGCCATTGAACACGGAATAACCTGTAAAGAAGGTATTTAGCATGAAGCGAAATCTAGCAAAAGACTCTTAACAACTTACCGTACGATTCACAAAAGCCTGGGACAAGTACAGTTGACATCCAATTTGCGTAATTTGGCAAGGCTTTTGCCAAACCAACTCCAGTTGCATTCGGGATGACACTCGTGTTACTGGTGATACCCTCAATGGCATCACAGAAATCGAAGAATCCGGTATTCTCATAGAATTGATTACCCTGCCATAAATAAGGCCCGTTGGCAAGTGCGCTGCAAAATTTATTATTGGAGATTCGGACATCAGGGCATTGAAGCTTACTCCGTGAAATCATCGTAATGCGTCACGTCACCGAGTCCGAACATTTCCTTCGTTTTCCTGATCTCCTCATGATCTCCAACCACATAAACTTCGTCCAGGTATTCAATTACTGCAGCGATATCTGAACTGCAATTCTGAGGCATGTTCAGGGTCTCTGTAAGGAAGTAGGACCAGTAGTTCCCAATAGTTTCCACAACAGCTGAGCTAGCGTAGTAGGCCCACATGACCGATGGCTTGGTTGTAGCTTGAGTCCATGCCGTCAAAGCTCCTGAATATGATCCTCCAATGAGTACCCATGGTGCTTTGTCTGCGTTGGTTGCACCCGACTCGTCGAAAGGCAACTTGGCAGTCAGGGCAAAATAATTGAGATCTGCGATTGCGTTCTTGAGGGTTTGATATTGCAGGTTTTCGGTTGTCAGATTTTGGTATGGAGACGAGAAACCCCAATATCTGTGCTCGATCACAATCAAAGCTGCACCGATCTCACTTGCAATGACACCGGAGGTTCGATTTGTAGTGGCATAACTTGAATCCAATTAATGCGGTCTTCTACTTGAATATGCATTACTTACCTCTTGTAGCCAACAACAGCAATTTCTCCTGGGGTGAAAAGTACCTGTTCAATTGAGAATCACAGCTTTCAGCAGACCGTACCACTACTCACCACAGGGCTTCCTGGTCCCTGGTAAAATTCAGTCGAATAATAGTAGAATTGACTGAACGTGCCAAGAGAAGGATTGTCGTGGTCAATTAATTGCTCAAAAGTCGCATTCTGAATGGTGGAAGCAGCAGCAATTGCAGCAACCTCAGCTGCTGAATCCCCCGGCGCAGCAGCTAGACGAGAGTTACGGAGGTTAGGAACTTGATCGCGTGTGAGGGCCAGGATAATGCTGGGAAAGAAACTGGTCGCAACCACAAACAATCTGGTGATAGGCGACAGATTCATGGTGGAGGCAGTCCTGAATATCCACAAGATGTAGCAGATGAATGAGTGAAAGGCGGAGCATCGATCTTAATAAAAGAAAGGCAAAAGTGCGGGGCAAATTAATGTACTTGAATGAGAGATAACGATAAGATTGCTTCGTCATAATTGTGAACAAGGTGCGGGGTTTTAATTTGCCCATCTATTCGAGATTTGAAGATGTGACCTTCCAAATGAGACCTAGTCGAGCAGCATCTGTGGACCCGTCGATGCGCACGGGAAGCCCCGCCTGCGAATATTAGCCTAGTATAATCCTCTGCTATGGCACAGCGTCATCTTTATCCTGTACAAATTGCACAGTACCTGCAGGCCGCGAAAACAAGGGATCAAGAGGGTGTGTGGGAGTGAACAGTGGAAGCTCTGAGCAATGTGTTATGAAGTCAATTTTAATGCGGACCACGAGTTTAACCAATCGCCGCCCCAACTCAGCTGCAAGACCATCAACCCGCCCGTCCGGAAGCGGCTTGGCAACTGTAATGCAACTACATTCGTCTCATTCCTTGCAGTGGCATGAGAGGCTCTTCTGGGTGGCGTTTTCAGTGATTCCTGGTGTTATTCCTAGGATTTTGGGCTTGGAAAGACAAAAGATCGGAGCGCAGTAAATGGTAATATAGTAATGCTTCTAGTGATCTACATGATAATCTCTTCGATTAGAGCTAGGAGTTGTACTTGGCTACAAGGGTAACAGTTATGCAGATGATAAAGAGGGGATATCTGAATCAAACGTGGGGGACGTTATGCGCATCTGCCTTTGAACAGATCCAGATGTGGCGCAAATGCACAGCCACATTCTAGGAATTCAGCAAATTGAGAATTAAATCGAGCACGATTCAGGGCTTCCAAAATCAAAATTACTACAGCAAAACCTCGAAGAAGATTTCAAGAACTTCCACGTCTGTTTATGAAAAGGGACACAGTAACACTGAAAAAATGGGATTTGAATTTCCGCACTTTAAGAACCTATCAGTCAGTACAAAGCGCCAGACATCCAAAATAAGGAGCAAAACACCAAAAACCGATCAGGTCTGCAAATCTTCGTGCAGTTAACAAAGGATACCCGTCGTGCTATCAAAGAAAAGTGAAGGGTATAAGTCCCGAGGCTATTACCGCGAAAGGGGGCGAAACAAAAAACACTAGGACGGCGTCAAGATGAAGAACCACTACAACCCAACTACTCATCGTCGTCATTCGATTCCTCCTCATACTTTTCGTTGCTAGGTAAGGTACAATAGAGGGGTTGGCGAAGTATTTTCTTTTGGAAGGGGAATTGTGGTCGTCGGCGCGATAGAACAGACCAAATGAGAATAAAAGAAATATATGCTTTTGAATGTATAAGTGCCTTCACAGTAACTTAGAAGAATTCAGAAGAGAAAACTTATAAGGTAGTATTTTGCTGTTTGTACATTCAATACATAAGTGACTGCACAATATATTAGACATTGAAATCCAAGAGAAATACTATCAGAACAAACTTTGCAATGACTACTAAGAAGTCCAAGAAGCCGACCTGGTGCTGAGTCGGAAATATCTCGCAACAAGTGCCTACATAAGATGATTTCGTCGAACTCTTCTCCAAAATTGGTGATTCTCTCCATCAGCAGGCGATCTACACCACATTTGCATATCACACAAATTAGATTGCGATAGCTTTAAAGATTAACAGTATTTACACAACGCGAAGAGAAGACTATGGCGTGTTCCGTACTTTTAGAAACCATAAGTAAATACACAGTGCTGGATATTAGGCTCGAACAGTGTTCGCAATAGTATACGGTCGTATTACGGGATCTAGTATCAGGTTAATATGCATTTACGGCGTATAGTGCGAAGTGCATATATATTGATTGCTGTTAGTTCCGTATTAATAGAAGATATTACTTGATATACTAAGTACTAGAATGCTTTGAAATCCAAGCTTAAAGGGGCATATTTTATGGAATATAGCTTGAAATATTGAAATCTAAGCCCAAAGGAGCCTAAATTCATCGATATTGAACCCTTGAAACAATGTCTCAAGCTATATTCCCGTATTTAGTATATTTCTAGTGAGATTCAATAATATTAGTCCTAATATATTATTTGTATAACTATATTATTATTGTACGTATCACTTAAAGTATAGTATTTTTCGAGAAGAATACGTACCACAGTGAATAATACTATTTTTAATAGATACTATTGCGAACATTGGGCTCGAACAAGAAATATTAGGAAAATAATTCAAGAATTTCCGTCTTTTCAAGACATGTACACCCAGGGATTTTCCAGCCGGCGATCTATTCCGGAGCGATTGGACCGCCATTGCGGATATTCTGGACAACTGTACTGGCGAATACGCGACTGAGCTACTGGTCCGCGCAGCTCACCATGATGTACTACTCCGGAGATAAGACAAGTAACAAGGGCGGAGATTACTCGGTTTTCACAGAGCAAGCCATAACCACGAGTACGCTAGCCGAGAAAGTAGAGGCGATTTGGAGCTGGAAATTCCCCTCCACAGCTGGCATTTCTGGAGACGGCGATAGTATTTTTCAATTATTACCAGTCGTTGGTAGACCACTTCGCCGAACACATAGCTCTACTAGACTTCAAATAAACAATAAGAGAAATTTTAATTTCAGTGCTCCTAGAAAATATCAATGACTATGCATTTCCAGAGATAAAACTTTGAAGGAAAATATTAAGAAATAATGTTTAATTTTTAGTACCTTTGAAAGACGTAAGTAAGAACACAGTGCCGGAAATCGTATTCTAAAGATAATTTTTAGAGACTCAATTCCGATTTTCTCTAGAAAAATAGGTAGTTACACAGCATTGGACATTGGAAAATCTGAACATGCCCAGGTGAATCTCGCTCCGAGTCGCACGTGACCACGTCGCGTAAAAAGGGGCTCTGACTACTTTTTTTTCAAAGACACTTTCCAATGTTGTTTGTTAGTAAGCAATCTAGAGGTGGCAGAATGAAGAATGCGCTGAGTTCAATACTATCGAACGGCTCTGGTACAGAGAAGACTCAGCATACTTCCAAATGAGCTCCGTTGAGGCTGCTCAAAACAGGTCATGATTGTATGTAATCCTGAGTCATATGGGTGCTTGGGATCCATATTCGAGCAGCAATTAAGCCCATTTCTGTCTGCATAGTCTTGAAGTGCAATGAGGACATGGGATAGTATGTACATCTTGCTGACGCACACTTCAGTCAAAACTCCACCGCGTTGCAGTCGCTGCGGCCACGTGAATTTTCTCTTGCGAGAGAAGAGCTCGAATACGTGTTTTGTGATGGCCACCAACTCAGATCTTCTCTTTGTGAGCAAGCACTGGATACCTAGGTACATTCCTTCCGCAATGCACGTCCAGGGGATAGGTAACTAGGTAGGTAACCTTACCGCCCAGACACGTGCACACAACTGCGCGTCACGAATCTTATGACACTGTCATCGCATAGGTAGGCAAGCGGGAGTTGAGGTGAGAGGAGGACAAGAAATGTAGCTGCGGGATCAGGAACGGGAACCAGCTGTGTTGAGCCTCCTTTTCGAATTTGTGGGCAGGTATGTAGGTACGTATGAGCTGCAGCAGGTTGGCAGGGGGATACCATCGATGCATGCACACCGCCTGGGGTTTCACCTCATCCGAGAAAGAGAGAAGAGAAAGCAACGCTCGGAAAGGAGAGAAGGAGAGAACAAAAACACAGACGCCCGATTTGTTAGCTAGCTATTGTTCAATTCATCAACAACTCCATCGAATCGTACCAAAATCGTGCAGATGTTCTCTCAACATGCCCACAACGGAGGAGGTGAATCCGTCCCTGGCCATAAAACTGAGTGATATTGATATTCACTTTTCACCTTCACCTTCTTCAGTTCTCCACTACAACCCCGCGCTTCGCCATGCTGTCGACCAAGCACATTGCCTCCCGTCCTTTGGCGTGGAAAAGTGCTGGCCTTCGCAGAATACTTCCTTCGTGCAACTCCTTTCACACCACAACAAGAGCCATGGATACCAAATCGTCGTCTGCTCATGAGTCGTATCTCGTGCTGGGAGCTGGCTGCTTTGGCGCATCCACCGCGTATCACCTCAAGCAAACTTTGCCCGCGTCGTCCGTCACCCTTCTCGATCGTGGCCCATTCCCCAATCCATCCGCCGCGGGACACGACTTGAACAAGATTATCCGCGCTGACTACCAGGACATCTTCTACATGAAGTTGGCGCTGGAGGCCCAGCAATACTGGAGACGAGACCCGATATATCGACCATACTACCATGAGAGTGGTATGCTCTACGCCGAAGACAAGGGCATGGCGCGTGCCAACCTGGACAATCTGAATGCGGTCGGGGAGAAACACCATGCAGAGATCCTGACGCCCGAGGAGACGAGAGCTAAATTCGACGGGGTCTTCCAAGACGCCAATTGGGACGGCGTGACGGAAACATACTTCAATCCGCAATCTGGCTAGGGAGAAGCGGATCGCGCTCTAGAGAGTGTCATTAGTGCAGCCGTGAAAGAGGGCGTCATCTATAATTCTTCTGGCGTATCTACGCTCTGCATTGACGAATCTGCAATCTGCACCGGTGTTCGGACCGAGGATGGGGCAGAGTTGAAAGCAAATCGTGTTATTCTCTGCACCGGAGCTTGGACGCCAAAGCTTCTTCTTGATACAGCACCACATAACAAAGCTCTTCACATAGGCGATCGCATGGTCGCTGCTGGTGCAATACAATGCACTGCATCGTATCCTCCAGATCAGATGTACAAATTCAAAAGCATGCCAGTCATGTTCAACGGATGCGACCACACCGAAGGTTTTTCTCGTTTGTATGCAGCTTTGGATTTTGACTAACGCCAACTAATAGGAGAATGTATCCCGCCCACACCCCAAAAAATGCTTAAATTCAACTACGAGGTCAGCTTCACCAACAAAGAATTCCATGATGGCTCTGGCCAAACCATCTCCGTCCCTCCAGCGCGGTTGGATCAAAGCACATGGAGCCAGGCCGTGCCACAAGGTCTCAAAAAAGACGAGATTCACACGGTCGTGGACCATGTGTTCGGAAAATGGATCGATGGGATCAAGATCGAGGATTATAGAATTTGCTGGTATGATGACTTGCGACTGTTTTAGCTCATGCAGATCCTGACAGGTATTCTAGGGATGCCGTAACACCGAATCAAGACTTCATCATCGACCGTCACCCCAACTGCAAAAACCTCTACTTTGCAGGCGCAGGGTCCTTCCATAGCTGGAAGTTCCTTCCCACTCTGGGCAAATATGTCTTGGACATGCTGCAGGGTACATTGGATGCTGAGAAGGCAAGCCGCTGGGCTTGGGATCGACCAAATCAAGGCAGTGCACTGCCAGCATATGTGCCACGCCGTGACTTGAAAGAGATTCCTGGTTACGAGGACGTTGCTAAACACTTCAAGTAGAGCGTGATTGTGTCACATGGATCTCGATATCTCCAAAAGCGTGACTTTTATAGACCTAAAAGAAACTCGTTGCACTTCACTCGACAACTCTGCATCCGCATAGATGACCGTGACTTGGAAACAAATGTGAAATGTTGAAATCTTTGTAGTCCATACTACCTTCCCTCTCAGCGCTCACACGATCCTCAAAAATTGGGAGTCCGCTTCTGCTAAAGGGTCACGTACTATCCCCAGAAACCGTCATCCGCTGGACCATTTGCTTTGAAAGCAATGCTCTCTCGCGCCTTTAATAGAAATTCGTCTGCAGCAAACCCTAGCGTCAACTGTGCCCCCTCATCAGATCAGCGAATTGCAAGGAGACTCACATATATTCTCCGAAGCCGATTCCCACATTGCAAGTTCCAGAAGACCAGCCTCTGTAAAGCGTCTACGCATAGTCTCCTGATCCTGCTTGAAGCCTCCATAATACTAATTTCACCACCATTCTTGAAATATATCCCCGCCTCCTCGAAATCAACATCATTAACAGCTCTCAAGACGAAGCGATGAACAAGCGGCTCATTCTCAATACGACCATCTACCTACCAATCCTCAGCACGATACCAAGGCCTCATCACCTCGTTAGAATGTTCAAAGGCATTCCTCACGAAATCCTCGAAAATGCCCCCCTCATCGTGATACGAGTTTCATATCTGCCCTTCATCCCGGCAGCAGTGTATACCGAGCAATATGCGATCAGGAGGACGTAATTCGTGCGCCCAACTCGACAGATACTTCACGGCGCGCTCGAAATGATCGTTCCCGAAGATAGATTCGAGAGCGATGAAGACACGAGGACGATTCAGAGACCGCGACCACTCCGAGGCCGTCCTCGAAAGTGCACCAGAGCCCGAGGGAAGTAACGTGCTGGTATGTAGAGCTGTAGGCTGCGAGGTTTTGCTCGATGGCTGAGCGGGACAGATCGAGTGCGTCGTACTGGACTTTCTTGCCGGCTGCTTCGAGACGGTCGAGCAGCGGAGCAGCGACTTTCCGGATGTCTCTGCGCTTTTTTGTCAGCGAGGAGAAATCTAAATTATCACTTTAAATGTACTACACAGGCGTACCCGCAGCCTAAATCAATGATCGCAGTTCCGTCATCAACAGCATTTACAATGTCATCCCCATGCCGCTACAAAAGCTCGACCTCGTGATCCGTTTGGTAGTAGTTGGGCAGCTCATTAGTTATCTTCCAGATGGCTAGGCCTTTGTTGTTGGAGAAGAAAGAGTCGCTGAGGGAATGGCTGCTTTGGCTTTCGGTCCCAACGAGTTTCTTCCTTCGATTACCTCTAAGTGATTCGGTGAGCTGGCTGTCGCCGATGTCGATTACCTGGCCTCTACGTGCCTCAGGGTAGTGCTCCTAATTTGATGTCAGATCAACTTCGAAAAGAAATGTAGTCAGCTGCATGGCTTAAGATCACTTACTCTGACCAAGTCATGGCCGTTAGCAAGAGCCATCTGTGTTGGCAAATGCGGATACAGTGCAAGAGGGTATATGCGTTGCAGGATATATGCACTGGAACTTGCATACAATGAGAACTCAATGAGTCTCCAGCTTGCATTCATCTTGTCCACTCAACTCCCATGCCGTTGTTGTCACCGGGCGATAGAGGAGGAAGTGCGGAATGGTAACCAGTGGTTAAGTAAAGGACTTGACGACAAGATGAAGAAGAATGGCGATAGGACAGTTAAGGGTTTTCGGAAGCACAGAGGCGATGCAGAGTTGGGAAGATTTAGAGAGGAAAGTATCTTGAGGAAAAGAAATCCAGATCGTGCGGAATGTCTCTGGATAGTAGAGAATAATGTCGTTGCTGCTAGCTAAGTGGAAAGCACTAGCCATAATTATATTGGCAGGAAAGGGAGATCCTTAGTTTGGATTAAATGAGGCAGCGTCACTTTAAAGGTCCCACGATAAAGTATAGCAGAAATCATCTATTGTCCACCTAGTGGATTCTGACGCGGGAGATCTTCGGTGGTGGAGGAAGCGAGCGCGCTTGCGCCCCTTTGCGGATTTCTTAAGTCAAGATAATTGTTGTATAAAACAACGACCAAACCCGCTGAATTCAGCGGCCATCGCACCTGAACATTGCGTTTAGCTATAAGTACTGAATAACGGGAATGTCTTGGGACACATGAAATGCTACAATCTCCAATTGTCAATGAATGACGAGAATGTCTTCGGATATATCAAATGCTTAAATTTCGAATTGTCATAAATGCATGACAGGAACGTCTTGGGACACGTCTAATGGTAAAATTTCGAATTAGCAATGAATGACGAGAATGTTTTTTTGACACGGGAAATGCTAAAGTTTCAGATTATCAATGCATGACAGGAATGTCTAGGGACACGGAAAATGCGAGCATTTCTGATTATCGAATCTCTTGGAACACCCTAGTGTTCCAAGCTGTGTAAGCCAACTGATAGTCATGTGTTGTGTGAGTCGTGACTGCATAGTGAGCATAGTCGCGCAGATCTCGTCTAGCTCTGAGAAGTATAGGATTTCGGCCACGAGGGGTATCAAGAAAAGCGTCAATTATTTCCGGAAGGGAAATGCTAGAATTTCTAATCGTCACCGAATGATGGGAATCTCTTAGGACACGGGAAATGCTATAGTTATTAATAGATAATAGATAACGGAAATATTTTGGGACATGGAGAATGCTAGTGTCTTTAATCATTACTGAATGACGGTAATGTTTTGAGAGACGGAAAATGCTGGAATCACTCATTGTCACTAAATAACGGTAATATTTTAAAACACGGGAAATACTAGAATCTTTAATCCCTACTGAATAACGGTAATATTTTAAGTTACGGGAAACACTAGAATTTTTAATCGTTAATGAATGACGGGAAATGCTACGATGTTTAATTATTAACAATAACGGGAAATACTAAGATCTCTAATTGGTTATTAATGACGGGAATGTCTTCGGACACGCAAAATGCCAGAACGTTTAGTTGTGAAAGCTGAATGACGGTAATGTTTTCAAATTCCCAAGATCATCCGTTGCCGGTCGTGTTTCTCGACATCTGAAGACAATCCGTGAATCACGTTATAAGAATCACTAAGAAAAGAAATTTCACAATATAATTCAGATTTTGTGCACTCAATGACAGAGAACTTTTTAACATTCAAGGTAGCTTAAATGCTTGTTCTGTCAATATGCACATTTGATGCATTCCATGAACGCCAAATGCACCAATGTCCCAACCAATTTCGGACACGCAGACGAAAATTCCGGAAAGCAGACTTTAAAGTCCGACGTTCACTTGACATTCTTGCCTCCTCCAATCTTCGACTTCTTCTTGGGAGATTCATCTTCAGAATCCCACTCCAAAGCCTCCTCATCATCACTGTCTGCCACACGGACATTGGTGTTGGGGTTCTTGATCATCTGGGGACGGACATTGGTAAACATGCCAGTGTTTGGACCGGAACGGACGCGGCGGGCCGGGGTGGGTGTTCCTGACATGGCGGGACTTTCGAAGGTGGTTTTTGGACTGTTAATGTCGGGCGGAGTAGTGAACATGGGGCGGGATGTACGGGCGGAAAGGGTAGTGGAACGGCCGCGTACAGTGTCCGAACTCGGGAACTTGGCTCGGACAATGTTGATCATTCGTTCATTGTGTTCTCGGACTGTGGTGGTGAGCTTGTCGGAGTCAGGTTCGGACACTTCCTTGAGCATAGTGTCGAAGGCGACTTCCTGAGTTTGGAGGAACGTGAGTAGCGCAGCGATATCCATTGTGCGGGTTCTGTGGCTATGTTAGATAGATCTGCATTCTAGAGATTGAGGGCGTACTAGCTGAGAGTTTGCTTTGCGTTGATGGTACTGAGTTCGAGATCTTCCTCTTTGTTGCGTTGTTGATGGAGAAGAAGTTTTCGATCGAAGAGAGTTTCGAAGGTAAGGTGAGCAAACGCCGCTAAGTGAGATCGAACTAGAGTAACAGTGAATCCGATAAACAAGTTCGATATCGGACTCGGAATATCTCAGTTTCTTAGTTTAATGGAAATTACGTAGGTAGAAGAGGGAAGTTAAGGTAGGATGCAGCTGAGAACTTCCACATGAATATATCTCGGCATCAAGCGCTGTTACGATTTAGTAAACCAGGTGTGCTAGATATTCAACGATAGAAAGCACTGTAGGGGTGAAGGTTCTCACTATGAGAGGGATGGATTACCTCCTTCATATAGCAATGAGAGCTAAGACTCCAAACAAAAAAGAAGGATTCCATAACACTTAATTAGGCTCGCAAAGCGTGACTAGCCAGAATGGATTAAAGTTGATGGGAACAACTCTGTGATGGAGAAGGTTACGGTGCTTCTGGGAATCAAAAGACTCCATGTAGCGTCTCACAAACGATTACAGATTGGAATGTGGAGATATTCCAGCCAAGAATCCCAGGACGCTCCCAACCAATCCCAGCACAACTTCCTCCTGATCCCCAGCCAAGTTATGCGTTGCACCCTTAACAACACCTGAGTATCCCTCATCAACCACGCCTTTGCCCTTCTTGACAATTTCAACCCATCTCTTCACGAGAACCGCCTTGTCGATGCTCGGTGCCATGTGTTCATCACTCCCAGACACCAAAATACACAACGGTACTCCAGCCGGTAAAGATCCAAAAGACTTCATGAGCTGTTCATCCTTCAAATCGGAGCTGAAATAGTCATCATCTCCATCATGGTTGGGGCTGAGAAGTGACAACCATCGTTTTGCAGTGACTGGAATACCAAAGGTATTGTTAGTAGCCTTCGATGGCAGTATCTCGTCTCCTTCTCCAGCGTCGACCATCTTCTGGGCTGCTTCACAGCTATGCTTGTATAACTCGGGTTTCATGCTCATACAGATTGCCTCTCGATCGCTTACTGGGGCTTGGATGATGCTTCCGTCAACAGGGACACGAGTTTCGTGGCCGGGTCCAGTGAGGTACTCCATAACATCCTGACATCCAGTCGAGTGACCCATGAGAACAATCTTGCCAGACTTGATACCTCGAAAGTATGAGACGCATTTGAAGAGTTCTTTTACGTCTTTCTGGAGGGAGGAAGTACCCCAGCCGGTGTACGACGAGGAGAGGTGAACTTGGGCAAGAGTCCAGGTGGGTGGTAATGCATCTGAGATCTTCGATGGATATGGTACGGTCATGAGACCGTCGAAGAGTCCACCGATGAACAGGAGGATGTTTTGTGCGGGACTATTGGTTGAGGCCGGGGTATGTTCGAAAGCCGTGAGGCGGGAGGTCTAGAAATGTTAATTACTTGACACCCATTGCCCAATGATGTTTAAAAACTATTATAATGCAAAGGAAAAGATTTAATTCTATGAGTAAGTGTGATGCTAAGCCGTGGACATCACGAATGTGGCCTGGAAAAGGGCTGAAGACAGTGTCAAACGAGAGAGACGCTACTAAGGGATCATAAGAGGCATAGCTTACATAAAGATGCACAAAACCTTTCCTTGGAGCAGACATCGTTTCTGATATGCTTGATTCGTCGTATGGAAAATTGAGGAGAACGAAAGAGCTCAGTTTTTAGAAAGTGAGACTGCGGTAATATACTTATCCGGCTCTGAGCTTCAGCGAATGTTGGAGGGGAACAGAATAACGACAATCTGTTGAAGAATGTCAAACTCTTCCTTCGATATTTCTACAAGCTTCACATCCAATTCTCGACCTCAAGCTGACAAAAAGACCACGGCGAGATGAAAGAGGCAGCTGGTCCTTTCCTGGCTATCTTGGTTGAAATGCAGTCATAGTCTCACTGCACTACCGTACCTTGGCACGTGAGCAACTCGAGCTTCAAAAAATCATCCCCGTCAACTCGACCATCAGCTCGACAACCCAGCTCGAATTCAACGCCCCAAGATGGCGTCCCACAGCTCAATTCGAACCATGATGTCTCCTCTTCTCGCCTCATTCCGCTCTCTGGCTCTCACTCCAGCTTCCAGTAACGTCCCTCGAACAACCTCACTCCTCAATTCCTCGACACGCGCATTCAGCGCATCACCCAATGTGTCCTTCCGTGGCGGTCCAGGCGGTGGAGGAGGTGCGAAGAAGGGAAACTCCAAATCGAAGAAGGGAGGACCAGCGAAGGATCCAAGGATTGGGTTGATACGATATTATCTGCAGCATCCTCAAACGCCTCGGCCATTGAGGTTCAGTCGTACGAGAGCGTTGAGACATTGGACTATTCATCGAGCGTGGATGTTGGCTAGAAGGAAAAAGCTGGAGGCTGAGGAGAGGGAGTTGTATAGGTACGTTCTGTGACTATGCTCTAGAGAGGGTTCCATTCTTGAAGGCAAGGAGGTCAGTGGACTTTTGGCTGATTAGCCGCAAACAGAATGTACCAGTCAATGCACTCAGCTTGCGAAGAGCTTCGATTGCTTGATGCACCAGGAACAAAAGACGAGGGAAGACTATACAGAATTGCAATGGAGAAGAAGGGTATTTTCGGGCATGGGGGCGTACCAATTGAGTATGCTAGGATGCAGACTGATACCCCTGGAGCAGAGGCATGGAACCATGGTTGGACAAGATAATGGAATATTGAATGAAGGAAGGGATATGTACGACTACGATACGAACAGCGACGAGGCTTGACCTCGTAATACCTGGTATCTGCTAGACATCAAGCGGAAAGTAGGATCACAAATGTACAATATTAGAAGAAGATGACCAGTCCACTTCATGATGCTCGCTTGGATGTGTGTTATGTACAAGCCCTTGATTAGACCAAAGCTTCATCCGCAAGCAATGCAGTAAAATCAACCTATGCCCCTTCATTCCATCCGCTGCTGGGTATGTGAGATGAAAAGGAAAGTCGGCAAAGAGGGTGGGACCCGTCGTGAGCGGTCATTAAAAATCTATCTGCAAGCCTCAAACCATAACCAACTATAGCACAGCAAATTGTATGGTCCCTGGTCGAAGCTTTTGATGTGTAGTGTATAGCAAAAGTTCGGTGTTCGTGAAAGAGAAAAGAGCCGTGGCAGTGGGTTCCATGGTATAGTGGAAAACTGCTGTTGGGTTGTGCTGTGGAAAGAAACCATGTTCCATTCGGTGCTCGTCCATTAGAAAGTGTATGATCGAATTGTTGCTTGTCCGTTCCAATTGTGCTGTTTTGTCCAGAGTATCTGTACCCCATGCTTTTCAATCTGCCATCTGTGCACCCTTAGCTCACAGCACAACACAGCATCCGCCACCCTCCCCTTTCTCGAAAGTGAGTAAAGCAGCTCGTGTTGCGGCCTCGAAAACATCATCGACTCCTTCTCCAGTCAAAGAGGAGCATTCAAGATATTTCCTAGCTCCGATGTCGTGTGCAATCTCAGTTGCTTCTCGAGTTGTGACAAAGTGTTGCGACTTCTTTCGCATCTCTTCAATCGCGACTGGATCTTCACGGAGATCCTTCTTGAGGCCTACTAGGATAATCGGAACGTTGGGGCATCGCTCGTTTGCTTCTTCAACCCACTGTCAAATGTTAACGAATGTGCCTAAATTGGGTCCACCCTTGATCCCTACCTTGTGCTTGACGTTATCCAGAGAATCGGGCGTATCAATTGAGAATCCAATCAATATAACATGGGCTTTCGAGTACGCCAAAGGTCTTAGTCTCTCGTAATCTTCTTGTCCTGCTGTATCCCACAATGCCAATTGAACACTCTTTCCGTCCACTCTGCAATCTGTGACATAATTTTCGAAGACGGTTGGGACCTATATCTATTCATTAGTCTTTGAACCCAAGGTCGCCTATGAAGGAACCCACGTAATGCTGTGGCAGAAGTTAGCTGTATATTCTCGCCGATAATAATTTGTGTGTAGCTTACCGTTGGAAAGTATCCGAGAGTGAACACACTCAAGAGGGATGTTTTCCCACAAGCTCCATCTCCAATTATGACCAGTTTCCTATAAGCTTATCAGTATTCATGTTACGAGCGCCTCCACATTCTTCTTGCATATGCAAACGCCGAGAGGAGAAGCAATGTCTAGGAAAACAAATCGAGCCTTTCCAGATCTGCCAATGGAATGACGCCCTCAGAAAACGTTGCAGAATTGGTGAAGAATGATTGTCCGATAACAGGAGAAATTTCGATGCAATGATTGAAATGATAATGTGCTCCCACGTACCTCCGCATAACATTTTGTGTTTGTTGGGCCATGATGTTGGTTCGAGAGATTGAGTATTTGGTGACAGTATGGAGGAGGATGGGATTCGCAGAACCTGTGCCAGTGAAGGCAAGGGAGAAGTGCGAAAATTCACCGTTCCTTTATCGACCTGAGAAGTTGAAGTTTGTCGATACGAGCCTGGCGTTTGGAATCAAGCTGTCTCGGATAAGCCGACTGGACGTTGGATCAGGGAAACAACAATCGTATTCGCGGAGGAAGACCAGGCTGAGGAGGGAAGGGTATTAATCCTCAGGTACCGATTCAATTGTCTCCCTTTTCTTGTCGCAGCTAAATTGGGATTGGGGGACGTTTCTTGGTTTGGGAGGCTGAGCAGGCCGCACGGTGCACCAGGTTTGAGGATTGAGGCTCGTATTTGTGGAGGACGGGGAGAGATGGAGAAAACAATCGCAGAGGATATCGATGGGAGATTTTGTATGAGGGGAGAATGTTCGAGTTACCTTGGTATTTTAGTTAAAACGTAGAGTTTTCATGCCGTCTCGCCATGATCAAGCACCGCCGCAAATCACTCAGCCGCGTAAGGTGATCCAGGCTCGCAGCGGGCAGCAAAGCGGCACTAGGCCAGCGCAATTTTGGACTGCTGCTTTAGAAGCTTTTGAGCGTACCACGAATAGTAAAGCCTCAGGCACCATGACGAACTGACTTCGCTTTGAGATCGCGAAGTCTATCAACCAACTCCAAGGTCGTTCTTCTCTTTCACAACTACACAATAACCTCGTACACTCCTCGCCGGACCCCCTTGAAGCATATCACAACGATCAGAACTTCCGAACACCGAAAATTCCGACCTCCTTCCTCTGGCAGAACCATACAGCTTAGTGGGGCAATACATCTAATCATCCTAGCCTTCAGCGTGAGTTTTTGAAGCAGGTCACAAGTTTCTCCGCCTTCTTAGACAGGGGGACTCTCGCGCAGTCCTTGAATTGTTGGCTGGGAATAGTCACCGTTCTTGTATGCTGTCTCGTCATCACCACATCTAATCGGAATGCCCGCGAACCAACGGCAACAAACCGCCCAATCCCCAGCGTCTCCGATTTCGAAGGCTACTGCAAAGTACACAAATAAGGATGGTTCCAAGTTCATAACTGTTCCTAAGTCCACCAGTACCGAATCACCTGAGACATCACCCGCCATGGCCCAGACGACAATCAAACCAAACGGACAAATGACTATACCCCCTCCAGGTACGAATGGGGCTTCCGCTCCAGTGAACCGGAAGAAGCAAAAGCGAAGACAAAAACAAGCCGCAAAGCTCGCTGCGGAGCAGCTCCCGGGTAGCCCAACAAACGGCGTGTCAAACAGCTCAATTGAACAACTGGCCGAGGAATTCAATGGGGCAATTAGTCTCGGCGGCGAAGAACAATACGAAGATGATGGGCAATTTGATCCAGCCGAAGGCGACTACTACAGTAATGAGGATAGCGAAGGGTACTCTGGCTCCTTTGAACAAAACGGCTCCCCGGCAAATGGCTACGATATGCCCCCATCGAACCCTCCTGGGAAGAAATCGAAACACAAAAAGAAGACGAAGGGTGTACAGCATGAACACCCACCGCATATTCACCACGGAACGAATGGTTTGTCACATAACCATGTATCTCTACCTATTCCTAAGTTGGCATCCACGAATATGCCCCGAGGCCCTGGCATATCGAAGGAGAAGATTTGGAATACTTCTTCACAAGAGGAGCGTGAACGAATAAAGGAATTTTGGCTGTCGTTGGGCGAAGACGAGCGAAAATCTTTAGTCAAGGTTGAGAAAGATGCAGTATTGAAGAAGATGAAGGAGCAACAAAAGCACTCTTGTAGCTGTACAGTATGTGGTCGCAAGCGAACGGCTATTGAAGAAGAGCTGGAAGTGCTATACGACGCATACTACGAGGAGCTGGAGCAATATGCAAACCATCAAGGAGACGGAGGACCTCCCATGATGCCTCCCCCTCGTCGTTTCGGCGCTATGAGCGGTCTTCAACCTCCAAATCGTCTGCCCCCAGCATTCAGTGGTCAGCAGCCGTCCCGTGGCAGGATAGTGGAACAACCAGGTGACGACGACGATGATGATGGGGAGGAAGAGTACAGCGAAGACGATGGAGACGAAGATGATTATAGTGAAGAGGAACCAGAAGAGCTTCCTCGAAGTCATGCTACAGATTTCTTCAATTTTGGGAATAGTCTCACTGTCCAAGGTGGTATCCTTACCGTAGCAGATGACTTACTGAAAAACGATGGAAAGAAATTTATAGAGATGATGGAACAACTTGCTGAACGTCGCATGGCTCGCGAAGAAGATGCCAGGGAAGCCTATTCGAATCCAAATTATGGTCATCCTCCAAATGGCTCCATGCACCCTCACTCCCATGCTCATAATCATCCACCTCCGCCGGACGAAGAAGAATATGACGACGAAGATGATGAAGAGGATGAGTACGACAGCCAAGACGAGTACGATGAAGAGGAGATGGTGTGTAATCCGAGCATGATCCAAACTTGCCAACTAATTATGATAGGATACCATGACAGAAGAGCAGCGAATGGAGGAAGGACGACGCATGTTCCAGATATTTGCCGCTCGTATGTTTGAACAAAGAGTCTTGACCGCTTACAAAGACAAGGTTGCAAAGGAACGACAGCAAAAGCTTCTTGAAGAACTTGAGGAAGAGTCTCGGGCTGATGAACAAAAGAAAGCCAAGAAAGCCAAAGATGCCCAAAAGAAAAAGGAAAAGGCAGCACAGAAGAAACAAGCCATGGCTGAAGAGAAGGCAAAGCGGGAGGCTGAGAAGGCCGCCGAGGAAGCTGAACTTCGTGCTGCTGAAGAGAAGAAGGTCGAGGAGCAGCGATTAAGAGCCGAGGAGAAACGAAAGAAGCGAGATGCTCAGAGGAAAGCCGAGGAAGAAGAGCGACTACGGAAGGAAGCCGAGAAGCAACGCCGATTGCAAGAACAGCGGGAAAAACAAGCAGAGCTTGAACGTAAGCAACGCGAGGCCAAGGAGAAGGAGCGCAAGGAGAAAGAGGAGTTGAGGCAAAAGGAAAGGGAGGCTAAGGAGACCAAGGAACGTGAAGCTAGGGAACGACGAGAGAAACAGGAGAAAGAGAAGCGTGAAAGGGAAAATAAGACCAGAACTGAAAAGGAGGCGAAGGAGAGACAAAAGCGCGAAGAGCATGCAGCTCAACAAGCAGCCGCTCAAGCAGCCTTGGCAGCAATCAAGCGACCTCCAGTCCCGATCCCTGCGAACTTGCAACCACATGCTGTGGCTTCTCCGCACATTCCAGTCGCCACTCCTGCCATTCCCAAAGCACCAACTCCAATCAAGCTGCGTACCACAAATTCTCAGCAGGACTCTAATCCATCGGTCTCTGTGCCACAAACTCCCCAGACAGCCAATTTGAGTCAAAATGTGTCTCCTATCCCATCAACGCCTCTACAGGGCAGCCCAGGACCGATTGGACCACCCGGGAAGAACCATAGCCAGAATCCATATCTGCATCACCCTCAAGCGACGTCCCCGATCCATGCGGCTCTGAAGAGTCCTCCTGGAATGCCACAACCAAGTCCATTTGGCGGGATGCCTCCGATGATGGGATTCCAGCCTGGCCTACCAATGATGCCCGGATTTGGTGGTCGCATGCAACACGAGCCAATGTTTCCTCACCCCTCGATGGGCGGGCAATTCAGACCTCTCGGCCTTAATGGACTGCCACTTCATCCACCTATGCATCAGATGCCACCGGGAAGAGGTTTTCCTTTACCGCATGGACCACCAGGGTTTCCTCAAATGCCAAATGGTTTAGCTAGCATGGGACAACCCTTTGGTTTGCCAAAAGAGGGGCCAGGGTCACAATCCCATTCGAGACACCAGTCTGCAACATTCGATAAACCATTTGAGGGGCCTGGACAACCAATTGCACGTCCAGCACCGATTGGCCGCCCAGGGAGTGTGGTAAATGGACATCGTCAGGGTGATATAGGCACCAATGATGTCGATGACTTGAGTAACCACCTTGGCAGTAGTGCCCTGTTGGACGATTCGGACGAACCTTTGAGTTCTTCAACAGGTGCCCGACGACCGAGCGCTGCACCAGGAAACATCAATCGGCAAGCTTTTGCCCCTCCATTTGGCAGCATGGACCCGTCTGCATTTGCCAGTCCTATGACTGGCTACAACACCTGGGGTGCTCCTCCAAACCCATTTAGCCCGTCGTCTCTGCCTGGTTCAAGTTTCATGGGTAGCTGGGGTCCAAGTCCAAACAGTTCATTTGGCAACGTGGGAGGCGGTCCCGCTATTCGACCATCTCAACCTCGCTCTGTCATGGTTCGCTTGATGATATGTCGCGCCTGTAAGAACCTTGAAGGCTCTACGCCGGATGGCTACTACGACGTCAAGTTTATCAAGGACCAGGTCGACCATCTCAACCCTCCGTCTGAAGCTCCAGTCTCCGAAAAGGAATTGCTAGAGATCTGTGAAACCGAAGGGAACGCAACCAACGGCGGCGGTTCTTTTGATGTTCGTGATAATGGCGAAGGACATTTCTCAATTCGCCATGACGACGACCTGCCACCTTCACACCGTCCTGTCGGCGCACCTGGCGAGATCGGTAGCCCAATCATTGGCGGCGCATCACGCTTTACTGGTCCTCCCCCAGGATTATTCTAGATAGCCTTTGCTTCCTCGGCATTCAGCTTTCCAAAAAGCTTCTTCCTTGTATCATTGCATCGTCGCGTGGCAAATGCCTCCTCAGGCGTATTTACTTCAGCGCTATCACTTCTGCTTTTGATGGATGCATCGGGTTAATTCGTGCTTGCTTGCGGAAGTAGGTACGAATGTTTAGTCTTGAAATGTATTAGCGTGCAGGCTTGGCAGTTCTACTTCCGTAGTGAAGCAGGAATACAAGCAAATTAAATATCTTGACATTTCATAATGTGGTTCACGTAGTGACACCGTGTCTATTGATCCTTGCTGTTGCTCTGCTGAGTCCTTCACTGTGCGCATTGATCAGATAGAAGTCCTTCAAGTATTAGCCCAAGAGCAAGATCGAAGAAGTGCTTGCCATTAAATGATAAACGTCATAGTACAACATATACTTCTTGCCGATACTTACCTACATGGGATCAATTATTGATCGCTGGTGGCCCACGAGCACGACTGAAGACCAGAAGTTTAGGATAGGTAGTTTGCTTGAAAGAAACCATTCAATGGTGGTGATCTGAATCTAACAGTAGCGGAGGGGTATATAGAGATATTTGTAAGAAAGCTCATGGACCTCAGCACGGCGACCTCTGGGTTGAGGTCTTCTCTTGCTACGGAAATCCGGTATGTCCATCGATGTTTGGCTGGGGTTGGAGTTGATACAGTAAAAGATAGAAAGAATTTCTTCCAAAATCATAGTGTTTTCCTAATATTCCCGAAAACTGCACCCAGTTACTCGAGAGTTGTCGCGTGTAAAGGAGATACATAGCCAGCCTAGGTCCGGGATGAAGGCATGCATTTCAAGATCTCGTAGTTTCGACAGATTCACCTTTGACCTAGTTGCGCGCTAAACCATAACCGGAAGCAGCTACACTCTTCTGTATGTGTGTACACGACTTCGGCTTTTGTTTGTTTCGACTCCTCTCGCGATCTCGCGAACCACGCGACAAAACACAACATCTCCAAACCAGTCAGCGCAATGGATAACTCGGCAGAGACTTCAGCTGAGGCATCCATTGTACGATTCAAGAAAAAGGACAGAAGCACGCCCAACTTCAGGTACGGGAGAACTTGTTATTGCATGATGTACGGCTGCTGATTTTCCAAAGTGGCCCCTAAAGCCTGGTCACTATCTCCGTGGGTATTGGAGCAATTGCAGAAACATTCACTGTCCTCAAGAGTGTAATCTGTCACTACTCTCCCTTCTTCAATGCCGCCTTCAACAGTCAATTCAAGGAAGGGGATACTCAGTCGATGGTTTTGAACGATGCTGATACGAACGCGTTCCGGCTCTTCGTTGATTGGCTTTACACCCAAGAGATTAGATATGGTATAATTACTCCATTTCCAAGAGATTCTAGGTTCAAGTTCACTGATAATGTAACAGATGACGCAGAAACCTCTTCCATGATGACTCTTGCAAGACTCTGGATTCTTGCAGATCGGTTCCTGATCCCCAAACTCCAAAATCAAACCATGAAGGAATTTGTGTCTACCACGTCGCTAGGACTTTTCTCAAAGGATCAGAAGGTTACCTGCGAGTTTATAAACTACTCATATGCTTCCAAGAGCATTCCTCTCCGTATGGTTTCTATGAAGATCATGACGGCAACGTTTCATAGCAGTCCAACGGGCGAAGCAAAGTCGACTTTTAGAGAGCTATTCTCCAACAACGAACCTGCCTTAGCTCTCCTCCCTGTCTTGATAGACATGTACGGGAAACGTGGATCTTTTTATGGAGAGGTGATTTGGTCGAGTGACGTTGGACTGTTTGTGGCGGAGGACTAGCAAAGCGACATAATCTTCATAAGACGACTTCAGGCCAATAATGGGGGCCTGCAACTTGTCCTAGAGTCGTGCCAATAAAAATAAGTCACAAATTCAAATCCAACCTTCCCTACACGACGTGTGAACTGTGAACCAGATGAACAATTCTTTGCTTTGTTATGTACAATTTATCTTTTTCAACTTGGCGTACTGGGTTGCTTCAAAATAAGCTGTAATCACTTCGAGCCTTGGAAATCGTCAAATAGCTAACATTAATGTTCCGAGCGAATGTTGAGCTGCCATCTGAAAAGTTCATTTGGGCGATACTAATTTTCGATGAAGGGATTCTAACCAGCTTAATGGCTTTAAGCAAAGCTGCTTCAGATTCGTACAAAGGTTGCCCCTATGTCATCTAATTTACAATTTTCGAAATGACCTAGTGTACCTTTCATGCCCCGGGCGGCCGCTTCTTGTTCGCTTCACGTCTTGCTCGCGTTTCTCGAAAACCTTTCGCGTCCTTTCAAGCTCCATCTTTGGACACCATCAGCAATCGAGATGGAACAGATCCGTCACTTCATGGGTTCTGCTCTTGAGGCGTCCACTGCCGATGCGAAGAGATCGATCGACAAGTCACTCGCCTTTCGGTAAGTTCATATTCTTCTACCAAAGCGGAACAAGTACTGACGTGACATATTAGAGGACCGCAAACTTTCGTCAAAATTCACATTGGACCGGGAAACAAGAAAGAGAGCTTCATGCTCCAAAAGAGCTTGATCTGCTTCCATTCGCCCGTTTTCGATCGCGCTTTCAATGGCTCATTCCTCGAAGGTCAGACTCAAGAAATGACTATGGAGGATGTTGAAGTTGAGATCTTTCACTTGCTTGTGACCTGGATGTACTGCGGAGAGATCAGAGGTCAGATAGATATCACAAACAAAAGAATAGAGTTCTAACGTTGAAATAGAGGTTCTTGATCGTAATATGGCAATCAACATGGCCAAGCTATGGGTACTTGCCGGGCGCTTCCTCATACCTAAGCTTCAAAACCAGGCTATCAAACACATTGGAAATCCCGATTATCTTGGGTCAGCCATTACAATCGGTACCATTAGTGTTCATAAGGGTACGTTAGCTCGCCAAATAGTCGGAGAGTTTGTCCAATACGTTGCCAACGAGGTGGACCCCGAATCTCCCTTGTATCGATACTGTGTCAGGACAATTTTGAGTAATTGTATCCTCGAGATGGGATCAACAAGTCAAGAGAAGGTGTCTAAAGGTAGACTACAGATCGGTCTGGCTCTGGAAGAAGTCATGGGCAAGTCAATGATGACCGATCTTGTTAAGAGTTTGATGGAGACACTTGAAGGCCAAATTAAAGACATAAAGTTGACAGCTCTAGACATGGAAAGTTACTTTGTGCTCGAAACCTGAAGGTCATGTATCTAAGTGTTATACTGAGGTCCGATCAGGCTTGGTGTTGTTGCAGATCGAAGATGAACTACTGGTGACGATGGCGGTACGACTTCGGTAGACATCTTGATTATAGCAGAATCCAGATCATTGACACGGAATGTACTGTACTCAGCGAATAATAAGTCCCAGTGATAATTATATAGCGGGTTGCTGTAGTGAAATAATTCAGCCTAGTCTGCACTCCCCTCAAAAGAGATGGGAAATAGACGCCGCTAATTCAATGGCAAAGAACAACACCTAGACTAGATCGACAAGCGTTAACGCTCAAATATAGCGCTACTCTAAATTAACGATACCAAAAGCATCACAGATAGATAGTCCCTAACGACAAGTACTCGGTATTCGAACTCAAAGGTACTCCACCTTATTTGACATCCCTCGGGTAAACTTTAGTCAACAGCTCCACCTTTTGCCGAATGATCATGTTAGGCGAATCTCGCACCCAATCCAGCTTCTCATCGACCAATTCATAGTCAAACAAGAAGACCATTTTTGCAATCAAGATTCTCATTTCCATCCACGCCATGCTATCGACCAATTAGTCTCAGGTAGTAGTTGAAATTTATGGAGAAGTACTTCTGCCCACTACAACCTCTCGGTCCTAGTAGAAACGGATTACTTGCTGAGAAATTATCTGTGTTATCCGGATCAAGCCAACGCTCGGGAACGAAGCTATCTGGGTCTTTGAAGTTCTTGGCATTATGTGTGGAAGACCAAGAATGCACGCTAACTGTTGTCTGGGATGGCATTAGCCTGGTCGCTTTGGATTCGCTTAAAGACTTACTCCGCCTGGTATGAAAATCCCATCTACCGTTTCTCCACCTTTTGAAACGATTCTCGGCAAACCGAATGGTACAGGTGGAAAGATTCTCATGATTTCATGGATCACGGCGGTCAGATACGGAAACGTTGCAGTTCGACTCGTGATCTGCTTGAAGATTTGTACCTCGATCTGACTTCATGCTTCAACTTCTCGTAGACACGCGGAGTTCTGCAGAGATAGTAGGTCAATGAACTCATGACAGTCGTCGTGGTTTCGCTCCCTGCCATGATTAGGAAACTAGCATAAGAAGTTAGATGCCAGTCGTTCAGACCCATCTCATCCTTGATGTCGAGGACATAGGAGCAAAAGTCCTTCTTCTCTCCCTCTCCTCTCTTGACTCGTTTCAAGATTTTGGATTTAGACGACATAACGTGGCTGAAGGCGGCCTTCTTCATTTGTGGCGGCACGAGGAGACCTATCATCTTTTCTAGCATTGGAGATACTCGATACAGAGCAGCGGCCCAGGCAATAAAAGACACCATGCTCATGATCGTGGAGATCCATAAGTCGGTTTTCCTAGCTTCGACAGAGCCAAATGATTCACCGAAGGCAAGTTCACCGAGGACTATTCAATTTTGATCAGAAATGGGCAACGGACGAGGAAGTACGGCTTACCATCAAACGTAACCCAATTATAATACATGTCCAGGTCCAGCGGCCCTTTACGAGACTCTTCTGCAATTGCAACCATCAACATGTCTGCATATTTAATAACGACATCTTCCTGATCAAGGAGACTTCTGGAAGAGAACGCAGGAGACTTGAGATGTTAGAGATTTACGATCAACGCCAAGGCAGAAATACCAGTATCTTCCTCGCCTTTGCATGCTCCTCAACGTTGATAATACTGTTTACATGTGGGGCCCGCAGACTAGATCTCGTTTAGCGCTCTACCATGAAAGCAAGAAGGAATACGCACGTATCGTCTGTGATGTAAAATTTATGGTCCTTTGTGAAGATCTCACCAGATTTGCGCTGTGTGTAGATGTCTTTCCATGCACTCGCGGAGGAGAAAGATAGCTCTCCAGGAGCGACGCGAACTACTTCACCATACCTCTCATGAAGCGCTCTTATGGTTTTAGGTGCATGTCCAGAGACTATCGTGCGGGCGAAGAAGATCTATTATAGTTTGGCAGAGGTTTCTGTTACATATCTTTCTTTAACTTACGTCTGATATTGCAGCATACCATGGCCCCGGAAAACTTGACAATGGGTGCAAATATAAATTGTAGAACATGTAAGAAAAGAGTACAATCCAGATCTGTAAGTATTATTAGCGTGGTTTTCATCTCTGGCATATCTCTTACAGATATTATCGCAACAACTGGTAGTGAGAACCTGTCCTGAGATACCCAAGTAAACGCCCAGTGGCCATTGAGAATACCTAATAGTTCCATAATTCCTGCCGAAACCGCAGGTAAATTGACTTCGAGGGAAGTGGAAAATGGATAAGCAGTAGAAAAGAGAACTAGAGATTGAACAGTGGGACTCTGACAGATATCTGGCTTTCTGGCAATAAATCCACCCATGTTACACATCAATAATGGTAGAGTTGGTCGCCGCAGAACAGGCGAAAGGTCACCGGTCAGGGGCTTTAGCGAGGCAGCCTCGCATCATCTAGCTAATGAGAGCTGCATTAGATCTATGTTGTTGGTCAGATTTGGAATCTCACTTGATGCAGATTGGCTCTACGGTATCGAGGTTGCACAGAGTATTCAATAGCGAACCCTGATGATACTGCTGCAGCGACGGCTTTGTTGCCATTTTTGGGCATGATGAGCCGACCCAGCAACTTTCAACCCTGGTAAGAAGCTTACCGCTTACGCTTCAGCCTTTCCGTTTGGCTGTCTATGCGTTGGTTGTCTGATTGGCCCAGCATGTAAATGCAAATCAGAGCATTTGTCAATTCATCTCGAAGAATGCAATTGTTTTCATCCAAGTGACACCAAGTCCATGGTTCAAAAGTGCAATTCAAGCTTGCTGCAGAGAAATTTGCATGGCAGGATGATTCCTGCTTGGGTACGACAATTGAAAATTTCCACCAGAGGCTCAAAAAGGTTGCGTGATAGTCATGACTCCCTCAGGAAACCAATTTTTGAAAGCCCCCAGAATAAGAACCAACCCAGCGACCTCGAAACCCGACTATTAATACTTCAATAAAGCCTCAGAAGCAAAATCACAGTCCCATGATCAAGCATAGTGACTTCGCCCCCGAGATTGATGATGAAAGTTTACCCAAAAGACACTCCCGGAAATCTTTTTGGGGACTCTATTAGCATCAGGACTATCTATTTCCCTTTCAAACATCGTTGTCTTAGCATGGCTTTCACAGATACCTAGGCTGTGTCGTTCTCAGATTTTGGTCCTAAAATCGCTTCTGCTTTTCTGCTGTGGACTCAACACACTTGGCGCTCATGCTACTATCTGATGATTGCCGTCAACTCTTTGGCTGTGCTTTGCTGGCATTCCTAGCAACTTTCGGAACTAAGTATACCGGGTTCGGCTGCTAAGAGAAAAGATAAGTGCTTCTCGCCGACGTTCAGCGAAAGGAATTGCACAAGAAAACAAAACGGCTGAGTCCCAGCGATTTCCATGGTTGTTTCTGTTCGTAAGCGGACTTGTGATTTTTCATTGTGGGTATCTCTTGGCGAGATCGGCTCTTCTTCTAGAATTCGGCTCATATTATTGCAGCGATTGTCATTGGATTCTCCACCCATGTTACTTTCGTTTTCTACAAAGCTCTCATGATGCTTAAAGAGCTAATTATTTCCTAAAAAAGATCTTCTGTGGGTAGCAATTATGATGGTGGTTGCTCCTGGAGTTACTGCATATTTCGGGTTTTCCATTGTCTGGTCCAGAATGGTCTTCTCGCTCAATGCACGGAGGCTCTCTCTGTAACGTCACTGGATGTGAAGCAAATGCTTGTCAAGTTGTCTGCGGCATCATGTGCCCTCGCTTCGGGGGCAGGGAACTCTGGTAGTAGTGCCCGGCTGTGTCTATGTGAACATTTCTCGGGGTGAGGCATATCCCAATTCATTGACCAAGATCCCGCCTTACACCTGCTCAGTAGCAACTCATCCTTTTTGGCCGCTTTTATATGGGCCGCATGAGACCAGTCGTTCTATCTATGTATGGCATCTCCGTGAAATATCAAGCGGAAATTGGAAGTGCCGCTTAGGAAAAACTATTCTTAAAAGATTGCCGCCGGTGCTCACTACGGTCGACCTATCCATCTCCTCTATGAAGACTCTTTTGCTAGCCGTTGCTATTGGGACACCAGCTGCCTTGGGCAAGATGGAGGGATTGCCACCGTTATCGAAAGTGCTGGATTTGTTTCTTATTAAATCGCGAGCTGTCATGCGTACCAAACTTTGTTTTACTCTACCATTGCATTCAGCATTTGGTGTATTCTGTGTGCTTATTTTACACCAAATGTCGAGGATCGGATGATTTACGAGCTCTCAGCTACGTTTCACCGCCACAATGAGCAGAAAAGTGCAGAATTATACTATCCTCTTGAAAAGAAAGGTCCTTGTATGTTTTAGTGGATTATGGGTGGAGTAAGATGGCATGTAGTGACGAGCAATGGGGTGCACTGCTAAACAATACGTTGGGTGCATTGAAAAACTTCCATACCGTCGTTCAAAATGCTAGTTAATACTCTTATGTACCAGTAATTCTTGAGCCAAATTCTTGGCAAAAGAGAGGGTCGTGATCAACTCAGTTCAGATGCTCCTTCCCTTTACTCGTCATCCAAGAACTGCTTGAACCATGCCACAGCAGCATTCTTTCCCCTAGCCATCGCTTCCCTCTCACCCTTTATGTTCTCATCTCCCCGCACGAGACAAGCATGTTCCACTCCAGGAAAATGCTGATAATTAAAAGGAACTCCCAACTTCATGATGGTTGTAAAAGCATACTCTTTGAGCTCTTGAGTAAATGCCTGGTCAATTTCAGGAGCTAGAATCTGAACCGGAACAGCTACTTCGTCGAAATCTTTCTTGATCATCAAAGATGGGTGACCAAGAGAAATGCAGTCCACGAGAGGAGATTTGTGTTCCTTGGCGCCAAGACGGAGAACCGCCCATCCCCCGTAACAGAATCCAACAGCAGCAACTTTCTCGTACTTTTCCTTCAAAGCTTTGGCACAAGCAAAGATTTCAGGCTCTCGAATCTCGCGAGAATTCTTGCCAATGAAGCCATGAAGGTCAATCTTGTCGAAACGGCCAGCGAGGACATGGTCACGATCCACGCTCTCCCCGCCAAAGAAATCAGGGGCGTAGACAGTAGTGTTTGTCTCTTCGGCGTAGTGATCCGCGAGGAGACGAACGTTGAGGAAGTCCCAGCCAAGAAGGTCGTGGATGAGAAACACAGCGGTCTTGGGGTTCGGGTTGGCAGAGGAAGTTATGTAGCAATTGTTGTTGGCGAGCTTTGCTTCATGGCCTTTAGGAGTGCCGTTCCATTGGAAGGCTGTGAGGCAGCAGTTTGACACTGACATTCTGATAATCGAATTGAGCCTGAAAAGTGGATTTGCAGAGAAACAAGAAATTGTTTTTGTGTGGTCGATCGATAACTCGATTAGACTGTGAGAAGTATATGAAGAACTTCTTAGGATCTTAGTCGTTTATATATTTCAACCCGATTTATAAGCTCTTCACGTCTGTACTTCCTAACCCCGATGTTTGCTGTCGTTTCATCGTGGAGCCAGGGACGCACAAATATGTCATGATTGCCGGCTCGGTAGGTAGTTGGACCGCCCCACATATGCGACAGAGCATGCAAGAGGGACGGATCGGACGAACCGGACGGGAGCAGAATACGAGATGAGTTTGAGATGCAGGGAGCATGACAACGCCCGCAATTCAATTTTTAACGATGTTAAAAGCATTACATTGACAATCTGAAGTACTCAAATATGCTTCCTTCCCTCTTTTCTCTCTAAGCTGCGTCGTTGGATCTAACACGATAGGCAACAATTCGGCTGTAGGTGGCTAGATTAATTTAAAATTAATGATCGCATGACAATTGATTCACGGCCCAGCACTTGCACTTACAATCATCTTGTGAGGTGGAACGGTAAGCCACGGATTATTACCCATATTTATTTTCTATATAATGCTATCATGTATAGCTTTCCGCAGGGAACGCAAGCCATTACGGCGTCTGTTATCATGCGTAAGCCGCTTTGAGTGATGCCGGAATTTCTTAAGTTTTCCTATGCTTGAAATTTTCAACGTTGCTCGCTCGAGCAGGGAACGTTGATGAGAGTATCTAGATAGCCCTGCAGCCCAATAGATGATTTGATATCTCTACGAAAACCCGCTGTTGTCCTCGGGTTCCGCGCTCTGCCTTTCTTTGAAAAACGGTTGCAAAGCACACAAGGAACGGAGCGCTGCGGTCTTTAGTCGGATGTTACGGCGCGGAATCCACAATGATCCAGATCTAGCGCGAAAATACTAGCGTGGGGAGGATTCCTATGCTAATGGTTAGCTAGGTTGTATGCCAGCTCTTGCTAAAAGCATCAAAAGAAGTAATTTTGTTTGGGAATGAATACACAGGTAACAAATATTGAAGGGCAGTTCAGTGAAACGTGGATTTCTTCGGAAAGAACATGACTGCGAGGGTGTGTCTGGACACAAAAGGAGGATAGACTGGAGAATTACGCTCATGGCATCCTGCTAAGCATTTGGCATCATGGGCAGGAATCTGGTTGTAGGGCAAATACATGTGTTTTATGTGATATAGGACGATATCTTCGCTTTTTCTTAGCACATCAATGGCATACCAGTCGAGGATCTAATTAGAATGGCCTCCCAGCAGCAGTTGCGAAGCTTGTGACGTTATGATCTCCTACCTTCTGACTAGGATGTTAGATGAAACTGCTCTACTAGGGCAACCGGCTTCCGGCTTCCAGTTAAAGACTTCCGCATCGCCGCAAAAGCCAACATAAGACAACGTCATCATTACCAAGGAAAAGTAGCATAAGAACTTGTCAAATAGCGTAAAATGTTATGCTACTCTCTTTCTTTGGGGGTAAGCTCAACAGACCGATGTTCCCGAAAGGTCGACTGGTGGATCTGTACGACACACCAACATCACTTTGACACGATCGTACTATTGTCGGCTTTGAGCCGTCATAACTTGGATAAGATTATACACGGAGGTTAGAGGTGCCGCGATACCTACCCTTCAGGAAAGCTAGAAATCCGATGGCGCTACTCTAATGATGATATTTCATACAATGTGATATCGCCGCACAGGATTCCTGCTTAGTATCCTAGCCAGTAGTGGAGAGATTCATGCTCCAAGTAAGCCACTTCAAAATATGAAAGAGATGTGGCAACCCTCGGTTCAATTGCTACATCTCGTTCCCTTTTTGGATCTCTAGAACGCTGTGAAAGTAACCCGTCAAACTAGCCCACATCACCTTTTCCTCTACTACAATGTTACCTCGTTATGTCAGAGTGTTGGTCTGTATCAAAGCTTTTTGAAGAGCAAGGAATCATGTTGACCCTCAACGACTGGCGCGAGTGACGCCGTTCTCAGAATCGACTTGCTCAAAGAAGGTTGCGTAAGTGTAGTTCCCTACGAGTTTTCGTTGAATCGAGCTCGACTGAACATTTGAATTCCAGGAAACAAACAGAATGTTGCAAAGAACCAGCCCCGAGAATTACGTTGCCGTGCTGTTGTCGGTAAACCGAGTAATCTAAAAGAAGGGGATTCCAGCTTCGCACAGTATGCAGGCGACAGTCAAGAAGCTTCAAGAAATGGCCTAGCACCCTTTTGAGCGTATGATCGGCAACTAGCACAAAGTCTCGACTTCAACATCCAATATCAATCTGATGTATGTAACACTCAAGGAGTCCTTGAAGAAATGAGAGTTGTCCAAAGCGAACCGGGATATGAAATCAAGAAACAAAAACAGTATCCTCAACTGCACGCTGACGTGGAGCATGGCTTGGTACATAAAATCAAAGAATCGCAATATGAAGCAGGCGGAAAGTTATTTAGCAACCACGGCAATGCCATGGTAAGTTTTCGTTCACTTTTGAATGACTAGAGCGGAGAGTAAAGTATCAAGTGCTTTTCGATCCAGGTTACACTACTCGTCTTTTCGTTTTATTTATCAAGCTTTTGATCCATCACTAATGAGAATTAGACTGATACAGTATGGTCAAACAGTACTCTCCAGTCATCAGAACCAGGAAAGAAGCTTCCTGTCGAAGCACCTATTTCATCACATCATCAAACACTCGAAAGGGTCTCCCAAAACGTGTGGAGCACCGAAGGTATGACAGCGTTACATATAGCAGCTCGGGGTGGCAACAGAAGTATAGCCAAGTTCTTGCTAGACTGTGGGGCAGAGATTGATGCAAGGGACAACTTAGGATATACTTCGCTCCATCACGCTGTGCACAGCGGTTCTTTAGAGGTAACGCTGCTACTACTAGACAGAGGCGCAGGCAAGAACACAGTCAGTCATGATGGGCGGGCAGTAGTCCATGTCGCAGCAGAAAGTGGTCGAGAGGATATAATCAGGCTTCTCGTTAAGAGGGGAACTGATATAAGTGCTAAGATCAAGATCCAACAAGAAGGGCAGTAGCTTCGCGTGGCAGATGATTGCAATTGGAGTGAAATTGAATTGAAAGTGGGAGAAGTGGTTTATTATCGATTCTTTTTCTCGACTTTCACTAATGCCCATCTATTGAAGAAGTTTTCAAAGACCGATGATATTTCTGTCGAGCGAAAAGAGTGTTCATATAACAGCCATATGGCAAATGTGATTCCAACCTTAACCCAGAAGCTTCTTTCCTAGAAGACCAACGTTGACGCGTTGAACATCAACCAATCATCTCTGAACTTCATACTACTTCATACTGATGAAAGAGCGTTGTTACTTTTTCAATAGATATAGCCCACATACACAACAAATGCCGGAGCGTAGATATTCAGACAATTACGTAGCAACACTGAAACGAGATCAGTTGAGACCACAGGAGCACACAGCCAACTATAATGGAAACACTTACCTGAGGATATTGTTCATTGGGACAGTCCGCGTCGTGCTGATAAAGTGCGTCAATAAATGATTGCTTATGATGGATAAAAATTATCTTACAGTGCAACTATCCAATACGTGCGTTTCACAGCTACTGCTGCCACAAAGATAAATGCTGGTGGGCGGATCGCAATCCACACATTCGCCACCACGCTCGAGAATGTTGCCTACATCCTGAGCAGGAAGAGATGCAACGAGGTAAGGTGCGATGAGAAGAACAAAGGCTGTAGAAAAATGCATGGTGAGTGTTTGGTGTTGTTAGAGTTGGTCTTTCTCTGAGTAAGTGGACTTTGCTAGTTTATGGAGGAATGTGGTCAATAAATGGTTCGATTATCATTCAATTCTGTATTTAAAGAGGCGGCAAGGTCACTTATATAGTTGATTAAGTCAAAGCATCGCGGAGGTAGGTAACACAAAGAGGTTTCTATTTTGAACAGTTTATTTGATTTTCTGAGGCTTCAGGTCTACGAAGGAAACAGAACAAGAAGCTAATCGGCCAATTGAAATGAAAGCAGAAATACTTTTCGAGAAAGTATTGGCTCAGATTGTCTACTTGATTTTCGAGTAACATTCTGGTCATACTGCAAGGTGAGCAATATTACAAACGTCAATCACAAGTATTCATTTAAAATGCAGTGAGGGTAAAATGTGATCGTGACCGGGAAAATTACAAAGGGCACAGCAGGCACGTGAAGATGCAGTGTCAGCACCTGGATTTCCCATAGGTTGGAATTCTATTTTGAACCAACTCCAACAGGAGGTGTCGTCATCTGTTGGCCCGCCGCTTTCCTGGGGTGACAAGTTGCCAAAACGAACTCATGGGGGCCGCCATCGAAAATCATCTTTATTCCCTCTCTCAACTGACAACGCGCTTTCAAAATGACTCGAGCTATCTTGGAACTCACTTCAACGGACGACGTTCTCGTTCTAAACTCGCAGACATTCCTGGATGCCGTCAACACGAACAGGATGTTGCTGGTATCTTTCTTTCATAAATTGATTCCAAACTGCGCAAGATTTGTCCATGTGTTTGAGCGGGTAAGCGCATTCAGAATATACTCTCTGTTGGTTTGGCTGAGCTTATTTTGTAGACTGCACAAACCGCACGTGGTTCTGGGGTCCAATTTGCTCAAATCGATATCACCGAGAATGCAACTTTCTGCCAGAATTTTGGCCTTGCTTCGTTTCCAGCTGTTATGATGTTTCAGGTTGTGGATAACGCCAGAAAGTATGGAGGGGTCATGGAGGAAAACCAGTGGAGTTCTCTATTCCGATTTCGTTAAAGCAATGTCTCACTCATATGACTTCAGGCTTATGTTGTACTTGACGAGGCAGACTTCACCACCCGTATCTATCATCACAGCAGACACTATGCAAGACTTTAAAGCCTCAAATGAAGTTGTAGTTGTAGCATACCTCACAGGAGCGGATGAAAGGTTGCATGACGCATTTATAAGTTTTGCAACAGAGATGCGAGACGACTTTCTGTTCGGAGTGACTTGTGACGAGATTCTGCACCAAAAAGAACAAATCAAACGTCCCAGCATTGTGGTTTACAATTCTTTCGAAGACGAAAATAAGGTTCACGAGTTAAGTGATGACCGTGATCTAATGCGTGCTTTTGTCAAAGCTGCTACCCGACCACTGATCGTCGAGTTTCGACCGGAGCTGCACGATAGTTATTTCAAAGCAAGTAAAGATTGCCAGTATCTTAATGAATCTGTTATACTGACTGGTCCTTGTAGCTAGGACTTCCGCTTGGCTACATATTTATCGACTCTTCCAAAGACCGAGAACGATTGTCAAAAATGGTCCGGCCACTGGCAAAGAAGTACAATGACGAAATACTGTTTGGCACAGTGGATAAAAAGGACATGGAAAGATTTCCGACCTGGGCTGATTATCTCTGGTTCTCCGATGTGAAGCACTGGCCATCATTCACGATTCGAGAGCCTATCAAAAATCTTCGGTTCCCATTTGACGAACAAAAAGAGCTATCATACCAAGAGTTGTCCGAGTTCGTGGAAACTTTCAGAAAGGGACATCTCAAGCCGGAAGTCAAATCACAGCCGGTACCCGACGTGCAGAAGAGCCCAGTCCTCGATGTCGTGGGATTGACCTATGAGTACGTCAAATTCTGCCCTTGTCTTGTATTCAATCTGGGGGCCGAGATCTTCGGGATCATCCTCGGGAGCTGTTCATCAAAGAAAATATGTCACAGCTCTTCGGATGTGCTTCAGGGCTCTTGGAACTCTATCAAAATTACATACTGATTTGTCTATAGTGAGATAGTGCTCGAAGATGAGAAGGATGTGCTCCTAGAATTCTGTACTGACTGGTGTCCACATTGCATAGCTAGTCGATCCACATATGAGCTCCTGGCCACTGTCTACACATCAACTGAGACTTTGAAAAATCAGGTCACCATTGCAACAATAGATCTGGAGAAGAACGATTTCCCCGACCGAGATGTCCGTGGCGTGCCGTGGTTTAAACTCTACCCAGCTCATAAGAAAGATGCTGCTGTACTCTACTACGGACCAACAACACTGGATGACATGGCTAAATTCATCAGAGACCATGGAACCCACAAAGCGTATCCAAAGCGCGATTCGGCCAACGCCAAGATAGAGCTTCCTGCTGAATAGCTTCAAGCTAAGCAACCCCCGTTGCAGGAATGAAACCTTAAATATATTGGGGAAAATCTCTCATATTTGTTGGTCTCGTCAAGGAGGCTTACCGCAAGTCGGGGACTCCTCGAAGCTAAAGTGTTGAGATCGCGGATGTACATCAATGAATGGCAAGACGATGTGATTCCTGTACTTCAAGACTTGTTGTGATCTATGCGTGTGACATTCTCTTTTCATGTTCCGCTACATGCACCATTTCATCATGCGCAAGGCGCGCGAGAGGCGCAAAACGCGCGGCTCGCGCTGAGAGCGGTCTCCTTCGTCGAACTACAGGAATGCTAAAACTTCTTTAAACAGGCTTTGACGCCATGGACTCCTAATATTCCATTGTACTTCGTGTGAGGATGAAATTCGAGTAAGTGAAAAGGGGAGATTGACTTTGCACGTGATGTTTTTGTACATTGTTTCCACTTTCGTTTCGAGTAAAATATACAAGTGATGAAAGTTCGTATGACTTACTTCATAGGGGCTTCCTCTCTTTCAAGAGGAAAATGAGAACAGAAACCAAACACGTGCTGAGCATCAGCTCGCGTCTGGTAGCACTAGCCCGTTTTGGCACCTCTCTCCCATCATCTTGTTCCTCCATCTCTGCCCTATTCCTTTATCCCTCTATGAATACACGTTACCCTTTTCTCAATTCCTTTCACCCCACCTTCGATATCTCCATCTCCATCTCGCCCAGCCGCGGCTAGACATCTAACAGCGGTTCTCTTCTAATTTATCGTTTTCTCCTCTCGCTTCAAGTGGCTGATACCATCTCCGAGACCCTGCATACGCTTGATTTGGAAACATGGCAGACGCCACATCCAGGATCATTCAGAAACCTGACCATTGAGAAATCGATATCTCGGTCATTCTCGCGAAGTGAATCGTTTTGGGACGGATGGCTTGAGACGGGATGAACATGGCAGGTTAGTATTAAGTGAGGCTGTCGCGCCCTTCATTCGTGAGATCTCTTCGTTTTGCGACTTTTTGTTTGATCTTCCTGCTTCTAAGTTGACGTTTTGCTTCGTCTTTTAATATTTGTACGCTGAAATTGGTCGTTCGCTGTTGCACGTAAACGAATGTTAAGAGGCATGTCATGATATGAAGGGAAGACAAATTGTCTCGACCCCCATCCCCACATCTAAGATGTGGTGCAGTATCCTTCTATTGGCAGGAGTATCTACCCTTTCGACCGCACAAGGAACATACCCCGCCTGCGCTGTATGTTTCTTTCTCATCACTTACCCCAATCTTCATCTATCTAACCCTACTTCCTAGCAATCATGCGTATCCAATGCCCTCACCTCAGTATCCTGCCTCCTCGACAACGCAACCTGCGAATGCGCCCCCGCCTATTCCCCCGCCTTCAGCAAAGCCGTAACCCCCTGCGTCGAAGCAGCCTGCTCAACAGATGACCAGTACCTCGCTATCGAAGCTTACGACTTTATCTGCGACGAATGGACCCTGAGTCTGTACACGGCTGGATTAACGACCTTGTTCACGACCAGTAGTCTTGTCGGCGGGTTCTTGACTACAACTGCACCAGCGGAAGTGACAAGCACGAGTTCCAGAGTAGAGGCAGTGACGCAAACGAGTGCAGCTGGAGTAGCGAGCGCAACGAGTGTTGGGAATGGAAATGGGAATGGGAATGGGAACGGGGCTTCGAGCGGGACTATACTCCAGTCTTCGAGTTCGAGCGGAGGACTCTCAGCTGGTGCGAAAGCGGGGATTGGAGTAGGTGCAGCGATTGGCGGATTGCTGTTCATTGGACTTATCGTTCTGGCATTCATTTATGGACGTCGTTCTGCTAGAGAAAAGAACAAACCGGAGGAAGCACCAGCGCCGAACCCACCTGCCCAGGTAGATCAGTTTGGGAAGGTTGAATTAGGCGGGGATCCGAAGGCTGGGTTTGTGGAGGTGAAAGTTGATGATGTTCATCCATTGAGTGGTGATGAGAAAGCAGAGTTGGAGAATAGGAGGAGGGCGAAGGATTTGGAGAATGGCGTTTCAAGGAATAGTAGTGTGCTTGTGAGTCCGATTGCTACAGAGAGGACTGAAGTGGAGGCTGCTGGTGCGGAAAGGTTCGAGCTGGAGGCTTTGAGGAGAGAAGCTGGTGTGAGATATGAGTTAGGATAAGAACGAAGTCGAGGTAGTTTCGAGTTTGAACTCTTTGTATAACAATGAAGATATATACAGTGTCATTGAAGACTACATATTGGTTCGACTTGTCGTTTGTTAATGCTAGGTAAAGATATGGGGTAATGCTTGGCAGCGTCTCGTGCTTCCTTTCAGAGAAAGCACGAGAGCATTTTGGTTGTGAGATGAATTATGAGATCAGAGCATCCGAACTCATTTCAACCATTTTCCTATGGTACCATCCAGAGCATAATAAGACTTAGCCAATTGCATGATAAACATATATTGCCTCGAACCCAACCAAAACTCCACTAGCAAATAACAGACAGATCTATAGCGACAAAGAGAATCCAATACCGAAATAAAGCAGAAGCCAAACTCAAGTAGCCCTTATCTTTATGGCTCCGACTCCAGTCCATCATGTCGAGGAGAAAGCAACTCCAACCCAATCGGTGCAACCAATCCATTTGTCTCGGCATATGCACCCACCGTCATCTTCCTCTCCTTTCTCGACGGCAAATCACTTTCCTTGCCCGGCATGATATATCCTGGGTGTACAACATTGAGCAGCACCAAAGCTGTGAACATAGGAAGGGAATCAAGACAGTACATGTACGCTTCTTCCTTCGGAATCGCGTGGTCGAAACCACCCGCATATTCGATGAGGCGGAAGATGATGGGGATCTGGACGAAGAACGCCTGGTTAGCTTGGTTCGTAAAAGGAGTGATTAATCTTACCGTGATCAGAAGAACGACTGCATAAGTGACATAGAGCATTTTCATCGCTGCATCTTTCTTGATCGATGATACTTGAGCGCGCAACTCGAGGTGGACTCGAACGGCGATGATGCAGAAGACGAGGATGAAAAGTTGTTGAATACCACACTAGCGCCGATCAGCCATAGCTTGATATTGTTTCGTAGTTTTACTTACTCCTACCATGTAAATGTGCAGAGCGTTAGTAGAAGATTTGGGGTCATTCTTATTGCCGACAGCGGACACGGCTCCCAAAATTTGCACGAGAAATGCTCTGTTTGTTGTCAGCTGGTTGGTGCTCAGCAAAAACCTTGATATCAACTCACACGATGTCCAAAGTTACGAAATAAACACCAAGACGTCTAGCAGGAATTCCGAACACTTCGCGCGACGGAAGGAAGTTCCAGACCATTCTCCCGAGGACCATGTACACAAAGCCATTGATCCAAAGTGGTGCAACAAGGATCAAAATAAACCAGAGGGCATACGCTCCTGTAGATGTTGGCTCTTAAATTGATATTGTTCGTCCAATGAATGCAATTGTCTCCCATAATGCCCCCATAATCACCGCTGCGGTGTACCATTTTCGAGTTCGGATGCCCTGGTAGATATGGAGAATTGTTGTGGCGCCAAATAGGAAAATGAACAGATCGGATGCTCCCTCAGAGGGACAAAACGACCACGTACTGTTGGGCGTATCTTTCGCTGTTGAGCTTTCAGTAATGAACCATTGGAAAATTTTAGGTAAATTTACCTGTGCAATTGGTCATATTGGTAGATTATCGAAAACAGTTTGGCTTCAACAGTGATACACTCAAAATGTCTGAAAAAGTGACCTTGAACTCAAACTCAAAGCAGGAATAGACATATATATCAATGACCTTGATGAAAGTACCGTGCAGAAGGAGTTACTGACATTGTAAAACAGGCTCGGTACTTTCGAAAGGTCCGGAGCCGCCTGCCAACTCACACAGCGAGGCTGAGTACCTCAGGAAATTACTTCACACGAGAACACGTACAGAATGAAGCGCTCTGTTTGTTTCTGAGGTAGATACGAAGATGCAAAGTTTGCAGATGCTGAAAGGACCTGACCAATCACACCTAAAGCGGCATCGAATTCGCGATGAAATACACAGCCTCACTCGCGAACTGGATACTCGAATGTACACGAGGCAGCCCATTGAGACGAGGTATCCGGAGTTACGGATTATACCTAAAATACGCGACAGACTTCGTACACTTCACCACTTTGGTGCAAGCTCCAACAGGCAGGAGCTCCACTCGGGTCCCGCTGACTGCGTTTGACAAGAGCGATGCTTATAATGTCAAGATCTTTAATATTAATGAAGCAGATTTGAGTTATGCTTTGTGATCTGAAGACGACGCGTGAGTATTCTTGTCGAGGAGGAAAATGTTTATGCAGCATTAGCGCATGTACTATGCCACTGCATAAGTATATGCAGTTCAAGGAATCCACCTTCAAAGAAATCCTGTGGCTCCTATTTATGAAATCCAAAACCATCAAAAACTCCGATAGCCTATCACCCATCTCAAAAGCAAATGCAAAACAACAATAAGGTCTGATGGCATCGCCCGTACCAAGAACCGAAACTCCATTCCTCTCTGAAAACACAATAGCCTTCGCCCCTAATCCAACCCGTTCAGTTCCAATCCGAGCCCAAGCAAAGCATCACCCTTCCTGCTCATTATACTTCGAACTCCTAAACACTCTACCGCTCGAAACATCTCTACCACTCGAAGCAGTCTTCGACGCAGAACTCCTGTTCCGTCGCTTAATAACATCCGTCTTCAACGACAACGGTCTCCTCATCCCATGTAACCTGCAGTACAGACCACACGCATTGCACAGGGGCGCCCCCTCGATATCCCGTCTCCATAACGGCGTTGTTTGTGTCAAGCAATTCGTACAAGTCGTCGAGCCATCGAGACTCATGGGTCTTTCGGACCTGTCGTCTTCGAACGGTGTCCCAGATTGGCTCGACACAGCAGAAGAGCGTCGACTAACCGAGTCGTGGGTCTCGACGGGCGAGTCGGGAGGCCAGTATGCGTGGTACTCGTTCGACTCGGGAGGTTGTTCGAGGATATGTTCTCGTTGTGTCGAGACCATTGCTGCCGTTCTCTCTTGTCCACCATGCGTCCTTTCGAGAGAACTGCTGGAAACTGCCCGTTCAAGGCGAGGTAACATCACGTCCGAAACTCGTCTATCGTTCTCGATTTGTCTCGGCGTATACCGAGCCACTTCTCCACCATAGGCTTCAAATGGCACATCCGCACGTGGAATACTTCCAATCGCGGTAGCAGTGCTCTCGCACGACGTCTCTATACCTGTCTTGGAGAAAGAATTCTGCGTCATAATCCGGGACGCTTTGTCTGCGAGCCACAACGACTCTGGGTCCACTGCTCCTGGGCTGTAGGACGGCACGAAGGAACTTGCGAGCACGGGCTGGCCGTGTGGATATTGGAGTGACCATTGGTAGTAGTTATCGACGTTGCTCTGGTCGAAGAAAGTTACTCGGTCGTCCGTGATGGAGTATGGAGTTGACAACGCGGAACTATCGGTTGAGCCCATCAGGGAAGAGGCGTCGAGGATATCTTTATCGAGGATATACCGTAACGCGCCAGAATCCGAGACTGCCGATAACATTAGCAAGCAGGAAGTATCGCGGTGGGGGTTGAGGCACTCTTCACTGCACTCACTTTCCACGCACCGAATCATGGCGTAATCTCGCGACAGCGTGCGTCACACCAAGCATGTATGGACTGTGCAACGAAACTGCCATTTATGTACTGGGAAGGCAAGGGCTCGGAAGTCGTGATATGTGAGCAATATCACATCTTATCGAGCTGCTCCGTTGTGTAACGGCGGTAGTGATTGGTGGCCTGTAAGTTAGCGGCCGAGCCCTGTGGCTCAGGGGGGATGCTCGGTTAGTCCCTCAACGTTCCCTGCATGCTTCTATCGTGTGATACCTTTCCTCAAGTTTGAGATGGATTCAGTATTTTGTGCAGAACATGACTAGAAGCAGGATGCTAAAACCCAGAGAAGTTGTCAAACCGAGGATAGTCCAAAAAAGCCATGCTACACCTGTCCGCTCTAGTACCTAAGTCCAGTCTCTTTCTTCGAAAAGACAGAAGGAATACTGCAGGTGCTAAGCGCCCAGCTAGGTCAATATGTTACAAATAAGAATGCTGTGTGGACAACTAAAAGCATCAAATCCCCTTACAATCATGCTTTGCCATCAACACGAACAGCTCGAAGAAACTCAGATCACTCCCCAAAATATCACCTGCTAGCCAGTAGTTTTGATCAATCGGTTGTTGCATCCTCAAAGAGGAAACGAATTAGAGCAGGTGCTCCTTCACAGACATAGCTGCAAGCAGAGCGACAATTGCTCCAGCAAGAGAGACGCCTAATTCCGTCTATTAGCACAGTATCAAGGCATGGAATCTTAATTGTACACACCATGGGTATAAGTCAAGCAACGAATATAAGCTTCAGTGACCAGCCTTCCAAGACGTCCATGAAGCGAACGCACGTATCCGATATCCGACAACGCTTTACTAATAATCTATAACAAGTCAATCAACGGCTGCATCTGGTACATGATACAAGAGGGCAACATACCATCTCCCGATGCTTTATTCCCTCCAAGGAGATCCTTAGCTCTTTCCTCAAAGTGCTTTGAAGGATGGCTGAAGCAAGACTGAGGCCTAGTACCATCCCGACATTCGAGCTAAGGTACAGCCCTGAGCTCGCGATAGCGACTTGACACGGCTCAACGCCAGCGGTCAGACTGATGAATGATGTTGAGAGCGCTATGCCGTTACCGAAACCACCGGGTATTATGTATAGAGATTCGAGGAATGAAGTGTGTCCGTGCCAGCGAAGCATCATGAGTAGATAGGATGTTGATGAGGCGAAGGCTCCGATTAGGGAGATGAGCTTGTATCTGCCTGTTCTGTTAGGATTGTTAGCTATCTCGATACATAAAGGTTCCTGGCTTATGGCTCGGGGAAAACTCCACGCACTTTCGAATGATATATCCTGCGAGAAGGCCACCGAACGCGTTTCCCATGACAGACGGCATCAAGTGCGCTCCTGCATTCGTCATAGATGCATGTGCCGAGATCTGGAAGTACATAGGCACGAGCATCATCATCTAGGTAAATTGTCAGCTGAATTATTTTTCCTCCATCCGACAGAGTACGTACAGCCATCTGAGCTCCAGTTTGGAAACCAAGATTGATGTACGAAGCCACCACATCTCGACTTAGCATCAACCGAAGTGGAAATATTGGTTCCTTCGCCCAAAAGCCTTCCACCAACAGGAAAAGATTACCAGCAACTAGGGAAGCACCGAGTAAGAACAAGATTGTGGGGTGTGTAAATGGCATCCTTTTCCCACCGAGCTCGAGAACAAGAAGACCACAGACGATGGAAGCTGATAGGAGAATAGCTCCTAAGAAGTCTATGCGGCGTAGCTTCGAAAGTTGTGATTGGATTGGTCCTTCTTCAACGTAGGATGGTTGTATTTTCCACGCTACTAGAAAAGCGGCTAGTATTGTTGGAGGGCATTGTCCTAGGAATGACCTTTGGTGTATACATTTAGTGATGGTGTGTATATATGAAGGGTGGAATACGAACCAGCGCCATCCGATTGTGTCGATGAGGTAGCCTCCAATCGGCCCTCCCAGGCTTCTTCCTGTGGTCGCTGCTATATTTACGTAGCTTCTCCATGATGCCACTTCTCGAATCGGAACCATATCTTGAGGCCTTAGTTAGCAGCTAATTCGCAGTCGTCTAGTGCCTATTACCGACCTGCGATGACAATAGAGACCAAACAATTGATTCCTGCTCCTCCAACACCTGCTATGAGCCTGCCAAAGACTACTTGCGGAAGAGACTGGCCCGCTCCACTATCATCGCTAATTAAATCACTTATCTGCATCTTTACGGCGTTGGAGTTTTAGAGAGCTTACCATATTGCAGAACCAACAACGAAAAACATGTATGACATGAGTATAGTATTCTTACGTCCATAAATATCGCTCAATTGACCGTACTAAACCATTTCAAATGAGTCTTGGCCCTCACTGAGTGACATGGAGGCATGGAGACTGACCAGTGATTGTGCAGCGCACATCGCCAACGTGTAAGAAGAAATAAGCCATCCCGCGTCCCCGAGATCATTGAATTCGCTGCTGATAGTACCACTCGTAGCCAAAACTAGAGAGCTGTCTGCATTTGCGACGAAGACACCTGTAGGAGTGCTGTGAGCTAGTATTCGACATTTTGAGGAAATTCGTAAGGTCGATTACAGACGGAATCGAGTTCGATACCGGAGAAAAGTATCGGTGAGAAGATGGCGGTACATACCCAGGAGTAAAATTGAGATTACCCCAGCAATCTCTCGCGGAGGCTCGACTCGGGGCTGCTTGTCGGCGAGGGGCGACAAACACTGAGCAGCCTCCACATCGTCCTCAGGCACGACGGAGACGTATTTACTGGATTTTGAGTTCCGGTCCCTTAACAGGGGTGTATATTCGTCATTTTCTATATCGATTTCGTGTTCGTTTTGTTGTTCATTGGTGGTTATGCAAATGCGTAGAGGTACGGGAGTAGCCATCTGACACAATTTCGCGATGGCGGAATGTCACACAGTATGATGTGATCGAAGGTAACCGAGCGAGGAGCCTCTACGCTCAAGTATTAATACTTCGACGACTCCCCTCGTTCCTTCATACCATAACAACACCATATCACTTGCTATGCACGGAATCCTGTGATTACAATTTCTCTTTGCATGGTCTGTTCTTTTACCAGAATCCTGAACGAACGACGAGCCAATGGTAGTGAGAACACCGAGAAGAATCAGCAGTTTATTACTCAACCGGATCAACATTTGCAGTGGAATGCGGAGTCAAGAGCTTGGGGGTATCCACTTGAGAAGGCCGCCACAGACATTGCATGGGCACGCTGATAAGAAGACTTTTGCGAGATCGGGAGGATAATGTAAAATCGGCTGGCCGTTCTGCAGGTCACCATGTCCCAATGGGTCAACAACGAGCAAATTCTTCTTCCCTCGAGAATTCGTGGCGTAAAGATAGTATCAGATGCATGTGAAAAATTGACTCGTGAGCAAGTAACTTTGCATGCCCCAATGTCACTGTATCGCCGGACATGACTACCCAGAAAGCTGTTACATGAAGTAGAGATGAATTTGAATGCAAGGAGATGGAAGAATTGAGCATTCTCGATGTCTACAATTGTAGCACGAACATGCTATGTCTGAAGCCCTGCTACGGCTTCGACTTTTATAATAACCGACCACTTCTTGTGCAATCATGCAAGGCAATCATAACTCGAGTATGGTGTGTACGGATAGACGTGCTTTAGCTCTCGAGCCTGCGATCTTTATACCCTGGAAAGAGTCCGACAGAAGCCGATTGGGTCGTTTGCACCAATTTTGAATGCGGAAAGGCTTCCGGATCTCAGTCCATATTCAGCAGGGGAAGATATGCGGATTGACATGCAGCGACAAGAAGCTCGCAGAAAGTATATTGAAATCCTGCTGATATTTGAACAGCGGGCTTGTTCTATTCGTCGATTGGAGTCTGCCCTATGTAGTGCCTTATCTTGCATATCACGGGCTGGTGATCACTTGCTCCTTCAGCTATAAGCGAACTGCCGGGCTTTTCATCATGACTTCTGCTGTAATTGTTGCACAGAGGGAAGATCAATTGCCTAATTCAATTCAGAAACATGAGTACGAGGGGAAGGATATCTATATCTTTGCCTCAACCACTCAATCGAGGAAGAAGAATTCGAGCAACCAGAAGCAAAGTTGACCACGTGATCGGGTGAGGGTTTCAAGGCATATGCGCAACCAAGCTGTATATGCGGCGTAAAACGTTTTGATAAGACCAAAAAGGGTCGTTGAGAGTCCACTAGACAACGCAGAGCAGTAAAGGGTACAGAATGCATAGACAGTGGCAACCGATTTCCATTTTGAGTCACAAGACGTGCCTTCACTTCAAGAGCGCTGGACAAATACTACTCGAACTACGAGACAGTGTTTGTCAAGTCTTGACATTCTAATGTATGCGAATTACCATGACAATAACTTGAATTGCTTGTTCTTTGTTGTAGTGATTTGGTCACGGAATGGATCCCCCAAATGGGAACCAAAAAGCTTAAATTTATGCAATGCGAACTAAGCTAGCGCTACTTTTATGCACCTGTATAAATCTGCAACAACTTCAAGAAGCGAGACGGACATTCATCAAACACATCAACATCATGGAAAGTCTATCTGGGGGATCAACGCCAAAGAGGCACTCGAGACACGGTTCCTCCGGTCGAGGTGAGTTCTATGCATCTCTATCACGTCTTTATCTTCTCTGCGCGTTGCCTGCGTCCCCTTCTCTGTTCCCGTGAAGTCATCATGGGTGCGTCAAGCCTGATGTTTCTCGCTATCATATGCTGCTTCGCCGTTGATGTACGTACACAACTGCTCAAAATGCTACGTCGGACTCAAATTACGTCGAGTATCCAGCAAATGATCTCTCTGTCATCTGTTCCTCGAATCACGTGGACGAAACATGCGGGAAGTCCTGATGATTCTCGACAGCGTTTCCCTGCGTCAAAAGGCTGCGCTTGAAGGCGGCTAACGATGCGATATGCAACAAAATACAATCGCAAGTTTGTTTTGATTCTTTGCCCCCAAGAATTTAGTCTCATGTGGTGGGGTCGTAATGTCACCGTCGTACACAGCGCTTGAGCTGTAAGCACAGTCAGTCTAATTTAGTCCATCGTCTGACCATGTTGGATGAATAGCACTCCCTAGACGCTCCACTCGTGGGCCTTTGGATATCAACGAGTGTGTCCCCCTATCCTGAGAGAAAACACGCCCATCATTGACATCGACGCCAGATCTCCAATATCACCAAGCACATCAACAACGCCATCGAATCTTGTCCATCAATCATCATCCCTCCTCTCGCCCTCAGCCTCCCAATACGCAACCCCACGCCTGCCCTCCCCCCAACCAGGCTCCAACCTCTCAACCCTCACCTCGCCTTCCTTCCGCACCGCCCGCTCAACCCTCTCTCCCTCTCGCTCAACCACCCAACTTCAAAAAGACTTCACCTTCCTCCTACGCCCGGAAATCTACCACTCTCTAACCCTCCTCGACGTCCCACCCCCCTTCCGCCTCGCCAGCGCCCAACCCTCACCCTCTTCTTCCCTCTCCTCTCTGGTATCCCAAGGCCACTACCGCTCCGCAGCCATCAAAGCCGCCCAACTCCTCACCTCCACCAACCCTCCCCCATCTTCGCACACCGAGATCTTCGACTTGATCTACACCCGCCTAAGCTGTCTTACCCTCTGCAACCAAACCACCCTCGCCGCGCAAGAAGTCAAAGCGCTCGAAGACCTTAACTCAAACTACTACCGCGACGACCTCTCCGGCGCCCACCTTGTGCCATGGGAACTCCGCGTTCTCGCTGTCCGGCTACAGGGCATGGGCTTCAACGACGCTCGACGGGGCATAATGGGGTACTACGACCTCGCGCGCGAAGCTCGCCTCTCTCTCACATCGCTTAAGAAACAAGATCCTCGGCCTCTGGACGAGATAGCGGTGTGGGAATCTCGGCTAGAGGAGCTGGGGATCCGGGTGGCGAGCGCGTTGATCGAGATGGAGGACCTGGAGGGCGCGACGCGGTTCCTTGCTACGCTGAAGACTAGTGGTGATGAGAATGGGGTGCGGAAAGCGTTGCTGTGGCTTTGTCTCGGGGACGTTGAGGCCGCTCGCTCGTCCATCCCCTCTTCCTCCTCTTCCTCCTCCTCCGACCATGACGAAGAAAACAAAACCATCCTCGCCCTATCACACATGGCAGACTCCTCCTTCTCCCTCGCCATCCCTCTCTGGGAATCCCTCCTCACCACCTCCCCACCCTCCCCCAACTCAGCCCTCTACTCCCAAAACCTAGCCATCGCCCTCCTGTACCTCGGCCGCATGGCAGAAGCACGCACGATACTAGAGCGTTTGGTAGAGCAGGGAAACAGTTTCCACGCGCTGACGTTCAATCTATCGACGATCTATGAGCTGTGTACGGAGCGCAGCCAGGCGCTGAAGATTGGGCTTGCGGAGAGGGTTGCGGGGATGGGGATAGAGGAGCAAGGCAGAGAGGGAGAGGAGGGCGGGAAGAGGGGATGGGAGAAGGTTAATGGGGATTTTAAGTTGTAGGGTGTTTGTGGGTTTGTGGGTTGTTTACATTAAGTTTGAAGGATTGGGAGTGTTTTCAGTGTCCGGATGTTGTATTTCATGTGTGCGAGAGACATCGATCCGGGGTTTTACTAGAGTCTTCACTGGAGGCTTCACTATGACTAAGCTCAGTCAAGTCAATGAAGATATCTCAGCTTTCTTTCGGTTCACATGCTCTTAGTCAAAACCTATGAGCAGTTAGTGAACGTTAGAAATTATGTAGGATTTGATACCAGAGGGGGGTCATAGGGAATTAATGAGAAGCAAGCCTCACTCTCCTGACTAAATTTCGTTCGCAAATAATGAACAAGACTCTAAGCCCGACTTAAAGCTCACTCCCTTCGAGTCTACAATGCAACAAACCAAAATGCAATAAATTCTATACTCTATTTCGTCTCAAACTAAACAACACCCATCCCCTCCACCACAAGAACCGCACTCCCACTGCCCGGCTTACTAACCACCACCGCCGCCGCCTTCTGTTCCTCGTTCAAATCCATCTTAGAATAATACTCCTTCTCCCACGCCTCGCGAACAGCATCCACCTTGCCCGCCGGCACCAAATGCACCGAACACCCACCCCAACCCGCGCCCGTCAACCTCGATCCATAACTGCCCGCTTTCCGGGCAATAGCGCACAGCTGGTCGATTTCGGGACACGAGCATTCGTAGACATCTCTGCAGCTATCTTGCGTTTGGTTCATCAGGTCTCCTAGTTTTTGGTTGTAGGCTTCTGTGTTGGAGCCTGAGATGTGGGAAGAGGGGCTCTCGAGGAGAGAGAGGAATTGGAGGACGCGGAGAGCTTCGGAATATACGTGGAGAGCTCGTTCTCTGAGTTTGAACTTGTCGGCTCGGACGGGAAAGATGGATGTGTAACGCGCGTCCAGTTCTGAGACTGAAATACCAATGGCAGATGCAATTTCCTCACGGGTGTAGCCTTCTTCTTTTGGAAGAGTTGATTTTGTGAGGGCGATCAATTCTGTGAGTTGTTCTTCAATAGAGAGTTTGGTATTGGCGAAGTATACGTCGTGGAAGCCGTGGAGAGAAAGACCTAGTGGTCCGGCGTCTGCTGGTAAAGGAGCGGAGCTCTTGTTGAGGACGGCATGGAGGTAAGAGGCTGCGAGCGAACACTCGACAACTCGAAGGTTGTAGCATACCGGGCCAGTAACTTGCTTGTTGGATGTGACAAAACTCTGGGCGATAACGAAGCTCAGTTCTGGATCGGTCTTGGGAAAGTAGACAGGGCGGGCGACAAGTGATGGGACGAAAGAGACGAAGAGTGCAGACCCTCGCAAAGAGAATACGGATGCAGATTGGTCCATTCCACCTGAATTAACTCCAACAGCTCGTTCGCTGACAATAGCCAGCTCAGTGAGAGCTGTCTTGTCGACCGAATGTTCTCCATTGGCATACATGACAGCAAGAGCCGATGCGCTGACGAAAGCCGCAGAACTGCTCAGTCCACCTCCTGCTGGTACTGTTCCGTCCATAAGTATCTCCATGCTCTTAGGCTTGTAGTCTGCACCATGTTTCTTCCGTAATAGCTCTAAAGCACCTCGCAGGCCCGATTTGAAGTAATTTGTCCATTCGTGTACCTTTGCATCGATCTCAACAGACTCGTATGGGATATCGAATTCGTGTGAGGGAAACCTGGAATCCAGTATATTGGAGACTTTGATCTTGTAACATCCTTCGGGAGCTTGACTATCATCAATGACTTTGACTGCTAATATGACATCTGCGGTTATTGCCATAGGCAGAACCGAGTATAACGAGTAATCGATGTGCTCTCCAATAATGTTGACTCGGCCTGGAGACCGAGACACAAAGTCTGGTAATGTACCGTAGTTGTTCTTAAACCCCTTCAGCAATGTTTCCCATCTCGTCTTTTGTGAAGGTATCGCATCTTCGGTGTATATGTCATTGAGAGACTTCGCAACTGGAACGGGACCAGCCATCGTGGGGGTTCGTGCAACCACACAGGAAGTTGGCGGGGTAATTCGTATCCAGCTGAGCTTCCTGCACAATTCTATCTTTTTATTTAAGTCGATTCTCGAGCGGGTTGAAGATTTCGTCCATGGGCCGAGGAGATGGTAAAGTATTTATGGAGGAAGAACAGGAGATGTTGTTGACAATTCGCATCCATCGCGTGACAGAATTGTTGATGGTTCCTGCATGTTGGCTGCGCTGCGCTGTCCTGCCCCGCCAAATCCGCCGCTATCCTTCTCGCTGGAGAGAAAGACCGAGTCGACGCCGTGGCATGATTGGTGGGGATTGGTGCGCTTCCGTGTGGAGGACGGCGAGTCTTGTCGTTGGTGCTGGTGGTCCCGGTGGCAGATCTTGAAGAGGCAGTTGGGTATTACTGTATTTATTTGCTTTTGTGCTGTGACATAACGTAGCCTTAACGCAAGGCTGATGGTGTTGTTGAGTGAGGCTCGTAGATTGAACCTTTGATGACCTTACGAAGTAGACCGAGGTAAAATTGTTGCACAATCAAATTCAAGGCGGCTGAAGCCTTACATCCAAGGAATCAGTTTTCTCTTGCTGTAGTGAGTCATTCGCCAATCATATTGAAGAATTATTTATGGATCTACCAGCTCCCCATTGGCTGTCGCACCCGTTAGCAAGGATAAAAGGAATGTCTGGCTTCCCCACACCGAGATCGCTCCCGGACGATAATTTCTAGAACTAGAGTCACTGCAACCAGACAAGAATTCACTCCACCACCACACAGTATTGACTTCGATCAATATCTCCAACTCTGGCACGGTGCGACAACAACTCATATCTGAGCTGAGCAAAGCCATTCGAGGCGTCTCTCCTCTTCAATTATTCTTTCCTTCTCTCCACTCCTCATTCCTCCCACTGTCGCCTTTAAAATGCTTCGAACAAACCCGGCGAGAAGCGCCACGCGCGCTCTCAATCAACTCACCAGGAATTTCTCAACCTCGCCAGCTGTAGGAGGGATTGCATATGTGAGGAAATTGCCCTCAGAAACCAGATCCCAAGCCACCGTTGCGACAGCTTCAGCACCAGCTTCGTCGCCTGCATCGTCGGTTCCCCTCTCCCCATGACTCACCTCACATACTGACGATTATACAGAGCCACAAGAGAAATCCCCAGTCCCGCATTCAATACCATAACACCGAAGCGAGAAAACCCTTTACAACATCAACAATATGCCCGCAGTCAAGAAATGGACGAGTCGTACGTTCTCCGTCACCGCCACTCACCATTGGGTAGCACTTACACTTCATACAGATTTATTGGCAAGACTGGAGGAGAGATATTCCATGAAATGATGTTAAGACAGGGCGTTAAACATATCTGTCAGTACTCCCAAGAGTTCAATCGATTTCACGTATCGCTGACCCCACTCTAGTTGGATATCCTGGTGGTGCTATTCTCCCAGTATTTGACGCCATCTACAATTCAAAACATTTCGAATTCATTCTACCTAAACATGAACAAGGAGCTGGACATATGGCACAGGGATATGCGAGAGTTTCGGGCAAGCCCGGAGTTGTGCTCGTAACGTCTGGCCCTGGTGCTACCAACGTTATCACGCCTATGCAGGACGCCCTCTCTGATGGAACACCATTGGTGGTCTTCTGTGGTCAAGTTGTTACATCAGCCATTGGTAGTGATGCATTTCAAGAAGCCGATGTCATTGGCATCTCGAGAGCATGCACCAAGTGGAACGTGATGGTAAAGAATGTAGCGGATCTGCCAAAGAGGATAAACGAGGCATTCGAAATTGCAACGTCTGGCCGTCCAGGACCCGTCTTGGTTGATCTACCAAAAGATGTGACAGCTGCTGTCCTCCGGAGAGCTATTCCCATGAGCAGCACGATCCCAGCACTTCCCAGCCAGGCATCAAAGATGGCCCAGGAGCATGTTCGGAAACAACTTCAAGCTACTATTAAACGAGTAGCCCACTTGATCAACATTGCCAAGAAGCCCGTTATCTATGCTGGACAAGGTATCATCTCCCGTCCGGAAGGTCCCAAGCTCCTCAAGGAGCTTACGGACAAGGCCTCTATTCCTGTCACAACGACCCTCCAAGGACTCGGTGGATTCGATGAACTAGACGAGAAGGCTCTACACATGCTTGGCATGCATGGTTCAGCGTATGCTAATTTGGCGATGCAAGAGGCCGATCTCATCATCGCTCTTGGAGGTCGTTTTGATGATCGTGTAACCGGAGCTGTCTCAAAATTCGCACCACAGGCTAAGGCTGCCGCCGCTGAAAATCGTGGCGGTATCGTACATTTCGAGATCATGCCCAAGAACATCAACAAGGTGGTCCAAGCTACCGAAGCCGTAGAGGGTGACGTCGTGGATAACCTTGCAATGCTTAACCCCTTGGTCGAGAAAAAGAGTATGACGGAACGAAAGGAATGGTTCGACCAGATCAACTTCTGGAAAGAGAAATTCCCACTTTCTGATTATGAAAGAGCAGAAAGATCCGGTCTCATCAAACCACAAACACTCATTGAAGAGCTCTCAAATCTCACTGCTCACCGCAAAGCCGATACTATCATCGCTACTGGAGTAGGTCAACATCAAATGTGGGCTGCCCAACATTTCAGATGGAGAGCTCCACGAACCATCGTCACCTCCGGTGGTCTCGGAACAATGGGTTTTGGTCTTCCAGCTGCGATTGGCGCAAAGGTTGCTAAGCCCGATGCTCTCGTAATTGATATTGATGGCGATGCTTCCTTCAACATGACTCTCACCGAAATGTCGACTGCCAAGCAATTCAATATCGGCGTCAAGATTATCGTTTTGAACAATGAGGAGCATGGTATGGTGACACAATGGCAAAATATCTTCTACGAGGACAGATACGCACATACCCATTCCGAGAATCCAGATTTCATGAAGCTAGCAGATGCTATGGGTATCCAAGCACGAAGAGTTGTCAAGCCAGATGATGTGAGAGATGCTCTTACATGGTTGATTGAGAGTGATGGTCCCGCATTCTTGGAGGTCGTCACAGATAAGAAGGTCCCTGTGTTACCTATGGTACCCGGCGGAAACGCCTTACATGATTTCTTGGTATACGATGGAGGTCAGTTCCGTTTCCCTCTCCCTCCATTTTGAACCCCAACACTAACAACCAAACAGCCAAAGACAAAGAACGACGAAAACTCATGGCAGAAAGAACAGGTGGCAAGCACGGCGGTGATTAATATACTCAAGCATCGGCGCATATTTCCTTTCCTTTTTTTTCTCGCAACATATCAGGTGTTTCGGAAAAGTGCTTTTCGAATCCAAATGATTTTTATTGATGCATGAGCTGAATGGTATGCTCGTTGGGATCAGAAAATCTGGATTGTGAGTCATTGGACGTGCGAGCGAAAGAGATTGTGTATGTGTATATAGGATAGCGAGATTTTTGCAATATGAGGAGTTCATATTGAAGACGCTTTCTTGTAAAGAGTGAATGATATGCTTAGTGAGTTTCGCTTAGTAGCGAGGGGCGGGGTCTTTTCAAGTCGGAGACATCTACTTTTGTTTGCGGTCTGTCTTGTAATTGCTTCATTACTCTCTCCTCGTTGACTAACCCTCGGTCCTAACTTAATGACTAGTGCAAATTTCGTATTGTGCAAAACTTAGATATATACCCTAAGCACAAGGGCTTTTCAAGCCCTTTCCCCACCTTGTCCTTCTGCAGTGTTGAAATCACTTCTCGCGGCTCTGCCCCTCCTCCCCAGCATGCACCGGAGAATAGTGAAGCCTCGTCTCTTCTTCGTTGCCGGCATGCACAGGAGAGTAGTGGAGTCGAGATGCACCTTCTTCACCAGCGTGAACAGGTGCGAATCGCATTAGAGTTTCCTGTGCTTCCACAGCAGAGAGTTGGACTTGGATGTTCACCTCGATACTTGCGGGATCTGGATGCTTGTTAACACCTCGTGAGGTTAAGTGGTGGAAGGAGACGTACTTGTGATGGGTGCTGCAAGACTAGTAGTCGCTGTGAGGGCGAAGAGGAGAGTGGTGGTGTACTTCATTTTAGGGATGTGATAGCTGCTTAGTGTTTGATATTTTAAAGATGATGGTAGCTAGGAGTTGTGGTTAAGGATGGGGCTTAAGGTATACAAATGTTTGGGTTTTATATGCTCATGTGAGAGTAGGAAGAGGGTTCAGATGGCTACTTAAGCTAGTACAGGGATAGCTATCCGGTCGGATTTGGTTCGTCAATTAGATGGATTGAATATTTCTCCCACATTATTTATAATTCTCGATACCGGTGGTAGGACCGTGAAACTCGCTCTAAGATCGCAAGTGCGGGGACTCGAGATCCGATACTTCCGAAGAGCAGTCCAATCAGAAAATTCATGTTTCTGACAATAGATCTTTCCGCAGTAGGAGAATCACAAAGCAATAGTCCGAACAGGAGTTCATATTAAGAGAACTACTGGACGCCTCAATTCCAGCCCCGACTAGCTAGAACGCGACTCTCTCGCTAAAAGGCTTGATATGACGTTCTTAAGAACTTTGAATGTCATCGGGGTGCATGGATAAAAAACCTGCTGACTACCTTCGTACTTCTAGGTCTATCGTGCTCTTCTCATCGGCTATTCAAAGATCTTAAAACTGTCTAAACCTTGGACTAAACGGCAAGTACTTCCGAATCTCCTCAACTGATTGTTAAGTCCGGGAACAAGTCAGCAAGCATTTGAAATTTTGGATCTGCTGCGGGGTAATTGTTGAAGAGAAATCCTCCATCGTCAATGATATCAGCTGGAGTAGTCTCCTCATAACCTCAGTCTCCGCTCCTCAGCTATCTTCGTTGCTACTCAATCCCAACTTCCTCTCTAAAAGCCCAAGCGTCATCAAATATCCAACATGTTTTGGAGAACCCAGCAGTCCTCCCCACTGCCGGCGCCCCACAAAGACATCCAATACCACGCCCTCGAGGAAATCGATCTCCAAGCACCTCCCCTCAAAACATCTTCCCACACCCCCAAACTCCGCCTAAACATCCTCTCCCTCACAACCGCCATCGCCACAACACTTATCCTCCTCTCTCTCACCTACCTAACCCTCCACTAAGATCCCACACCCGAACAAGATTACCTTCCCGACACCATCCCCGACGAAGAATGGAACTACTGTGGCCGCACAAGCCAATCGGCCATCGAACGAGGCTGTGTGATGGAACCGCTCTTCTACGGCTGGATGCCGGCCGCATGCGTATTCCCCGCCCTCAGCGCCCAGTTTCCCGTCTTCGAGGATAGAGTCTGGTATCGAGATCCCGAGCTACGTATCCCTATCCAGCCCGAGGAGTTGTGGAATGGGGTTCATGATCCTATTTATACTCGTCGGTGAGTTTGTTTCTTTTTTTTCCCCCTTTATGCGGAAGAGGAAATGGGAAAAGCTGAGGAGATACCTAGGTATCATACCGAGCACTGCTTGTTCCAGTGGCGGAAATTGCAGTTCGCGATGCACAACAGGGAGCAGTTTATTGATAATAAGACGGTGAGTCTGCGGCATTCGGGGCATTGTGCGGATCGGTTGAGTGCGTGGGTTGAAGGGCCGGATGATGCTAATGTGGTGGAGTTGGGGTTCTATCGGTGTAGGAGGGCGCTTTGGTAAGGTGGAGGTTCTTGGAGACGTTGAGTTCATTGGTTGATCTGGTGGTGGTTGGTTACTGAGTTTTGTTGGGAGTGAGCATCTGTCTTACATGTTGCGCTATCATTGCTGCGGATAGAATTGCTGAACGCTGCGGGGAATTGACTTGACTTGAATGGATCTGATCTGGGTTTAATTAGTGGTTGCCTGGTACCTCACTCTTTCCCTGCAACTTAAAACAACTTGGCCATAACAGTCCTGGCTAATTCTAGATTTAAAAAGCATCTGACGAGGAAAAGGTCACGAACAAAATAAATTCATATCAGTCCATGCAGAAACTTTTCGATGATTAGCTTGGAACAAAGATCGAGCAATAAGGCTTTATCAATATCACAATACAAACCTTCCAATGAATTGGTAGTTTACCTGACTTCAGTTACTATTCAAAATCTCGTGGTATATTCTTCATACCCAGTTACCCGTCTCCCACTCATGATCATCAACCTCACTACACATCTTCTACCTTCGCCACCCCATCCCCGTCCAACGAAACAAAATACTCCCACGCCCCAAGTCTTGCACCCTCCTTATCCCCCTTCAACGCCATCAAAACATCAACCACCATCTCCCCCGGCAAAAACCCACCCTGAATCCACACCCCTAAAGCCTTAGCTGACGTCCCCCACGCCATCCTATCAATCGCCAACTTCTTCAACACCCCCCTCTCCAAACTCTCCCCTTCCTCATTTTCATACACAAAACAAAGAAATTCCTTCAATGAGTCGCCTTGAAGACCTTCGGTGAGTGGCTGTAGCCAGGACATGACTTTGTTCTGGAGTTTCGCGATGCGGAACTTAGCTGCTAGACACCAGAGTTTAGCGAGAGGAAGGACGTTGCTGGCTTGTTCTTGCGGAATCAGATCGAGTTGTTGGGTGTAGAGCCAATGGGTGACGAGGCCGAATGTGTCGGGACAGATGATGGGGAGTGTCATGATCTTGGTCTCGGCTTCGGTGTGAGGTGGTGAGAAGGCGGTTGCGAAGTATGAAGAGTAGTGTGTTAGGAGATGCTGATGGATTACGAAGGACTCGAGATCATCTGCTTCACCGACGTTGATTGTCACTACTGCTTGAGGTTTTCTGAAAGCTATTAGGTGTGGATTTCATGAGCGAAAGATTTGGATTGTACCTGAAAGATGGTCCCTTGTTGCGTGCTCTTTGAGAGGAACTTGGTGGTTGGCTTCTTGCTGGGGACATGCTCGATCTGGATTGTTGAGAGCTGCTCCGTTCATTGCCTTGCATTGACAACGTTGAAGGAGAAACAGTGGTGGAGGACATGATCACGGTTGCTGTTGAGCTCTCCATTGTCGAGTTCCAGGAGATGCTTCAGAATTGGGAAGGTATTGGTCTCGAGAGATAGGAAAGCGCAAACAAAATATGTGCGTTTGCCTCTACAAACGTGAAACCTCAAAGTTGAAAGAACCCACGTGATACAGTAGTCTTGAACGGGATATGATGCTGAAAATAGTGCCAATGAGAGGAGCGATGATAAAGGAGCGCAAGTACATCTCGAGTGCGTAGAGAGTTTTGAGACTAGTGGCTTCCTTCCTTCCTGAAGTGGTAAATTGCTAGCGTCCCTCCCGAATTTGGCTCGCTTCCTTCCTCGAGGTTCGCGACTCGCGACTTGTACGTATCAACTTCTTCAATGATCATCCTCCACATTCTTTCCACATCGTCCACATCCATTCAAACAAAGCGCAAAAAACCTACGCGATGTTCAACGCAATGGCACCGAAGCCGAATGACGACCAGATCCCCAATCTCTGGTAGGAAGAACTGTGTTCCTTTGTTTACGAAGACTGACAACACGTAGCGGACCTCAAGAGATAGTCACGATTATCGTGTCGAATACCACGAATAAAGGTGATGCCCAGACATACCAGATCTACAGGGATGTTTTATGTCGCCAGTCCCCCTTCTTCGCCGGCGCATTCGAAGGCGAGACCTTGAAGGATGGAAGATTGTCTATCACTCTCGATGATGTTGGTCCCGAAGAATTTGGTATCTTCGTCCACTGGCTCCACTACAGAGTGATCCGAGGCAAGAGCAACGACTCGACGATTGCGATCTCAACCCTCATCAACCTCTGGATATTGGGCGACAGGTTCATGGTACCACAACTATGTAACGATGTCATGGATATCCTCTACCGCAAGTCGACGAGCGCGTTTTCTGCTGGCCACTACCTTGCTATGATCACAAGAAAGTGCGAGGCCTCAATCACACTTCGACAGTTCGCCGTGGATCTCTTTGTAGGATGTACGCGAGCTCAGTGTTCAGAGGATGTTCTCACTGCGCTTTCGAAGCAGCCAGATATGATGAAGGATGTGTTCAGAGGGATGAAGATGGTTCAAGAGATGCCTGGCCAGAAGTTCACCATGCCGCCAAAGACAAAGTACTATGTAAAGACAGGCAAAGAAGATAAGGAGAGACATCCTGTAGCTGCTCAAACTACCTTTTCGTTTGGAGGAGCACCTAGTTTGGCAGGAGAGAACGCTAGCACTCCGATGAACAGTCCACACTTCAGCTCCACGGCTAGGGGCTTTGGAATGTTCGGTGCGAGCGGTTCGACTGGGTCATTCGGCACTCGCCCGGAACCACGCAATCTTTTTGGTAGTGGCCCGATCAACTCGAGCAATTCCTCCTTCGGAGCACCTGCTGGCGCTCGCCACGTTTCTTCTGGGCCTTCTCGGAGCGCTGGCAGTCCAGCAACAGCTGGCGGGCTTTTTGGTGGTCCTAGGCCAGCAGCATCTGGTGGGCTTTTCGGTTCAACTCCAACACCACCCGTCGGAGGTCTGTTTGGCTCGACTCCAACACCATCGGTCGGGGGATTGTTCGGTTCGAATGCTGCTCCTCCTCCATACTCGGCAGCTCAGTCATCCGTCTCCATGCCTCCTCCCAATGCCACAAATGCCACATCTGGATCTACAGCTGCTGCACCTGGTCCAGTAGCTTCATCGACTCCAACCACCTCGGGCACGAGTGTAAAACCTGAAAATACATAGATAACGCCCACATTGCAAAGAGATCCTTTACGGGACTCACTCGAATACCATCTAGGAAGGATGAGTATTTTGTCGGAGGATAACAAGGACCGGATTATTGTAGAATAGGCTGGTATGTGCAGGATGTCCTAATTTGCATGGAAATCAACAGAAACGTCTCCCAGAGTCTTCTTGTTTTGTACAGATATACTTGCAATAGCGGATATATTTGTATCATAGAACCATCATCGAGCACTAGGTAGTCACTCACTAATAAATGAAGGAAGGTCTATTAAACCCCCAATAATCATGAAGATTTCATTGTGACCTGTCGTGAGATTTCCACTCAGCGCCACCCAATACATTTCCAACATTACTCATATCATTTCACATCGCCCCATCCACTCCACCCAAACTCATATTACTTCCCATCCCCACCCTTCCCCACAAAATCAAGCACCCTCCTCTTCCCAAAATCCCTCGCCTTCTTCCACTTACAATAAAGCACCACAGCATCCTTCAACACCACAAACAAACACCCCCCCACAATACTCCGTCCCCACTTCTCCCTCAACAGCCCCCTATACACGACCTCGGTCTTCCAGAACCCTCTACTAACTGTCGCTGGCGCAATCAATGAGTTTGGTAGTGCGTATTTAAGCAGCGTTCCCATGACGGATGATATAGCGGGGAAGAACAACGCACCGAGAACTCTTGTTGCCAGGGTCGGGAGGTCGATGTCGCGCTGGATGGCTAGGTTTTGGTTTCGAATTTGACCGTTTGGATTCGGATCGTTGGGTTGAGGAGCCACGCCCTCGTTTTCCTGGCCGTCGATCTGAGGCGGGTTTGGGTTTGGGTCTGGGTTTGGGAGCGGTTCCTCGACCCATTCCAGCTCGAAGATGGCGCGCGCGCCGCCGTCGTCGGCGTTCTGCGCGTCAGCGCGGTTCTGCGCGAAGATCTGCTCGGCGGTCTCGCCGGCGCGGGGGGCGCGCTGGACGGCGAGGTCCCAGGAGGTCTCGAGGCGCGCGAAGAGGGTGCTGTAGAGGGTGTTGTAGAGGGAGCGGATGTAGGGGAGCGTTGCGAGGGTGAGGCCGGGGGTTGGGGGCCAGGTTATGGTGCGGTGGGTGGGGTTTATTAGGTACTTGGGAGGGGGTTGTTAGTTGGGTTTGAAAGGGGAGAGGGGAGGGGGGAGGGGGGACATACGATTAGGAGGATGCTGAGGCCGTAGTCGGCTACTTTGGTGCGGAAGAGGATGAGGGCGGGAGCGATGAGAGGGACCGCGTAGTAGAGTGTCGGGTTCGAGTTCTCCATTACGGGTAGGAAGGGGTCCATTACTCGTAGGCCGGATCGGATGAGGGGGAGGTAGGGGCCCATGGGTCCTGGGTCTGCTTCTCGGAATCCGTTTCTGAGGATCTCCTGTGTTTCTTCTGCACCGAAGACTAATGTCATGGCGTTCATTCCATAGACCAAGAGTCCCGAGTAAGCAAACCCAATCGTAGCACTGGTAGCTGCGGGTACCATCGCCCATTTTGCTGCCCATTGTATGTTTTCCACGACGGCAACGAGGTAGTCTCTAGGACGCTGGATATTGATCTGTGCTTGGCATTGCGGACAGACGATCTTGTGGTTGTGAGCAAGCTCACCGGGTTTGGGGGCTTCTTCGTTGGCTATCCATTCTAGGAGACAGGAATCGTGAGCTGTGAGGGAACAGGGACAGGGTGTTCGCCAGACGTTGTTCTCGGGTGTGTCTTCGGTGTCATCTTGTTGGCAGATCCAGCATGTGCGGACTTCTGCTGGAGGGGTGGAAGTTTGTGAGGGAGTGAGAGTGGGCTTGTTTATATTGGTTTGTGAGGACGATGGAGGCTCGGCGGATTGAGGATTGTTTAGAGATCTTGGTTGGGTATCTGAGGAGGTGGGAGATTCAGAGGAGGTCTTCTCTTGAGATTGCGATGGAGAGGCTACATCATCTTGTGTTGTGTGGCGGGAGAGCCATCGTCGTCCTGTTTGAGGAGTTGAGGAAGCCATGATTGGAGCTGGCAAGTGAGTCGCGAATGAGGTTATCAAATGAAGAAGTACAATTATCGCATTGTATCGATGGTAGTTTCGCTATTAGATGTAGTAAGATATTATTATCTGTTTGCGTTGACGTCGGTCTTTGATGTCTGGCAGCGAACCGAGGCGCCTTGTCTGAGATCCAAACTCACCTGCGAATGGGAATGGAGCACATTCTCAGCCTTGTGGCTGGACGGATGTCTCAATGTCTTATGTGATATCAGACTATCATAATCGTTGGCTTCGCCGTTTGACCAGTCATCCGATATTCTTTTTTTCTCTTATCAAGACGTCATGCATGGTCTCTAGTGTCCGTTTTGTCGATGATATTTCTCGAATTGCTTCCTTTACGTCAATCTTGCTGCCGTCGCACCTCGTATCGTGAACCCCCTATTCCAGCATGCATCCAATCACAACAATGCGTCCGGATGGATATGCGGTGTTGCCAAGTACAAATTAGCTACTTAGGTACACCCTAATCATGGACGGGTGCGGTTTCCGGTGGTCTGGAAGTGTGACTGGGGGACGATCTCGCACAGCAGCAGTTCCTCTTATCTGGTACTGGTAAAGTTTAATCTGCAGCCTAAATTATCGTCTAAGGTTAAGCTCTGGACCCTCAATCTCTTCCTTCCTTCACTCTCCCACTCACCCACTCACTGTCTTTCTTCCCTCACTCCCCTCCCACTCCGAACATTGTCTCTCGGTGCGCCCCCTCAATCACCCCCATCAATGTGTCGCTTTAGGTAGTCGACGATGGTTCCTCGAAGACCTTCTCTTCTTCTCGTCCTCTTCCTCACCATCTTCGCCGCCATCGTTTTTGTCGCGCGATATGGCTCGAAAGATGGCGGACATTTTAGGAAGATCGACAGCATAATTGTAGGGTCCGGGGGAACGAAACCGACGCAGTCTGAATCAGCCTCATGTTCCGAGCATTTAGGCTGGCTGGAACCGTATCAATTCTCTTATCCGATCAAATATGTTGCGCGCGACATCGTCACCGTTCCCTCAGGGAAGCAAGAGAGACCGTCGGTGACCACAGTGGACGAACCTCTCTTCGATGATTTTGTCACGGTCGACTCCGCACAGTCGACGACCAACATCGCGAAATGTCTGCCGCCGCTGCAACTGCAGGTCGCCTCGAACAATATGGGCCCCGCAGATGCCTCGAACATGATTTTCGGACTGCAGACCACAATCGATCGGTTGAAGGACACGGTGAAGCACTTGGCGCGCTGGCTGCCAAATACCGGCGCGCGCCTCTATGCGATTGTGATTGAGACGGAAGAGATTCCAGCAGAAGATGGCGAGATGAAGAGACTCGAGAAGGATTTCGAAGCGCTTGGCATGAATGTTACGATTCTGCAACCGGTGCGACCCATCGATACGTTCCCGCAGCGGTATTTCTCCCTCGTGCCCATCATGTACGCTGCGCGCGACGAGAAGACTCAATGGGTGACGCTGATTGACGATGATACTTTCTTCCCGAGCTTGCACGATCTCCAGACCGAACTCGTGAAGTACGATGCGACGAAACCGCAGTATATAGGGTCGTTGAGCGAAGATTGGTGGGCTGTCAACCATTATAAACTGATGGGTTTTGGAGGCGCTGGAATAATTCTCTCGGTCCCAATGGCCAAGATAATCGACGACCACCTGGACAATTGCAAGGAGAACTTGAGAACTTCGGCTGGTGATATCACCGTGATGGATTGCATATACAGACACACCAGCACGAAATTGACCCACGTTCCCGGACTCCATCAAGTGGACATGCACGGTGATCTGGCCGGGTTCTACGAATCGGGAAGAGAAATGCTTTCCCTGCACCACTGGAAAGAAGGTTCAGCCGCAGGCTACAAGCTCGAAATGGAGAAAATGCATCTGGTAGCCGATATCTGCGACTCCTGCTTTCTCCAACGCTGGCAATTTCCCAAAGAGACCCTCCTCACAAACGGCTTCTCCATCAGCGTATACCCGCAAGGCCTCATCTCAGGCCAGAAACCCGGATTACTCGGCACGGGCGTCGGGGGCCCAAAAATCGAAAAGCTGAATCTGGAGCAGATGGAAGAAACGTGGGGAGGCGACATTGAGGTTATACATAGTCTGGCGCCTACGCGACCGAAGCTAGATGAGGAGGCGAAGGTAGGGTATAAGTTACTAGACAGCATGTTGGTACATAATGGCGCCGAGCCGGGGGCGGTTAGGCAGATATATTTTAAGGAGGGAGGCGAGAAGGAGGGTGGTGGGAAGGAGATGGATACTGTTATGGTGCTTAATTGGCGGAAGGGGGAGTGAAGCGAGGGGATAAAGAGGGGGAACGAAGAGGGGGAGGAGGAGACTTTGTAGATGTGAACTGGCTGGCGTTCTGGCGGCATTGGTGTGGTGGCTTTTCGTATCGGATCAGATGGATGGGATTGTACAAAATGCATGCATGAATGATGTGATGTGATGTGTTTATTGTTCCATAGCATAGCTAGCGTTTGCTGTATGTATGGAACGCATGGTACGTATAATGGATTGTCAATGTGTGATGAAATTTGTGCCATTGAAGTGCTCATTCATTAATATGGTGTAAAGCGTTTATTCTTGTATGCAATCCAATTCATCATCCAATGAGTAGCCAGCCCCTCAGCTCAATCGTTGATGATATCCTATCTTCGCACGGTATCCAGTCGTTAGAGGACAAGGCACGCTCAGTTTTAGGTACAGCAATCGTCTCTAAGGAAGGGCTGGTTGAGATGTGGGTCTATCCTAGAGTTAGATGCTATTAGTAGGACAAAGGGTAGTGTGGCCGGCTAGTAGCTTCTGACGGCATGAGGGCAGGAGGTTTGCGGTGATAGATGAGGGGAGGATGGGGGGGAGCTTGAGTCAGTAGTTAGTGGTTATTGTAGGATAGCAGAGAGGCACTGGACGTGATGGAAGTGGGGGGAGCTGATATGATAAGTCCTAGAGGGTAATGTAAGTAAAGTTTAATAGTGAGTGAGGGGAGAGTTGAGGATGAGAGTTCGTTGTGCTTCGTTGAGTTGTGGGGGAGTTGCGGCAGTTGTGGTGTTGAGTGGAGGTTGTATCTTGATGGTGTGTCGATAACGGTTAGGAGATATGAGGTTTCGTTGTAATGGGGAAGAGCAATTCGAGGGAGGGGTTGGAAGTGATCGTTTGGAGCTTTAGGGACGGCGGGGGGTTTGGTGATGACTGGTTTCGTTGATGCATGAAGGAGGAGCGATGTAAGTGTGTGATTGATTGATTGATTTCAGAAGAGACGGCTATGTTTGAGCTGCTGTCTTTAGAGCCTTGGAGAGAATGCGTTAGTACGGAGACTTGAGATATTTTTGTTTTTCGACAACGGCGGTATGAGAAAGAAATATGAGCGGTTGCTTGATTCGAGGGGCTGGTAGCTAATGGGTGTTTAAGACGGTTGTATCTTGCTGATCTGGAGAGATAACAATTGATTGAAGGAGTTGAGACTTTGGCTAATGGCCGGAGAGAGGATGAAGTAAAGAAAGGCGGAAGTAGATGTTAAACAAGATTGTGAAATGGTGGGTGTGGTGCTTCAACAGCTGTATATCGGTAATCCTGGGGAATGGTGGTTAATTCGAAGATCTGACATTTTGTTGCATTTCGTCAAAGTTCGGAGGTGGAGGAATCGATGTGAGTGAGGAGAGCTGACGGCCGTATGTGGGTAGTCCACGGAGTCTGGAGTAACAGAGGTTCGTGTTTGTTGTGCTCTGTTGATTGTCGGAGGTGGGGTAATGAACAAGCTGACATATGTTGAACAGCCGCATTTAGCTATTCCGCGGAGCCTGGAGTTATTGAGGTAAACTTTGTTGCATTTCATCAAATCTCGGAGCCGGAACAAATGATCAAGCTGGCAGAGGTTGAACGGCCGTAGGTGTCTAGATGAGGAAGTTAGCAAGTTTTTGGTATCATTCCCTTTGGAGAATTGATATTTGTTGCACTTCGATAATAATCGGAGATGGAGGAACTGCACGAAATCATGGCCTCAAACGGCCGTATGATATCTGAGCCGGGGGAACAGGAGAGATTCTTGACGGAAGATTGAGAAGTTGAGTATTTGTTGCATTTCGTCCAAATCACGGAGATGGACCAATTCAGTAATCTGACAAGTCGGAGTGGCCGCTTGTCTGGGTTCTTGACATAAACATCAGGTCTTGAAAGGGCAGGAGAGATGCGTTTCCACAGAAGTTCAACCTTTGTTGCACATCGTCGACGGCCGGCAGGACCGACTCAACAAATGGCCTGGCAAGTTGACACGGCTTGAACGGCCGTACGGTGATTAGGCTCGGGAAGTGGTCGATTCTGGCAAATCAATTACTTCGAGGTACTTTGAATCTTGAAATTTGTTGCGTTTCGTCAAATAACGGAGGAGGAGTAACTCATTGAGATGCCAAGGCGGGGTGGCCGTAAGTGAATCTGGACCTGGCGAATTGCATGGTTCTTGACATAAGAATTGGGTATTGAATGGCGAGAAAGTAGATCTAGAGAGATTTATTGCGTTGTCATGGACAGCTGGGTGGAGTAGTTCAACTAAACTCCGTGAGCTGACAGACGTTCAACGGCCGTACAGGACGGATCTGGAGATTTTTGACTTGATCTCAGAGCTTTTGTTGCATGTCGTCGACCGCCGAGAAGGAGAAATAGATTGAGCTGACAATCAGCACACGGCCGTTATCTGGAGAACTTCCAGGTAATTCCCCTTCTCGGCATATTTGTTGCACATCGTCAACGGCCGGACCAGGACGAACGTCGAAAGAAAGCGCATCATGAACGGCCGTGAAGTACCGTGAGCATTCGAAAATCCACCGAAGAACGCGGGGCTCCGCTCTCCGCCTCGAAATCACGAGACAGCGATCTCACCTCACTCACACCATATTCTCCGCCAGATGGAAATTGTGACGGACCGTTCCGTGCCTGTACAGCCGTCTGAAAGTAGCTCTCCTGACACATCTCAGCGAGAGTCCGATGATCGTCCGCGGAAAGAGGGAGAAATCAACATCCGCCGGATACCCTCGGCTTTTTGCGAAGTGCAACAAAAGTTTCAAATTGAGGAGAATAGGATGGTGTAAGACTATTGTGAGCTGACGTTGTGGGTTGCTTGTGGAAGAATGTTTGGGAGGCGGGAAAAAGATTTGGAGATGGCGTGACAGGGAGAGGCACGTGACTGGAGCCAGAACGGCGGGGACTGCAGAGAGAGATGAGAGGATTCCCTGATTCTTTTTGGAGAATTGATCATCCGTATTATTCCTACCAAGGAACCCAGCCCCATGCCGATCACACCATGTCATCTGTACCCCTTTGTCCTTCTCAGCGCCAAGTTCTCATTCCACAACTCTTTCCAAATTCTCCATTGACTTGTGCCACAAGTGTTCATAGTTGAGTGTCAAAGAGCGGTGTGTAGGATGTTGATTTGTTGATGTTCATACTTTGTTTTGCACCGTCACATATATGTCTTGCCAAGAGTTCCCTTTAAGATTTGGCCTTCAACGAGAAGATGAAGTGCTATATACCTAGTTGTGAAGGGGCTTTTCAAAAGGACAATTGGCGTTCTCGAGGGTGAGTCCACCCCTTTTAATTGTTCAAAGCGTAAACAGTCTCATGTTATGTTGATAATATCTAGTACTGCTATTGCGGCACAAACGCTCCCAATGGCGAGGTCACCGCTGCAAATCATCCGAGTTTACTACAGTTGTTTCAAGAAACATGCAGGTTGTCTTTTCGACTCTAATAATTTCCACAGTGCCCGAAGAGACTGACTACTGAACTATCCTGAGTGTCTCGACCGGCCCTATTTGGAATGAACTACAATGGACGGCAGGTTGAACGACGCAAGACATCCACACAATTGTCTCAATGCAACAATGCTTTACGACGAAAGACATGAATAACAAATTCTAGGGTAACTTTTCACTTGACTCATAGAGGTTAGCATTGTATCCCGGCTCTATTTTCCTTTCATGTGCATATCTGGCTTCAGCAATGGCAGCATTCAATCGAGTTGAGGTATTGCTTTTTGCAGCAATGGCTCTATGTATTTAATTAAAGATACTGCTTTTCTCTCTTCTGGTAACAATTCTACTATCTCTTTCCTTTGGCAGCGATATCAATTCCACACCTCGCCTCCTTAGATTCGTCAACCCGAGAGACACTTCCACGATGACAGCTATAACGCCTGCCACTCAGGCTGAGCTCCTCACCAAATTATCATCGAATGCACTTGGTACAGCTCCACCAATCCTCCCAAGTGGTACCGTGTCTCTGTTTCTGGATGGTAGTTGGACCAGTCGAAGACTCGACCTTCAAATCAATGACTACCTACCATACCAACGCCAAAGGATTCAATCTTCCATGGGCAACCAAGTAGCTTTTGTTGCATTCAACCTACCTGTTGGTGTGGTCATGACTCTTACGAACAATTACATACCCCTCGTCCCAACGAGAATGGGCCCCGACCTCGTTTCTGCAGGGATCGACCTGCATCGACTTGGTTGGCACCGGCATCACGCAGGGGGCGAATCTCACAACCAATGAGAAGCGCGAAGATATATCTTCCTTCTTCTGGCGCGAGGTGGATTTGCTCATGGGCGCAATCGAGCTCTTTTCCGACACCCAGTTCAATGGTCGCCGCTCGACTATCTTCCTAAGCGAATGGCCAGCAAGAGTGGTCTTCAATCTTGATGAATGGTTGCTAGAAAGCCTAGTCAGCTCTGTACGCTAGCTCACGCTGAATGATCGTCAGACGGTTGTACTCTATGAAAATGTCGACGGCACCGGAATCCAATTCACCAATATTAAAGGTTGGGGCAATACCAAACAAATTGCCAGCTTGAGCGATTTTTGCTTTGACAATAAAATGAGTAGCTTCCGATGGGACTCCATTCTGCCGGTGAAAGAGATTATCCAACCGTTCGTTGTGACGCCAGATGTCGTAGCTGAATTTCAGTTTCGATCAGACTGGGGAGAATGCAAGCAGCTTGGGTCTCCCTATAGTACTCCAGCTGTCAGAGGCAGATGCGCAGACAGTGACAGCTACGACCACCGACCAATTCGTGGTGGGCCTCAGTCTATCCGTTGGCGCCGAGTTCCAAGCGTCTGCTTTTGTGGCCTCGACGAAGGAAACAATCTCAGTGTCGGTCAACTTCTCATACACACGCACGAACACCGTCACCAGAACCGACACCAAGACCATCGCCTTGTCCATAACCGAAACTGTCACTGTGCCGCCGAATAAAAGATATGCCGCTTCATTGAGAGCTGATATTCGACAAATTCCAGCAACCCACTATACCACCACAGCACAGCGCTGGTATACCACCCAACTCAGCGGCTCTGAGCTCGACACTACTAATGGATGGTACAAGAGGACTGAGCCCATGACTGTGCTGGTAGAAGGGAGTCTCGCTTGCAATATTTGAAGCAGGGTCAAGACTAAAGATCTTTAATCTCTGACCATCCTTTGAAAGGAATCTACAACTTGTGTGTACCTGGCAATTTGTCAACACTGTAGTCACTGCTGTGCATTTCCTTGCGACATCCATTTATATGGCTTCATGTTTTGGTCTGAGATCTAGAAAGTACGCGGAGATTCGTAAAGAAGTCACATGTCCCGGTTGTAGATGTTAAGATGAAAAATATCGTAGCTTCTTTGACTACTTCTTTTCGGATCCTGAACTTTACCCGTGAAAACTATACCTTGATCCAAACATTCAAAGCATAGATATAGGCAGGGGATGTACCAGAAGAGCGAGGCGTCTAAAGATCAGAGTGAATTCGTATGAAGTTGTATTCCGTGACTTCACAGTCCTGATTCTAAGTACTGGCGAGCTTTCATAGATACTCGAGCAGAAGCTAGTGTCACATGAGTAGTGGTCTTACAAATCCCATGAAAGTCCAGTTCATACCCTTGTTATATTTGTATTGAGTCCCAGCCAAGAATTTGGCTAGATTTGGTTGAAATGATGTCGATGATGACATCAATGGAACCAGTGCTAATTCAGGTGCGATGGGTCTCTCGAATGGCCGCCCTCAAACAACCCCCAGTTTCTGCTATTTCCGACTGCAGTGGATGCCACGCCACCAACAAGCAAGAATAGCAACATCCAACGTCCAACCACCATGAAAAGGGTGTGGCCGCATGTTCTACAGTATAAGCAACTCCAACTCACGCAACCTCCGAGATAACGATTTTCTCCCGTCACACTCAACAAGTTGAATTCGGACAAGAATCAAAGCAATGGCGAACATTATGCGTACCGACACACGTGATGCAGTTAAAAGATCACCTTCTCCATCAATAGAATCTTTGGGTTTTGACATTCTCACGTTGGTGTTCGAGGAGGTACTATCGACTTCTTTATATCTGTCATTACATGTTAACCAATGTTCAGATATACGATTCAGCACCACAAGAGCTATGGGCCCTCGGAAAGCTGTCCAGAATGCTGCATAATGCCACTGCTCCATTTCGATATCGCTCAATCAATCTTCGACCGAGCATGGTCGACCCAGCGTTGGTTGATCTCTGGGCCCAAATTCATGTGTATACCAGGCATGTGATCGTCGATCGTGAACTAGATTGGGAAAGTGCTCTTGATTTGCTTTCAGGTTGTCAACGGATTGCTAGGATCGAGTAATGTTCCCATATAACTATTAGCATTCCTGTGGTCATATCCAGCTAATGACAACTAGTTGGTCTTGGTGGGAAGGGCGACATGATAAGCAACGTCTAATTCCGAAAATGATAAGTGATTCCATCCGAGATCTATGGACGCATGCAGACCTTCACATTATCAACTACCCTTGGCCAACCAGACTCTTTAACCCTCAGTCGACGACTATTCCATATGAGAATGTTACATACATCTCAACTGGTTGTTTGGAAAATGGAACAGATCAAGAGATTCTTGCCCGGATGGTTGCAGCATCGCCACGTTTAGAAACGCTCGTTTTGAACGGAAAGAGGCTTAATTGGGCCAACATGTCTTTTAAAGTTCCTCCCATCAAGCACCTCACTCTCAAAGACTGTCTCTGGTGTTACACTTCTGCGGAACTTGAAAGTTTGTGGGACTTTACATGCTTGCAATCCCTTGTCCTCACTGAAGGCGGCTTTTCCGGCTTTTTAAAAATCCTGCCCCAGAACCGGTTTCCAAGTCTCAGCAGACTTGTCGTCAAACGCGTTTACGCATGGGACTCTGATGTCACCCATGAAATCAATCAAATCATCGCCGGAACCCACTATCTCGAAGAGATTGAAGTAGTATGCCACTTACCAGACCTAGCACTTGATTCAATCATGAAACAGGGAGCGAATTTGAGAGTTCTAAAGATAAATGGCTTCGCAAGCTTCGCTATTAGTGGATCGTATCCTACAATCTCTGTCTCGGAGCTCAGCAAACTTCGGGATAGCTGCAAAGGCTTGAAGGAGCTTTCATTGGACCTGGATTCAAACATCTGCGATGTAAGTTCATCCACCACGTGCGGCTCAAAGAACTTCAAGCTGAGAGTTCTTAGCCATATGACTTCATCGAGGTTCTGTCGTCGATGAGAAGTCTGCAGCATATACTAATCTGCATGCACACACTTTTGACAGAATTTGAACAGTATGCAGACGGGGATGACATCGACTTTGCAGCCGCAAAAGATTTGGCAACCTGTTGCTCGTCGCATAAAGTTGGACTCCCAATTCATCAACTAGCTATGGACATTGGTGGATATCGGTTGCTTTCTTCTGGGCACATATCAAGAGCATGGGATAATCAGCGAAAGAGGGGACACTTCCCGGAACGGTTATTCACCTTCTCATGGAGCGAACACGGGCACTGTCAGATCGAAAGTCGGAAGAAGATGGTTGATTCCTCTCGCTACCTCTTTTACGGCCGTAATTAGATCCTAGCGGACCTAGCATGGCGCGTCTCAAATATCAAGCATCAGACTTGAATGTGTCTCGAAATATTTGCGCAGGGGCTAGCTCGAGATCATACCAGCTTTGAGTTTCTCTTCATCAGCCTAAAGATTGCTATAGCTTAATCGTGCAAAGCTTTATGCCAGCCTTGATCCCAAATCCATTTTTTTCATGATCCAATCCCTTGACTTCCGTCTTCAGTCGCCATGAAGGACCGGAAGGTGAAGAATCGGAAAGTCAAGGTATTCGGCATGTGCCGTCTGACCAGTCGTACATGTACAGATAGCTCGCGAGCGCGAGGAGAACATAATTGTCTGCATTTATCGTGGCCAGTCTGCTGCCACCTAGAAATGAACACTCTGGGAAACCATAACACATTCCACCTCTGTTGTTTTTCACATCGATGACGCCTTCGGGAAAGAAAACTGGCATTCTTAGTAATCTCTGGAAGATTCAACTAGACTTCTGCTTACTGGAGGCCCCCACAAGATGCGTGTATTCATGAAAAAATGTCCAGGTTAAACTGTCGAGGTCGCCTATTGGGAATGGTGGGATTCGCGTTGGATCTGCTAGTTGCTGGGGAATTGTCACTGGATGACCAGCCTTCCAAACACTGGGGCAGAAGGTGATAACATTCAGCCCTCTGTTTGTAATGGCATCCGAAAGATCGTGATCTTCCGCATCAGGGCCGCACAAACCTAGGGTAGGATCGAACATTCCCCCCGAAGGAATTGCTCTGGTCACGAATCCGACGGGATCTACGTATCTTGCTTGATTTGTGTCAGTTATTTCCAAAGTGGTAGGTCAACTTGATTGTCTATAACGTACGTCCGTTGGCGAATTTGATCTGTGTAACTTTTCCTTCGTCGTCTCGCTGATATTCTTCTGTTTGCCACCAAGAGGAGTCGCAATACAGTCGAGTCGTCCTATATGCAGGATTTAGCCGCCAAATAAGCTCTCCTGAACCATGCCATCCGATGAGCACCATTAAGCCTACGTGTTGTCAGTTGGTATTGCTTCACTGTTTGGCGCCCTGTGTCCGACGTCATTCGGTTTCACTTCAGCTCTTGAAACTTGAAAGAATGAACTATGGTTGAAATTCGATTACCTCTCATGTACTGCAAGCTCAATTGTTGGTCTTTTTCTCGATCTTCGGGAGATCTCCCACCAGCGTACGTTTCATCATCGTACGGTCCGCCATTGATTATATAATTGCTCGGCGCTATTCCAAATATCTCCCAGAGCATGTCCCCAACCTGATTATAATTCGTCCTTCCTTCAATTTCGTTGGTGAGGTAGACGTAAAGTGAGGAGGCCATCGTTATGGCCTCCTTGAATGCTGTTTCGAGTGCCTGTTGCTGATATGGCGTACACCCCCCCTTCGAAACATCAGTGGTTGGGAAGTTAAATACATTGCTGAACTGCGTCTTTACCACCTGCGGAGCTGGGCCAACTGGTGGGAAATAATCGGGGATGTAAGCGTTGGGAGCCGGTCCATATCCAGCGATCTGATTGAGGTCGTCGTCGTTTGTTCGTACACCAAGTAGGAGTAAGTGAAGAACCAAAAGTATTTTGTGCACTGGTATCATTTTGTTAGATAAATAGAAGGAGGGAACTTGGGTGATGATGAAGTGAGTCAAGTGATATTATCTCTTTTGGCTTTTGTGAGAATTGGGTCTTATAGATATGCTCTCAACACAAGATCCAAGCAGATCTGGCAACCTGTCGTTCCCCTTTCAAAAAAGTCCAACAATTGTTGCTTCCCCAAAAAGACATCTTCTGGGTCTTCTATTTGGTGTTGGTTGTAAGCCCAAGCAAAGATCTATTATTGCTTTGGCAAGGTCACCACGATGGGGCAAAACTTGGGCCATGGTTCCTTCCAAAATGTTGACAATGGGTGCCGAATCCTGGGTTGCTGTACTCATGAGGCATTCCGCCATGACCAGAATTCCTGTGCCCTTTTCAGACTTCCAAGAATGGAATGCGACATATAAAAGGTTACGGAACTGGATAATCCGGCTCCATCGGCCTCAAAAGTAGCCAGCTATGTTGTACATTTACTAGGGCGATGCAGATGCAAGAAGTGGTCGCGTGAATGTAGCCCGTTTCATATCATCTGACCAACGTTCCAACACTATTTCTTAGCCGCCCAAATCCACAGTTGCCCTGGCCCAGATACCAGGTTGTCGGTATTCAGATGCTATATGTGTGTCTTATGCGACCTTCTCATGGTACTTTACAACGGACTGGAAGATACGTGTTCATGGTTTATTGCGTACGCATAGGTCTTTGGGCGAAAAGGATGCACGACCGCTGCAACGACCATAAACAACGGCTTGGCTATTTGTAATTGCTAAATAAGTACATTATGTTGAGACGATCTAAAATTAATTATAGGTAGTTCATATCAAGTACAGACTCCAATCCAGGAAAAGAATAGACTCGAACCTTTCATATTTATATGTCTCTGCGTCTTTGCAGCAACTTAATAGCTACTGAGGTCCATCTACACTCATACCTTTTTAGCAAAATGAATTTTTTCACCTCTTTATGTTTTCTTGTTCTGCTTGTCCGTGTCACGGCAACAACTGTAGCTTCCGACACGGCTTTCATTATTCCGCAAGGATTCAGCTCAACATTATCTGGCCTTTCTACATCTTGCGCAAACATGAGTTATTCGTCAATAGCCGTGTCCAGTCACTCGGCAGCTGGCATCAGCCATACCACTGCCCAAACACTCGTGTCAACCATTAGCCGTAGTGGTACATTGGTATCGTATTTCCCCCATTTCAATAACGCAGGCACTACTGGATCCTCCAGTTACAATTCCACTTCAACCTTGCCTTCTGCCACGGAGAGTACGGCAGAGTCAGGTGCGCCCACATCTTCCTTGTCAACTATATCTCAACAGTCTGGCGCATCTCAACAGTTCACCATGTCAGCGCGGGTCCCTACATCTCAGAAATCGATTACTTCTTACCAGTCCGTTACAGTGCAGCCACTTGCTACGTCTGATACACTCCCGTCCGCATCTGGAGAGTCCGGTCTATTTGGGGATCCCAATACGTTGCAACATTTTACAACGTCACAGCAATACGATTTCACTGCTCAAACTCAACTCGGAACTATACCTGGAGAAAGTGGATCACCGAATCAGACTTCAATGGCCCAAAGTCCAAGTTATTCTAGCACACTGTCCAACACAACCAGCATCACTTCAACACAAGCACACTCTCTTCCTGTCTCTACATCAATTGCTTCTGGCATTGCGTCGATATATTCACCAACACCATTATCATCTCAGGCCGCCCTTACATCTACACTGTCATCTGATAGTGGCAGTATTGGACTTGCAACCAGTGTGCAAGGCGGTGGAGGAGGCGCAGTAGGAGGAGCGGGAAGCAACAATGGCCAGGGAGGAAGTCAATCCGGGGGTAGCGGGAGCCGTGGAGGTGGTGGAGCTGGGAATAACAACAGTGGGCAAGGTGGTGGAGACAATAGCAATGGCAATGGTGACGATGACGGAGACGACAACAATTCGCAAACAGAACCAACAGGCTCTCAAACATCCAAGGCCACATCTTCACCACAGTCTTCAATGTCAACTTCGTTTCCAACGTCATCGCCATCTTCCCAATGCTCTACTCAGAGTGCTTCCTCTTGTCAAAATATCTGCACAACACCATCTGGAGTCACGACATTAACCTGCACCCAGACCTGCCAGACTTCTCTAGGTTGCGATATCACCAACAGAGTATCTACCACCACACAGAGCTGCACATCGTTCCTACCTTATCTTACAGCCTGTGAAATCACCATCGGTGCCACTGGCCCAGCAAACTGCTCAACATACAGTCCTGCATGTGCCCCAACAGTTTCAACTTCCCCCGGGCCTTCAGCATACAACGATGACTCGACAGCTACAGTATGGACCGTCACTGTGGTTACAGATTTCCTCATCGATCCGACTGAGTCTGTCAATTCTGCTGAAGTATACTCGGTTATGCAAATGATTGATAATCAGCAGAAGACTTTTCGCATGCCAAAGACGATGCGTACAGCGACATACTCAGAGTCTCCAAGTCTGCAACCTTCCCAAGGCGCAGCCTCTTATGGTGCTTCAAATAATTCGATTTGGAATGTTCCAAGCTCAGAACCTGCGGGTTATGATGGCACCACTAACTGGTGGAACTCGATTGCTGGAAATACTGTTTTACCTTCCTATACCATCTTCCCTTCGAGCAATATCTCTTCAACAGAGTCAGTATGGGCTCAATCAAACACAGCATCCAGTCAGGACTATACAACTAATTCAAGTCTTCCTGCTTCATCAAGCTCGGGTAGCATAACAAATACGACCGCATTGCCACTTGCTTCAATAACATCCACCATAGTTTCGCCAACCCCTAACTCTTCGATGCAGTCTGCACAGACGAGCATTCCTTTGTCTTCTGTTCCGACCGCTTCAGCATCTGCTACGCCCACACCCACAGCAACGTTTGTGCCCAAGATCATATCTCCAGAATTTCCACCACCGCCTTCGCGCTCACCGCCGCCAGCCACAACCACAGCAACTTATCCCCCACTGACAGCAAGCCAAGTTGACTGTCCTCCAATAGGATGCGTAGGCATTCCTCGCTCTGAAGCTCTGCACTACATCTCCACTTTCTGCGAGACATCGGCAACAATAAACTCCCTGACCCCTACCTACTCCCTTGAGTATACCTTTACAGGCACAGGCATAGCACCCGCTCCTACTGGAAAGTTGGCAGCGGTGTTGAATATTGGCATTGGCTTTGATCCAAACCCCGCTTGTATGATGGCAACTAATACAATCAACCCGTCGCAATCGGACGATAAAAACCTAGGCGCGATTGGTCTCTCAATCGACGAGAACTGTGTGGTGATGTTGCAGAGTGCATTGGATGATTGTGAGTTTTTCTCTTTCTTTTTCTAATGAGTTGAAAGCGACGGACAGTGCTAACAGCAGTTAGGTGAGACGGATGAGACGGATGCGAAGTTGGGCGGGATTCTGACAGTGAATTGTTTACAGTGGGATGTGATTGTGGGGAATGGATTGAATAATTGTAACTGAGAGATCTTGGTGCTTCTCAAAACTTATGGATTAAAGTACCTGCCAGCTCTGTAGCTTCAGGATTTCAAAACTATTCGCATTTAAGAGTTACAGTATTTAAAACTCGCATCTTTCAAGGCCAAATCTTGTAGCATCGAATCTCCTGAGAACTTAAATGGGGGAAAGACTGAAGGCCCGTCGGCTAGTGCATAGAAGTAAATCTGCTTCCCTAAATGCATGCGTACTCCAAATGAATGATAGATCTCAGTCTATAATCTTAATAGGTCTCTTACATGAAACTACTTTGGAGTCCCCGTCTCTTTTGAGTAACATGCTCTGGCTTTTATGGCTGACAGCAAAAGTAAACTTGCGAAGTTCCAAACGCGATTGGAGAACATTCCCCAGACTGCCCTCCGTCCACTGGCGAATAACAGCTGCCGTAAACCTTGAAATCCGATGTTACGATCGAAGCCACAGTGAAGCCATCACTGTCGCAAAAGACCTCAGTACCGCCAGTGTATTGTGATGTACAGATGTTGGCATTAGAGCTTCCCTGATTGCTTGAATCTTGAGTATCGCAGCTGCCAGGCGAATATATGACCGCGACAGATGACTCGTAAGTAGAGCCGGTACCAGGAGTTCCCACTATTAACATATCAGTATACACGATGTACGGAGATCTAAAAGCCGAGGAGCTCAACCCAGGAGTTAAAATTACATTCCTTTTGGAGAATAGCTCTTGAGAAGAGTACTGAAGGCATCTCCTCGAACAAACAAAAACAAAGGGCAGAATCTGACATACCATTACATAGTTGTTCAATCCCGACACCAATATCGCCGGCGTTACAGGGTGTAGCAGTGGCCCCGAGTGGGCTGAGAGTCACTATAAATACATGAATATGAGATTTTATAAGAAAATTTATAGATAAGGGGCTCATTCGAGGAGTTGCAACGCATCTTCTTTGATGGGCAACTCTCGAGGAAAGTCCCAAAGATCTCGGTTCTTAGGATAATTACAGAATAAAGGCAGAACTTCACATACCGAAGAAGGCCATTTGCAAGGCAGTTGTGAAAGAATTAGCGAGCTTCATTTTTGCGACCTGTTCTATGGCAATGGAGTTGGAAGATGCTGCGAAAGAGGAATTTCGATGCTGAAATCGATGTTTGATAAAGCGATCCCGAAGTATTTGAGGAGGATCGTCACCATCTTATATACCTGACAATTTCTCATGTAGTTCGAAGTAGACGAGGACTCCGTCGAGGGGCAAGTGATTAATTGGTAATCTTCGTCTCGCCCGGCACGAACTTCCACTTTCTTTGAGCTCGAGTTTTCAACGCTGGTGCAAGCGAAAGAACGTCATTGGCTTTTGAACACGATTTATCAGAGCCATTGATCAAACAAGAGGAATAGGAAGCTCACTTGGTCTTTACAACAAGGGAGAGAAAGCGAGATTGGAAGATCCCACTACCCTCGTCTGCTATTCAAAGAAGTAGGTTCTGGCTGACCTAGAATCACGGTACTACCAACATGAGGATACAAAAGAAAACAAAATGAAAAGCACCTTCTACAAATAGAATAGTAAGGAGCGATCACAACGTACATACTAACGTAACGAAAGCTCAAATATAATTCGATACATGAGTGCGAAGCTTCCAGGACGAGAAAACATTTTTAGACGATGAACTTTGCTTCGGTATGAGTGGTCCTTTTGTGCGATACGCTTGTTTTCACCCTTGCAATACAATTAGGCTTGTGCACAGGGATAGTCTATTACGAATAGAAACATGAACAGCAATCAAAATTTTACAACGAATAAACTTTTATTGACAATGATCTTTTATGCCTTGTCATCCTAACAATTGGCAAGGGAATGTCTAGCGAGAGACTTGGCGGAAGATGAAACTGAATTTTAACCAAGGTGAGATGGAGGACTATTGCATGGTCCGTGATAATAATAATAATGCAGTTGTAACTACTAGATAAGTGGTAAATTATCTCTTCTTTAATATCAGTTACACTGTCGCAGCTCTCTGTCTGGATTTACAAGAGAGCAGTGAAAGGATATGTTGCAATGATGTCAGGCAGAAAGGTCAGCAGAAATCGGCTGCTAAACATTTACCCGATGCAGCCCCTTTTCACCCTTGACCGCTCGCTTAGCTCACCAAGGTTCGTGCGATGTGCAACAATTGTTGCAAAATCGACATCAGATTCGTGACTTCGTTCGGAAATCAGAAGATCGAAGTGGAGTTCAAAAAGTTGGAAGCCGAAATCAATCTAATTTCAGCAGCAAGCAAGCTTGGCACTTATACCTGCTCTGCTTTTTTCACGATATGTGTCAAAGCCTGGCTACCTCATCTTCGGCCTTATCTCTCTCTCGGATGTCCCAATCTAGAAACGGCAATGCTTGACCATGATATGACTTTCAAAGACTGGTGCGCAAGAAGGGGTTTGATTCTCATGTAGCCTCAAATTTATCAATGATCTTGAACCTCAAAGCACAGATCAACAACCACAACACTTTCAAATCAGGATCAACAATAAACCCGAACCATTTCCGCACGCTCGACTTGTTCTTGAATCTAGAGTATCAATAACCGACATCTTGTTCATCCAGTCTTTATCGCATATATTCTTCAACTATCACGTTAGACGACTGGAGTATATGCCGTGATCGCTAGACCGATCGTGACATCCAACGAGTTCTTCTGGGATGTGAAAGGTGCCGCGACATCTGGCACGAGGTCAACCAGGTTGAATGCGATGGTCTGCATAAAAGGCACTGTATTAGCATTGTGCTTTTATCATTGCGGGCAGAGTGATTATTCTCACATCAACAACAGCCTCGAGGCTTCTTAGCACTTGGGCAACTGGAGGACCGATCAGGGGAAGGTCATTCAAAATGCCGGATTTACCGATCAAGATGTTGAGGAGTTCTTGATGAACCGTCACGAACTATGGCTAGGTGTCAACGATGCATTACGCATGGCATCTTTGGGTGGAAACATACAGTGGTGAAAGCATCAAGAATGGACTGTTCATCTGACAACACAGAGAAAGGTTGGGTTCCCTGAAGTTCTGTGTCAGTTGATATCTAGTAGATTAAGAGTATCTCGGAAGACTTACAGCCATTGCTGTGATATCATTGGTCACGGTATTGACGATCTGGGTAAATCCAATGACGATTTGCTACGTACAATTCAGCAAATACCATTTTCAAATGGAAGGCAAATATAACAGGGAAGGGTCCTTGACCAATCAGGAAGAGTGGACCACTGAGGATGTTGATAGAGTTGGCTGGTGCTTGCAATGCCTGAGACTGTCCTGTAATAATGTTGATGTTGGCAACAATCTGATGGGCAGTCATTTGTGCCATTCCGGTAGAGGTGAAAAGAGCAGCAGATGATACAGCTGAGAGGATCTTAGTGAAATGCATCTTGAAGAATTTGAAGAATTTGCCTGGTGCTCAGAAAAGGTGATTCTGTAACTGAAGGAAGGATGTTGAGTGGTGAAGGAGATGCTACTGCTGTTGAAGATGGTGATGAAGCATGTAATGTTAATTAGGGGAAGATCAAAGCTTTATATACTCGAGACGGAACTTGACAGTCATGAGGTAGTTTTCACAAACACCAATGAAATGAGGAAGTCTGGACAGCTGAATACTTTCATCCCTAGCTGCGCATACAATGCAATGCATTCATATCCACTCAACTCAGATGAAATGATAGCTGAAGCTACAAATTTGGAAAGATGATCAGTTGTTGGATTGGAGCTATGTACAACACATTTCAAAGCTCAATCTGGTTGATTTGCTATGAAGCGAGCAAAACAAAATTTATTTTAGCGGTCATTTTAATTAATGAAGCAGATTATCAAACTACATGTAGCGGTAATTCTCGATAGACGACAGCCTCGAAGCTTCAATGTTCAGTGGGGATGAGGTGTGTAGGTCCGGGGATCTCTCCGCATTGGCTTCTCAACCATGCAAGGAAAAGAACTCGGGAAGAAAAAAAAAAAATATGTGTAGATCCATTCCAGGTCAACAAGCTGAGCGGTTACACGACGGGGAGTGCAGGAGTGAAATGATCATCAGCGGCTCAAGCCTAGGACAAAGTGGCGGCGCCTTTGGCGTCTAGGTTCCAAAGCGGGAAACGCTTACAAGGAACCACTGGTGAAATGTCCGAACGCTACAGCGGCTGTTCTGATTCCCGAGACAATGCTCATAATGATCCCTTGGCCCCCGCAATTCTGTTTCTGGATATGATCGAGAGCCGCCTCCTAATCGAGCCGCCGGGGGCTAAGTCTCAAAACATATCCCTCTGGTTTACCCTTGTTTTTTGCGCAGATGAATACCGTACCAGCCACATATCGCACAGCAGAATCTGATATCTGCATGGCGATACGGAGTACACAGATACAAGAGACTTGCTATGACAACGATGCAGCGTCTTATCTACTCCGTCTTTAACCTCTGACCTGAAGGTTATTCGGTCTCCAATGAAACGAAAGACGCTGTAGATCTTAACTGTATGAGAAAGCCGGCATATGAGACAAGACACCTGGTGAGACATTGCGGCTTTAGATAGTGGGGTAATCTTAAAACAAATTTCAACTGATGACACTTATGAACTTGTCAAGATACAATATACACCTGCACCTGGCCATCAGCACCGAGTTCTCTGTCTCCAATAGGAACTCAGTATACCAACAACCTCCCTCATACAGCGACTTGCTGTTCATTCCGGATCGGTCTAGCTCGCTCGATATCCACATCCCCTCCAACCATATTTGGTCCATGGCCACCTTTGATGTTGTCATCGAAGTATCCTAAAACATAAATTAGCCTTGTCATTTATCGCTTTTGGATCTTCAAGTCCAATAAATGACTTACCGAAGAACCCATCTTGACCATTGCCCTTCCATCTACTCCTGACTTCGAACTCCTTGCTGAAAATCAAGAAGGGGTGGTTTGTAACTTCCTTGCCATGATGAGTTTGCCATTTTCTCTCAATCCACACAATCCAAATGTACGTTGCATATATGGAACCAGGGATAAAGCCGAGAATGGTGAGGACCACGTTGATCCAGAAATCCACGCCAAATCCTTCGGTGAACCAAACGGAAACAGGAGGGAGGAAGAAAGAGAGGATAAATGCGAGTATTTGAGGGAATGAGTATTTGCGCATCGTGAAGTGAGGCTGAGTTCTTAGAGAGAGGGATATGGTGAAGCGAGAATCGATGCACCTCATGGGAAACAGGACGATGTCGTTATTTTATCGGACTATCATCAAGTGATGTCATCTACTATCTTCTGGATGTATCTCTCGAAACCAGTTTGTTGAAGTTGTGCGACGCGTAATTCTACACGTGGTGTTTGACGCCGTCGTTATTGGACACGATGGCGTCTAGAATCTCGGCAGTTCGCGCAGTTCGCGCAATCTGCGCCAGAAGCTCGGCACTCTCGGAAGGCTGATTTCAGGGGCTTTAGCGACGGAGCCTAATTCGTATGATAGCTTCACACTTAATCCATTATCTATGATCTCTACGTCAATGAAACAGTCCGCCAATTAGACAAACTAGGTACTCGAGGAGAGTAATTGCACTTGACGTTAAAACAAAGGTGGGAGTGAGGACTCACAACACATTCGATACTCAAATATATTTATATAGTACGTGCGGCCATATCAATGAGCACACATTAGTTGTAACGGCATAGCACTGTCTCTGATTTCCAACAGCACCATGTCAAAGCACCAATCCATTCTTAAGATTACAGTAGCCAGTCTGCCTATCTCGCAAGGGGGTAGAAAATCAATACATGATGCAGTCTACTTAAGCATGCAACAGCAGCTTGAAGCACACAGCAGACATGTTGCAGAAAGACATTTATGAAAGCTCAATCCATCACTGTGACGTTGCATCGCCATTCATAGCTGTAGTCTCTCCTTCTCTAATCGGAACATCGACATCCGTCATGGGCGAAACAACAACTGCCGTTAATGGTGTACCATGTCCTTCCTCCCCCAGTAAATGATCATGTTCTCTCTTTGGCGTGGCGTCCAATTCAATAGCTGGAGGCGGCGAGGGGAATTCAACAGGCTTTGCCGCTGCGTCCAGTTCACTCATTGGGCGTACCGCACCGAGTTCCTTCTTGGCATCATCGCCATCCAATTCTCTCAATGCAGAATCGCTAGACAATTCTCCTGCAGTCTTTCCAGAAATAGAAGGATCTGGCCCTTGCGAGTCGGCTGTCATCTTCTTTTCTTTTCTCTTTTTCCTGACGAACCAAAACAGGATATATGCAAGTACTGCGAGAGCAGCTACAGGGACGACGACACTGATTGCGACTATGCCATTGGTCGAGAGGCCGTTGTGGGGAGATGCTGGAGAGGAAGTCGAAGCCGCTGCTCTTGGAATCTGCGGAGGTATGGTAACGTTATTTGGATCAAGAATACTACTTGGTGTTAGCTCTATTGCTTTAATTTTCCCGGACAATGAAGAATTCCAACCCATCAACGACATGAAAGACCCCATTTGCAGCCAGATAATCCACAGTAGTTATTGGTACTTGGTTCACGTAGATGTTGTCCTCGGCATCTCTGGTGAATATAATGTCCTTACCCTGGGCAGTCTTCGCGGTTGACCCGTTAGTGAGTACAGAGCTGTACCCCACAAAATCATAAACGACGTGATAATTGAAGAGATCAAGAAGTTCATTTGCAGATAACGACTGTGAAAGGTTGTTGAATGAGGCGAGGGACGTTGCGGAATTGGGGCAGAAGAAAGTGAGGTTAGGGGTTGTTGTGAGGTCGTAAATGAAGTCAGCGAGATCCGTATTGTTGAGAGCTAGAAGCTAGAAAAGTCAGAATGTGACTGGAGCGATTTTCTGCAGATGGATAAAACTAAAGGAAATGTGGCCTGAGAATTTACTTACATTTATCTGGTTGAGGATGGCCACAAAATAATTCAGATTGGCTTGTTCAAATAGTTGAATTCCAAGATTGATGGGTACTTGCAGCATGGTGTTGACGACCTGGATGATACCGCCGAGGCAAAGGGTGTCCTGCTAGTTATCACTGACTCTGCGTAGTCCGAGGGGTTCGTAAACTTACTTTTCGCTCGATCTTCGAAATGGCCTTATTGTTTGATAAGATCTGAGGCCCATAAAACCCTGTGTTGATTTCCACACGTTGACCTGGCGGATAAATTGTGACGTTCTCATAGCTTTCATTTCTGAGACTCGTGGATATGAACTGAGGTTCCTCCATAAACGACACAACTGGGAAACTACCATTGAGAAGATGATAACTCAACGTTGCCTCAATGACGTCGAGTGTTTGTTTCCAGAACTAGAGAACCAATCTTGGAAGGATTCATCCGTTGGTGCTAAGAATGTGAAGTTGTTCGACGATGAAAACAGTTGAGTGAGAGTGGAGGAGTGATTTATGTACGTATTAAGAGTATCCAGATCTGGAAGCCCTTGCAAAGCGTCGATGAGTGGTACTGAATCTAAAGACATTTGGGCCCATGAAAGACTAGTTGTGCTCGGCTTGGAAAGGGTAGGATAGAATTTTGCTTAAAGACTGCGCCATGTTCAATTGAGAAAGAGCGAAAAGAACCATCTTGGAAAGAAACAGTAGATAATTTTCAACACTGGCATACTACTGTGCTACTTGGTGTTACTCAAACGCTGGGGTGTACGACGAAAAGAGAGACTTGTTCAGATGCGAGAATCCAAATTCAGGAGAGCTATGCTAAGCACGACAGGAACAACGAAGGACTTTGCAGGGATGAATACAGCGGAGAGTGACAGTCTCCAATCGGGAAGATACATGTGATATGCGTTTGATGTCAAACAATAACTCAATCGGTGTGAGGCAAGCTTCCGCATCGGCAAATATGCCTTGTAAGGCTAGAATTCTGGGACAATAACCGCCCAATGTTTGTTTGATGAATTAGGAAATGCGATGCGAATCTGATAAAGCGTGGAGCTGCACCGAGGTCTCTAAAGGGCTCGCGCCGCAATAATATGTTGGAATCGGAGCAGCCACCATCCAGTAGAAACTAAGACCCCTGTGCTGGAAAGCCAGTGCAGAGACAATCTGACTTAGCAGCCGGCCATCGATCACGTGGGGGCAGCTTTCCTCCCAGCACTTCAGAGCTTGCGGAGGTCTTATCGTCGGCCATTGCAGAAGATGGGTGCAAAGACATATAATCCCCGAGCAGAAGCTTCCCATCTCATCACTCTATAGGAAATGGTCACGTGATGAGGGCCGCCCTACCCTGCTCAGAGGCTTCTGCTCTTGAGTGTTTTCTGACGGATAAATTGAGAAGGTTAGAGCGGGACCCTCAACATCTCGCTAACGGTCTGTCAAATTCTGGCATCTCCAGAGTGATTGCCATCTTGTCAGCGGCAATCGTGACCATGACGAGGCCATCAGCAAGCAGTGCGTTTGGGTAAGCACCGGCCGTAAAGGCAAAAGTGACGAAGACATCCCTCTCTATCAAATGAGAACGATACATTTTCTAATACTCTCAGTGGCGGTCAAATTTAAGGTTGCTGCGACCGGAAGCGGTAACTTGACACACGCCCCAACGGTGTGGCACCCACTCGCTTACGCTCCTTTGCCGCCTCGGTTCGCTCTTACGTGCGTTTCAGGGTCCCGCCACCTCCCCCTGTTTCCGTTTTGACCCCGCCGTTTCTGTCTGAGCGTTGTCGGATCTGCCCGGGAAAGTCTCGCCCCCGTTTCAGAATGACGCCATTTAGATTGATGTCCTTCTCATTTCTTCAAGACGCCCTCGCACTTTCCTATCATTTTTCTATCCTGACGAAATTTCGATGTACACGGACGACTTTGCGTGAAGAGATGGCGACTTGGGGTGCTTATTTTGCTTCTTATGTGAAGAAGAAAGAGGATACTGCGTTACCGGCGTTACCAGACGTGAAGGATGAGAAGGCATTACCAGCAAAGCCAAAGGCTCCAACTTTGGATACGAGCACGAAGACAGCACCGAATAAGTTGTATGGAAGTCCAGTTGACTTGACGACAACACCAACAATACCGAGGAGCAATTCGAACGCGGCAAGAGTAGCGAAGCTTTTTGGATATGCAAACGCAAATGCGAATTCAGATCCTGCCCCAGAGGCAACAGCAACTCCCGCTCTTGCGAAAGTTGCGGACAAACTTGTCGAAGTGGTGAGAGCGGAGAAGAGGGTTGATGTTTCGAAGGTTGAGAATGTCCCGAAACCATTGAGTCCGATCAAGTCAGCGATTCCGGCCAATGCATTCGAAAATGTGCTGGTGGGAAAAGAGCCGGTGGTTGAAAAGCCAGCATTTTCTATCAAGAGTGTTCCGAGGCCTCCAAGGACTCGAAAGTCGACGAAGCCGTCAATTAGCGGTCTGGACGCATTGATGGAAGAACTTGGAAGTGGGCCTCCAGTGGAAAGTGCTGAAGCTGCCCCAATGGTGAAGCCAAGAGCACAGCCTCAACGAGCCAAGAAAGGAAGTTTGAGTGATTTGGACGCACTTATGAACGATCTTGGTGGAGGCGGGGGTAGTCTTATCCCACCCAGGCCTGGAGTGGAGAGTGCGAAGCCAGCAAGGACGAAGCAAGGAAGTGGCAGTGATCTCGATGCGCTGATGAATGATCTTGCTGGCTTTGGCCAACCCTCAACGACTCCGACTCCAGCTTCTGTCCCAAGCACCGTGGTTCCAAAGGTCTCAGCACCAACATCGTCACCAGGTTTAGCATCTTTACCACGCTTGGTGACTGCATCAATACCACCACCAAAGATCCAACCCGTCTCTGCTGCGACCTCGATACCACGATCAGTTCCGTTTTCGACACCAATCTCAGCTCAATCGCCAAACGAACCCTTCTCATTCAGAAGCATGACTTCATCTCCAGAGCCAATCCTTAGCATGAACGATTTCGGAAGCATGAAGCCCAACTACATCACGCAATCTCCGATTTCCATGCGCTCACGACGAGACTCATTCGCAAGTCGCAGCTCATTTGGATCACGAAGAAACGACTCATTCAACAGTCGAAGCTCCTCAGTGTCGAGAACTTCAGACCTCTCGTCTATCATTGAACCTGTATTGTCCGAGGAAGACCAACTTCAGCTGCGACAACGAGTTCTTGAATCAGAAAGACAGGAGGAGCAGCTGAGAATGGAGAAACAGCAACGGGCTTTGGAGCATGAGCAGATGTTGGAGTATGAGAGACAGGCTGAGAAAATCATATTTGAGAGGGAAGTAATGGAGGAGCAGAGACAGAAGATGCTGGACGAGCAAGCAAGATTTGATTTGGAGGCGAAAAGACTGCAAGAGGACGAAGAACAGATGAAGCAATTCATTCAAGATGTGGAGAGGGAGAGGCAGAAGGAAGAAATAGAGGAAGAGAGATTGAGGAGAGAGGCTATCGAGGAAGCCGCGAGATTAGCCAGGGAGGAAGAAGAAAGAATTATGGAGGAACAACGACTTCAAGAGGAGGAGGAAGAACGTGAGCGCTACGAGCGAGAGCGTAGGAAGGCTGACGAAGAGAGACGGAGACGCGAAGACGAGGAAATGAGAGAGGAAGTTGCAAGACAGATCCGGGCTGCCAAGAGAGAGGAGGACGAACTGCGGCAGGAAAGACAGAGAGCAAGACAAATGGAAGAAGACCAGGAACGAGACGAAGAAGAGGCTCGTGAGAGAGAGGAACAAGAGATTCGTGATCGAAGGCGGTATCAGCAAGCTGAGAAAAAGAGACTCGCCAGGGAAGAAGCAGAAAGACTAGCTGTACAGGCTCGGGAATACGAGGAAGAGATCGAGGCTGAACGGTTGAGATTCGAGGCTGAAGAAGAGGAACTCGAAGAACTACGCATGAGAGAGGAGGATGAGCGTATTAGAGCCGAAGAAGCCGAACAAGAGAGACGTAGGCTTGAAGAGGAAGCTCAAGAGCGTGAAGCCCAGCGGGCTAGAGACGAACGGGTAGCGATGCAAAGACGTGCGGCTCAAGACAGAGCAGAAAGGGAACGTGCGAGGCAGCAAGAACAAATGCAATACGAGGAGGAAGACTCCGAGCCTGAGGTTCTGACTAAGGAACAGGAAATGAAGAAAGCTGAGGAGAAGATCCGTGCAGCTTTTGCCGGTTTAGCCCAGGAGAAGGCACAAATAGCCAACGGGCCTCGTGACGTACCTCGAGGAAGAGCAACTGAGAGGGAGGACAGAAGTGTAAAGAACTTTGCCAACGGAATCAGGCCAGCAGGGAGGGATTCAAGGATTGATGCGGACGAAGGTCGAGGAGTGGCGAGAAATAATACGGTGGCAGCATGGCCTATGCCGAGGCAGCCACTCGGTCTATCGAGAGGGAACACAGTTGGAGGTCTGCCGAGTGGACCTAAAGGAGGTGGATTACCGCGCGGTCCAAGAGCAGGATTGCCTTCCGGACCTAGACAGAGATAAATACCCAATGTTTGTATCAATGAATTGAGATTGAAGCTCTAAATGGAACTGAAAGCCTAGTTCTATCTTTTGCTATTGATTTTTGCTTCTCTCTATTACCCACAGAGACAGACATTGTAGACTTTCAAAGTGGGTGCGGACAAGATCGAACACGTGACGACGACAATGATGTTGCTGGGATGCCTCAATTAAAGACAAGTAAATGTTCTATCTAGTCTCGGTACCGTACAGCAGACATGTTGTCTAGTTTTGTTTCGTACTTTGATATTGGGGTTTGATCTCTTCCAAATTCGCTAGTGATTTTAATCAAATAACACAGTCAAGGAGGCAAAGTTAAAGACGAAAGTAAACGCTAGATTTTCTATGTTCATTGTTCCTAACCTTCAAGAACAAGGAGGAGCAAATAATGTCAACGCAATTGATCTCGAAAAGCAACCACCCAAATCCATGCAATCGCCCCTGCCCAGATGTATGACGTCCCGATAACTCCCGCGCCCCATGTCCTCCGCAAGCTATCTACACCATGCTCCTGATGGTCTCGATGTAAATGGCATTTTGACAACCCTTCAAAGTTAAGACTCATCCCTGACGAGGAACGCAGACATTAACGGTCTTGATCGCGCGTCATCTTCAACTGTCATGCCCATAACCTTCTTCAGAAGCACCTCCGTGAAATCCGGTAAGAACCCCTCAGGGAAGTCACCGACCCAGTCTCTGAGCGGAACCAACATTGAGGCAAATCGCGACATCTTCTCAACCGCAAGTCGCTTAAGTGGAGTGAATTCTCGAGTTGAATAAGCGAGCTTCAGAAATTGCCAGATAACTGCATCTTTGCCGATATCTACGGTATCAGTCATGACCAATGGAATGAGCTTTCGCATGGCTTGATTTTGGAGAGCTGGGACCTTCCAGGCACCGGCACAAGTCCAGAGTTGAGCCAATTCCATCAACTCAGGTCTTTTGGCTGGGCCGTTATCCAGAGAGTCGGGGGCATGCTCTATGACTTGGGAGTATGACCAGTTATTGTATAAGCCGAAGACTTTAGCGTCAACGTCTTTGAGGATCAAGATCTTGGTTTCTCCATCGGCAGTCGTTTGCCGGTTGAAGGCATCTCGGAAGAATTTGGAATCGTGGGTGATCACATGCCTATGCGTTCTGAATTTTTCTTGTTGGGGGCCGACGAAGATTGTGACTAATTCAGCATCTGGCTTCCTTTTAACAGTGTCAGTTGCCGTTGCATTGATCAGGTTTTTTAAAAGACTTACGAGAAATTGGGACGAGGCTTCTTTGCCTTGTTGGGAGGTGCAGGTGGAGGAGGACGGGAATTGGAGGATTGTCGGATGGCGGCATGAAAGTTCTCTTGTGCATCAAGATCTACTCCCAGCATTGCCGCAGAATCTCTCTTGCGAGACATTGAGGAACCCTGAATGAATAGTTCTGGTGAGGGAGCGTTGCGGCTCACTCTTGGGGTCTCGTTGGATGGCGTCATTTCGAGATCGAAATTGCACCTTCTGTGTTCACGTTGGAACCTGAGAACCAGAAAGAGGACAAGATCGAAGTAAAGGCGAACGGAAGTGTAAAAGAGGATTGGAGGAATGAAGGTGTTTCTCTTGCGAACACTGAGCTCGCGGCTGCTGAGATAGATCGAATCGATAGACAACGAATCTATCGCCCAATTGATATCGAAAGTTTTCAGGAAGGAGTGTTGAAACAAGATCATGTTGAGAAAGATTCTCTAGACGAGTAGAGTGGAGATTGTAGAGAAGGTACGGATTATTGTAACTCCGGGCCCGGGATATGCTAAATCCAAAGGGTGTCTACTTGAGAAGGTACGGACTATTATAACTCTGAGCCCCGGGCTATGCTAAGACCTTCAAACTATTAGCACTGGGGACAGTACGGACTATCATAACTCCAAGCCCCAGGTTATGGTACATGCAAAAGGTTTCCACTTGAAAAAGTACGGACTCTTGTAACTCCGGGTTCCGGGTTGTGTTAAGACTTTCACACTGTCAGCACTTGGAAAGGGACGGACTATACGGGGGGAACTTAGGACATAAAGGGCACACGCATGATAGTATGATAATAGGATAATTTAAAGTGCAAAGAAATCTTGAATTACTATGATATTGTCGCCTGCACTACGCCTTCTCTCAGCTCATTCAGCCAGCTTTTGCACTTGCACCTGCTCTTGATGCACTCACTCTCTGAATGGAGTCTCTGAATGTACTAGCTCTCTAGCTGCACTGGCTCCCTGAAATGCGCCTGCTCTCAGAATGCACTTGCTTATAATACAGAAGTGATGGAGAATGAAGAAGAAGAGAAGTGGGAAGAAGCAGAACCTTATGATTCTCAGGGGCTAAGCTACTCTAGCCTAATAAGGGAGCGCTCGGGTGTTTAGGTTTCAGGAAATAAGGGTATCTACAACTCTACTCGAGCACTCTCGCCCCTTACTCTACCCACAGGCGTTCTTAATAAAGCTTAGACAAATCCACTTTCTATACCCCTTAAGTAGAAACTTTTGCGCCCTCAAAATCCTCTTCCTTTGGCATCACTTTTGCACATGTGCTGGTGCATTCAAAGAGCTAGTACAATCAGAGAGCTAGTGCAGTCAGAGAGCTAGTGCAGTCAGAGAGCTAGTTCCATAAGAGCTAGTGTAGTGAGAGCTAGTGTAGTGAGAGCTAGTGCAATAAGAGCTGGCGCAATGAGAGCCGGTGCATTCAAAAGGCTAGTGCAGTCAGAGATAGTGCAGGAGCTAGCTAGCTAAGGGTTTCGAAAGAAGATGCAAGTGTTTAGTACTTAAATTTCATAGCAAATCAGAGCTTTTTTGCACTTTCACTACTTTAAATTTTCATATTATCATACCTGTGCCTTTTATGTCCCAAGTTCCCCCGTAGGACTATTGTAGCTCCGAGCCTCGGGTTGTGCCAATACGTTCAAAGGGTTACCTTGTAGGAGTGAGAGGCGGCTGTTTTTGGTACACGAGAACACCAAAACTCAATGCACGAAACCTTTTACTTCTCAACATTCAGTGTCTTGACAAGAATTTCGTCTTGAGAGATCCTAGAGAAATACTCAAAGGAATTTGAAGAATAAAATTCATTTCAAATTGATTAGAAATTCATTGATAATTCCATACATTGGTTAGAAATTGCGCACTTGGCAATAACGGCCGCATTTTAGGAGGAGGCTTACCATTTGGGAAGGTACGGACTATTGCAACTCTGAGCCCCGCCCTAGCTAGCAAAGATAAACTGGCACAATCTGATCCACAAATCCACAATCCGGAATAGGGCTACATTCACCGTATTTACAGTACTCATTTGAGTGCAGCTAATGCACTCACTGCATTTACATCATTCAATGTACCAATTTCACGTATTAGTTGTATTGCATTATGTTCATCTAAATCATCATCAAAGTGTTGATGTGCGCATACACTAAAACATAAATATAGTGAATGAGGAAGTGTAGAAGAGTGCAGTACAGCGCATCGCAGGACAATGGGTTTTGAGTGCGGTACTCTTGCAGTGTTTGTACTCTATGATTAGACCACCAGAAAAACTCAAAAGAACTCTAAGTCTACAGGCCTGCTTTTGGGTAATAACTTGCCCGCAAGCCAGATCATGGTTTCAGATCATGTCTGCTAGCCAGGGCCTGAGATGTCCAAGGAGGTTCTGTTCAAAAAAGATGCAGACTCTCGTAATTCAGTATTAAGCTAACATACAGAACCACATTAAGAAAAGTTCTTCGAACGATAATGATCTCAACTTTGGAAAAGGTACTGAGTGTTGTAATTCTGAATCATGATAAAATGTCCAAATAGGTACTAGAGGCTGGGACTTCAGAGAAGGTGCGGATACTGGCTACCCCGGACTATGAATAGATGTTCAGAGCTGAGCAAGCTGAGGTATGGCTTCAAAGAAGTTACAAACCATCGCAAGTCTATACTAATGGTATTCAAGGAGCTACTACTTCAAAGAAGTACAGACTACCGTAATTCAGAAATGTGCGAAGATGTTCAAAACTGGGCTAAGTAAGCCATGGAACAGGGGTCGACAACGAGAAGTCGCATAGAATTTCTAAGTAGTCCTCGGGCAAAGATGCAGTGAAAGTATGTGTGATAAGTAGAGCTAGGAACGCAATGACGAACGAGTCATCACAGACGATGGCTTTCTCCTAGAAAACAGATCTTAACATGATCCCCTACTAGCTTCACAACACTCAATACGTGGTAGGTAATTCCGAACTTCGGAACAAATATTCGCCGGGGAGTGGTTTGGATCAGCTTCTTTCCAGCAGCTTCTGGGTCCAAACACACAGCATGAAAATCGAAAACGGTATGCATGTGCATTATAGACATCACTCTTTGCTTGAACACTTGTTCTAACATTTTTTCATTTCAACTCGAACTCCCTGCATAAATTTCCAAAGCTGTTGTCTCTTGGTACTGCCATGAGGTTGAAATTAAAGTTTATCCGCTAGAGCAAATTGAGATTAGTCATCAACCACCGTGGTCTTGAAGGTCTGATTGAAGACACTCACAAATTCAGCTTCAAGCTCAATCCAACACGACGCTCCTTTTACCAATTGATTCCTACAACCTTTTACTAGTACATTTGATTCTTCCACTCCTTCGCAGATTTTTCAGGAAACATGGCGACCAAAGACAAATACTCCATCATTCTTCCAACGTTCAATGAGCGTCGCAATCTACCGATAATCACTTGGCTTCTGAATCGAACTTTCACCGAACAGTGAGTCTCCATAGCCTTTCAAGCAGCAAATCCCTCTGCAATACTGACGCAGCAGCCATAGGAAGCTCGATTGGGAGCTTATTATCGTTGATGACGGCTCCCCAGATGGCACCCAAATTGTTGCAAATCAGCTGGTGAAAGCATACTCCCCACATGTCGTCTTGAAGCCGCGGGCAGGAAAGCTGGGTTTGGGAACGGCATATGTGCACGGATTGCAATTCGTCACAGGAAACTATGTCATTATCATGGATGCCGACTTCTCTCACCATCCCAAATTCATTTCTCGAATGATCGCCAAGCAGAAGGAGCTTCATACGAACGGTGGATATGACATAATCACTGGTACTAGATATGCTGGAGATGGGGGCGTTTTTGGATGGGATTTGAAACGAAAGCTGGTCTCCCGGGGTGCAAACTTGTTTGCGGACACAGTTCTTCGACCAGGAGTCAGTGATTTGACAGGGAGCTTCAGATTATACAAACGGGCTGTGCTGCAGAAGGTTATCGAGAGCACAGAGAGCAAGGGATATACATTCCAAATGGAGATGATGGTTAGGGCGAAAGCTATGGGCTGCACTGTTGCGGAGGTTCCGATAACATTTGTCGACCGTCTGTATGGGGACTCGAAATTGGGATCATCAGAAATTGCTGAATATGCTACTGGGGTCTTGAGATTGTGGATGAAGGTCTAATATGGAAGTCTATGTCATTGTATTTGTACCTGTGGCTAGCTTTGCGTTCTCTCACAATACAGCAAGCACTAAAGAATGGACGTCGTCCAGTCATGTGCGTGGAAGGCAATAATAATGTGGTTACGTTAAGATATCATGGAGATCAATCCCGGTACCCCAGCTTCACTTCACTCGAGCCAGCTAAAAGTTCAACGAACAAGTCGACAACGTGGTCGAAAACAACTCTAAAGCCCCTCCGAACAATCTCCGCCTGGCCCCCCGCATGATAATACCCAATCTCGTCAGATTCTGTGAGATATGAGGTATTATGAATTAACTTTCTCTTTCTTCTGTATCGCATATAGTTAATAAGCTTGTCGCTCTTGCTCAGGCGCTGATCACCCTGGGCTCACCCTCGGCTCAGTCAACTCGCATGAGTAATCTGAGCAACCTGAACAACTCATCTGAGCGCCCTGAGGATTCTGCAGCTTGTATTTACTGTCCCTAGTACTACATCCAGCACCATGTACAGCACTCTTATCTTAATTGCTGGAATAGTGTGAAAGGCAATGTTGTTAAAGAAAGCATCGTTGGTTTGTGGTTGACAATCGACAGATCGCAGCTCAAACTTTCTGCTCGAGCAAGGCTTAACGTCTGTACACATGCCTCAGTGCCATGCCCAGCGCCATGCGTCTTCCAATTGAATGTCTTGGCTCGAGCTTCACCAATAACCAAATTAGTGACTTCCAACTCGCGGTCTTAATTTGACATCCACTTAAGCTGATTGCATCAAAGCTTTGCAGATCTGCTGCTCACAGTAGTTTCTCGGGTTCTCGGATTAGGATTCTGGGGTTTTGTTTTCTTGGTGACAACACCGATCTTGGTGCCGGTATGGGGAACGATCAATTCGTCTGGAATCGACATCTTCTGATCCTCATTGTGTGGATACCACATGGGTGTGCTCTTCAGAACTGCTCAAAAGATCACTCACATAATGCGTTGATAATCAAGACTATTCGGGAGACACGTGTAGGCATTACAGTCAGCTGTGATTCTTGGGCCCAAAGAGAGTACGAAAAATCATTTAAGAATGATCGATTTCTTCAAGCTGTAGAGTGTGCAAAGGTAGACTTCAACAGTCGTCTTGGGAACCCTGATTACGTCATCCGTGACTAAGCTCTCGCAGCGCCACCGCCTTCCGAATTGTCGGCTACTCACCTGTTTTAGCGTGTTTTGAGACCTGACCCCCACCAAAACAGACTCATTTATTAAACAAAGGAGAAAGAATCGCGTCAGAGCATGTCTAAGAACTTGCAACTGACTTGTAAATTTTAAATTTCCATCCAGCCCTTGCTCCTCATCTCTTCACAGTAATACTTTCTAAAAATTACAGGTCACTCGCACGCTGAGCTCCTTCCTGGGCCCAGATCTGTTTGTGTAGTGAGCACTCATGACGAACACCTCTCTGACTCAATAACTTCTACCACTCTCTCCTCGCTCCGAGACTGTCCTGCATCTACAGAAAATCCCTTCTACCTTTCGAGCTCGACCCGAGGCGTCTGCCACGCTACCACCTCGATTCTACACTCACATACCTTCAGAAAAACCAACCGACCTTCACATACACGAAAGTCACACTCTCCGCCGTCACGATTGTATTGCAGTTCACTTCTATCACATCCTGATATTGCAACTTAAACAGCAAGTTAGCTTTTTAGGACGAGGCGCCATCAAGGAGACCTGAGCAGCAACGGTCCTGTCCAAAAACAGACATCTACCTCCATTTGCTACTATGGCAGACCATCCGAGCGAAAATCTCATTCCCGAGCCTTCCAATACATTTCCAAACCTGAAAGCAAGCCCCAGAGAGGTTCGACAGTGGATTCAAGGTTGGTTCAAGCAACAGGGCCATAGTTTGACAGTGTACGATGCGCGTATCAAAAACGTACACTGGAATGGGTCCGAGCTTCATCGGATATCCTACCATAGCATGGTGCACGACTTGATTGGCTTTGGGTACAATGGTTATGCTGGTGACCTTGCGCATGAAATTTTCAAAGCTCGTACTGCAGAGGAGGTCAGTTCTCTCTTTCTTTATAGTGTCTACTTTTTTATTTTGTGTATCGTAAATTAACTTTTGATCTAGGAAGGTACGGAGTTCGTAACGAGGATGATTATCACGGTTGCTATTACTATTCTTGTCGTCGTGTTTGGATTTGGATGGTTGATGAGAGGAGAAGTAACTTGTCAATGACACTTTTTTTTGGATATCAAGATAGGAGTCTTGGTGCATGGGGTTTGCAAGAGCGCCTTCTTCGAGGTCTTTGAAGATTAGACTGGCTCGAGAGAACTTAGTCAGTAGCGTCTGGGTCTCTACAGATGCAATGGAAATCCGAAGAAATTGAACGAGCGTTCTTGAACAACAAAGTTTGATTTCATGATACGCTTTTGTGGGTACTTTTCTTTGTACTAGTAAAGTATAAGAATTTTACCAACACTGAGCAGGTACCATGCTTCCTAAGCAAAAATGGACCAAAATGCCCCAGATCCAAGCGCTGATCTACTAGCTTCACAAAAATCCCAACCGCACACAAACCTATCTCCCATAACACCAGCTCCAGACAAAGCTTCTCAGTCAAAAGCAGCACCAGTACAGACTCCTGTTGCTCTGGAGAAAGCAGCCTTGATTACATCTCAAACCCCTGCTGATGACCTCAAGATTGCTGCTTCCCCAAAGCCTTCAAGTAATAGAATTGAAAAGCTGGTAAGTCCTACGAAGTCAACACCAGTATCGACGCAGCCATCGATCGCTCCAGAATTGGCTCCAGATGCTTCTCAGCGAAAAGTCGAACCGATCCAGACTCCTGTTTCTCCAGGAACGTCGACTTCGACTACATCTCAAAACAGGCCTTTAAACGACAGTGCTCAAGATGTGGGAACACCTGCGCAGCCACCTATCATCCCAGGGCCAGCTCTCAGTACAACGAGCAAGAATTCCAATTCAAAGAGCACTCCAACTATACCAGCCACACCCCCAGCGCGAACGGTAAAGACAATGACCGCAATTGCACAATTCCAGGCCGGTCTTACAACCTCCAGCAGCCGTCATAGTCCTGTCACCGCCAGCACCAACCCTGTTAGCCCCGTCGCCAACCCTGCTACCCACGCCAACAACTCTTTCGCCCCTATACGCCAGTCGCGCGCACACTCATCCCCCAATTTGGCAAGAGCCTCCAATCGAAGGTCAACTAGCCTACCAGCCCGGCTCCGTTTCGATGATATACTTGGCATGCGAATCAATGCAAACATTGAAGAATTGATGGTGCGAGAAGCGGAGAAATCGGCTCGAAACTCATTTCATCTCTTCACAACATGGCTTGAAGCAGAGGTATGAGAATTTGTCTAATTGATCAAAATATGTTTCACTGACCACTTTTCAAAGAAAGCAAAAGAAAAAAAAAAGGACGAGGAGGAGAACGGAACGATATGGCATGATCTTTGTTGGATTTCGACCACCCTCAGCGGGACTTTCGCCTCCGGTCTGGTAGGATGGCTCTACGCTACCTCCAACTCGATGTTCATCAGGCTTTTGCCAAACGTCAAACAATGCCGTACAGACGATTTTAATTGCAACCCTATGCGGAGTATGGTGATGTGGTCGTTTATTTACGGTATTTGCTTATTGCTCATTGTCTGGGTCTTGTACTTTGCAACTAGTGGAAAATAGGGCGCTTCTACCCACAGAAAGATCAAAGATGAGTGGGCATTATGGCGATTGAGCGGAGAGGAATGGATCGAATCATTGTGGTTCGCATCGTGGGTCTCTTCTAGCAGTGATGTCGAGGCTCAGCGTGGGAGAAGGGAAGACTGATAAGCAAAGGAGTGAGGTTAAGAGCTACTTGGCAATAGAGCAAAATAAGTTTGTGAGAGACATGCTTGTCAGTTACCCCAAGAACTCTCTTTGCCTCGGGGAGTAGCGCCTCCAGTATTTCGGAAGCTTCGTCCGCTTTACCACTTTGGAAAAGCAAAATTCCATAATGAATTTTCTGGTAGTACTCTCTGGCTTGGTCGTATTTCTGGTGCCGATAGTATCTAATGCCTTGCATTGCCATTTCTTGTAAAAGAAGTGGGTGATCCTTTGGGAGGCTGCGCGAGCTAAGAAGTTCAACATGTTCGCCCTTACTTATAGCCTTCCCAAGGTCTCTCATGCCATCGTAGGCCTGGGCTAAGATTCTGATTGTTTTAGTACATACCGGATGCAGGCCTCCAAGGGTAGCCGAGCCCTTTTCCCCCGCATCCTCGGAGATTTCTTCAGCTTCCTTGAACATTCCTTAGATTCCAAGATTTCGGCAAGGAAAACCTGACCAGTTAGTCGGAACGCGTGATCATTATAGGAACTCTCGTCGTATCCAGCGAGAACTTCGAGGATATAGTCTCCGCCCCGACGGAGGAAACCTGGCAGGATTTTGTACTCGACACCCAAGTAGCGACTCAAACCCGCCATTTGTTTGGTGTATTGCTGGTATCGCATTACATCGTCCTCGACCAGGACGTGATTGTTGACTGTCGGGTTTCGTACAGCGTTTCGGAGTACCTATGGAGAAGTCAGCATCTCTTGCCATCCGGACACTGTCGGGAACTCACAGGTAAGTCCATTTTATCGACTCTGATGTAGATTTTCGTGCCTCATGATACGAGTCGGGAATTTGAATACTAAGATCTCTCAATTATAAAGGCCAAATATCCCGGAGCGTGGAGCTACATTTTCCTAATCTTGTACTAATACTGTTAGGTGTGAATGCTGGCGCGATAGAGGCTGCCTTACTCTCAGCATTATTTCTCCGACTTGAAGGTATGTTTATCATGCCACATCTAGTTTGGATATCAAGTGTATTTGACACCACCAAACATTGATACCCTTGTATGATCATTCTTACTGTATTCGCTTCCTGTGGTGTTTCCTAATGTCTGAGAATTGTAGACCAAAGTTTACATGTCGGTGCTGAAAAGGGCTTAGCCTTTTCAGAGGCGCTGAGGAGGAAGGAGTTTTTATACTTATCGATACCAAAAATTCCCCTTTGCAATTGAATCTGAGCAATCTTTTCATCTGCTGGAACTTGCGCTGTATCTAGCAAACACACAACAAATTCCCGCCCCTCCTTACGTACCCACACATCAGCGATTTGAATAAATACCCTGCATATCTGAAAAAAAAATATTATCATGAGTTTATGGAGGGATTCGAACGGCAAATGGATCTCCAACACTATGGACACCAGGAAGAAGAGAATGGTACGTAATCAAATTTCAGCTCCTGGACGTACCAAAGAACGCTGAGATCAATCTCCTTCTTTAAAAAGAGTCCCGTTGGCTAACTTTAGCCTTTCTTGTCCCTTACAAGCACAATTCCTTCCAGGCGACTGCTTCTTCCTCGTTCTTTGACAGCAGTAAGTCAACAATATTCGGCGCAAATAAGAATTTGCTGACCTCTCTAGATGATTGGATCGTTACTCCAAAGATGAAAAAACATAGATGGAAAGCCGTGGTACCTGCAAGTACAGATGATGGTGCCAGAGTGCCGCTTCGACAACCCAAAGGCTCTTAAACTTTTACTCGATCAAAAACTTGCAGTGGAAATTAAGCCCCAGATTTGTAAGTCTCCAGTGGGGAGTAGAAGTTCCCGGTTCCCATTTCTTCCTATCACTCGAGTGGTACCCCGGAGCAGATGCTTTAATACACTTCTAAGACATGCATAGGACTATGAAATGCATTACAAAAGAGAGCTACTGACTCCAAGATTTTCATCACTGGGGTGTATGCTCTACCAGATCCCACGACCCACAGACATACTATTGAAAGGAATGAAGAACAAGACGACAAAGACAGCACTGCTTTATTTAGCTGGGCAGATGTTACGGGCCCCATTGAAGAGAGTCAAACCTACAACGCGTGCTTCTGATGATTCATATCACTTCGAATTCTAAATTACAAAGATGGCATCAACGATATCTTTCCCTGGCTTATCGTGCACATTGTCAATCCACATAAATTCTCTCATAATAACTCGCGTCTTATCCCAAGATCTAATCCCGCACACCGCTAAACTGTTTCTCAGGCAATCCTTCAGCCATTCATTCTCCGACGCAGGGAATGTCGAAATGGCTCCAATCATGAAAAGCCAAATCATAACATGAGGAGGCATACTGTCCACAAGCTTCAGATCAAGTAAACAACTACGGAAGCGTAATGAAAAGTGAGGGTGCGGCAGCTTTACATCTCGCCATTGCAGGAAGATGTGATGGCACAAAGACAGCAGACCAAGCCGCATCGCTTGATCGTTTGAACCAATCTCAAATGTCATTTGGAGGAGGCGATACATGACCGAAGCCATGGTGTCAAGTAAGACTTCGGGCGGAAGCTTTCGTTGACTCTGCGCTGCAAGGTTGATGAGCGAACAAAATTGCTTCATGGTGGTCCATGCTGAAGCTAAATCTTTATCAAGGATGTCAAGAAAGCTGGTTTCATCTGGGCTCGAATGCTTGACTTCGATAGTCTTTCGAGTAGGCCAGACTTTGAGGTCAGGGTACGGAACGTACGGCTCCGAAGAAGCGTCGCTGAAAAACACAGTGGAAGATCCGCTGTGCATCGCCATTCCAATGTCAATCCTAAGGGAGAATAAGACTTCGAGTATACTCAGACCAGCTACATGGACAAATTGCCGTCACTTACCTAAGCATTTCCATCAGAAGCTTCTTCCCAAAATTCCGGCCTCTCAAGCTACCCAACCCTCCTCTAAGATCAACGATCTTACGAAGTCCTTCCATATGCTTTTTTGCACCATGGTAATCGCCATTACTGTGTGCAATTATGGCCAAGGTCAAGACCACTGATACTGTTCCTTCCGAAATCTTGGCTTCTTCATCTCCGAGCAAAAGACGTTCACGTAAATGTTGGACTCCTTTTATCAGATGCAGTGTTGCTTCCGGAGTTATTTCATGGTTGCCCCTACCAGTGAGCTGGCCTATGAGATTCTCGGCTGCAAAGGCGGTGATATGAAGGTAGGCGGCATCGAGGCTCAGTAGATCAAACCATGTCTTATCCCTTCCCTCGAAGGCTGTATATGCTGCGAGAGGAAACATGACTCTCATTGTAATGGTAGCGACTACTTGTTAGTTAGCAATATATCTTCCTAGTGTATGGAAGAGACATGGTACATTGAATGAGATCGCCAAACATTGCAGGATCCACCTCGTCCGAAAATTGGGCACATGAGTGATCCGATCCTACGCGTCTTGGAACGAACGAGTAGCAAGCTTCGATTAATCTATCCGATGATACATGTGGGTTGTGAGCGGGATCCACCATGAAGCCCCAACTGGTAGGACTTTGTCGTTTCGCACGGGGAGTTTTGATTCGATTTTTGCCTCGCATCACTTGGCTCCGGATGAGCTTTCGAGTCTCGGGGTCTGCTTTTTGGGTGTCTGTGGATACGATGAAATGCATGCCTGTTGGAGAAACGGTCCATAGGTCAGAAAACATCTGGCAGAGTGAAGCAGGTAACCTGGAGGCTTAAGGGCCGCTCACCTAATCTGTACGGGTGGGCCATATCATTAAACTCGATTGAAACAAGGGGTTTGGATTGTTTTCTACAACTGGGTACCGTATGAAAATGAATGCGAGCCACTGGCAGGCACAGCGGGGTGATGGGTGGAAGGCTTTCGAGTCAAGGAACTGCTGACGCGGTGAACACTTGGGTCGGGTCAGTGGTTCGAATTGTTCCGCGACGTGTTGGACGGTTAACTGTTTACCTAGAATGGTATACAATTAAAGAGGTTGAGAAGAGTTCGTCAGCAAAACTTTATGCCATGATTTAAAAGTCCCTGTGAAATGGGAGACGCTGCAGCTGATGTTCATGCATGGTCGATCATTTTAGCGTGCCAAGACTTTCAATTGTATTCCGTTTTAGGCATGGCGCCGAGGAGTAGGGAAAGGGGCCCTCGCTTGTTCGAATACTTTACGCTTCTGCATGTTACAGATTCCTGATATAAAAGCGCAGTCTCTCTGGTCCGAAGATGATTCAAAATCTCAAGAAGACCCACCGGCTCAGTATTTTGGGATGGCTTCTGCGCGGAAATCGGTTCTTATCACTGGGTGCTCTGCTGGCGGAACCGGTGCTGCTTTGGCCGAAGTCTTCCATGAGAAAGGATATCATGTTTTCGCCACTGCTCGAACACCATCCAAAGTATCGCAATCTTTATCTAAATCTGCAAATGTTACTGTTCTAACCCTTGACGTTTTGTCGTCCGATTCCATTGCTGCAGCCGTCAAGAGCGTCAGTGCGGAGACAGGAGGAAAACTCGATGTTCTTGTCAACAATAGTGGCACGGGCATCGTATTACCAGCTTTGGATACGTCCATTGAAGATGGCAAGAAGTTGTTCGACGTCAATTTCTGGGCCGTTTTCGCTATGATTCAGGCTTTTGCGCCGCTGCTGAAGAGTGCCGGGGGTTACGTTGTGAACATGGCGTCTGTCAGTGGAGTTGTTCCAATTGTGTTCAATAGTAAGTTATTCACGGACCCATGCATCTTGATGTTTCTAGTAAGACAAGGTTACCAAGTGCTAACATCTCAACTTAAGGCTTTTACAACGCTTCCAAAGGAGCTTTGGTCGTTGCTAGTGAGACTTGGCGTTTGGAGCTTGGACCTCTTGGGATTAAGACCCTCACTCTTATGACCGCCGCCGTCAAGACTAATTTCTTCCAAAATATTGATGCCGTCAAAGTACCCGAAAATTCATACTATTCCAGTGTTCGCGATTTCATTGAAGGCCTGGGAGATGGTAAAGCGCAGGAGAACGGGATATCCGCACGGGAGTTTGCGACTAAAGTCGTCCGAGAAGTAGAGAAAGGAACGACAGGAAAGTTTTGGGTTGGCGGTGGTGCTGCTGGGGCTCGTTGGGGATCATGGCTATTGCCACAATGGGCTCTCGTAAGTTTTTGGATTATTATTAGACTTTCTTCGAGTCGCTAACGAGACGGTCAGGATCGATTGTTGGAGAGCATGAATCCAGTCTCTGGAAGAATTGCGAATGATCACAAAACAAGAAAGGCTTAAATCAGGATCTTGTGAACAGGGTTATGATAGGAGTGGCCATCCGATCAAGATGTCCATTTGAATGCATTGGTTTTCTTTTATAATAGATAGGACTTGAGAAAGGAATGTATGATGATTAGTAGCGCCTGATAGCAAATCTTTGGGTGTCGACTTTCCAGCAATTTGAAGCTCCAGTGGTAATGCCTTCGTCAATTGCTCTGTACTTTTCCAGTCCTTATTTCCAACTTGTGATTCCTGGTATACTTTCTGATGCTTGTCAATACTTGAAGGTACAACATAATTTTCAACACCATCCGAAGCAAAAGCATTGCTTCTGTTTAATAAGTACAGGCCCCGGCTCTTGAGTTGAGAAGTACTAAATTAAGTCTCGAGGTTTCCAGATCAATGGAGATTGCGAGATGCGTCCCTTGGAGATATGGGGGAGACTTTTGAGTTGAAAGCTCTTGTTATGAAGTCCACGTATTTGACAGACCCTTTAATGTGTCCTTGGTCACTGCGCAAAAGTCACATGAGAGACAGGGTAAGTCAGCAACGCTATGCCTTGTGGGGCTAGTGAGTGGGAGGCCAATAAGAGATGCTTGGAATGACTTTAGGCAGAAGCATGATACCGGGGGCCAATCACGTCAGACTATGAATTGACACAGCCTCACACTTACGCCGCATCAATCACACAAGCATCAATTGATGGCCATGAATAAGGGTTTTCCATATTTTCTATCTAGCGCAACACTCCGAAGTGAGGGACCTATCTACTATTACTTCCGTTTACGCTCTATCTTCGTTTGATACAGTGCTCCGGGAACATCCCGATCTGGGTTGCACAAGAACCCATTGCGGCCCGTCATGGAGACCGGCAGCAGCGGCACCAACAACAACGGCAAAAGACCTGCTGTGCGTTCACATCCATCCATTCACCTTTCTTTGAAGAAAGGCCCCCACGGAAAAGCCATAAGCTGATCATGATCTTCAGTGCGATAATTGTAAGGACAGGAAAGTAAGTTACCTAAAATCCCGGCTACCCCCTACATCACGTAATCATTTTCATAGACCAAATGTGATCGAGGTTCTCCTTGCTCGAGCTGCGTTGCAGCAGAGCTCGATTGCCAAATGAGTCATCGGGCGCCGGAGAAAAGGCAGCGAGTTCTGATATCTGCTCGCTACGATGAAGCCATGGAAAGTGTGGACCGCTCACTTCGAGAAGTTTCGCAAACGCTACAGAAACTCTTGCGAAACAACACCACCAACACGCAGTCGCAAGAAACCCCAAAAGGCTCTCCTGCTCCTCTAATCAGCACTCATGTGTCGAATGTGTCCGGGTTGACTGAAGGTTACAGAGGTGATTCGTCGTTCAAAGCCCATGTCTCGAAAGTGACAGATGCTTTAAGAGATGCCACCACCAATCCGGACTTTTCGATTACTGGTCAAAGTCTTTCTGCTACCTTTAATGCTTCACAAGTAATTCAGAATGCAGCCGAGAGCGAGGAAACCACTCCCAGTGTCGGTGAAAATCATGTGTCTTCATTCAAGGTCGAATATCCAGAGTTACAAGGCAAGATGCTCCCGTCATCAGAAATTGTGCTTAAGTTGCTTCGATTGACGCATATGGAGAAGCAACGGTTCTTCATCGACGTCCCGATCATCGACGAGCATGAGTTTGGAGGCCTGTGTCAAAAGGTTTATTTCGCAATCAATGACTACTCGTTGTCGGCCTGGGCAATCGTCAATACAGGGCTATTCTATTTGTTCTTCGGCCTGAATGAGCACAATTACACTCAAATTGGCATCACTGCTTCAGAAATTCAAACAAACTCTCAATTGTTGTCTGGTAACCTAGAAGCTGCAGTACAGTCTCTGAGGCTTTGTCAGGATCCATCAACGGAGGGATGTCTAGCTTTGACACTTCTCGTAAGTAGTCATCAGCTCTCTTACTGTGTACCTGCTGATACCATAGGCCACATTCTGCATGAAGTCCGGACAAAGCGGACTGGCATGGTCGTTGGTCGCGTCAGCTTCTCGGATGTGCATCGATCTCGGTTGGCATCGCTTGATTCGAGACTCACTAGAATCTAAAATTTCGAGGGAAGAAAGGATCTTCTGGCAAGTTTACATTATGGACAAGGGCATGGCTTTTACCCTTGGACGGACTCCTTCGATTCATCAATACGATGTCGCAACAGAACGACCGACATTTCCTCAATATTTACCAGAAGGGCCAGGATAGTAAGTAGTGTCAGATTCAACAAGTAATGTCATCTAACCTGCCAAGCCTGTACCGTGGATTTCTTGAGTTTGCCGTCATTGTTGGCGACATGCACATCCAACTGTTCTCAGCAGCTGCTCAACGAGGGTCCCAACAAACCCGGATTGAAAGTGCTAAAACGTTCGCTGCGAGGCTCATTCAAGTCAACAGCGATTCGAAACAGGTCAGCAAATCGTTTCTATATCTATGAATGACGAATCCTAATAGTTGCAGTCGGATATAGACAATCCACCCCTCGATCTCATGTTCCAAAGCGCAACAACACTTCTCGATATCATCATGCATTGTCTCATCACAATCGTCTACCGAATAGTGCCCTGCGAGGTGATAAACTCACATCCTCTACAATGTAATGTCGGCTGCATCGAAGCTGCGCGAGAAGCGCTCTTGGCAATTGTTCGTGGAAGCCAAACCGTAGGACAGAAAAATCCTACTAGCTGGAGCATGTTTTTAAACATGTGAGTAATTCTCGAGAAGCTTTCCAAACCAATTCTGACACTATACAGGCTTTTTTCGCTAGTCCCATTTGCATGCTTCGTCGTACTCGCTGGGAACACAATTGCAACGTCCTCAACCGAAGACTTAGCACTCCTCTCTGCTGCCGTGACAGCGATAGAACCCATAGCCACCAGCTCGCCATCTGGTAGGAAGATTCATGAAATTTGCAAGTCATTTTATCAAGCAGCCACTTTCTCAGTCGCACGGCAGGCAACAATCCCAAGAGTGCCGCCGTTTCCTGCAACAGGTACACCTTTCAACCATCCAGTAAGTGAGCTGTTAGATGTTTCGGAAAGCCAGTTATATGACCATATAATGGCGCCACAAGACTGGGATGCGGTGATGGCCGAATTTGAATTGGGAATTGGTGTCGGGGCGATGGCTTCGTTTATGGAACCGTATATGCCGTTCGATGGACAGTTGCCTTGAATGCAAGACTTGATGAAGTCATAATTCACAAACAATCATGGGATGTGACGGAACGAAGATATATGAACAGGTCGGATACACTGACATGCGTAAAATATAGCTGAAGTCTTTGCGCATGTCTAAAAGAACACACCTGCTTGCTCTGTCTATGCTATGATCGTGCTTGCAACCGAAATCCCAAATAACAGCCATGAACCTAGGGCCTGCGAACGATTCAACTCCGATGATTCTCCCATATCCCACTCACCATGTACGCCAATAAGGTTTTTCAATTTCGTCCGACCACCACACATCACAGAAATCCTCTAGACATGGCCTGTACTGAGCTCCAGCGACGCCGTCTCCGACCCACGGCCCTTTCTTTCGTGATGTTTGAAGGGGCCATATTTGTTGTTGTGCGCATATGCTTTCCACATCACTAACACACTATTCATAGTTAATTCTTGTCTCAATGATCCTTAGTGGAAGGAGACTCTCACCTCCAAGTATTGAAGACAAGTTGAATGAAGCTAAACGCAATAACGACCAATGCTAAAGTGTCATGCTTGTACTCTAGAGCAGGTCCACTCCAATTTGCGCGAATGCTTGCCTCGTCTGCAGCTGAGACTCCGTGGATTTCGATTCCTTTTTTAACCACGATATATGTGAGTGCTGAAGCCGACGCTGCTTGAAAGATGGCTGTGCAAGCCGCGGCCAACTTCACACACCATTGGAAGAAGGTCGATTCCTCCCGCTCCGGCCAGAACAGCTCGAAGAATACGGCAGTGCCGAAGAGAACAGATACGAGGAGGGCCGCAGCTGTGTTGCCGGCAATGGCGTAAACTATGTTTGTACTCTTGATAGTGGCATTTGGAAAGTCTGCTGGAGCTGAAAGTCCCTTGTAGTCTAAGCAGCTGTTACTTATTGTCCGCCTTCCAAGATACCATGGTCCATACCCCTCAGCACCGCAATTCCCATCCCAACTACGAGGTTGACATTGGTGGTAGCAAGTTGGTACACAGCGAACTTGGTCCGTCGGAGATAATATTCCTTATTTCCCCACATGTAGGCGCTCTTGAACTTCGACCACCTGGCCTCGCTCCTGGGAATATTTCTGACGAGAGGCATTTCTGAGTGTCTTTGTGCAATGCGAATGCTTGAAGGCCGATTGCTGATATGATGCGAAAGAAACTTGTTTCGAATATTTGAGTATCGTAGTCACTGTTGCTGGGCGCTCATTTCTCCGAGGAATCAAAGCTATATATAAAAAGATCAAGACAACTTGAAAGATCGTCCTTCAGGAAGAAGAGTATTAAGCCTCGTCATTGCGCGACGATCAAGCATCAGTGACATTGTGAGACTCATACCCCTCGGGACCCGAGGCCAATCAATGACTATCAATGGCTACTTAGGTACGAGGATAAAAATATTGTTGCGTGGGAGTCCTTCCCATGGAGAGGATGCTGCCAGAGACGCGCCCAACGTCTTGGCATTCTCGCTTGCGGGGCCTCGGGTTCCGGAAGTCAGCTTCACCCAGGCTTCCACTTTTTTATGTACACGAGGTACAGTGACGGCTCCCCACGTTCCCGGAGGCACAGTGCTGAATCATGCTTGCACAAATTAACTGCAATGGCACAGAGATGCAGCCTTTGTAGCGTTACTCCGATGCAAAATTTGGCGATAAATGGAAGTGAATGGGGTTTCCTTCATAACCGCTATGCAAAGTATCTCAACGGCGGATATGCAAATTTTCCTTGCCATAAGCTCACTGTACCTTTTGTTGATTTCCTACTGACAAGAAGATATGCTCTAGTGATGGAGAAGAGGAGACTAAGCCAGAGAGAGAATGAAACGCTTTGGCATGTTCACGCTATTCCATACGGATTATGTAAGCTTGCAGAATAATATCATGCTGTGTATGGATGGGCGACTGAGATTGGCGCCAATGTCATGAGACTGCTTGAGAGTTAAGCCTAGGATTATATACAGTGCAATATGAAGAAGGAGCACAGGACTGCGCGGCATGACTACAAGAAACATACACCACGGGCATTACTTTTTGATGGTCGTGATGCTGATAATCATATCTGGAAATTTAATTAGAGCACGGCGGTGTAGATTATTAAGCCCATTTCAGCATCTAAGATCAAACTTCATAAAAGCAGAGAAAGCTGGCATGCTATAGCAATGGGCACTATTAACACGAACAAGTCTGACCATTGCTGAACTGTATCAGGATACGTGAAATTCTGCGAATTCGCGACGTATGTTTACTTTACAAGCGACAATGAAGCTCTACTGATGTTTATTGGTTATCCAAAAGTCCTGCATCCAATAATTCTTAAAGTCGAGCAGACCAGACATAGACCATTTGACTTTCTATCGATATGTTAGTCTACTTGACTGTTGAGGTCTGGACTTGTTGAATGTAGCGTCAGTTTGATTTTTGATTCAATTTCATTGTTACACCGATATCACAATTAATCCTAGATCTCCCATTCCCCCAATCCCTATCTTTTAACCGTTGAGGAGACATCTTTTCTCTCACAGCACAGTTTAAAGTTGCATGACGGAGGAACTGACATTCATCATCGAGAACGCGATTTCTCCCTCCTTATTATCACAAGATATATCTGTCACCAGGAAAGATTCATTAGCAAATAAAGCTAAGTGTTAGCTGACCGGAATAAGAGCCACCGCGACTTATATGACTGTGCCTTTCCCAGTATCACACATTTCAAGACGGCCCTGTTAGTTACCGATCGTAGATTCCTCTAAAGAGATGGCAAGATACTCGCTTACTCGCTTATCTTGAAAGCGCTATTGACTTGCGTTACATTTAAGGCTAACAAAAAGAAACTTTGCGCACAGCTCGCTGGAACTTTGGAAATACTTTACCAGCTCTCTGCGATTTCTTTGGACCTCGCGACATAGAAAACAACTGCTCTTCCATTGACTTGCAATATGAAGTACCGTCCTTCTTGTTTGTCGCCAGCTACCAGACCAGACGCAGCAGTCAGAACCAAGGATTCAGATCCTATTGATGACCGGCAATATCCAAATGCCAAAATCACACATAGACGCTCCACGATTTTCGCTCATATGTCAATAGATTACGTATCGCCACTTCATCGCCAAGCACTCTTGAATAGCGCCCCGCTCTCCACCAAGACATTCCTGTTCAACAACTATTCCAGAAGGGCGCGCATGTACGATGAACACGGTCGAGTGCGGATCGTACATTTCCCCAAATTCTGGTTCTCAAAGTTTCCTAAGAGCGAACAATGCCAGAAAGAAATGCCCGTAGAAAAGCATGTGGACTTGGACAAACCTCTTCGGCGCCGTAAAGTTCTCGTTGCAGGAGCAAAATTTAGCTATGACCACAGTCGACCATATTCGAAATAAACTGTACGTATTATAATCTGAGTGGATTAGACATTTTCTTTTCTGCTATAATCATGCCATAGTCGAGATTGTCTTAGAATCAAAGCTAATCTAGAAGAACGTCTAGATGCTTTTCGATGGTCTTTTCCAATACCTTTCACTCACAATCGAACACCATTACAACCTCAATCTTAACGTCGAGGCTCTACGAGGCTGTTTATCTCGCGAACACTCGACTATGTATCAACATTGAAGCGCAATGCACAGATAAAATCCTCTTCAGCAGCACCCAAGTCTTTTCTTGTTCAGCAATCTTGCCTCAAACGTACAGATGTATCACAATGAAGACTACACGGAGCCAGGATTCTGCTTTGAGTTCACCCTATCGAAACATTCGGTTTCTCATTTCAGCATGCAGAGCTCTCGACATCGACTACTTCTGAAAGTCATCGCGGAGGACAAGCTGAGTTGGACTCAGCGGAATCGGCTCTGAGGAGGCTTTCAATAACGATATGGAAGACTTCGGGAAATGGACTTGGAGCAGGATTGGCATTAGAATCACCATACAGTGACTTTGGGAAGTCACCAGAGGTATCGTCGGGAGACTTGGGCAAGGAGCGATTGGGTTCATGAGTCTCTAAGTATCGGAGGACATCACTAGATCGTCTCTGTTTGCCTTTGAAAACTAGACTTGCATAAAACGATGTCGTTTTCCCTGCTTGGTATTCCAAATACTCTACATTTCCGTGACCTGTGATCATCGAGCCATGGCAGCTGACGTAGCTTCCTACGACTCGTGAAATCGAGCGTATAAAATGGCTAGACTTATTCGCTTTCCAATCCCACTTGCCAGTTCTTTTTGGACCCGCTAGTATCCTTTTCTGCTTTTTGACTAGCGTGTAAAGCGTCTGGCTCTATATAAAACCATCACTTCTCTCCATAATATACTTCACTTCCGTAGCCAAATCCAATTGAAAAGTCATCTCCTTATCAGGCTTACACCTATCTTCCAATGCAAAACCTAAACCTTTCAGCAGAGACTAGCCTCCGGCATGCGCTCAGCGAGAACGGCAAGGCTCCAGCGCAAGATCTCCTAGCACAAGAGGAAGATTTGATCTCCACAGTCTACTCTCGCCAGTCAAAAGATTCGTTCCATGATCAGAAGCTGGAGCAGCAAACCCAAGACACCAGCTCTGCAAGAAGTTCTAGCCATGCTGGATCATCTGGCCCTGCCATTCACAATTCAGCGCCAGACGCCAACCCACCCAGTCCCAACGCAAGGGCTCCGGAGGCCGGCTTTCCATTATCTGACATTACCTATGATGGTGAGTGAACTCGCGTTCGACGGATTACGCTTCGGAAAGAGCTGACAGACTTTTGTTTTAGCGGCGATTGACGAGTTTGTGCATCATTCTGCTTCGTCACGTTTGATACCCTACGACCCTACTATCCATTCTAAGCGTTTGGTTTATGACCCTGGTAAGTATCACGTTGCATGATACTGAAATTGAACATCTACTCATCCATCATAGCCGAATGGATGATAGTAGACGAGAAGCTGAGATTCCTGCCTGATGGAAGCTGCGTGAAAAATTTGAGCAATAGAACGGATACTCTTAGAGCCCACCATGTCAAACTCTTATGGCGTAGGTCGGCAGAAGAGCTGCCAAAGCTGCACGGGTTTTCAAGCGTGCCGATCGAGCTCAGACAACAAATTTGTAAGTCTCCAGGTCTCTAAGGATTTCTTCTTGTTCCTTGCTTTCTTGAGGTCCATACTCCGAAGTAGTTTGGGCTCCCAAGACATGCATATTCACTCTATGATTATGGAAAGGAGGTTTACTGATTCAGAGACTATAGGGAAAGAAGCTCTTCCAGACTCTCGAATTATCGTGTCATCGAGCGAGGCGACCGCCATATACTTTTGCCCATAGATGATGAGTCTCGAGAGGTTTTCCTGGAAAACTACAGCTTCTTGAAGCGAGCTGACGGCTTGGACTACCTGAGTGTGGGGTTACAGGAACGATTCCAGGTCACCACAAAGATTTGCCGCCTAGGGTGCAGTAAAATATTTGTAGATAAGAAAAGAGATACCTTCTTGATCAAACTTCCTGTGCCACCTGGCCTCTTGAGAATCGATTTCAGCCAGGTAAAGTATATGGCCTTCCACGGACCCGACAACTTTACGCCACCAACCTTGGCGCTCGTTTCGCCCTTGACATCTGGATGGACTAGTCTCCAAGCTGTGGACTTCATACTAGGGGGCATTTACTTGGATGACGATATATGGTATTACAAGTGCCATCTTCTAGAGATTGATCATGATTTCATGCACATGGAATGCGGAAATGCAAGTTGGGATCGTTATCCACATATCATTCCTCGAGCACAAAGACGCCTCCAGCTTGCAGGCTACATGGATCGGGCTGATCAAACTCGAGAGACTTATGCGAATTTCACGCAGAGCAATGGAGGTGTGTGGCGTGGGATTAAGATGAGGGTATCTATGATGACGCAGATCATTGGTGCCGCTCACGATCCACGGGACTACTGTTACCGTAATTTCATTCCACGAAACCCGAGATACAGTGGTGTGTGCTTTTCGGCCAAGGTGGACTTCAAGACGGATGCTCAATTGAATGAGAAAGAAATTCATCAATTGTACATCGAGACGTTGGACTGCGTGACGCCCTGTTCCTACGATGGAGCTCTCTGTATCAGGGAAACGGATTATTCTGGCCTGGGCGATCTGATGGACGGGAAATGGATATGAACTGGGAAAGGTTTTGGGCTTTGGCACAAGGGCATCGCTTCCGAATGAAAGCCATTCAGACAGCTGAGATTCCGAGCATCGGTTGGGAATTGGAATAGCCCTACCTTGAGCAGAGTGTCTCTTTCCTGTTGCTTAGGCCAGAGAATAAGGAGAAGAAAAGCGTACATAAAACAGAAAGCAATGAAAGTACGTAAAATTTCATTCTAGCTAGTCACCTTTTTTTGGGCTTCGTTCAAGTACTTGAATCAAACATTTCCACCTTCTACAAATGAGCCTTCCTTATCGCTATCATTTAGTGCCTCTAACTTCCATATATCTAAAGTTTGTGCTCTTCCCGTAAACACTTCCTTCAGATCCTACAACCCGGCTTCATACGATTCTACATTCCTAACATAACAAGCCGCCCTCAACTAATGTCATAAATATCTCGAAATTCTTGTTTCTGTCTTCATACAAGTATTGTACAATGCAAGTCTCGAATCTGAATGGATGGCCGGCGCACCTCCTCATGCGTCTGGCCAAAGCGACCAACCACCAACACAAAGAGCCAATCAAACAGAGACATCAATCCGAGCTATTCAATTCAAAGCCAACCGGTATGCAGCAGAGTATACATTCGTGCTCGAGAGAGAGGCATATAACAGATGATGGATGAAATGCGAAATTGCAGAAAGCAACCTCATCGGCTTTATGACTTGGTGTCTCACGACCCTATTCCCACGCTAGCACACTTGTCACAGATCATTCCCGATTACAGAGGAATTCGCGCATGAATGGAAGGAGCGGTGGAGAGTGTCTGTGGGGTGTGGTAGCGTTCGTAGGGAGGTCTAAGAGCTACAGAGCAATTTGAATCACGATGACTTCATGATACGGGATATCATTTGATCAACTAAACATTTAGTTGTGTGTGGCTCCCAACAACTAGGGTTCAGAAGACTTAATACATCGCATTTGAAATTCTGTGCAGTACGATCGCATGAAATACCCAAGCGAGCCCCTTTTCAGTCCCATCTCTCAATTTCATGAACAATTCTTGATGCGAGGATTTAGCTCAATACCACGGTAGAGCTTCCATCAACAGACAGGTGGGTGTCATAGTCTCTCCCAAGATGTGGAACTCGAATTGATTTCGTGGGGGCGCGCCGCAATTTCAGCTGATCTGCACCACCTCGGGCGGTTTGACGATCTTGTGCAATATTTGATTGCAGCTGACACCCAACCAAAGAAATCATTTAAACTATGGCGATCCCCAAAATCAGAGAGTTGACCTTGTCAAATGACATTCCGCCATGCTCGACGCACTTTCCCCCTCGGCGGAGGATTATCCTCTGTCGGCACCGCCAGGGTGGCTTCAACCTCTCATGAGTGTATGGAGATTCAACACCTCTCAAAGTTGCAAAGCTGATACGTGTTTACTCAGATGATTTGTATTTACTCCATTATTCTCCCGCATGGTGCCATACGGCTCAGTGCAGGTGGTCTTGTATTCGGACTGTTCTTCTATCTTCAATTCTGGACTGCTGATAGAGGGGTCAATGGGTATGCCACTGGGACAGGGTGTGCATCGATTGTTCTTCGATGGCTTGATCTGCTTGTGATGCATCGACCAGAGACGGAATTCTGGTCCGTCGAAGAGATCAAACAAGATGGCAGTCACGTGAAGGTGCAGGCCAAAGTGCCTTTCGATCGGTGGGCCAAGCTGAAGTGGTTTGGCAGTCTTTGGATCGCTTCAAGGTGTGACATATCTTTTATTACTTATAGAGCGTCCAAAATTAACGTAGATAAGAGGTGTAGGGTGGAACATTCAAAGCAGTCAACTCCCTCCACCCGTTGCCAAGGATTACCCAAAAGATCGCTGGCTTTTTCGCACAATTGTCAGAACATTCTCAATGTATCTGGGTTATGATCTAACCTCAAACATTCTTCTCCACATAGTCCGGGAAGGCCCATTTCTTGCCCACCCGATAGCCTGGCAAGTGTTCTACGCGTGGACCAAAGCATTTAGAGCATACTACAGCTTCGAGTCCTCTTACTTCGCACTCGCTATTATGTCGGTGGCTACTGGCATCTGCCAACCTCATCAATGGCCTCCACTTACAGGATCATTCGGTCGAGATGCATACACGGTGAGAAGGATGTGGGGGAGATGCTGGCATCAGTGTATGAGGAGGCCATCTGGTGAAGCGGGCAGAGTCGTGAAAGAAACATTTCGACTGAAAGATGGCACCTATTTGAGTCGATACTCACAAATTTGCATCGGATTCCTGGTTAGTGCACTTTCACATCATGCGGGCGCTACTGTTGGTTGCTTCGAAGACGGTGGGGCTTGGCAATTCACATATTTCATGCTGCAACCTGCTGGTATCATGCTAGAAGATCTCGCAATATATATTGGGAAGAAATGTGGGCTGAGGCCCGATGGTAAGTCTAGTTTTCTGAAAAGGCTGCGTATTTATCGCTGACAAGCTGCAGGACTGACGAGAAGGTTTGGTTTTCTGTGGACTATCTTGTGGTTTTCTTGGACCTTAAGATTTATGGTTGCGTATCAGCCGAACACGTGGGTGACTTCGTATTCAGCTCCGAGCATTATAGGCTACGTAATGCGTCGCTCAATTGGTTGAAGTCAACCCTGTATATCAAAGTTCTGTGGATTATGCGTAAACAGAATGAACAGAATTCAGATACAGATGTTACAAAAACAAGTGGGAAACGATATTGAGGAGTGCGTCTCTGGTTTCTAAACGTGTTTGAATGTATTTTTTTTAGACGGTTGATAAGATAATCGAGTCACACAGATGTAACACAGGGTTGGGGGAGCACCTGTCCTTCAAGATCCTCCATCATCTTTCGTCTTTCAATCTGAGACTGTGAGTGTTGTATTAGCCTCAGAAAGAAAGACAAATACCGAGATCTGTTTGAGTAATCATGCACAAGCCTTGGTCGCCGTATGGTTCATGGACCAGCTAGTAGAGATTGGAGAATCCACTCTCTTTGCCTTCCACGAAATCTTTCGAAATGTGGGCACAGGCACTACCCACGCTTCTCGCTTATTTACCCCTATACTTACGACTTTTTCACAACGTCAATGTCGGACTACAGATCGTGCTTTGAATTCCTCGGACATAATTTGAAGCATTGTCAGGTGGTCGGAAGAGAACGAATGTCAATCGCGAGTTTGAGGCAGATATCTCCAAAGAATTTCAATGTGAAAGGTCACGAGATTAAATTAACTGCATTCATACGAGCATGGAGAGAGATAACTTCAATTGAGGCAAAAGCTAGTTCCAGAAAAGCGAAATTCAATATCATTCCACCATTCTATCTACGCCGACCAAGCTTAACCACGTCTTCATATCCCGAGGCCTTCTGTCCAAAATCTCTTGTCGGTGCTGAGGGGCGACGAGGACTGACAGCCTCCGCCGTTCCCAGAAGATCCATACCTTAAAGGATACGTTACGAATCGCAGAAGTTACAAAGTGCTTTTTCGGTGGAAGGAGTGAGGTAGCCGAAGCTCTGCTGTCGTGACTGGGTAAAAGTTAGCTTTGGATAGATCCAAAAAGGATAACTCACACGAACCATGACTACCTGACACCATCTGGCGTCTTAAAGACTAGCCTGAGTATCTTCGGAATGGTGGTAGGAGGGATTGAAACCAGCCTCTCGGGGTTGAATCTTGCGACCACTCTCCGCCGGGTGCCCATGCTGTATTTGCCGCAGGATCGATGGGCCAGTTCTCGTTGTCCTGATCGCTCGGCTCCCAAGTAATGTTCGTTGGTGCAGGAAATGATTGGTCGAAGGCTTCCCGAGCAGAAATACGGCTTAATATAGTCCGCAAATGGGTCGTGCCGCCCAATTTCACCGACGATTTTCTGAGTGCCCGATCGTAGTCGCCAAGACTTAGAAGTGACCATACAGTAATACGTCGAGTTTTTTTGACTTGCTTGTTTAAGGCAACCTCGACTTCTTCGATCTCTTTCCGCAGCAGCTTCTTTTTGCCTGCGGTCATGTCTTCTCCACGAAGTTGGAGCACGGTGTCTAGAAGGTCCGAGTCGTCATTCTCTTGGTAGACCAAACGTAATCTCTTGAGCCCACGTAGGGACGCAAGTATATGGTAGTCCTGCGAGCTTCTGACAAAGTAGGAAGCCAACAAGGTGATGTCTAAAGTTAAGAATCGTAGATCCTTTAAGGTGGATAACATGGCGCAAGGAGAGCCGAATTTCTGGGTTGGATCGCAAATCAGCTTGATGTGGCGGACGGCTTGTCGACGACGACGTGGAAGGGACTTCAGATAGTCGACCAAGGTCTGGTAGATGTCGAATTCGAAAATGTTCAGCTTGTAGAACAAGTTTCCGTCATCTATGAACTCTTTGAAAGTCTTGCAGACCAGTGCAACATTGAACGCTGTGAGAGCCACTGGTACGATGTTCCGCCATTGGGGGTTTGCGCGCCGAATATTAGCGACTGACTGGCCTTTCAGGAAGAACTTAGAGTCTCCCCATTGCAGCAGAGGCTTGATTGTCCCAGAGTATTGGCAGACTTGTTCTAGTATCAAGATCAATATGTCCGATGGAAGGTCTATCAGGGAAAGTCTTTGCTGACGAGCTGGCGTGGCGGCGTTGGGCGCAACATTCGTGGCTCCTGTTAGTGTTGTGAGACAATGTTACTTCTAGCTATAAGATCGGTCATCATACCTGTGGCCTCCATGAAAGAGGAAGGTACAGTGCAGTCGTTTGGTTCTGCCATGTTGCTTGCGATCCAGTGATGGTGTTGGGAAGAAGTTGAAGGACTGAAGCAAAATGCCACGAGCGCAAAATATATCGTCAAGGACCCGAATCGCTAGTGCACACAGCCCCAGCTTTACTACGGCACAAGAGAAGCTCATAGGTGCATGACAGTTTCGGATTGCTAGGCGAATTCAGAGTATGAGATGAAAGGGTGGTATTATGACCGTTGCGTTTGGCGAACGAAGCGACAGTTATTTGCTTCTGTTCTTGAAGAGTCCGTCATGATGAAGTGTATAACACCAGTTAGTGCTACAAATTCAGTATACAAAGGAGAGTTTCACGCTCACTCTCGCAAGTGATGGACACACCTGAGTACTAGATCAAACCTGGAGGGGTATCAGAAAGTACATTGAAACAAGCACTTGCCAAAGCACTTGATCCCGGCCCTATTTCCACCGTATCAGCATACAAATACTGTTTAAAAGTTACTTCTGGTATCGTCTAACCGTCACATAATATTAAGTATAAGACCAAGAGAGCAGCTACCGTTGATGACGATTTTCATGATTGCAAAATCTACGCGATGCAAAAAAAAATCAAAACGCTAAAAATCCTCGTTTACAGTCCATTCCGCCAAGGACAACAAGACTCCAGAAGTACAAGATTCCACAGCCCTGCCAAAGACAGTGAGCCTTTCCAATCCCTTCCGAATATGCCAAGCGCCAATAATGCACCAGAAAAACAAAACTTTCGAGTGTGGTGAGTGAAATGTAAAGTAGTGATCTGCTGTCCGTAAAAGTGATCTGCGAGTATATTCTGGTCGGATAATGGCATTCATTATCTCATTAGCGAGGAGGTCGCATGTATAGTGTACCACGCCATATCAGAAGATCTTTGTAACCCTGTTAGCATGTATATTCTGTGAGAATATTGAATGATACTCACGTAGTGCCACGAAGCAGCAAGCCTAGTTCTCAATTTGTTGATCGACGTAGTGATTGACTGTGTAGATTGGGTTCTCCTGCTCATGTGGGATTATTCGGGGTCATCCTCTAAGTCGTATCCAAAACCGATGTTCTCATCTGGATCTGTCTCACGAAACTAAGCAGAAGCTAGTGGGGTTGAAGACTGGCTTGAGGTGGGACAGAGAGGGTTCGCGGGAGCGTAAGTAAATAGTCTCCATCAACAACTGTAGAATGACTGAAGGCTTGAGCCAACCCAGCTGCAGATGGTAAGTAATCAGCTGGTTGGGGAAGTCGGACTAAATCAGTGATCATGGTCTCGATTCCGGTAATCTCGAGCTGCATGTCAAGCTTGTTTTGGTCCGTGGCCGGAAGGCCGCGGACTCGTTCGAGAACAGTGACCACGAGATCCCAGGTTGTGTTCTCCCAGGCCGAAGTACTACCTGAACTGTATATCAGAGTGAGGGATTTGAGGCCACGTAGAGCGACCAATTGCGAGTAACCTGGAGCCACATGGATGTCGGAATTCAGCGGGATCTCGAAGAAAGCTGCCAGGTGGGTGATATCAACTGTCAAGTTACAGAGTCCCGAGCAAGTTGAAAGGGCAAGGAATCCTGAATCTGGATGATAAAAGTCCCACATGACGCTGATATTTCGAATTGCTTTGCGGCGGCGCGTCGGTAAAGCTTTCAGGTAGTCCAGGATGCACAAAGTGTTAGAGAACTCGAAGTTGTTATATCTGTAGAAGAGGCTCTCGACATCAACGATGTTGTTGAAAGCCCTGCAGGTGAAAAGGAGATCAATCGCAGTCAAGGCTTCTGGCAGCCGGCCATTAACTCTGGCTGGGAAACGAAACGTCTGTCTCGTATTCAAGGTGATGCATTTATAATATTGGCCGAATTGAGAGGATCCAGGTAGCCAGAGCTCTGGTCGAATCGTTTCGGTGGAGGTACAGGCATATTTCAAGATCTTGAGGAGGATTTCGTCAGGCAAACGGAGAATGGGAGGCGCATTTGCGCTCGGGGGGCTAGGCGATGTAGCCATGGTCGTGAGTATATGGTTCTCTTACTCCAAGAGGTAAGGAGATTGTGGAGTAGAACCTGCGTTTGCGATGTGAGTTGTTGCGCTCCGTGGATGAGTAGAGGAAGAGGAAGCAGCACTCGAAACTAGCGAATAAAGTTCTTATACGAAGTAAAACACTACTATTATTTCCATCCAATGATTTTTTCCCTTCGGAAAAGTCCCAAAAATGGTGAGCTGGTACCTGTGAGCGTGCACCTGTACATCCGGATTCTTAGTGCCCAACATTTGGGAACATGTGGCAACTGAATTTTTCCAGACAAACAAGACCTTGCGGGGACCGATGATCAAGATGGATCATGAACAACACAGATAGGATTTTCTGAAAGTGCATCTACTCGCAATCTGCTCACAATGCCTGTCTAAATCATATTATGTCCCCTCTGTCACGTGGTCAGACCAGACATTCCAGGTTCTTGATGCAAATACTGCAAATTTCGCTCTCTTTGGTAAGAGCGATCACAGGTTCCATGCAGCACTTCTGAGTGAAGGCTTCGCGTGGTTTGAAGAAGAAGGAACTTTTCAAGCGAAGCCGAGTCGCTGAACGGAAAGAATGCAAAGATGGAGGCAGCAACTGGGCGTCACTGAACGCCATCAAAGAGAAACATCTCAGAAGCAGGGGCACGCATATACTATACGTCGTCTCAACCACATCTTGAGCATTATCGGAGACAATTGCAAAGCAGTGCAGGAAGCAGAACGGACAATGTTGATGAGATGACATTAGCTCGCTCAAACGGGTTAGCAGCCAATCACGTTCTGCATCATTTCCTCCATCGATCGAAAGCAATTTCACTGTTCTCCCATCGCTGTCACAGTTCACAAAGATCATGGTGATTCTTCATGGATATTGTATACCAAGTGGTAGTTCAGTCGAACAGGCTGCACAGAGAACTGGCATGGAGCAGAAGGGACTCTCGGGCATACCAACTTTCTGCGGTTCTATGAGGAGAACAAGAATCTAAATTGGCTATAGTACCCTCTTCTATTGTATATTGAGTGGTTACTAGGTATCAAAATTATCACTACAGGGCAATTCACCAAGGATTTGAGGTGACCTCAGACGTGGGTTGGACATTGTCAAAGTTCAGGTCAGCCGGAGCTCGTTTCGTGACAATTGCAGGCAAGTTTGGGTGCAAGTCAGCAAAGCTTTGCTATGGAATGGAGGATTCTTTAGGTAGCGTCACATTATGCCCAGTTGTCATTGGTGCTGCAGTCGGGCTTCGAGACTCTTTGCGCCTGGTTGACCTGAATGAACAGTCACGTTCTGTCACATAAAAGCAGAGGGATTGACTATTTCCTGAAGTAACCAGTTCCATAGCATCGCTACCAGGACCTTAACATCTCCAGCACGACCTCAAATCTGTGTTGTGATGCTGCTGTCTGATCACGTGCTTTTCAATGTCCGGAGTGCTAATTTAGAGGGCTTGATTTAGAGTCTCCGACGAAGTCGGAGACTTATAGGCTCCGAAGGAGCTGACTAATCTACTCGTGACCTTTGGTCACGTGCTCCGATAACGGGAGCTTTTTCAATGGCAGGGCAAAGTCTTTAAGTTGTTCCTCATGACATTTCTTACGATGCTGTCTAAATATACATCACTCAATCAATCCTCTGGCCCTAAGAAGCAACGATTTCTCATCCGGGATTTGATCAGCTGCTATCACTGATATTAACTAATCATTCGGCTGTGGCCAAGCCTGATTACTGTTCATGTCACAGTGTGGCTTGAAGCCCACCCGTCATGACTGAGCACCCCACCCACTAGTGCGGGGTTGCAGGCAGCGGATCAGGGGCCGTAAGTACAATGTCGTCGCAATCTCGAGGTCTGGTCCAAGTCTATCTCCGTGTCTAGAAGGTCGATCAATAATCTGCATACAGTCTCTTATCTATTGCCTATTGCCTATTGCATTTCTGTCTGTTGCTTAGAAGGTGCCATCTATAAGCACTTATTCCGAGGTGTCTGCTATCGAAGCAGTGCATCACAGCATCCCGAGATGTCAGAACGCAGATGTATCAGAGCTTCAGTTTCGATACTTAAGAGACCCTCTTCCTTCTTGAGAAGCTCTTCACTCTACATCAACGCGCTTCTCAATCATTTCTACTTCAGTCACAACATTCCAATTCAACAACAAACGCCAATACTAGAACAAAACCTTCCCAGACTCAATCAAATCCTGCCAATATGAAGATCACCGGTCCTCTCGTCGAGATGCTAGCTCGCAACAAATTATTCGCTCAGAAATATCAATCACCACCTCCCCTTATGGAGATGATCAAGGGGATGCGCGCCTCCGGAGCTGGTGTCGTCGTCCTGTCTTGCTCAGACCCTCGTCTAAATCCCTATCAGGTTTTGGGCATTGATCCCACCCTGAGTATGGAACCTTACCCTGCCCTGCATTTGAACTAGAGCTGACTTACTACAGAGGCAACTATGATTCGTAATGCTGGAGGAAGAGCATTCGATGCTATCAGAACCATGGCTGTTCTTCAGACTATTGGAGCACCTGGAACGATTGTTGTCATGCACCATACTGGTCAGTCATTGAAAGATCTCTTCGATATATATGTCAAGACTAATGGTTGCAGATTGTGGTATGACGCATTTCCATGATTCGGCCATCAAGACAGCATTGCTCGAGATTGCGCCCGAGGCGAAGGCCTCAATCGAAACTGCCAAGTTTGGAGAGATCACTGGCTCGTGAGTTTAGGTCCCCAGGTGTTTGATACTATTGGTCTAATGTGTTTGTAGAATTGAGGACAGCGTCAGAGAAGACATCGCTCTCATCAGAGCTTCTCCCTTGATCAAGAAGACCACCCAGATCGTGGGACTCAAATATGATATCCACAGCGGTGTCCTCACCCAGGTGGATGAGAACAAGAGCGAGCTGTAGCTAGAGTATCTTTTGGGGCGAGGGATGTGAGACTGAAAATTATAGAATTTTAGATGGCTGCACTGTAGAAGTAATAATAATCAGTTTTCTGCAAGCTTGATTTCCCCAAACCTTGATCAGTAGCGAAGCAAGACTGAACTTACCAATTTTCTAGTGAGATAGAGCTCACAGGGATACAGTTGATAACTTCCAGGATTCGTCTTATCTTTTGCTGGAAGATGAGTTAGCTAGTTCAAAGCTCAATACCCTCAAACGTTTCCGAGTCAGACTATTCCGTGCTTCGTAAAAGTCCACCGAGGAAAAAGGTGGGCGGAGCACTGTGCTGCGATATCCTGATAGGAGTTGGGTTACGGCGGATGACTGAGTGGAGCGGAGATGATGGAAAGGGGATGGTGCCAAATGAGAACCAGAAAATCATTTAGAGGCATTGGATGATGCTAAAGGAGATCTTCCTTGTGTGCTGTTGAAGAACTAATCTCAGACATTCACTTTCTTTATATTCAAGATCTGGACCGAGATTGGTTCTGCGCATTTCGCGCTCATCGCGCCCATACCGCCGTGTTACCTGATCTCAACTCAGATTCAACAAAACTCAATCATAATATTCATAATAGGTTGAGACCTCATTCTGGATCATAGATTAATGAACAGAAGAAGGGGAGCGTGGTGTAAGTCATCACTTTTCCAAGACGCAGAAACGATGAAAGTGACTTGAAGTCTGAATGCAATCAATTTTGGGAAATGCAAGTACATTCTCCTTCCTCAAGTGCCTAAACAAGAAGGGGGGAGAATACATGCGCACCCTGTATTGACATCTTCTCAGACGCGACATCTTCCAGCTGAAAACCACGGTGTAGATCAAGCCTTGCGTCGGCGATCAATATCCTTGAGGGCGAACGGGTCATCATGCTTACCACCTTCAGCCTTGAACGCAGCTTCTTCGTCAAGCATTTTCAGATATGCGGTTTCGGCACTCTTCTCTGTATGAATCTCAAGGAATGGATAGCCATAAGTCGTATATAGCTGTTGAGTGATGAGAGTCGGAGGAGGAGCGGTAATAACTCGTTCGAAAATGGTAGCGTTCAAGAGCTGGACGTTGAAGAATATCGTTTCTTGATGGTCCCAACTAGAAGGCTCGAAATAATCCCGCATGATTGTCTGCTGAATCCGTCCACCAGGAGCAAATGTCATTTCTTCTTGCTTCTTCTGTTGTTTGGGATTCATCGTAGGCTGAATGTCGCCCCGAGGTCTGCAACGGTGAATATGAATAGTCGTCGTCTAAATCAGCCTATCAGCGGGATGCTGTCCATTTCATCACTGTGTGGCTTACTTCCTGGATTCCTTCGATTTTCATGGTGCTACCTAGATCCAAAAAGCATTGGTTGTGAATCACAGAAAGGGGCTTTTGCGGTCGGTCTTACCATCTTCTAGTGGCTCGTATTTGCCAAGGTGTTGCTTCAAGACCATGTCTTCCGACAGAAGATCCCAACCGCGTTGAACCAGAATCTTGTATGAGATCATTCTCTTCAATTCCAAGATAGTGGTTGTCTCGAGGACTACGAATGTCATTGCTGCGCCACCGCACCACTTCACGAGAATTTGCATCGTCTTGGCAAAGGAAGTTTGAACCAGCCCTGGATCTAATTGATGGAGTAGTGTAATCTCGAACCGAAGGGTGGATATTGCCTCTGGGCTTGTCGATTTGGCTGGAGTAGCAATAAATTGCATGATCGTGCTGCCATCATCACTCATCACGCCATCGACATAATGCTGTGAGCCAGAGACTACATAATCCTGGGTGGAAGGCAATTCTTGGCAAAATTTCTTGCCTTCAGATTTTCCTGATACTACATTGATGCCCCTGAAATGTATCTTGATTCGGAACGGAGTCTTAGATTCCAGATTGATCCACAGCGCTTCCCTCTCTAGGATATCGGTGAGTTTATCTCCACTTGTGCTTTTCAAACACATCGAAGAAAGGGTATATGGTACGTACCATACATAGGGATGAATGCTCCACGCTTAGCTACCATCTGATCAGGCAGCCGAGTCTTATGCTCTCCCACGGTATATATTGGGAAAGCTCCGTGGTCAGTTCGCAAGTAATGGTCGTAGGCTCGCTCAGGTATGCGTACTGTTCGTCGGAAGCTGATGTCGACGGAGGAGAGGTTCGTTTCCCGCGGCTGACTTCGGGAGATTCGAATTATGTCTTTTACACTTGATCTCGGCATTGATTCTTCTAAGGTGATGTTGAGCACCATGATGGCGTATGATGGCTCACTAGAGATTGCCGCTGAATTGCAGGTTAGAGAGTTCAACCTAAATGTTGCGCAGGCTTGCTCCCAGCAGTGTGTACAATTGAGTAGTACTCAATAGCAAATTCCCAAATATCTACTCAACTCAACGCTAGTGAAGTAGCATGACTACTCTACTAAGTACTACTCACTACTACTCAATAGCACTACTCAATAGTAATTCGGATGCAAGTTATTCCGTTCCGGACAAACGTTAGCGAGGCACTAAGCTATTATAAGCTAAGAATTTTTCGGATTTACTGAATTTTAAAAGCCGAAATTTTACTTAATACTTATTTATAGTACCAAGGACCGGATTATCTAAGTCGGCCTCTATTGAGTAGCATTGAGTAGTTGAGTACTACTCTACTCAATAGCTTAGTCATGCCTCACAAAACTACTCATACTCTACTCAACTCAATACTACTCAATATTTTATTGAGTAGTTAAGTAGATTTTGTACACACTGGCTCCCAGGTATCTGTAAATCAGTAGTAAGATAAAAGACAGCTGACCTCTGAAGGATGCTACATTTATAGCACTGTCACGCCAAACTTTCCACTCTCGATCAGCCCACGATGCTTAAGAATGTGCTAGAAGAACACATGCAATTGCCAATGCAGACACGAAAACACAATATGCAGCATGAGGCGCTCATCGGCTCGAAACTACGTGCAGGCTGTAGTCTGAAGTTACAGAAGCTGTGGAAGTCAAAGCACGGCCTCTCCAATGCAGAGTCTTTTGTGTAGTCCATGAAAAGCATCCAAGCACGTACTAATCAAGTGAGACGGTGCACGGAAATGAGGAGACAAATCACGAGGAAAGAAAATCGTTCTCATTTCATCCGCCTTCGAGAAGATATACGGAGCCCTACAACGCCGACGCGTTGGTTCGGCTCACCCGTGGCAGGTCTTTCTTCTGACATATGACAACTCGTTGTCTAGGAAGTTCTATGCTAAGATAGGACACAACGATAACAGAGGCTGAAAGGACACATGTAGACCTCCAGATCCCACTGAGGATAAGCGGTGCAAATTTGTGAACTCCGAATACACTGTTGATTAACCTGGAGCAATAGATACTTTCCCTACATATTGCGACCTCCTGTAACCATGATAATTTGCCCAGTGATGTAACTGAACAGGGGACTAGCTACAGCCAAGATACTGCTTGCAGCTTCCGTAGCCGTCCCAGCTCTCCTCAACGGAATATCAAGATTCGCATTCGCCGATTGTGAGCCCTGTCCCTTCGGTATGCCCAAAGCAATCTTCTCTCCATCCGGCGTAGTGACAAACGCACCATCTTCCTTCGCAGCCGTCAATCGTGTCAAGATATGTCCGAAAGCAATCGAGTTGGCTCTGACGCCGAATTTTGGTCCCCATTCCTTAGCAATGACTTTCGTCAAGCCGTTTATTCCTGCTTTCGCGAGACCGTAATTGGCTTGTCCGGCATTCCCGTGGACGCCGGATGTAGAGGAGATGTTGATTATGCATCGTGGCTCGCCGTCAGTGACGCGGAAGAAGGGAGCAGCTTCCCGGACGAGTTTGAATGGGGCGGTATTGTGGAGAGCAATTATGTTTTCCCATTGTTTGTCGGTCATCTACAAGCACCGTCAGCATCTGCCAGAAGAGCACGGATAACCTGGCTGGAAGTGTATTTACCTTGTGAATTACACCATCCCATGTGTATCTATGAGACAATTAATAATGTAAGGCTTATGGATGGTGGCTATTGTTGGATGTACCCCGCATTATTCACGATGATGTGAATCTTTCCATTTCCAAATTCCGCTGCCTTTTTCACAAGTGTCTTGATATATTCCGCATCTAGCATGTCACCTGGAACTGCGAGTGCCTTCCCACCCGACTTGTTGATGTTCTCGGCGACCTGTGCTGCTTTCGCTGCCCAACAGTCAGCAATGTGCTTGCAGATTAAAATGGAGCTCCGTACCAGCATCAATGTCGGAGACTACGACTCTGGCACCTTCATTGGCAAAAAGGCGAGCTGTTTCAGCGCCAATGCCTTGTCCTGAGCCGGTGATGATAGCTACTTGACCGGCAAGGAGGCCTTTGGGGTAGTTGAGATGGCCGGCGATTTGGGCTGCACGTTCCGCCATTGTGGAAATAGGATTGTATCTGCTTGAGCTGCAAAATCCGAGAAGCCTCAAGGAGGAAGATGAAGAAAGTGGTGGTTCATAAGTGGTGGAGTGAGTCCTGTCATCAAGTTTGTGGGGAAGGAATCACGCTGCCGGAAGCCGAGGCTATTTTGGTGCAGCCTCGTCTAACGAGGCTGCACATTCGAAGGTAAATTATCGAGATGCATGACACATATCAGTCTTTAGTGAAAAGTCTCTGATAAGTATCTACAGAAAGAGGAAGGAGACCATAAGAGATCGGCTGCAGATATCCATCTCATCACGATCAAGCACGAAGAAATGGATTACGGTACATCTAATCTTATGTCTGCTGCATAGAATAGTCCATGTATGCGCCGGTTGAACTACACAGATACACTGTCCTTTTTCTATTCTAACAGACCAGCCCAAGGATGTTGTGGTGGAAATCAAATGCTTTGAGTAGTCCATACAGATGCGACCCTGCAGCCATAACAACTAGTACATGAAATATTTGGTGAGAGCTCCCCCAGATATCAAAAGAACCAGGCCAGGATCTTTCAGGCCAACGAGCCTAGTCACGTTAAGTCAGATCACCCCGCCGACTCAAAAGATAATGATAGAAGAAAAACATACTGCGTATAGTCCAGCTCCAAGGATATAGAGAAAGCCTTGTAAGACCAGCCATGTAAGTCCGATTCGATCTTTCATATCTTCAATGCCATACATCTCCACACCATGAACAACAGGGAAAACAGCTGAAAGACCCATCAAGACAAACATGCCAGCTCTATACGGTCGCCAGGCTGGAGTTCGGAAGCGTTCAAAAACAGATACTGAAGCGCATCCAATTCCGAGAGAGCATATCTACAATGTTCAGCTAACATCATTTCTTCATAGGATATGTGACTTGCCATGGTCCAGTAGAATTCTTGCAAATGAGGGTGACAATAGAATCCATAGTAGATACTTGGAATGAAGCTACCAGTGATGAGGAAGACTATGCCAACGTAATCCAACTTATTGCCAAACTTAGCAACCATTGGAGAGTGATTTGATATGGCATGATAGGTTGCAGACATGCCCAAACATGCAGCTGCGCCGGCAAAGAAACAGCCAAATGCGAAGATATCTGCCGAGGTTGCGGATGGGTATCTTGGCTTGATAGAAGCGTACAGTACAGTCCCAATTCCAGAAAACATGACAGCACCTAGCAGATGAGAGTAGATGTTGACCGATTCATTGTGAATGTAGCCGAGGCTTGCAAAAGAATTCTTGAATGAGGCTGAAGCTGGGCGGTAGCCGGAATGAATATAATGATTGTCTTGTTGCCACGAGGGCAAGTCATCCCATAGCACTGTTAAAGCATTCTCTATGCTCTTCTCAAGGTTCTTTGCGGCGTCGGTGATGGCCTCGGTCGTTGACGGTCTTCTCTGGCGAAGTGACATGTGATGGTGATGTAACAGAGACAATAACAAGAGAATGGAGATGCGAGGTGATCAATCTACAAATTGAATTCAGCAGAAGTAATGAAGAATCAAGAACTATGAAAGAACCACATACAACAAATTTGAAGCTTAGGAAACCGTTGAGGGTGGAGCAACATCGACGGGACGTAGCTGCTGGATTAGGGGCTGGAATCTAAGCGAGCCGCTAACAACCCTCGCGGAATGTCTGCAACATCACAACCACTTCTTCTTACATGCCGGACTTCCTACAACCAACAACGCGGTCGAATCGATGTCGTCGCGTGGAGGTCGCGCGCCCTCAGCACCATGGGGGCGGTTGAAGCAGGTCAGTATCGATCCTCTGGAGTCAATCGGCTTGCCATCAAAGGGCGACGACAGGTAAATAAATGCCCCGCCGGCCCAGCGCATTTCCTCAGGCTAGTCGCTGATGACAATAGGCTTCTGAATCACCGCGTACAAGAGCAGTACTACACGAAGATTGTCGAGCGCTTTATGGCATTCTGCTCTGATGCAGGCCGTGGCGACGAACTTTTGCGCCGACTCGCCCAACTCGAAATATCACCAGAGAATGGAAAGAGCCATACGAGGTCCTCAATCGCAACAGATACACGAGTGGAAAGCATGATGGCGGGCTTCGAAACATCCAATGAAAAGGATATATCCTCCCTTATGATGGGTATGCGTAAATTACGTGAAGGCATTGTGGCTTCGAAACGTGTGGACGATTTCTCCATGCAGGCCTATATTTTCTGTATACGATTGTCGATACAAGTAAAGCATATGGAGTCTTACCACCCGGCAATCTTACATCTCCTGAAGCATATGCACACAGTCCAACCCCTCACCAATGTGGAGTTGCAAGAGTTTGTTGGGTACTTAGTCCTAGATCTCGCATGCCGACAGAATGATTTGGCGCAAGCATATTTCGTTAGACATACTTATGGACTGCACGATTCCAAGGTCGACGCAATTCTTCATGCGCTTTCTCACGATAATTACTTTCTGTTTTGGCGAGTCAAACACAGTGTGGATGGTTTGAAAGCCAAGGTCATGGAATTTGCAGAGGATGCTATCAAAAGGCAGGCGCTGAAGTGTCTGGGTCGCAGTTACTTGGTCATCGATCAGAAATCACTCGAGGAGTATACCAACACCACCTGGCAGGTGCTGGTCAGAGATTTCGGTGTCGGCTGGCAACTGGATGGGTCTAAGGTCATTATACGAAAACCTAAAGGACGATGACATAGATTCAGTTCTCCTGCTCGCATCTCGACACAGACCTGGATGATATGTTTGGCCATTGGTTATACATTCGAGCCACATCCCACTGACGTCTTCTGGTCCGGATTCAGTCCGCTATAGGTGCAGCTTCCAGAGCCTATCACCTCCGGTCAACAGCTACCCAGTCAATCTCCACGCTTGTATCTCAAATCTGGTAGGCATGTCTAGTCAAATTTATAATGGCATACCAACTTACAAAACCCAAGATTCAGATTACATCTACGACGAAGACATAATCAACGACATGTACGGTGGAACATTCGAATATCGGAAAGGTGATCCACATGGAATGGATCTACTATTCTTATGATGCCATGGACGGCCGTTGACCAGATTGATGATTATATGGTCATCGTGAAAATGGCAGATTGGACTAGCAGGCCGTAAGATGAGAAATTCAGGCGCCTGCGCATCGCAATGCTTCCTGGCGCGGGTGGTCTATCTTGTCCGCTGAAGAGCATCGAGGTTCAGTCAACGGCTCCGTCTTCTGAGCCATAGTAGTAAGTCTGAATGTTCACGAGCACAAAATGCATAGAACATCTGTCTAGTCTTTTCATTTTCCACTGCTGTACAGTATAGCGATGTCCACAATGTCCACGAAGTCGTGCTGTTTGTATTCTTTTGTGTCTTGTCTACTTCAATCCCTAAGCCGACTGCACTGAGCTGTTTTATCCTTATGATTTTTAGTGAACTAGTGTTGAAGTCTCCATACTTATAGGTGGATCCTGGTCATCTCGTACATCCCTTAAACCCCATTTCTTGGGCGCTTTGTATTGCACATCGCAGTCCAGATCTTGGGACTGATCCTTCGATTAGTTCTGCTGTTATTCTCTTTAGCCAAGAAAGTTCGGATAGATGAAGGCTTCCAGACCTTCTGATCAGGGATAGTCAAGTACTAAACCGCCATCTGCTGCACATCGCAGCCAATGTCTTGGGACCGGAAGTCCTTGGGTTACCTTCAGTGCTATGTTTAGTTTGCCTTGTATGGCTATTATCGGTACAGCGAGAAGAATAGCGATGAGGTTCTCAATGAAGCTCGGAAGCTTCGGAAGTGCTAAGATACCAGCACGACTAGCTAATGACCTGGACCTACTCGGCATGTCACTTCATCTGTTGTACTGCTTTGGTGTTAGTTTCACACGTTGAGTGTCATATGCTTTGAAGACTTTCATCGTTGTTGCATGTCGCAGTCAACACGGAAACTGTATTGTGCGTTCTAACTCCCGCCTTTAAACAGCCCATGAACCAATTTCTACAGCTTTACCAAGTACAGAGTTGTGTTGCATGTCGTAATCAACATGGAAATTAAGTTGTGCGTTCTAATTCCTAATATGAAATTGGGCATGAACCGATTGCTACAATCATACCAAGAACAGAGATGTGTTTCATATAGTATATTTTGAGGATATTCATGTGCGGCATGGCAGATTTCATCACACGCACCTTCCAAGACAACGAATAATCTTTCTATATCCGTACTCAATCGTACTCTCGATTCTCTGCGCCTCTTCCTTCCCTCAGAGCCTTCCTTTTGCTAATGTCTATCGTTCCATCGGATTCCAAGAATATCGGCAATATACAATTGAAGTTGTTGCTCATCCTCTGCTGTGCGCGCTCGAAGGCTTCTAGTAAGCCACTAGTATCGTGTTCTCCATTAAACAACCCTTGTCCGTAGTATCCTCGCTTGCTCTTCTCTTGGTGCTTCCGAGAAGTCACTCTCCACACGACGAACATCGTTTGCACCACACCCTACTGTCTTCTCCTGATGATTAGACGAAAGGACATTTCATCGAAAGAAAAATGAGTCACAATTCTGTCAACGTGGGTATCGTCGCTTTCCTCCAGTTCCAAGTCCGCGGCGGTGTCCCACTGTGCTTTTTACTGTCAGCGCATTTTATCAAGCTCGACCAAATACTTTCTTTTCTGGTCAGATAACATAACACGCGTTCCTTAGCTATGCGACGGTTTTATTTCCCATTGTGACATCAAAATCAGAAATTCGTGCGTGTGTCGTAACACGAGACCATGCTCGGTAGAAATAATGTTCTAGATTTCTTGGGCATCCGAGGTTATATACGGTTCTCGTGGCCGGGATGCTTTTTGGTGCGAGACCCTTTCGTGGCTTTATTTGAAACAGCCCATATGACTTCTAGAGTACCCTCTCATCCCTCGTTGTCACGATGATTCTTGATGTTGGCAGACGATGTTCGCGGTACGCATGGTGACAAAGTTTTGAACTATGATTACTTTATCACTATCTACATTATGCTATGATCTACTCCACAAACCTTCTAAACTCCAGCGAATCTGACGTCTGGTTCAAGCCGGACGGGAAATTTGCTCTTTTGCGTGGAGAACGATCTACATGCGTGGTAGAAGATTTTGGTGCTCTCTCTCAAGCAGAAGTCGTCGCCTGACTAGCGCCAAACTGCCCCTTTTCTTACCTATCACGTGCAAGTACCTTCACCAACTGCTGTGAGCTTGTTGGGAAGCCCGAGGCACCTCGTTAAAATCGGGGATGTGGCGCTTTGTATTGAAACACACTGGTCTTGAATATAAAAAATCTCTCACCTGGGCCTGAAAGTTTTGTTGTGTATATATGTACGAACAGAACTTTTTCCCAGAAGTTAAAAACCTATCCTGTGCTGGATAGTAAGCGATTAACAACTACAATCAATCAGAGGGGAGGTGTTCGGTTAGTTCCAAGCCTCAGCGGCTGTTTGTTTTCTCTCCAGTCTTTGTTCTGCTTCGGAGATTTGCGCTTCCAGCTCTGGCGTGACGATTTGTGGAACTGGTGGCTCCGGTTTGTCTCGAGGATGGCATCTTGGTTGATATGCATTTTTATTGCTGGACGAACTGATTTCACGTTTAAGTGTACCTGTCTTATCCAGCGTACTCCAGTGAGACGCGGCATTTGGTTGTCCCTGCCAGGAAATGCCATTTTGGAGAGCATTTAACATCTCATCCAAATCTTTCAACGCAGTATATCCGGTTCTCAATCTCAGCGCCGCTTCATTGAGGACAGGCAATAAGAAACTCCACTCGCGATAGTATTTTAGACATCTACGCAAACAAACAGGACACGATTCTGGTGTCCCGCCACATATGCTTGGCTTTCTGGATGGCTGGCAAGGTCCAGCGTCCCAGATATCGGTGTCGATGTCGTATTCTAGCCAGTGGGCGAGTGCTTGGACAAGGTTGCGCTCGTGGTCGAGGCTGTGTTGCCAACGAGCTTTCTTTTGCTGGGCTTGAAGGATCAAGCTGTCGTTGTGTTGTTTGTCGTTCATTGTTTCTCGGTAGGCGGAGGGGTTCGGGCTGAGGGCTGTGTGTCTTTCTTGCCGCTGGACGGGAACGTCTGCTTTTTCATGTGGATGTGGGCGTGGTCCCTTCCCTGCTGAAGAATAGTGAGACAGGAGGTTGTAGTCTTCAGTAGCGGTCTGCAGGTCATCTGAGCGGCAACTTTCCGAGTCTGAGTCTAGAAAGCTATATTCTCTATCGCGATCTGGGGGATCTTTGCCATCGAGTTTCTTGTCGTCTCCAGAAAAGAGAAGGGGGTGGTGTTCATTCCGTGCACGGAGGCTCAAGGACACTCCATCATTTGGCAGAAGGTCTTCGAGTTTGAACATCATGGGTTCTTCAGAGGAGGAGGGAAACTCATCGTCTTGTTCCTCATCTGATTCGAACTCATAGTAATCTGAAGAAGCGTCATCCAGATCATCCGTTCCGTTCGGATTGGGAGACAAATGATCGTTGTCCGGTTCATTCCTTGCCACAATGTCTTCGTCCTTTGGGAGAAATTCCTCCCAGTCACAGTCCATGAGGATGTGTGCAACAGGGGCATAAAGCTCTGTATGGTGTGTCTTAGAGGATATGACTTGGGGATTGGGATCTTCGGGATCATCTAGAACGATGATACTCTTCTCATTGATCCATGGCGGAGCATCAGGAGTTGGATCCACGCTGACGATTGTACCCTCTGCTGCACAACACAGCTCCGTCGAAGAAGGTCGGCCAACCATAACACGAGACTCGTCAGAGTCACTGTCTGAGTCCCATTCCGAGTCCAAGACATCATACATCTTCGGAGGCACAATGGTGAGAGGGTCCACGCTTTCAATCGGTTCCTCTGCGGGTGTTACCCTCGCAAAGAAGCTATCGAAAGATTTCTTGGACCAACTGAACATCATGAGTACCCGCGTAATGTATCTCCGTTCCTCGATAGGATGTGCAAAGAACAGAGGAAATTTTTTGGGATAGAGACTAGATAAAGATGCGCAATGCCACTTCTCTTTCCTTCCGGAGAAGAGGAGGATTGTGGCTGATTCTTGGGGTCGAGGACTGAAGGTTGAGGCGTCTATCGTTTGTCGGCGAAATGGGCGGATATAGTCGTTCTTGTTTTGATATTCATGCCAGGCTTTGGGCATCTTCTCTCATGGTTACGAGAGTGTGGGTTGGACGAGCAAGGGGAAGAAAGGGGGAAGAATTGTGCATGATTTTGATTTTTATACTGTGCTCTTACCTAGTGTGTACCGGCCAAGGAAAATTCTTTCTTCAATGATCCAAGCACAGTACCGTACAAACTTTTGGTCGTACTTCCTTCTTCTTTCTGTGGGATAGTCTTACTATGTACTGCTTAGTGTACAGCTTAACTTGCACTAAGTGAAAACGACTCTCGACGGATACTAAAAAAACTTAGATTCCGCTCTTTAAATCGTCATAACAGCTATGTTCATTGGCTATATCCTATTTGCAACGTGTAGGGCTGAGAAGGCCACATATATCACTTCCATCAAAAGTTCTAGATTTCAGGACCGTCTTCTGCTACCAAGCCAAAGGTAGGCGCTTGACCTCAGAAAGTTTTCATCGTCCGCACGAAGCAAGTATGATGACACGTGTTATCAACATTCTCCCCACCATCAACTGTGTTCTTACTTCTCGAGGCTGGCGAGGCGGTTTCCAAGGTTCCCTTTTCTGTCCAAGGTGAAGTGAGTCACGTGTACCACGCCAGTCCAAATCAAAATTCAGGCTTCTATAAGTGAAAAGATCTTGCGCAGAATGATCCACCATCATTCTTCGAGGGCATGGCGTCTACCTCAATGCATCTCGCAATGGTACCCAGGTATACGGCAGACTCCAAAGTCATGTGCACAATGTCTCATGCGGCCTTCTGCGACCTTAGGCTCATGTGCCTAAGGCAACACCTTGAGACGGCCACAGCCTGAAAAGCGACACATCACATTGGCATCCTCTACAACTTACAACGGTGTAACAACTTGTAAAGAAACAAGTTTACAACCTTGCACCGACAGCTCGTTCTCGGCGCACACTCCCGAAAACGCAAAGTAGGGTACCGTTATGGGACGGAGGCGTATTGACACTTTGATGCCACGATACGGCAGCTTCTTCGAATCTCACCACGTTCGGAGGCTTTCCGTCTACCGCTCCTGCAGAGTTGTGGTAGGCATCTCGAGATCATGAGATGTGCGACCACCCGTCCGACATGGACATCTTGGACGCTCTCCTTACCATATCGATCCATTTGTGCAGCAGTAGCATGTCATTGCTGGTTCCGAGATCCCTCGAGCTAACCAGCGCCAGGAGATGTTCCCACGTCCCATACACAAGACACGGCACATCGATCGATCGGAGACATCGGCTGACAATGTACGGTAACGGACGATACATGCGACGCTGGGGCAGAGGCAGATTGGAGGGCTTGCGGACCGTTGTCGAGAGGAGTCGACGGCACGAGGTCCAAAAGGAACATCTTTGACGTCGTCGAGGACGGGAGTTGACAAGCTGCATAAGACGGAGTGGGGTGATAGGTCTGATACAGGTGATAACGACGGCGATGGCTTGGTATCGATAAGCTGGCGGCATGCAAGATGCAGCACGATAGAGAGGCGTGGTCAGCACTTCCCGCGAGCCGTCCACTCACTCGCTCTCTTTCCCTTCCTTTCATCTGCAGTCCCGGGACCAGATTTTCCAACAGCGAGTCGCTGAAATGCTTGGTATCACGCAACGACTATGTGCCGTGCTTCTCGACCTCGTGGTCCCAATTGGCTTTTCTTGGATCCAACTCCGACCCCAATGCGGCCGCCAAAACTCCAGCGCTTTGACGACAAACTCCAAGAGGGCTGAAAACAATGATCCAAACCACCGCCAGCCTTCTTTCGTCACAGAACTTTATGCGCTGGAAGTACGCTCGAGCAATGGACGGCGTACTCACGGACTCCCTTCGTTCCAGCGATCATCCATCTATTTGTTCCTGGTTTTTGCCCTCGGGAACGCCTCAATTCGTTTCTTGATCCCGACTTGCTGGATCGTCGCATACTGAGCACGGGACTAGGAGGCGGTGAAGAACAAAGTCTCACAAAGTAGTGATCCTCCTAATTCCCGAGGCAGGAATTGAGACAGCAACAAGGTCTGTTTTACTTCGGCAGCGTGTTTGAGGTGTTTGATGGCGGGGGCTGGAGTAGCATTCGTGCAATACAAACTTGGCTATGAGGCAGGAAACGGCCTCGTGCGCCGAGGGGTGATTGTCTCTGGAACGAAACTTTCCCTTGATGCAACCTAGGCAAGCTGCAGAGGAAGGAGCAGCACGGGAGGGTTTATTCCGAGGGGGCTTCAGAGGCCATGGAGGATTTCCATCGCTTGCGAGAGTTTACTTTGCTGTCTCGTCTACAGACGCACGATTGAGTTTCGACCGGCAGATCCCACTCCTTCATCAACAGCATGACAAAATAAGTTCAGCACTGATGATGTCCGAAGCTCTCATAGGGTTCTCGGCTAGTGCCTTTGACTTTCTGTACCTCGTCTCAAGTAGTCAACTCTCGCAAGTCTTTGACCTTAGTGAGATGCGGAGATACAGTTTGGCGAGCTGAGACTAGCTGGTACAAGACCAAGGTGTTCGAGACTGTTCCAACACGAGATCGAGACAGACAACCCGTATGTGGCGGAATGCGCGGATGTAGCTTGCATACGTTTCGTTGATGGTAGGGCTGAGCTCATGTGCTTCACTTGCCTTCGAGTGAAAAGCACGACTCGCGAGGAGTGACTTCAAATCGAGCATTTTCGTGGTCAGACATATTCTCAGGAGAAACAGACGTTCATGATTACGCGTCCGGTGAACTACTTTTTATGGGTACAATTTATATTGTTCTAGTTGAATTCATCACCTTCTTATTGGCCGCCAGAACATTCATTCCATGGTTCAATCGAAAACCAGCTGGGGAATGTTCTGCAGAGTCCGACATCTAGTCCTTCTATCGTTATTCAAATGACAACACCCTTATCATCATTGCTATAACCAAAAGATATGAGGTATGTCCGCGGATGCCGAAACCTGTCAAAGAACATCATGTTGGACGTAACTCGAGCATTATCACGTTTTACCAGCCAACATTAGCGCATGTCACCTTCAATTGTGAAGAGTCATGAAATCAAGACACTCTAAAGAGCCAATATGACATGTTTTACCCCGCGGACTGAGACGCTATAACAATATACTTGCGTTGATTTAACGAAATACGCAAGATTGGAGCTTCTTGCAAAAGCAGTGTCGCTAATCCACGATGACCTACAGCTACAGAGCCATATCTTCTGTCGTCAGCCGGTGCCTCTTGGCCATCTTTCGGGCCCAGAGTTTGAACGATATGAGAACCTGGAAGCATTCTAGCTAGCGTCTTGTGACCCGTAGCGGATACTCCCGTTAGGTTCTTTCTTCGATCGCTGAAAAGGAGGTCTAAGCGAGACAGCATTCTCTAAACTTTGCTGAACTAAGGTTCGGTTGGCACCTCCAATACCATCCGCGCTGCAGGTCACGACTCGGTGGATATTGAAGTCAATCTATCTAGCTCGTGAAAGAAGGCCATGGCACAGCAAAATCCCTCATGATGCAAGCAATCAATCAATCCTTCCCAGCATCCTATGCACGATAGATGAAATCTCACCACCTCGACGCAAGCACACAGACAGACGTCCCATCCCATCAGTATCGCACGCACTCACTCACTGAAAATACAGGCATCCACGGAATCCTTCCCGAATCCTGCCCTATAATCAATCCTTTTTGCTGACGGCACTGTATTGTACTATTCCATCTCCATCCAGACGTGCATGCAGCTCGGAAACGGGAGTGCTGACCACTTCACATCACATCACATCACATCACACTCGGTGAGGGAATTCTAATCGATGCCTCAGGCCTGCTGCTGGCTATCTACTGACTGACCATTGGGTATGCTCCTCTTCCCTGGTGATAGCAATAATTGTATCGTATTGCATCTCTAGCCTACAATTGCCTTGCCTTGGCCCCATTTCTTCTACTGTGGACTGTACCAACAAAATCACCCTCCTCTCACGCGAAATATCCCTCTCCCTCTCCCTCTCCCTCTCCCTCTCCTCACCCCACATAGCTCCGGAGAAAACATCACCAATAACCACCCAATCCCATCCCCAATCCCAAGCAACCAAGCATGCAAGAACCCCAATCCATCCATCCATCCCTCCATCCATCCACACTCTCTCTCTCTCGAACCCAATCCTCCTCTCCGTCCTTGCTTTTTCGCCACCACCACCACCCACAACCAAAAAGTGTGTGTGCTGCATGCATGCACGTCAGAAACGAACAGTTGGCAAGCGCCCTCTGATTGGGCGCGCGCGCTTTTTCCGAAAAACGAGGCGGACGAAGGTGCGGGGTGAGGGCCAATCAAATCAAGTGAGTGGGTTGGCTGGGTGAGGAGAGGGTTGGGTTGGGTTGGGTTGCCTTGTCGCTTCGAGATAGGTGGGTGGGTGGATGGGATGGTGGAAGTTGGCGGTGTGATGGGGTAGGTAGGTAGGTAGGTAGGTAGGTAGGTAGGTACCGTAGAAGGGGGAATTTGGGGGGGGAGTGAATTCGGTGGGGTTTTTTTTGGGCAGGGACTCACTCAGGGAGGAAGGAAGGAAAGAAAGAATTTGATTGATTGATTGATTGCTGTGCGTCGTTTGGATAAATGGGAAATGGGAAATACGAGGGAGATTGGGTAGGTAGGTAGGCCGAAATGATATCACGACGGGAGGAACTTTTGGTCTCGAAAAGAGGTGATGTGAGGTGATGATTGTTTGTATTGTATTGTTCTCTCCATCTCTCTCCATCGCTCGCTCGTATCATTTCATCAGCACATAGATCTACATGATTCTCATCCATCATCCCCTCCACCAGGGGAAAAAAAAGAAAAACTTGCAACCCAAACAAGTGGGCGCAAAACGTATGTTTGACATCCCTTCTCTCTCTCAGGGAGTCTTCTCTCCATCTATCTGTCCAGCCATCTAAGCGCTTATGCTTCCTTTCATAAAAAAAAGTATCCACCATCCGGCCTTTCATGAGCATGCCAGCTCTTCCCAACTCCGTGCATGATAAACAATCCCAAAAAAAAAAGAGAAAAATAGACATGATTAGATAGATATTTGAAGTAAACAGCCTCCGATCCGATCCCCTTTTCGCTGTGCGCCTTGCTTGAATTTGAATTGAAGGTAGACAAGAATATGATGGTGTGAAAGAGAAGATGTGTACAGGATATATAGTAACGACATGATTGTAGCATGGTATGTAAAGGAGAAAAATCCGGCTTTTTCCAACGGGAGGCTTTTTTGTTTGGTGACTTTTGAGATGGCGGTGGAGGTGGTAGGCGGGTCGAGGGGTATCACTGTAGTTCGGTTTGGTTCGTACGTGCCTGCCATGGAAGAGGGTCCAGTCCTGCCCGAAATATGGGATTGGTGGGGTGGATAGATAGAAGGGGACGTGAGTCCAAAGGGTATGTCTAAAAGATGGATGGAAGCCAGTGTCCTGTTTTTACCACTGGGGTGGAGGGATGATCCAAGGATAGGTAGGTATGGACAAAGGATCTTTTCGTGACGCAATCATGCTGCTTATCTTCTTCAAAAGGAAATGAGATTTGTTCGGGAACAATACAAATAGTAGGATGCTTCTTTCATACCCAGACCGATTGGCCGTATTGGTAATGAGACGAGGCATAGAAAGCGGGGTGGGGGTAGGAGGGCTGAACGTGAGCATGGACTTGCTCGTATTGATGCTCATATGGATTTGCACTCCAAGGCTGGTACCATGGGTTGGGACTGGGAACTGGAACTTTGGCTACTCCCCACGGGTTGGTATATTCCTGAGGTTGGGGGAGAACGTATGACGGAGCGCTACACGGGGCTTGGACAGCTGGCCGTTGTTGAACGCGGAGGGGTACCTCTGGGTTGATGATGGCAAGGGACTCTGGTTGTTCTGGTTTGAGGGATTCTTCGACAGATTCGTATCCAGAGTCGGCTTGAGAGGCTGTTCGTTGAACGGTGTAGGAGGTGATGTCGCAGCCATCGTAGGAAGCTTCGGAATCGGTGTCAGAGACAGTCGAGCAGGAACCAGTGAGGGATCCGTCATCAGAAACTGAACCGTCATCGGAAAGGGAATTCTCAAAGACATCCTCGGTGAAGGAACATGGCGACTGTGGTGGGGATGGCAAAGAAGCTTGTTGAATGGGTGCCGAGAAGCTGGAACATTGGAAGATCAACTGCTTGAGCTGGGAAACATCGATTCTCTCCTTTGGGTCGCTTTCAAAGATCATTCCAAGGATGTCGTTCAGCTCATCCGACAATGGCAAGATTGTCTTCAAGAAGTCACGGTTCCTGGTGAATGCCTTATATGTGGAATCCTCAACGGAAGCTTGTTTCCACGGATTGCGTCCACATGTAAGATTGACAAGGATGACACCAAGAGACCAGACATCATTTGGGGCACATCGGTATGATGCGTTCCGGGAGGATTGATCCAGACATTCTAGATGAACGGAATTTGGTTAGAAGATCCAAGGGGGAAGGGGGTAAAGAAGAAGGCCTACCTGGACTCATGTAGAAGGTTGATCCGCAGCCGTGGTCCTCTGACACTGGAGTCATGGTCGCGAGGCCGAAGTCTGCAAGCAACACTTGGGTCCCGGCATTTGATACCAAAATATTCTCAGGCTTGAGATCTCTGTGGTATATCCCCACACGATGGCAGTGTTCCACGGCATCCAAGATCTGGAGGAAAGCTTGACGGACAAGAGCATCATTGCCCACATACCTACCCCTCTCGGTGATATTGGAGAAGAGGTCACCCTCAGGACAAAAGTCCAGCACGACGTACGTGCATTCTGGGTCGTCCACAATCTTGAGGACAGAGACTATGTTAGGATGTGCTGACGCCATGTAGTGGAGCCGAATTTCCCTGGACTGGAATTCCCGTTGTCTCTTATCCAAAGGTTCTCCATTGGCATTGGTTTTGCTCAAAGCTTTGACCGCATACCATGTTTCGGTGAGATGATCGAATGCCGAATACACAACTCCATACGCGCCCGTTCCCAGGATCGTCTTCAACTCCAAATATTGTCCGAGGACTATACCTATCCTTGACTCGGGTGTGGGAGGTAACCTGCGGGAATGTGGAGGTGGTGATGATGATTGTGGTGAAGTTGGTGGTGTCAAAATACCATGGGCAAAAGTATGCATGGCAAAAAGAAATCCGAACGGGTTCAACTCCTGTGGAATGGAAAAGGGTCCTGTATGATCTGGTCCAAAGAACAGAAATGAAAATGTGGCCGTTTGTCCAATGGGAGAAGAGAAGGGTCCTCAAGTATCGTCGTCGCAGAGAGGTCGCAAACGGAGACTCGAGCTTGTGGTGGTGGCAGGAAGGAGTGGTCGTGCGAAGGAAGAGAGGTCCTGAGGTTCGACAAGTGGTGGCCACAGGTATGACAAGTGCGACGATGAGGGAGAGACGATGAAGGACAGGACGAAGTGGTAATGAGGAGGAAGGTTGAGGTTGAAGGTTGGAGGTTGCGATGAGTGTATGTAGGTGGTGGTCGTAGTGGGGAAGAAGAGGATGACGGGTTACTGATATGATGCGGGAGCAACTGTTGACCGGGGTTGTAATGGAAGGCTGCGGGCTGCACTATTCCACTAACGCAGACGACGACGGAGGAAGAGTGAGGCTTCTGGGCTAGTGAGTGAGCAACAGGGCGAGGGAGTGATTAGTGCTACTTCCTCCTAGCGTGTGAGCCAGAGAGCCAGTTTAAGAGTGCAGTGAGTGGGTTGGGGTGGTGGATGGGTCGAATGGGTTGGGAGCGGGTGCCACTGGCTTGTTCTTGGGTGTGGACCGTGTGGTGCCAGTACAGCAGCAGCAGTCAGTCAGTCAGTGAACCCTGTCAGAAAACTAACATCGGGCCCGGCCATTATGATTATATTTCGATTTCATCAAGACAGACGGTCGTACCGGGGGCGATGAGTGGCTGTCCAATTTGGCTTCAGAAGCAGAGCACAGCGTTACAGTGGAGTCGAATGTGTCGATTCATCAACTGATTCGACCGAGACGCTGCGACGCCCCTGCTCACCAGTAAAATGATGAACTCCCAGACGTCGTCACAGGGTGGGAAAGAAGGACAAGGACAGGACAGGCAGGATGTTGAAAATAGCTGATGCATGGGCCACACACACTCAACACATCCTCACGCTCCATCGCTCCTCTCGCCGAGTCTGTGCTGCAATGCTGCAATGCAGGGCTGGACAAGCTCGACAAGGCAAGGCGGGCGTAGTACAGCAAGCAGCAGCAGACTTCCAGCGAATCCCGCACCCCATGCGGCACAATCCTCTGCTGCTCGCTGCTGCTCATGCTGCTCACTTCAGTCAGTCAGTCCGTCACTTCAATGGCACACCTGCCCCGTTCTGCGTGCGTGCGTGCGTGCGTCCGTCGCCGTCGTCAAAGAATAGCCATCCAGCCCATCCAGCCGAAAAAAGCCTCCTCCTGCAGCCTGCTGCTTGGGTCATCATGTCATGGGCCAGCAGGGTGCCGCGAAATGGAGTGGCCGAAGTCAGGTGTGAGTCGAGCCTTGAGTGTGTGTGCTAGGCGTTGAGCGGCCGAGTGTCACAGCATTTTCCATCATCCCTCCACTCCAGCATCATCATCATCCATGATCATGGTTTGTTTGCGTGTTTCTGGCGGTGGCGTCCAGTACGATGTGCAGGGCGCGGTCAGTGGCCCAGCGAGCCAGTCAGTGCAGGCAAGTGAGGGATGATTCGCAGTGATTCGCCTTGTCCCGGCTGGCGTTGCATGAATTTTTCGGTCTGTCAGACTCCAGACACACCAGACATCTGAGACACAGACGGGCAGGATAGGCAAAGACAGACAAGACAGGCCACCATTCAGCGATCCCACACTCAGTGATGATGGGTGTCCCGGTTCATGAGACCTCTAGTGACGCTGATGTCTCTCGTCTCTCGTCTGTTTCTCTTGTCTTTCTGCCGCACCACCTGCCTCGTGGCTCCCAGCGATCAATGCGATCAACGATCCGTTTGCTAGAGTGGCATCACTGAGCATCACTGTGCCGTGGTGTGATTGGGCGCCGCGGCAGACGATCCAACGGCACCAGACGATTCCAATATTCCTTCGCTGTTCCTTCATCTTCTGCAGATCACACCAAGCCCTGAACAGGCAAAGGCCGATGGTCTCATGGTGCGGTGCGAACCAGGGGACCGGGGTGGAAACGAGAGAACGAGAAAGCAACGAGGGTGTTCTGCATCGTGATGTGTCATCGGCCTCGAAGGGAGAGCGAGAGAAAAAAGGAGGATCTACAGGCAAACGTCGTAGCCAATCTCCGATGGAAGGGATCCTTCCAGCTTCCAGAGCCATTCGAGCCTTCGAGTACAGTAAATTCGCACCCACTTCCATCCGCTGCAGAGGCCAAGACGGCTTCAGCAAATCACCAGGGACCAGCACTGCTCGGTACAGTCGTCTTCCCTGTCAAGCTTTTACATTAGCTGCAGCTGCGCCCGAGGCATGCGACAGCTGGGGCCACCGAATTTACCATGTTACTGTACTTCATGTCAATCTCCATATTCTGCCAGCCGCGGGCCTATCACCGCCCCCAACGGTAGAAATGAGGCTGTCACTGAGACTTGATCGTCGCCATCATTGGCCAACAGGTCTATCACCTTGCGTTGGTGTGTGACAGTGGCGCTGGAGCACGCATCTGGTGGCGCCCATCCAGCGACGAGAGAACAAGGAACAAGGATACAAAGATGAGGCGAATAAGATTTGCGAGTAAAACAGTTTGGACACCTGAGCAAAAAAAGCAAAAACTGAAGTGTGGAGGCTAGACACCCTTCCAGCCTAGCTACCCGTCGATAGATGCATCCACTTGACGCTTCTCAGCTAGACACATCGTATTCGAGCGGCGAAGGGAAAAAGGCCAACTCATCGTGCTCGGAATAATCACTCACATATCTCTTCTCTCACATCTTCCAACCCAATCATGACGCTACGAGACATCATTGGACAGAGCCCAGCTGCTGAACTGCAAATTACCTGCCTGCCGAGCAACCCACTCACAGCCTCGCTGCACAAGCTGCATCTATCGCTCATACTTTTAAACAAGCTTGCATATATTGTGCGTATATAGCGTAATAGCAACTGGATATCGCCGGTCTGGACTCTACGAGTGGCAGTTGATGACCCTTCACTGCCTTCTCGTCTGTCTAGTAATGCCTCAGCCATCCATTTCGCATCATCAGCATCTGGAAAATTGTTGGAGGTGCAGAACCGCCCAGCCACGTAAGGGCACCTGGCGGTGGCTATCCGAACGATCATCAAATCCTCCAGCCTTTTTCTTCGTTCCCTAAGCCGCAGAAAGAAACAAAAACTAAACAACGCCCCGTAAATAGTCTTCAATCAGGTAACCCAAAAAAAAAAAAAAAAGTAACAAGCGAAGCAAGCACAAGCCACATGGGGCGGGCGCAAAGGAGCAAGCAGGCATAAGACGGCAAACGCGAGAGCCGTTCAAAGCCGTTGTTGTATCCAAACCACCAACCCAGCCAACCCAGCCCGTTTCCTGAGAATCCTCCTACCCCTGAAACTCACCGCCTCTCTCTCATTTTCACTTGCGGTAAAGATTGGGATCCTCTTTTTTTAGCTGGTGCTTGTTTTGATTTGATGAACGAACCGTGTGTTCTTTTCTTGGGAATTTCATCCGAGTCGCTTGCGCAAGTTGGCGGCCCCGGCCCTCTATCGATTATTATCGATATCGTGGAAATATTGCTGTCCGTGTGTTTTCTTCCTCCCGCCGCCATATACCCATGGTAAATACGATTACGCTGAAGGGAGTTTTGATGAATGGGTTCTGTACCTGGTGTCTAGGGTTGCAGTATGCAATAATGGTAAGTTGATCTTCGCTGCAGGAGCAAGCTTTTGTGAGATTACTTCGTGTTGAACTTCCAACTCTTCGTTGGGCTGGAATGGGGATAGCGGCGCTGCACGCACACCGCTTCAATATTAAGAGCAGGCCACATGTCGAGAGATTCTCAGTATAGATAATTTGGCGAGAAAATCCTGACTTTAAGCACCCGCTTCTTGGCTATTTGTACCCCTCTTGCACGTGACAGTATATACTTACCCAGGAGAACTCCGTCTCACTACATACATCCAGTGCATTTACCAAGATACATCTATCTATCTTGAGGCTACACAACAGCATAATCTCCTCCACGGCTACATCTAAGTGACCAAGCCAGAAATCCTTCTTATCCTACTATACGGTACATCCGTGAGTCGCGCGGCTGGTTACTTGCATACAACCACAGAACCACAGACCTCATTTACTTACAGACCAGACCTCAACATGAGCCGCTTCCAGCAACAAAAAAACAAATTCAATACCTAAAGCGGCCGAAAAGGTCTACCGGTATACATCCAAATATTGGCAAAACAACCCATGATCCATGCCCCGGGAGACCCTGAAATAAAATAAAAACGCAACGTTCGCCAATCTCTCATTCGAAGAAGCTCGGTCATTACGATTCGAAACCCCTTCACCACCAGGCCAAAGCGCACCTTTCAATCATCCATGTCCTGGACAGACGTTTCCAACGGCCCTGTACTGTACTGTACCACGTTCCACCACCAGATGAGGATGATGAGATTCACGAGCGAACAAACTCCTTGGCCCGGAATCACGATGGGCCGAAACGAAACCTTCCCTTTCCCTTGCCTTGCAGCCGCATCTTGCAGCAGCAGCGGCGGTGCTTAAATTGGAACAGCAGCAGCAGCAGCAGCAGCAGCGGATGATGCGGTAAAAAGAGAGATAGAGTTATTTCGATGCTGTTACAGAATCTGCAGCGGTGATGCAATGCAGATTGTTGAGATGAGGACATAATCATCCACGTGCATTGCATGTCATGAAAAGTTGGAGCACGGGAAGAATGATATGAGGTTATTCTTACTCTGTGTTTGACATGTTGCATGCACAAGAAGCGATTTGCGGGGAAGCTCCTGCTCACGAAAAGGAAGCAAGAAGGAAGCAAGCTCAGCATAAACGCTCCTGTGCCCCACCCCATCATTGCGGCACAGGAATAGAGTCGGCGACAGCGAAGATTTCGTGACCAGGCGGTTGCAGAGTGCTGCAAGCGCTTCGCGAAACCTTCAAGCGCGTGCCCCGCATTTGCATATGTATCTTGTTATCCTGTGCCTTTGCATCTATCTTATCAAGTTGATAGATAGGATGCAGACGGAAATAGCTTCACAAAATCGCTCATGTCCCATCTCTTATCTGGTGGAGAACGTATTGTTGCGAGAGGTTGGTGAAGTTTGATTCACAAGCTTCTGTATCATTTTGATGAGAATTCTAAACATACTTTGACGGGAAGCTACGTCTAATAATATCTGCTAGAAGCCCGAGCGATACTCGAATCTTTTGTTTACCGTTACTCCCCCCTCCGAACTTTTCGGGTTCTTACAAAATCTTCATCATTCTTATCTTTACATTTCCTCTTTTCGTCCAAAGTTGGGTCAACAATGGAACATCAAGATCCTCAGCATGACCTCAGCCGTGCCCATCAATGTGGCACAACCGTCAGGCTGAGGCCAGCCTCACAAATCCCATCCTTTCATTCGCTCTGCTACCCAAAACTCTGTTATCAAAAATAACTTTCGGCCTCATCTTATTTGTCGATCCTCCGCCGAACGATCCAGAGAAAAGGGGGCTGATGTCAGCATCAGCAACAGATCTCCCCAATCCGATCGTCAACTTCCCATTCCAATCCAATGGAAGCGCAGTCTCTTCCTCAAAGTTTCCTGTTCGGTCGTTAAGTTTCAAGATTTGAGTATGCTGGAGGATGAACAAGCATACGCTTGCTACATATTCGGAAAGCTTGCTCCAATGCGGCCCCCAAACCACGTTGAGATTGCCAGCGAATTTGCTTTCCGCTGACTGCTTCTGACGTGAGAAAGATCACCAGAAAGGCACGTACTGTACGCCAAATGGTTATGTTGGAGTTAGCAGTGCGAAACTCTTCGGTGCCAGCGCATCAAAGCTACAGATTTTACAGCGTTCTGATATGCTGGGGTAAGGATTCCATTTTCCATTCAGGCAGTTCGCGTTCTGCAACTCTGCCACCCATTCATCTGATATACCTCACCAACACCTTCCAACTACCGACATAAATTCACTTTTTCCGTCGTCCTCGTCGTCGTGTGTTCCTTCCTTCCTTCCTTCTTTGCATATTCTCGAATGCGGTGATTTTTTTTGCGGGGGAGCAGGAGATGATCAATGGCAGCGTATCTGTCGATGGCCTCATTCTTACCGACAATTGGGATCCCGCATCTTCAGGCTAGACTCTCGCCTATCTCCTCCTCATCTTCGTCTTCGTCGTACGACAACGCAAACTATAAATCAAGTGACACGACATCCGCTCCCTCTTTCTCGTCATCATCATCTCAAACACAAAGAAACGCGAAGGATTCAGGATCAATCGCCAAGATGTCCATTTTCGCATCCTCGCAAACCTCTGTACTACCACCTCCCGCATACACCTCCTCCACCGCAGCAGCAGCAGCAGCAACCACCAAAACCTGGTTCGGATACCTCGTCGCATCATCAACCTCGTCCCTCCCTCCACCACCCTCACCTCCCGCTCCCTTACCAGAATCCTCACCACCAACCTACAAACCTCCCGGACCAGGACCAGGAACAGCACCACCCACAATCACCACCCACCCCGCCGCCTCAACCTCCACCCTCTCCCTCTCCACAATCTCCACCCAACCCTCTCACGAGGACCTCCCCCGCTACGAACCAATCCAAGTCCCCAAACCTGTTCTCTCCCCATCCACCTCATCAACGCGTCCACCGACTCGCGCCGGCAATGGAAACGCAAACGCAAATCCGGCGGCTGCTAAACCAACGTGGCGCCACCCGTACGTAGAGACGGACGACGATCCGTGGGAGGAGTACGAGATGCGGGCGCGGGCGGAGAGGGAGCGGAGCGAGGAGGGGGCGGGCGGGGATTGGTGCTGTGGGTGTTTTTGGGTGGGGCCGGCGCAGAGTTGGCAGGGGTATTATATTTTTTGAGGGGGGGGTTCGGTTCGGGTTTGAAAGGGGCGAGAAGAGAGAAGGGGAGGATGGGATGGGGAGGGGAGGGGGAGGGGATGGGGATGGATGGATGGGGCGTGTACAGATGACTGATGAGACGAATTTCCTTTGTTTTGTGGGTGTATGTATGTATGGTTGAGTACCTAAGAGATAGGGACGGACGGGGGAGTTTGGACGGGGTAATTCAGGCGAGCAAGAAAGCAAGAAGGGAAATGGTAATGCTTTGGCGTAGAGGTTCGGGTTGAGATGAGATAGCAAGCAGGACAGAGATACCAAAATTGCGTTCAGATAGCGAGATTTTTCAATTCATGGCTTTAGGCCCTAGCTTGAAGGGACTTTTTTGACTGAGTGAGAATCGCGAGTGTTTATGAGTGTCTGGTTTGGAGATTTGGGGAAGGGTGAGGGTGGAATTAGGATGAGAGATGGAAAATAAGGTACCAGGAAGTAAGTATTACTCTAATGATAAGTGCCATATTCGATATTAATTTTCCAAACTTAAACATCAGAAGACGAAGAGATATATTCTGGGGAGTCGATTTTGATACTGCCCCAGGATACTGCTGCAGAGTGAGTAACTATCATTTTCTTCACTCTTCGGATTTTGATAGTAATAGAAAGGGAAGCATATTCAAGCACAAATGGAAAGCTTGGTACAATTACTATTTCATGATTTTCAACATGTCTTGGAAGAGAGTAGCTTGAAGAGAGTCGCTTGTGATTGTTCCCAAAGTATGGGAGAGAGTACAGTAAGATGGGACTTTGACAAAGTGGTGGTTGCAAGGTCGCGACGGGATTGGCTTTGAATCTTTACTGTGTGGTGTTACGGGGAGGGTCGCAAGCTGCTAAACAATTCTAGGGGTTTAGGTGTGATATAAGTTATCTGATTTGACTTTGGAACCTATGCCAATAAACAATGTGCTGAGACGGAAGTATTTATCCAAGGACTTTACAGACCTCATAATGATAAGGCACTGCTGACACGAAAAGACACAAATCTGGACAACGACGTTCAGCTAAATCGATCCCCCATGAAGGGCTGAAATTAAGGCAATGGTACTACTGTAAGAGTATTGAATATTGCGTGGCTGATGAGAACACATCCCAAGTGGAATTCGGAATGCCTCAACATAGACAAAGCCAGGCTTCCTAGACAGCCTTGTCACTTACTTGTTAACTTGACCAGCACAAGTGTATTCACTCCGCCATTGACAAGTACAAATACATTAGTTCCACAGACATGAAGATGCATGTCTTTCTCCCTAAAGGAGAATGATATCGGAACAAATGCCGTGTCAGAAACACTAACACGTATCCACCAAATCTTGACATTCAACTTACTCATTATCCAGTACGTCCAAGTAGAAAAGATGCCAGGCTAAATAGTATAAACACCACAATTATACCTTATAATTCATATACTTGTACGCCAAATCACTACCGTTCTCTCACAGATTGAGGTTTCTCTTGTAAAGTGTTGTGTACCACAAATACCCGAGGAAGTATCGAGCGATACTTGAACACATCGACTCTCGGAATAGGAACAGCAACTACACTTCTACCCCACACCACTACAATGAAATCGTACCTCTAAATCAGGCTCAAATGGTAAACGTTCCAATCCGCTTCCTGTTACAAACGATGTGTCCTCGTTATAACCCTCAAGTCTGTATGTGCCCTCAACCACGATATCACTCTGACCCTATCTCTCAAAGGCCATCCGTAACCCGTCGCACCACTCAGTCACCTCACCCCCTCCGCCCACCCATTCCTCATATTCCCCATATTCACCGCCCACCAAGACACCCTCTACCTCACTCCTCACCCCTCACAGCATCAAGGAAACCACGTCTAACTTTCCTTCAAACCCAGAACATACTACTGCAACCTGTCGCTGACAATTCAAGCATGTAGTCAGACGGCTCTACCTGCAACAACGGGAAAGGAGACAGCGGTTACAGGGAAATGTTGAGCAGTAAGTACAGCAAGGATTGAAACTACGAGGCACTATGTCGTGGAAGGCAGTGAGTGATTCTTGTGATTATGCAAGCAATGCAGGGTTCGAGTCTTCCTGTGTCAACGCCGCTCACTTGAATAGAGGCAAGTTGCAACGTAGTGCAACCTCAACTGATATTGTTTGGGAGCACGAGGTGAGACGAAACAGATTGGCGTCAAGACAGTGGTTCACATCTGAAATGACTCATCGTGTGGATCGGCATGTCATTATTATGGATCTCTAATGGGTAGCATCTATGTCTGGCGCTCCATACGCCATCTATCTGCATCGCAGTGAGCAAGTCCTACAATCCATCACCGACAATTCATCGCAAAGTCTTCATGATGAAAGGATGTTTCAACGCCTCAGCGGGGGTGATCCGCTTTTCAGGATTCAGCGCTAAGCAGCGATCCAGTAAATCGGTGAACAAGGTCAATTCTTTGGTTTCTGCTTCGGTGAGGCCCTTCGATGCAGAAGTGAGGCGAGTGCGCAGATCGCGGGATGGTTTCGCGAACGCAAGTGTCTTGATGGTGTCCTGCGGAGAATGATGGATCAGTAACGTTCTATTCTAGGCTGACGAGTTGAAACAAAACATGTGAATATGGGGGTTGTTCATCGGACCTGTTGGCCATGACGATGGCCAGCGATGTCATTTTGCGGCACAAGCGCCACAGCGCTTCAAATGGGCTAGAAACAAGCATGAAATGGAACATACCTTTCCAGTAAGCTTATCCTGCTCCACACTTCTAAAGTTGGCCATCTCATCGAAATGTATGTGAGCAAATTCAGAGCGCTTCAGCATCTTCGTCGTGAATTTACCCCTGCAGTCCATGATCGATCTGAGCATTTGATTGTTGGTGCGACCTGTAAATAGAATTTTGCCGGTATACAGCTCGTACAGTGTGCAACCAACAGACCAGACATCAATTGCGAAATCATACCGCATTCCAAGAATAATCTCTGGCGCTCGGTAGAATCGACTCACAAGATAGGGGGTAATTTCGTTATCTGATGCATCGGAAGCGGAACCCAGATCACAAATTTTGAGCATGTTGCGCGTCTCGTTGACCTATTTATAGTCAGCAACAATGTGATTGCGATGGACAAAGGGTTTTTACCAAAATGTTGTCAGGCTTCAAATCTGCGTGCAGTATGTTGCATTTGCGCATCAGACTCAGTCCAAGAAACATTTGCTGGGCGTAAGCTCGAACAGCTCGAAGATTGATACCGACATCACGGCCAAACTTTTTCAACACCTCTCGAAGGTTGATACTCAAGTTCTCGAAGACCATGCACAGATGACCTTTGTGCTCGAACTGGCGCTCAAGTCGGATCATATGCTTCTTATCTTCGGGGTCGGCTTCATTTAGTTTCTGGAGGATCTCAATCTCCTTCATGCCAGCTTTACGCCTACGAAAGATTAGTCTTGACTTAAATGTGAGGGATGGCATCTACATTGTCTCGTTGTTTCTAATGAGTTTGATAGCAACCAATCTCTTCGTGGTTACGTCCATAGCTCGAACAACTCCAGAGAACATACCTTTGCCAAGGTTGGCCTGAACGTGGTATCTGCCATTCAGCAATTCTCCCAAAATGACCTTGTAATATCCTTCGATATCATCCCAATTATCAAGCATTCCGATGTCGAGTTCCTTGGCCTGTGGTATTGCGACTGCCTTGGCCACTTCAGTGGACTTTTCTGCATTCGCATTGCCATTCGGGAGAGGGTCTTCAGCAAACATATCATCATCGTCGTCCGCGAACATGTCAAAGTCAACTTTGGATTTCTTTGGCTTCTCTTCTACGGGTTCAGTGGTTGGGAGTAGCACATCTTGTTCGGTTGTGGGTACTGTCTCGTCATATGCTCCGGATGATACCTCGTCATTGTGTCTCTGGTCATCTCGCTGCTTATCCTCTCTCATATCCATGGTAGGATCATAGTCAGCTGCTGATGGTCCATCATTATCGTCACCAGCTTGTTCGCCTTTGGTATTGGCAAGGTCTTGGTCGTCAGTGATGGCAAAAACAGCAGGAGATCCTAGATCTTGAGCTTCATTTGGAGTTCCAGGGGTAGAAATCATAGGTGAAGCTGCCACCAGTGAATCAGCAGGCGATGTCGAATTGAGGAAGGAGGACGTACTCGATCGAGCAGACGGTGTTGTATCATCTTGTTGGCCTGGGGTGGAGTCTCCTGATTTATCTCCCAGCTGCAAAGCCTGTACCAGTAAAGGTGTAGCGGAACCTTTATACTTAGCTTTAATTGCTTCACGACGCTTTCGTCTTTGTTCGATCAGAGCTGCTTCATCGAGAGGTTCCTCTTCCGGAGCTTCAATAGCAGGCACCTTGACCTCACTGTTTGTCCTGCACAAAGGTGAGCATGCGGACGAGGAAGGTTGCAGAACAACTAACCTAGATTGATGACTTTGATTGGCAGACTGATCAGCACGTTGCTGTGAGTATCCTTTGGTAGTTTTAGCCTCTTGTCTTGCGTTATCAGCAGGCAGCGGGCTTGGTCCCCGTTTGCTCACTGACTGGTCCTTTGATTCCCGACTTCTCAGGTCTCCATGACCGTAAGAATCAGGTCTTCGATGATCATTTGTACGACCATTGTAACGGCTATCATCACGTCTTGACTGAGAGCCATGCCAATTCCTGTCTCCCCCACGACTAGATCTATACGGCGAACGACTACGTGTACGCGCCCGTTTCTCAGCCTGTCTATCACGCTCATCGTAATGTAGACCTGCAGACGGAGTTGGATTTCGGTCTAGATCTTCGTAGCCACGGACGCGGCGTTTGTAATCAGGCGGCGCATCTTCGTAGTGTACTTTGAATCTGCGTGGATCTCGAGATCGATCTGGGTAGTCTTCATCTCTCGACCGCTTCGAACCTCTAGCATGTTGGTCGTATGGCGATCTGCTTCTCTCATGCGACTTTCTATCTCTCGTCCTGTATCCATTTTCCGGTGATCTCGAATTCGAGTTGCTAGAACGGTTTCTGTCTTGACGGTCAACGGACGTGCCATCGTATTGAGGCAGCGACGTGTTTGCCTTCTCTACACTGCTATCTCGAATCTCCCCCTCGTCTGAACTGGCTGGAGAAGCCATGCTCTTTGCAGAAATCAGACTCTAGATCCCTGCCTTGTCGTGCGAAAATTGTGTTAGCAAGGCTCAGTAAACGATCTCAATGTGAGAAGAGCCCAACCGGGTATCTATGTCTCTCTCTTCACGAGTTCTCAGCGCATATTTGTCGTAATTCAATGATAGATGCTGGTCGAGGTATGTTGTGTGGTGTATCAAAGGTAAAGTTCAGATGTGATATTCGAAGCTTGGATAATCGGGAAAGTACGAACTATCAAATCGAAGCTTGGTCTAACGCGATACGGCTTAGCTTGTAGCTGATAGACGCGGCTGATGTTCAAATAAAAACCTCGAAGTCTCACCCCGCCAAATTCTCGCAAACATCCCACTTGAAATTCAGTGACGCTTTTTTGGTCCACAGTTCCTATTTCAAAATCACCGAACATCTACAGACTACAAACAACCGAAAATGGGTGGTCAAGACAGAGCAGGTATGCCGCTCCAAAGTCTTCACCTGTTGTCTCGTACTAAGAAAACGCAGGTGGCAAGGCCAAGCCTTTGAAGGCACCGAAGAAGGGCCCCAAAGCTGAGATGGACGACGAAGATAAGGCATTCCAAGAGAAGCAGAAGGCTGGTATGTCGATATACTACGAATAATGCGCATCATTTCCTGACTAGAAATACAGATGCAAAGGCCAAGGCTGAGCTCGCAGCAAAAGCCAAGGGAAGCAAGGGACCTCTCAACACTGGTGCACAGGGTATCAAGAAGAGTGGAAAGAAATAAACTACTGGAGTGCGGAAGACATTACTCCTCGAGAGACATAGCGATTCGCAGGCATGGAGAATATGGCGTTCGGGTTGAATTGGAGGAGAGTCTGCTATGAGTAGTTGCGTCGGATTTCTGCTTGGCCGATGATACACCATATATTCACGAATACCACGATGACCTTCCTTCCCTACCGTCTGCAGACTATTTCTCGAGAGCTTGGAATATTGCGCTGTGCTTTCGACCGACTTTACCACAGCATGAGATCAAGTTAAGAAGGCTTCTGATTTGGACCCACGAAGGAGTTTTTACCTTATGGAACTTATGCGAGCATGTTTGTCTTCATTGTACAATTCTGTCATGAATTGTGAGTATTTGTTGACAATAATTTATTGTTCTCTTGCGTTTTCCGCGTGCTTTCTCCACAGATATAAGTCACCGAAACTTTAATCTTTGCTGAAGAATTCTACATTGCACTTCCTCGAAGTCTTGGACTCGTTAGGAGTGGCTTTGGCACAGTGAGCTATACACTGTATGACTCTGATGTGGACCTATTTGCTCTCAAAGTCCTATGCCACTCGAACCCTGATAATGGTCCTTGAAAGCACCGTCTTGAATTCTATCAAGTATTCCAGGCTTGACTGGATTGGTGGGCTGTCTTCTCCTGCCCCAAGCTAGGGTGTATTATCTTCTGATCCTTCTTTGTATTCCCAAGTCCGGCAACAAATTGACATTTTTGGACAGAATAAATTGTCTCCAGCACCAAGTCTGGTGATTGACTTGATAGGCTTCGACTTCTTGAAGAAAGTGCATTCCTCACTTGAGCGAAGACCTAACTTACTGTCAAATATCTCTTTTCCTGTTGACCCGCGTAGCTAACTTCAAACTCATGGGGCTATGTATTGGATCTGCATTACATATCCGTGTTTCCGGGCTTTGAGACACATTCCATTATTTGGCGTCGCTAAACCAGAGAGCCTCGTCGGAGAACGCAGATGGTGGTGTGATCTTTTTCTGCTTTCAGATATCTGTCACGCGAAATGGGATGCAAGAGCACTTTTTCGACGACGGGACAAGTCTGCCTTACTGATTTCCCGCTTGGAGGACTATCGGGGGGTTACCGGAAGCAGCCACCGAATCCCAGGTCCCCGCCGGGAGACACGGCTGGAGTTCTCCTCAGCGATAATGCAGCATGCTCGTTTTGGCCCCCTGCTCGCCGGAAAAGAGGCTTCTCATTGGACGACCCTTCTACCGAACCGGCACAGCCCCTCCACTTTGGGACGTCCGCATGCAAATGGTGGAAGGGGTGCCGCACGGGGCCGCAGAACGCGCAATAATAGCAACACAGGAAGGAATGGGACTGCGAGAACGGCTTGCATTTGTAGGCTTCTTGCCCTGTAAAGCTGCAGCAGCCGGACATCATGATATGTGTACTGTAATGCGTCCTCTCCCTCCGACAGCGTCACATTTCGGCGTCGCGATTACACACCCTGCTGATCCCGCTTTCAAAGAGTTACTGTAGTTGTCTTGCCCGATTCCATTCCCTCGATTCTGTTGCAGACTTCTCCGACCTTCCTTTTTCTTGACTTCTCTTTATGCTTTGTTCTCCGTCCACTGGTTCTTTGCCGTATAATTACCGGCATTGGCTGCTGGAACTGTCCACCTCTGGCGACATCTGATACTTTCCGGTTCGTGCCGATTCGATGCCTGCTTCCCACTCTCGGGTTCAGTCCGACGATATCGGCGAGTCCATTGTCGTCCAAGCAGAGTCTGCTGAAGACCTTCGGGTCTCTTCTCCGCTACGAGCAACACGACCGGAGGTAGTTATCAGGATGGAATCACACTCAGACGATGTCGGCGATAAAGACGACTTTGAGAAACGAGTATCAACAGAGGCCAGACCGCATCTGTCTATCCCCAAATCATGGAATTCTGTCAGAGACTCGACCTTTGAACGCCCATCTGATCAAGAAGCCACAAAGCCGAGGAAGTCTTTGCCAGGCCAAGAAACCAGACCTGGAGAACCTTCACGCGGACGCAAACGGAAAGCTCTCTCGGATGAAGATCGTCAAAGGGCAAATCTCGTGCGCAGACTTGGAGCTTGTGACAATTGCCGGCGACGGAAGCTAGCTGTAAGTTGTATTCGATCCGCTCGGTACTAGACCTAATCTGACTGTTCCACAGTGTTCTCCGAGCCATGAACGCGGGGAAGGCCATGCTTTACGACTCGCTCTTGCGACATATCAGAAACCTGAAAAGCCTACCAATGCTGCGGAGCCCAGAGGTAAGCGTATAGAGCCTGAAATTATCTCTGACTCAACGGCTACTTCTTTGTACGACGAACCAGTCAGCAGGAAAGATGTTGCTAGAAACCATCGAGCTTCTATCAGATCTGGTGATGCCTCGGAATATGCTGCCTTCAGTGGCTCACACGCATTTACATTTCATGTAGATCCAGATTCCATCTCCGACGTTGAGATTCGAACTCGTCATGCCAACCTACAGAAATTTGGCCAGTCTTTGACTCGAGCGGCTAGGTCAACTTTCCCGATCACTTCCCCGTCGATGTATACATCAGTCCATGTACTATTGCTACGATGGCAAGATGATGATACCGGTGTATCAAAGGAGGCTGAACGGCTTGCTGAGGTGTTCTTGAATCTTTACCACTTCGAAGTCACCGTCGGCTTGATACCAAGTGACTCTCCATCACGGTGGCTTAGTCGGAAGATATTGAACTTCGTTGAATTGGACGACGACAGTCGTCAAACGCTGAAGATTGTTTGTTATGGTGGGCATAGCTTTATTTCAGAGACTAAGCAATGCATGTGGTCGAAGTAAGTCTTACTACCTCGGAGTTGGAATCCCTCGATAGTTGCAACTATGCTGAAATCGAACAGTGACCGCCGCTTCAGCAGCACAGTATCATGGCAAGGTTGTCAATCCCTGCTCGAAGAAGCACAATCAGATGTCCTGATTCTCCTCGATGCTTGCGGTGTCGGCAATGCAAGCTCATCAGTTGGCAATGGGGCGACGGAGGTGATCACAGCTGGTGGCTGGTATGGCGCAGCTTTGCCAGAAGTAGGACCTTTTAGTTTCACAACTACTTTGACCGCCGAGCTTCGACAACTTTCGACTCGAGAATTCTTCACCATAGACCAACTTTACCAACAGATGCTTGCTAGAATCCAGAGCCAGCTATCATCTGATGACGAAAAGCGGCGCTATCCGACTCCGTATCATTTCATCTCGAAGAAAGATACTTCTTTGACGCAAAGCATAACTCTATGCCCACTTCAAGACTCCCTACTACCAGGTCGTTCTGGTGGTCGAGATACTAGGACACCTGGTCGGAAGAGCTCCGATGACTTGCATCCTGGCATGGCTTTGACTGTCAAGTTCAAAGACTCGTATGACCCGTCGGACTTAGCTACGGACAATTTTATGGAATGGCTGCGCGCTATTCCATTGCCGGCAGAAGCGATGAACGTGGAGGCTGGCTATGCAAAGTTTTGATCTTCACCTGAGCAGACCATCACAGAGACGGATATCATATTTAAATGCTCCCAGTCTCTTCTGCTGTTGGCACTCTCAAAAATTTCTCGTTGGAGATGAGAGTCTTGAGTCAAGCTTCTCATTATTTGATTATCTTCAACTTACACGATAACTCAATCATGGAACAATCATGGAAAAGGTATGATTCACACAACCTGGTATGCGCCTCTCCCAAATTTCTATTTAAGCAGCACTTGCTGACGTATAATTATTCTAGCACTACACTTCCCATTCAAGAGCAAACTCAAAAACCATTACTCAAACCTCACACATCCTACCGAACACATAATGAAGCTGTCTTTGCCTGTCTTCGCCTGCGTCATCGCTATGGCAGTCGCACAATTTTCAACTATCACCACCTCTGCTCGTGCTGATGGAGTCAAGACATTCCAGGGTCCGAAAAAAGTTGCAACCAGGGAGGATGGGTCTACTGGAGATACGACTTCGATACGAGTGCTTCCCTCCACCACAGCGGTACCATATTCGAGCCAAGTCAGACATCGTGGCTGGACGAGCGAGACCTGCTCCGGCAACGGAAAATGCCCCCGCAAACTTCCTGACGGTGCTACAGCGGTGATTGCCTGTCTTAGTATTGTTGCATTGTGTATGCTAGTTGTTTATCTTCTGCTTGAACGCAAAATGTGTAGCTGTTGTTACCAGACCAAAGAAATTGTGTAGAATACTGGCTATCCACATGTGTAATTCTTCCTGCTATTTGTATGTTCTTGTAGACGGATGGACAAGCAAATTCATAGGTTGTTAGCTGGAAGCTGTCGGAAGAAAGTGGATTTGATCCATCATTGCGTTGGTCTGGGTGTCACACATCAGTATTAAAACTCGTCTTTGAAGGAAGGTTATTCATAGTAAACTCATCATCTATGAATGAGACCTCAATTTGGCTTCTTGAATAATTTTCTGACCTGGCAAGTGCATTATTTGGTCCACCCATCGTTACAATCAGAGCAAACACATGCTTCAACATCACATTATGAAGATAAAAGCATTCACAGACTTCAATCCGTAGCTGATGTCTACTTAAAGTCCCAACTATATTGAAACCTTGTTCTATTCAGCACGCATCGACGCTCCTCATCAAACGTTAACTCACATACCATTAACTCAAGATGAAGATCTCCATCACCTTCTTTGTTCTTGCTGCCGTCGCCTTAGCACAATTCTCAACTATCACCACTTCTCGTCAAGCCAACTCTTCAGTCTATGGATTTGAGAAAGTCTCAGCATACAGCTCACATATGCAACCTCGAATCCCCAACATCCACTATAAAAAATTACGTGACAAAATGCGCAGAAACCCTTTCAAGGGAGCAGATAAGGTTGGGGCCATTGTGGGCATAGTGCTCGGAGGCATCTTAGGAGCTATCTGTTTTTGTGTGTGCTTTGCATACATTTGCGGCGCTTAGCTGCGCATGTCGACCAGGCAGGTAAGGTTGTTTATTCAAGAATACTTTTGACTTGAATCACGCTAACGGTCTACTCTAAGCTGCCACGAATCTCGAATGTCCGGCTCCTTTATTGTTTTCGACCATAAGTCAATCCTTTCACTGGGGGGTGGGCATGGCACCATTGCTTTAGCATAATTCCCAACCATCACCAATCCATATGAAAACCGCATCTCAACCACTACCTTGCAAATTCCAATCGCAGTACCCACGCCGTGAGGACTGAGATTGACAACATCATACTGGGCAAGAACGCCTTTACCAGACGCCTAGTCGCTGCTTTTGTCAACTCTCGACTCGTTCAACAGATAATCAAGAAACCACTATCTCTAACAACAACACCTATATCGAGATTTGAAACAACAATTCCAACAAAATGAAGCTCTCCTTACCCATCCTCATGACGGCAGTTCCTGTACTCCTCTTCACTCTCTTCAACCTCTTCCTCGTCGTCGATGCCCAAACATCGAACCCGACTTCCTCGCTGTGGACCCCACACACCAGGAATCAAACTGCATCACCATCTATGACTACCATCATTCTCCCACGCACAACACCAAACATCGATGGCCAGAAAAATAAAGCCAAGTGAGACGATCATCCTATGAGAGTGTTTATTGGCCTCATGATAGGCCTAGGGGTAACGGCGGTCGTTGTGTTCTCTTTGGTATTTTACTATTGTTGGTATGTGCCTTTTTAACGTCGGTGATCTACTGGCACTGGGATGCAGACTTGTGAGGGAGATCGAGGTAGTGTTAGTGTAGGCAATGGACGGTTTACTGGGTGGCACTGCTGTGGTAGATGTAAATGGGTAGTTTGATGCATGGCCTTCAAAGCAAAGTGATCGAGATCCTCAAAAACTCTAGACTATTGTTATGTTCCGATCTTGTGGTACATCTGGGCCACACGCTGAATAGACAGTCCAGAACGTCTTAAGTAGCTAAACACTCGAACTGGGATTCAGGGCAATTAGTCAGTGCTTTCGAAAGGGCTTAGACTATGTTAATGTATGAAGCTTATTGTCAAATTCACGGAGAACAATCACTGAGGTTGGAAACCATCAGTCATCACCTTGCGCTATATAAGCCAAAATCTTAGTTGTTGAAGGATTAACCCCATTATTCAACGATCTCATTCCTCCTACCACGACGCGAAACTTAAAGACCCTCCGTACAAGTCTGAGCTATTCCGAATCAAGATGAATCTCCGTCTCATCATCTTCGCCACGCTCCTCATGGCCCTAGTCCCGACCTCAAACACAATTACTGCCGAATCTCAAAACGAGCACCTGCCACTCAATATGAGAGAATTCCCGATTATCTCCACGAGACCACGAGTGCCAATCAGCATGCGGACCTATGTCTCACGAGAGAACGCAAGGCGTGCACAACTCTCCTCGGAAGCAGCAGGAGGTCTTGTAGTTGGCGGTATTGCAGGGTGTTTTATCCTAGTCTGTATCGCTATAGGCTTGTGTCGCCATATTTTCGGTTGGAAATAGCGTGTGTGATGTACGAAGTTGCGCAAGTATGAGTAGCTCGCGGGCGAGCATTCAAGCATAACGCTATTTAGAAATTGGGCTAGGTCATTCTAATACACGTTATTCCTGTCCACTAGTCTTTAGCAGTGATTATAAATTCGGATTAAAGATTTGTTTTCAATACCGACTCTCAATCAGACTTGCGCTTCCACTATCAAGAATATTCTACCCATCGACTATTCCCTTCCAGAAATCAAATCACTCGCAAACATTGCACGGAACGAACAGCAAAAAGAATCAACTCAACATGGAGATCAATCTCGAGACCATCATCTTCACCGCAGTCTTCGCCGCGCTGATCACATGGACCCTGGCGCAACCTGACATGATCATCACTGCAAATCCGACCAGAGTCTTGGAAGCTGAACAAGCCAATGCTATTCGCAAACAGACTCTCCGCTTCTACGCCCTTCCGATTCTGGTCTTCCTCTTAGCCATGGTGGCTGTTGGACTATGGCAATTCTGTACTTCGGTTCCGACCATCGATCCTTATTATGTTTCTCGACTGGGAAGGCACTAGGAGGGTTGATGGATGGACTTCTGGATGTCTTGGTATTAGGTTGGGGCTCAACTGGTGGGAATCAAATGGGGAAGGGCAATATGGGAACTGACCAAGGAGTCATTCATGGCGGACTTTCGGGAAGGATGAGAGCTGATTCGGGACACGTATTTTGAAAATAATTCAACTCCACTTTCTGCGCACATTCCTGTTAACTTCCAACTGTGAATCATTCTCTGAATCTAGAAAGATAAGTAGAAGCGAAGATCAATCTTGATTTTTCTCTTGTCCTCGCCATATCAAATACAGAAAGTAACAACAGAAGCCTTCAAAGAATCATCTCAACAATGCACCTCCTCCTCGCTTCTTCCAACATGAAGTCCTTGATCCTGGTTCTGACATGTTTCCTTGCCATGATACTGGCTGCACCCACCACACTGATCACTTTAACTTCGACGAGAACATCATATCTTTCGCTTAGCCCCACAAAGATCTCCTTGCTACCAGTCGGTGGGCCAACTTCTTCACGACCTCATACCTCTCTAGCAGCAATGATAAGCGGATCAACACCACTACTGCTGCGCCATAGAAATCTCGAGAAAGGGTCTGAGCGAGACTTGCATGTTTTGCAGAAGAGGGCCTTAAGCACTTCAGCGTGGGTGCTAATTGGGGTAGGAATCGCAGCAGTAGTGTTAATCTTGCTCGTTTTCTATTGGTGGCAGAAGAGTGGAGAAATCTGTTGATCTAATTGGCTACGACGATGACAGAAGGCAAGGTGTTTTATTATGAAGGGCAAGCCGTGCGGGAATCAATCATCTCGGAGCTGGTATTCGAGATAAAATGAATCAATGCATCTTTTTGGGTTCTTATTTCAAAGGGGATAACTTGCTGCCTGTGATGCCAAAGCATTGTGAATCATCAAAGTCTTGATATGAGTTAGCAGGTCTCTCCCCTCTCACATCTCTTTGACCCAAATCTATCACATCCACATCACCAAATCCGACTATCTGCTAGCCAGCCCAGCATGAAGCCCTGCCTTTACATACTGACATTCATGTGTCCGTTCATTCTCGCAAGCAAAACTAAACAAGATGGCTTTGCTGAGCGCAGCACCCTGAGCCCCACAGAGACACCCTATCGTATTGTCAAGTTGCACACCCCAGCAGATTCTCAGATCTACTTCCACACAGTTCCACCTGGCTCTACGAACTCCCCAGTCATGACAGCGCCAGCAATTCGATCAAACGGGATATATCATGGCAACTCCGAGACCAGCAAGACACACGAGTCTATTGGGACACGGGATCTCAGTTTGGAGGCGAAAGAAAGCATTGGCATCGCCGCTGGAGTTGTTGGACTCCTTGCTTTTATCTTTTCTGCATTTGGATGTCTGTAAGACGGCATTAGAGACGGATGTGGGGCTGAGGGCAATGTTGGAATGCTTATTCTGTGAGGTGTTTGTATGGAGATGATGTGTCTACTATGCATTATCTCATTGTCCCAAAATGGGGTGTTATTAGCAACATAGGCTGACTAATTCGTTGCATCCCGGATGTAGCAGAATAATGCTCCCCAAGGCTCTGTGAATCACAATCCATCCAGCTTCCTTCAACTTGGGCGTTGTAAACGATGAGCCATAAACTTTTCACTCTCAATAATATTGTTATTCTACCATATCTCAATGCCTATGGGTCTCCCCAAATTATGCTGGGTTGGTATCTTGGAACATAGCTTCTCAACCATGAAGACTCTCTGGAATCGCTCCTGGCTGTGAACAACAGGGCCTTCTCCACCACGCCTCCTGCAGTGTCTCCTAATCCCACGTCAAGTTTTGCACCCACAATGCCGCATCATACAACATTCATCACGATGGCTTCGAGCATAAGCCTCCACTCAAGCATCATGAGAGCCTTTGAGGGAGGCATATCGGCGAATCAGCCTGAAGTTCGAGCTCCCCTCACGGCTTACAAGCTTCACCAACTGAGTCAACCACTTGCAACAGACATTCACAAAGTAAAACAGAGAACGCCACAAAGCTTGGTCAAGCGGTTTAATAGCACGGCTGCTGATGTTGGAGCGATATGGGTGGGAGCTTTAGTCTTTCTTTTCACAATGTTGGGTGTCAACTTTCTACTACTTCGATTAGTACTGAAAGTATTTGGTGGTTGAGCGCTTGAGGCGAGTCTCTGGGTCCGGTGGTTCACTCTTAGGTCTGGATGCGAGACATTCACATGCTTGGAGCAGTCGATTCAGGAGGTTGCTCTTCATTAATGAGCTTTTCGAGATGAATCCAGAAACACACTGGGTACTATTGCTCGGAATCGAATACGTTCTTCTTTGAGAGTCAATATGCGAGTCGAGCGTGAATGCACACGAAAAGAGACCAGTTGTAATAAGCGAGGAATAGGGGGTTCGAAGCGGGTCAATCACGTGGCTTGAAACTCACTTTCAGAAAGTACATCACCGATACGACCCTAGGTCACAGAGAATCATCCATAACCTTTGTACATGATTCAATGCTAGATATACTAGTCTTTTGCTCGGTTTTCAAAGAAATTAAGAGTAGGGTATGATTCTATCAATGAGTGATTGGATGCCACAATCACTTGTACACCTACCTCTAGAACAATGAAGTTTTCTTCTGAAATCCCTATATAAACAAAAGAATCATCTTCCATCATCCACGAGGCTGAGATAATTACCGAACCATGTTGCCTAACATCAGACCCGTCTCGATCCTCGCAACGAGGGGGGGAATATACGTCAACAACTACACGTTCGCCATGATAATTATAGCAGTTATCATAATCTGGATCATCTTTTGGTTTATTATCCTCAGCCCTAAAGTGAGGGAACCTACGCTGGCATGGGGCCGAACGGTGGCGGGACGATACCGGGAATGGAGACAAGCAAGGAGACAAGGCGGGATGGGAACGGAAGCTCGTGATCGGGAATTGGGCAACGTTGGTAGTGGAGTGGAAGGTGGAAGATGAAGCAGACAGTCAGGTATTCAGTAAAGTCGTTATGCCTCAAAGCTGGAATGAAGGTGAAGATGTTGCAAAGTATGGTTTACGAACTCGTGAAATGCATATGTAGAGAGTGAGAGGAAGAATATAGAACGGAGAGAGAACAAATTTCTTTCTAGTTGATAGTATGCGGATAAACCTTATCGATAAATGATCGTATGAAAGTGGCTAGAAGAGGGTTGGGCTTACTCTTAGAACGAAGCTAATCCAAATGGAGTCGTGCCCCAAGTTCCTGTATAGATTTAATTAAGCTGAATTTTGTCAACATCCACATGACGTTGCATATCATGGGGCCAACATTAAATCGTGTGGATGGCACGCCATCGCGACGGCCAGACTACTCACCCTCTGGTGCCCCAATAGTAGATAGTCATCATCGGCTTTCTTTTGCCATTTCTTCTGTTGAAAACCTTCCACCCTCACAGAGGCCTCGCAGAGGGTGGAGTGTTTTTGGGCTCTTCTTTTTGCATCTTTCTGCCCTCGCCTAGCTTCTTAAGCGAGGTACTCTCAATGATGAGCTGTACAAGCACTTTGCAAACCTGAATAGCTCACTTTATCAACTTTTTAGCTCTGATTAGGAGACTTCTGCACAAAATTTCATTCTTGCCCCTCATTCGCAAAGGAGAAGAATCGTCCGTTTTGCCCTCGATTCGAGTCAATACCTTTTAGCTCTACATGGTATCAAGACGTGATCCAGATACAGTCAAGTAATCAATATAATTCCCAGAATGACGAGATATGTACTATATACTATTTAAGGCCTTTTACCACCATCTCGATACAGAATTCTTCATCTTCAGAAAAAGCAGCACTTCGCAAGAGACTGTCGAACTTAACTTACCACCACACAAATATGCCGCCTCAATTCACAACCGATCAAGGCCCTTCAGTAGCAGAGATTGCGAGGGATGTGGATGTTTTGAATATCATAGCCGTAGTCATCATGTTCATCGCCGTTGTGCCCCTGCATATTTGGATTTATATCTCTCGTCACCGAGACACAGCTGCTCGGAAGCTACAAGCACAAGTACAGAAAGAGAGACAAAAAGAGGCGCAACAAGAAGTACGGAAAGAAGAGAGTGGTTCTGAAGGCTGCTAGTGAGAATGTCTAGGGAGGCGCATGGGAAATTATGAAAGTGGCCCGAAGCGAAGCTGGAATATTTGATGGTGGCCAGTGGATTTGGATTACGTTGGAGCTGCCATGGTACAGAGAGGATGGCTGAGATATGGAACTCACAGATGCGTTTGATAGTGTAGAAATCGCAAGCGCTAAAACAACAAAACTGCAATTGGAGCTGCAATGGTGTATTTCTGCTCGCTTCTCTGGATAATATCGAGGGGTGATTCCAACAGCGCCAAGTAACTATTGTGATTCCCATCATCAATCTATTTTATTTATAGACCGTTTAGGAACTACTTGCCACCATCTTCACTCCAAATCTCCGATTTTCAGAACAGACAGCACCTCTCAGGAGACCCTCAAACTCTAATCACACCCCATTATACCAAATGGAGCCTCAAATCACAATTGAACATTTACTCTGGCGCCGTGCGGGTCGAGAGGGTATAGGAATCTTCTTCACCTTCGTATTTGCTGCCATTGGCTTCGTTTTCGTGGTGTGGATCGGTGTTGTTTGCTGGCACTGCTTGCCAGCAGCGAGAACAGATATAGAAAGGGACCCAAGACAAGAACAATGCGAAGTTGAAGGCTCTGCTTGCCATGATGTTCAAGGAATTAATCACAGTAAGGGCCATGAAGCGAGGATGAAGTGGTTGTCATGACATACTGCCAAGTTAGTGAGCATAAGAACAAGAAGTGATAAATCAATGAAATCGTAGCTGGAGCGGGTGTAGCATTAGAGTTTGACATCCAGGGCATACTGATATGGGGCATGTGACTATGTACGAAGTGTTTAGACTTGTAGTTTGTGGCTTTGGAGTCAAGCAATACGATCTTCCTCTGTACGCTGTTATCCTGATTCAACGCAAGACTTTTCTGGTCTCGCTTTCAGAAGACATCAAGAAAGTATGATTCAGAGGCAGATAGATCAGCATTGTGATTCCTGGATATCAAGTTTGTTACTTAAAAAGCATTCAGAGCGCCGATTCCTATTCTTATCACATCTACGGCCTCTCAGAACCAAGCACCCATCACAAGCATTACAAATCAGGCTGACGCGCCATCATCAAACAAATATGGCACCCATACTCATCGTCAAAGATCTCCTCTCACGCCGCGCGATTTCAAAAGCTCTGCATATCTTTCTGGGCATCTTCATTACACTTGTAATTCTCGGTATCCTAGGCGTGATTGTCTACCTTTTCTGCGTCCACTATCTGCCAACAATCTTTCTCAACTTTGCTGCTAGAAAGGCTAAGAAAGAGGTACAAAAACAGGTGAAGAAACAGGTGTCAAAGCAGGTACAGAAGCATGCACAGAAACGGGCAGAAAAACACCAGCGGGAGGCTGACGGTGCTGCTGGTGCTGGTGTTTAGCAGAGCAATGTTTGGAGAATGATTGAAATGAGGTGCATGAAGTGGTGGATCCAGAATTGGCCTTTGAGAGTGTGGGAATATGGAGTGTCAAATTATTGGAATTGCCGGAAGGGTGGAGAATGACGGGCCCTTGACGTTCAATGTCTGCTCAAGTGGGGTGGAACGGTGGTCTCAGATCACGGGTATTATCAGGCTACTTTGTTAATGCATCAACGAGTACCAAGCCTTTTATTGAGATCCTCGCTTGTGACCTGATAATACATATATTGGCAGGCGTAGCTTGTCATAGAGTCAAAAGTGACCTGCATCTCTAACTCTCTCAACACATTGAATATCAATATAATGATTCAAACTCAAATTTCAATCCAATTGGTGATTCTGAACCGCACATGATTCCCAGTCTTCTGAAACCCCTACCCCCTCTATCAGAACGGTTCCCTGCTCTTCTCGTACATATCAAGCTCCCAAACCAAGAAACAACCAGCAAAAATGTCCGTCCAAGCCCGTCAAACACAAACTCCAGGCTTCTTCTCACCCGAAGACAAGCAAATCATTGGCCTCATAATCCTTTATGGAACACTCAGTTTCTGGGCTGTCGCTTTGCCAATATTGATCTTCCAGAATCGGGCCAACATTAGGACATGGTGGATGGAGCGGAGACGGCGGAGACAGATCTGGGTGGGTCGTTGAGTAGAGCTGAGGACATGGAGCCTGACGGATTGTTTAAGGGTTGCGAGGTGAATGTAGATGGAATAAGTGGGAATTTGGGTTCGGGAGATATTGTCAAGAGGAGTGAGGAATCTATTCATGATATACCAGAAGATGAGAGAGTTCAAATGGACCTTAGCACCCGAGTCAGTGGCAACTCGCCACCTGATCACAGGAATTGAAGCTTCTCTGGATAATATGGACCCTCAAAGTTTTCATTAATGTGCTAGTATGTGTCAATATAATAATTATCCTTGCAATTGACAATGATAAGACGAATAGATGATTGTCATGGATCTGTTGGCAGCAAGAGAAATATCGACAACATATCTTCAAACTGTTACACCAACAAAGGAAATTCTTTCAATACAATAGCATCGCTCAGCCACCCATCCCCAGACAGTCTCAATCACCACCTGGGCACAACATGGCACTCACTCATGATGGGACTAGGAGGTGGAAAGTTCGGACGGTTTTCGAGAGAAACTTTGCATTGGGAGACTTGTATTTATACCCAGCCAGCCCAATTCCAACCTCACTGCCAAGAAAGTTCACCTCCAGTAACGGCCACAAATCCCGACATTCTTGTAAGTCGAGAGGAAATTTACCTTAAAAGAGGCCGCAAACCCCGATATTCTTGTGATTCACTAGCAAGCTCACAATTCACAATTCCCTGCAACGGAGCTTCACTTCCAATAACGAGCACAAACCTCGACATTCCTGCATGCCACAAACGCAACACCTCACCACAAAAACATCTCACGCCCAATAATGCCACGGAATTCCTTGCATCTCTGTAATGCACAACATCTCCCGACCCATGATAAAGTGCATGACCCATAGATCCCAATAAACACCCTTACAAAGTATAGAAAAATTTACGACGAGAAGTCCCAATCTCCTGAATCTTGAAGAGCTGATGTACTTGGTCCGCAGGGGAGGTCATCAATTGGCTACATTGATCACACACATTTCATGGTCAAGTCTGGAGAACACCACTGGAATGTCGACAAGTCTGTGTTTGCTTATAAGACGAATAGCAAAGGAAGAAAGGGAGTTTATAGTAGAAAGAGAGAGAAATCGTTGACAGTAGAAAGAGTACTAATAGTAGAAATCGAGAATAAACTCTAAAAAAGGACAAAATGAGGTGATTATAAGTATATACAGGAGCATGTTTGGGGATGTGCAATTGTGGGAAGAGACTAAGAAATAGCATAGGATAATAATAACTGCATCTAGGTACAGAATTGGGGATGTGGATTTATGGGTACAAACTGGAAATGAGGATAGGATGAAAACAAACAGATCTAGGAACTTACCCAAGGATGTGAAATTGTATGAACGAAGAAGAGAACAAAATGGGATAGTTTAAATTATACCTAGGTACTCACTTAGAGATGTGGAACTATAGAAACAGATAAAAGAATAGAGTAAGACAATAATTATCACATCCAAGAACTTACCTAAGAATGTGGAGTTGTGGAAATCGACAGTTAGACAATCCATAAAAGCCAAGCACGCACAGATTCACACAGCATAACAGCTCGAAAGGTAGGACTAATTGCTAAGAAAAGAATCATACTCCATTTATGCCGCAATTTACGCTAGCTATTTCGCTTTTGGGTATCATACAAAACAATACAATTCGCTCATTCGCCAATGCAAATCCCTGTCATTGACCGTCTCAAACTTGAGGTTGACCTTGTTCTTTCTCCAACGAGACTTCACGCATATGTTCCGTAGCACGGTCCACTTGCTTCTTCCATCCCACCTTGCTCACAGCCTCCCAATTTTCGGCGACAAAAGCTCGGACTTTGTCGAGATCGTGAAATCCGTCCTCGTCTGTCTTGGCCGCCTAGGAATCATGATTAGTGCTACGAAGTCGGATCAGTGGACTGAGAAACTCACCTCTGGGTAATAGCCCTGGAAAATGCCGCCTTCCATGATGATCTCCTTCATGTGTCGAATAGTAGCAGCTCGTCGTTGAGGATTGACCATGTCTGGGATGCCGCCTTTCTAGGTAATGGGGAGGGAGCGTTAGCACTTTTCATCTTTGTTGTTTCAGGAAAAGGATAAGACAATGTCTCCGGAAAGGAAGTGGAAAATGGGGCTTCCCCAATACCTACGATGACATCTCTCCAAAGCTCGTCATTGTGCCTAGAAAGCTTCCACTCCTTCAGTCTCGCGTCCCACTCTTGCTTGACACCGAATTGGGCGAGTGCTTCGTCTCGGACTTGATCTCGGGTAGCTCGTTGTTCAAGGTACTTGCCTTCAGCTCGGAGGTGGGGGATGAACTCATCGATCCATTCCTTGTAGATAGGACGCTTGGACATTCGTTGGCGATCGTTGTGCTTGAGTTTCTTCTTTCCGGTGTCTCCTCCTTCTTGACCTCCGTTTCCAATGTCACCAACTACGTCTCCTTCGTTCAGACCGTCTTCCAGCTCGGCAGCGTCTTTGACCCAGAACAATCTACAACTGAGATAGAGTTAGCACAAGACGATTAATTTAGGTTTGATCGGCCATCGTTGTACTAAGCAACGACCGGGATTCGAAGCGCACATCATATGCAGGGGGCAAGTTGGCTTACGTAGCTGCGTACTCGAACATCTTCTTCTTGCTTGAGAATTCTTGGAACCACTTTACATGGTCCAAGCCAAGAAAGGCCAGGATAGTGCACGGGTCCTCCGTCAAGAATATCATACTCTTCTTCTTGTCAAGCTGCTCGATCTCGGGAATTCTGACGAACATGCCCTTATCATTGACGGTGAGGCCGAACTTTCTAATGGTCGTTCCCAAGATGTTCCACAAATCGCCATGCGCAGCATGGAAGTACGCCCATCGGAAGGTCTTGTAATCTTTACAGATATGAATATCAACCTGAATGTAGTTGCCAGCATTATAATCCACTTCGATCTCCACAATTGATCCGTCATCCATTTTCTGCGTATACTTTCGCTTCGGCCATGGAATGGCGAAATTCATTGCCTGTTCCCCCTTGCCAATGATCCATGCATGAGCGCCCATCTTAGTTCCTATGGTTGCCGCAATCTGTTTTCTGTCGGTTTTGGCTGGGTCTAGGTCAGGTGTGAGCGGACTATGACACAGGACGTCAATGTCGCCGTAGTCGTCTTTACCGGGAGCTTCGATAGGTGTCTTGGCATCAGTAAAATCCTTGAGGAGGAGATTGAGAACCGAATCCCGCATGATCTTGTATATCTCAGTTGGCATTCGGGGAGTCTTCAGGGGTGGGTCCTGGTGAGAGAAGGCAAGTCCACCCATTGCGACGGTGTTGGAGGAGGTAGAAGCAAAGCCCTGTAGGATGAACTGAAGGTACAAGAATAATCGGGTATCTTGCGCGACGCAATAGACTCGAAATTCGAGACTGGATGGATGTGGGTGTTTTGTTCTGAGTCACGTTGTTTCGTTTTGTGGTTCGCGATCTTAGATGAGACGTGTGAAAGATGATGTCGAAGTACTGTGCCTGCATTGCGCCTGCACGCTAAGCGTGCAGGACATTAGCTGGAGAATATTTCTGATTTGCGAGCAACAATGTACGAGTTCGTGAAGAATAATGAACATGTTCGTGGCTCAAATGCAGAAATTCAGAGAGGGAAGGTGTCCACCTGGACGTCGTCATGCCCCATTCAGCCCTACAGTACAGGGTAGGTTCGTACCGAGCGCGAAGCCAAACCTCACCTCAACATCTCAGACGCAGACATTCACACACATCACCACACGACACTAAACCTAAGTAGCAACATCCTATTAAGTATATTTCTCCATTGTTTTTCTCGTCGACCACATATTCAGTCCAGTCAAGATTATTCAGTCTTCTCTCAGAACAGCTTCTTCAATTCTTGATCTATAAGAGCCAAGCCGCTTGAGGTGGCTGGCGGGCTGTGCAAAAACAGTCCATCATCATCGCTGACCTTGCTACTGTGCCACTCTACCACTCCCAGCCAGTCAGCACTGCCCCTCTAGATCGCCTGCAAGTCAGGTTGGCGCGCAATAAAGGTACAAGTTTGCCTTCTTGACGTACGACTGACATAACCCTTCTTGCTATCCACCTCGACCTTTATTAACGTCCCTCATCTCCCAACTCGTCTGCGGATAGAATTGATTGCAGAAACTTCAGAATGTCATACCAACAGCCAGGTTATGGGTATAGTACCCCGCCGCCAAGCAGTAAGTTGCGACACATGAGGGGTAGAAGCATTCGCTGACGACAATAGATTCTCCTTATCCTCAACAACAACCTTACGGCGCGCCACCTGTACAACCTCCCTACGGTCAGCCACCTCCTCAAGGCTATCAACAGCCCTACGGACAACCTCCACCACCTCAAGGGTACGGACAAGGACCTCAGGGCTACCAACAACCTCCGTACGGGCAGCCCCCACCACAACAATACTCACCACAAGGACAATACGGCGCTCCCCCTCCTCAGGGACAGTATGGAGCTCCTCCGCCTCAGCAATATCCTCCCCAGCAGTACGGATCTCCAGCTCCTCCTGTGGGTGGGTATGGAGCACCTCCTCCCCAGCAATACCCCCCTCAACAATACACACAACCGACTCCTCCATCATTGGGCTACGGACCAATGTTCGCCCCACAGGGATATATGCCAGATGCAGACGCGGACCTGTTGAGGAAAGCAATGAAAGGATTCGGTACAGACGAAAAAACCTTGATCCGAGTACTCGCAGACAAAGACCCTATTCAAATCAATGCTATCCGAACAGCATATCACAACCGACATAAACGACACTTGCTGAACGACGTACAAGGTGAAACGAGCGGATGGTTCGAGGAGGGACTTTGTGCTCTTATTCGCGGGCCACTACAACAAGATGTCGTTCTATTGAGACAAGGAACAGAAGGACCGGGTACAAAAGAGAAGGTCTTGAACGATGTACTGCTTGGTCGTTCTAATGCAGATATGCGGGCGATCAAGGAAGCTTTCCAGAATACATACAGAACATCTCTCGAACATGTCATAAAGGGCGAGCTATCTATGAAGACAGAGCGACATTTCCTCATGGTCCTAGCAGCTAACAGGAACGAGGAAAGTGCACCTGTTGTACCTCAACAAATTGATCAGGATGTCATGGACATCTACAGGGCAACTGAGGGGAAAGTTGGTACAGATGAACTGCTTGTTTGCAGTATCTTGAGCCAGAGAAGCGACAGGCAGATTGGGGCAATTGCACATACATACAAGCAGAAATTTACTCGGGATCTGGAAACTGTCATTAAGAAGGTATTCCTCTATTTCTTCTATTCTTAAGACGCCACTGACGATAAACAGGAATTCTCAGGCCACATGGAACTGGCTCTCCTGCAACAACTCCGCACAGGTACCGATAGAGCTATGCGTGATGCTCTCCTTCTCGAGGATGCTATGGCAGGCATGGGCACAGAAGATAGACTGTTGGTCAACCGTGTTGTGCGCATGCATTGGGACCGTAATCATATGATGCAAGTCAAGGGTGCTTATCAGCATCGTTTCCACAAGAGTGTTACACACAGGATCCGTGGGGAGACAAGTGGTGATTATGAGAGGTTGATGTGTGCCTGTTTTGGCGAGTAGGCTGATTTGGGGGTGGGTAACGAGACTGGATAGATGGGTTGTATGAAGTATTACGGCAGTAGGATAGTCTTTTGATACTAAGTATTGTTAATGTTTTACTCTTTGATTTCGAAAACGCATTCACTTCTTCTCGTGTCTCTGCAGGCTACCGCCTTTTTCGACAGAGCTACTATCGAGTGGACTATATAAACTACCTTGGTACCCTTCTTCCGAGTTCTCACAGCAACGATCATACTGGTAATACTCAAGCAGGAGATCCCCGGCGTCCCTAGCTCACCCCGGACCCAACGCATCGTTTCTTGAGGTGGTTTGAGTACTTCTTGGTCTGTTGTGTCGGAGAGCTGGTTTGCACATTGATATCTGTGATATATCAAAAGGGTCTATTGACGACAACAATTTTGTTTCATTGCAGCGCAAATATTTGTTGACAGCAAGGAAATAATTGACAACAATTTCATGTCATCTCCTTTTCACTTTGTGTACTCAACTTTTCCTATCGTTTTGCATCTTCCATAACTGAGCAAGACATCAAAACGGCCAAAGTCGCCGGACTCCTCTGCACATCCGGGCCTGAATGATCTTTTGATCAATGTTCATTTCGTTATGCTTTTCCTAGATGTTGAGGTGGGCTTTTTATATAACGTTTTTAGGACAATTTTAGAGCTTGGAAAGTCGATAACGCGTGAATTCATAACCTACTTTTTTTTGAAAGAACAGGCAATATTAATGCGTGAATCTGTGACCTCCGTTATAAAAGAAAGGGGATCCCGATTACGGAGGGACAATGCATGAATCCAAATGCGTGAATAACACAAGACCAGGCAATCTGGGATAACGCGTGAATCCATAACCTACATTGTCAGAAGAATAGCCACTCCGATTGCGGATGGACGATGCGCGAATAGTCAAAGCATTTCTTCAACTTTTTGAGAGCTAGCACGATTACCGTGGGGTACATAGCGTCCACGCCCGCGCCCACTTAATTGCTCGATACAAGGTTACAAACGAAGTTTAAAGAATGATGTTTGTTGGCGCTTGGCAGGCATCTACTTGTGTGACGGGCGGTTAGTTCTTGGCGTTGGATACATTTATATCATACAAATACGTTTGACCATGATTAAAATCGGAGCCTGGTAGGAGAGAAATTATTGTTGTCAACCATATTCTAGTATATTGCCTCTTTCAGGTAAGCGGCTTTATATTTTTCCTTAGCGATTTTTTCAGATAACCTTTACAAGAACTTCTAACCTAGGGAACATCAAAGCAAAAATCATATCAGTCTATTATGCCTCCTCGCCCCGGCGATGCATGGTTCTCTGCCGGCCCTAGAAGTTCGTACCCCAACGTCACTAGCACAAGTCTCTCCGATCTTCTCCCTTGCAAAGACACCACCGCGCCTGGCTGTAAAGTCTTCCATGTGCCGGCCACGGACATTTCTCATGCCACCGAGGTCAGTCTCGATGATACCGTGACAGCCACATCTGCCGAGCTAGGGGAGCAGGTCGTGGTGTTTCAGTATCAGGGCCAGTTTTATGGCATTGATCACGTGAGTCATACAATCGTGCTTTTTCCTTCCGTTGATTCCTCCCAGTTTGAGAACAAAGAAGACAGATCATACTAATAAATCAGCAGAGGTGTCCACACTCCTCATATCCACTCTCACGAGGCACACCGTTCGACATCGAAGACTTCAGCGTACGACTTAGTGCTGGGATCAGGTGTCCGAAACATGACTGGTCTTTTGATCTGATTCGGGGCAATGGAGATAGAGGTAACTATCGGTTGAAGATTTGGGAGGTGCAGTTACGGCCGGGTCAGAGTAAAGAGGGTGAGATGGAGATACAGGTTTGGGTTAGGAGGAAGCAGAGGATTGGCTGATTGTTTTTTGTACTGAAGAGCTCGATGATCTTGGATGGGATGTGGGTTTTGACAAGATCCACGGTTGAGGGTTTCTTTCCAAGCATTTGCCGACGGAAAAACGAATAAATAAGCTAAAGCCGGTGAACATAGCCTCGAATCCGGTTAGATTGTAGGTTGTTTTTAGTTGACATCAAGTCAGACATTTTCGACAGTGGCATCTATTCACGTATTCGTGTACAGTACAGACGAAACACCCCCTACTTTTCGCCGATGTCTCTTTGTAACCCGGAAAATAACCCTTGACAAAGGCCGGTCCCATCGAGTTGGAAAAGGGATATAGGTATTTGTAGGGAAAAAGGTCGTCGGCTACAGCCCCAGGTCCCGGCACATGGCAACTCTTTGACTCATCAGAAGATGAACATGGATTTGGATTGGGTGATGGGTCTCTTTATATACTTCGGGAGTCCGCCGTCATCGTACGATGTCCAAGATTCACGCCCAAAAATAACGTGTGAAAATATCCATTTAGTGGTTATTCGTTAAATGTCTAATATTCACGCTTTAAAATAGCGTGTGGAAAATCTACTTAGTAGTCCTTGGTCAGATTCCCAATATTCACGCTCAAAAATGACGTGTGGAAAAATCTACTTAGTTGTCCTTGGTCAGATGTCTAATATTCACGCTTAAAATTGACACGGGAAATATGCGAAGAGAAAGTGCACCGATAGAATTCTCTGCAAAATGATTTAAGGGCAAGTCTTCCCTCGGAATTATTCAAACAATCTCAGAGTGGTTATTTATTCTACTAGAGACCAGATTGTGTAGTTAGTTGGAGGCCGGGGAGCTTTTGAGCGGTATTCTGCTTGATAATCGTCTGAAGAGATGGAGAGCGTCATTGCATAGTCCTGTGTTATCAAGATCAATAAATCTCCTTTTCAATCTTTGTTTCTTTCATCACTTTGCTTCTCATGATTTCTGATGCGAACTCGAAATGAGGCCGAGCTCGCATACTCAAAGGCCTCTTCTCATGTGCGATGCTTATAATCACCTTGGAACAGACGTTAGTTCGCTCTCACATGCTAGTTTCGTCTCACGGCAAAGGCCCGAAACTCTGTAAAAGCGATACATCAAGAGGCTTTGACAGATGGCGTGGATAATTTAGTCGCGAGACCATGCAGATTTGCATTCTCTATTACTGCATCTGGAAATCGGTACCAATATTTTGGGTTGCACTTATGCACGTCACGTCACACTCATCCCAATGCAGGATCTTGAATACAGGTACAGAAGATGAACCATGTGTCCGCAGTCCATGACCGAAATAAACTCAACCCCGCATTCGGCCCTCAAAAGGCAACCCTCACCTCAGACTTCCCCGAAATGTAAAATCCCCATCGTACTAGCGATGCATCCAAAAGCCATACTCCCTTTCTTCTTCTTCCTTCTCACAATTGCCTCTACGCTGCCCGAAACATGCGCCCCCAATAATGGAATAATGACAACTCCCACTTACGGCACGACAGGCGCCATCTTCACCATCTGCGCCCAAACCACCATCCTCAGCTCTCCCCTCCCCATCTACGACGTCCTAACCAATTTCCCCTGCTACGCCGCCTGGAACACCTTCGTCTACGCCATCGACCTACCCTCAAACTACACCACCCCCTACGTCGGACTTCAAATGACGTTCCACACCTCGGGCCTCATTCTTGGGTTCAATACTACTTCGAATGAGTTAGTCACGTACTTGGAACCGGATGCAACTCCGCCGTTTGTGTCGTGGAGGTTAAATGCTGGCGTCTTGGGTGTGCTGATGCAGGCGGAGCATGTGAGCGCGTTGTGGGATTTGGGGAATGGGAGTACGAGTTATGTGTCTTGGGAGACTTATTATGGAGCTGGGGCACTGGCGACGTTGGCGTTGGAGGCGAATTTGCAGACGCAGTTTGAGGTTCAGGGGCAGGAGTTGAAGGAGAGGATTGAGGGAGGAGGTTAGTTGGAAGTTTAGGGGATGGCATGTTTTGATATGCTTTGTGGAGTTTGTTGTTGTGGTATCTTGGTATCTAGCTGTGTCTATCTTGGGAGGGATTGATCTTAAGAAATGAATACGCGGTATATCATTGGCCCCCCTTTTCTCCTCCCACATCAGTCTTCGCGTCTCGCTTAGCTTGCTCCCTCTCTTTCCTCTTCTTGGTAGCGCGCCGCCATTTCGGACCATTCTTCATGACATACCATAGGATCGGAGCAAACACAACATTCAGAAGGCCAAAGAACGTAGTTGTCCACCCGATCCCAATCTTATTGATCATAGGCACCACACCACTGGTTGCTCCAGCACCTAGCCAGCAACGAACAAGATTATTAGCCGCTGCCGCCGAACCAGCGCTGCCGGGATAGATATCGATGAGCAAAACAGCGACGATATTCAACGATGAGCTGGTGCAGAAGCCGATGACGAAGAGGAAGATCAATGGACCGGAAAGATTGACTTTGTATTGAATCATCCACCTGAACCCGATGGTGCACGCTGTGCCGAGAGCTAAAGTGGGGACCGCGACCTCTAAGCGCACCCTCTCGATAGGAAAATTGCTCAGATCGACACGACGATTGTATTCCAGTGGCATATTCAGACGTTTGGCGTGAACTTTGTATCTCGAGTCGATGATCCTTCCTCTGACAAGCGAAGCGAGCAGGCTCCCGCAGCCGAGAGGCAGGTAACAGAGCGCAATCTGGATCTGGTTGAACCCATAAACTGTTCCGAACTGGGAGGGCAGAAGAGCAATTGTAGCATAGTAAGTACAGCACACAATGCCAATATATCCCAGAATAAAACCAGCTTCTTTCGTGAAGACAATTTTAACCGTCTCCAAAGGATTCGGGACTCTGATCTTCCTCTTTCTGGCGAGCTCGTCCCGCTTCTCGTATGGAATGGCATTCCCTTCGCCAATGAGTCTTTTCTCGATCCATGTGTTCATGTAACAACGGCTCCATTTAGGAGGCGGTATCAAACCATCATCGACGACTTTCCTGCAGGTCTCTGGAAAGAAAAGAGCAACTGGAATGAGAATCACGCCCGTGCAGATAAGCAAGAACCAGAAGATGGAATGCCAGCCTAGATACTGTCCCAAAAGACCACCGATGATGGGACCAAGCGAAGGTCCGGCTTGAGGAGCAATGGATATGTATGAAATATAAGTGCCACGCTCTTGACTTGTGACGATGTCGGACACCACTGCGTTCGAGAGTGCCACGGTGCCGCTGCCACCTGCGCTCTGGAGCATTCGCAGTACCATCAGTGCGGCGTAGTTGTTCTGGACACCCAGGCCGATGTTGGCAGCCATATAGATGATGAAGCAGACCAGGTATGTTGGTCTCCTCCCTGAGCTGTCTGAGAAACCGCCTACGAATGCAGGCGCGATACCTTGCATGATCTTTTCCGAGTCAGTAAACGATCTCGGTCTTGATCTGAGGATGGACTTACTAGATAAGTCGTGATTGATAAGTTGACCAGACTATACGAGACATGGAGATCATGTGCGATAGCATCGAGCGATGGGAAGTATATTTGACCTGAGATCGGAGAGAAGAACTGACACAGTCCTGCGCAAATGACAATGATCTTTTTTTCATTGTGAGTGAAGACTGAGTATGGCTTGTCATCCATCTTGTGCTCTGGAGTGACAGCGTCATTTTGTCCTTCATTCGTCTTGTTCGTTTGCTCGTCTTGACCCTTCTCGGCTTCAAGTGTTGCATCTTTCGGCTCCTGTTGTATTTCTAGATCATCACTAACTACGATGGCTGGTGTCATCTCAGTGTTATCGCGTGTGTTTGTCATATCGTCTGATGTCCCAGTATCGAAGCATGATGAAGGAATACGAAGAGGACTAGCTGTTAGAGCTTGTTGTTTATTTCTTTGAAAGTTGGAAGCATATGATCGGAGGAAATTGTTAACGCCGGCCGCTCGCGGGCAAGTTGAGACCGCTTTCTCCAAATCTTGGCGTCGATCTCCCGCGCGCCAGAGAAAGAAACCCCTGAACTCGACAAGATTGATCTCGGGTTGCGAAATACTCTGCATGAGTGGTAGTAGTTGTGGCAACGTCGACAGCGCTATGGATGGTTTAGAGCAGCAATGAATTAACTTGGACGAGAACGCACGAAAATATGGCACTGTGTTACACAAAATTCGATCACGATCGGTACGTCTCAGTGGAAATCGACTGACCACCGATGTAGCAAATATGCAGGATCATTCTCAATATTCCCGGCTCTTCTATTTCCTCCGTCTCAGGTGATCCAACTCGACAATACTTCGGAAGCAATTATTCTTCGCAGCTATCTTGATCGAGTTCAGATCCCTCGACGCCAGAATCTGAGTCTCCCACGCTTGATTCAATGACAATTCCTCCTCCACGTATCTGGGCCGGTTTTCGTCATCCCAAGGATACGATCCATTCCAATCTGTGCTAGTAGCATCATCGACATCCAAGAGCAGTTCTGGCCACGCTTTGAACAGGTCAGTCTAGACTTTGTGTGCCTTAGTACCCTTTTTGTGCTTTTCAAATGGATGCTTCCTCGCAACAGAGTCGGCAGCAAACCGCCTGAGTTTCGAGTCCTGGCCACCAATCTCGTACATCAATCCGATGTACTCAGCAACCGGCCACGCGTTAGCTGGGTTCTTGCAGTACTCCCGGCAGTCATCCATGCAGACGTTTTGGAATGCTGGAGCTCGGAAAAAGCTGCCCAGACCCCAGAGGTGGTCGGTCTGAGCTCCACCACCAAGAGCCGCATTATCCAGTTCCAAAAATGTGCCAGCGTACAGCCAAGCAACAAAATCCGCAAACAAGGAGGGCTTCACGGTAGGAAGAATGAATTTCTGTTCGCCTTCATGATTAATAAAGCAATTTCTGAAGTATCCAGAGTAGAGTGTCAGGAAGTCTTTCTAAACGTTGAAGATTTGGCAATCTGCACCGACGAGAATCTCAATCGTTGGACTGAATGGCACAATTCTGCGATCAATTAGCAAGCGCATTCGGTACATGATGCATTGTGCAACTGGCGTACTTGGCTGTGGTGCTCCGCAACAGTTCGAGCTTTATGTCGCGCTCGCACTCGATCTTGCTTTCATGGTTCTCTCGACAGTCGCATGTGAACCCCGGAGCCTCCGCAGCCTTGCGTTTTTGACCTGCTTGAAGACCCATTGAATGATATTGTTGTTTGACATGAACGGGTGGGGTTTTTGATGGATGAAGAGGAAGCCGAGTCTGGCCAAAGAGAAGGTGCTGCAAGTTGCCTTTCTTTTGCTGGACCTTCCTGTAATATTCTGGGTATTAACGCTACAACCAGCTGTACCGAACAAGCATGTGTTTGCCCGTCTGAGCGTTGTTGGTTGGACGAAGTCTTGCCGTCCACGCGAAGATGTTGTGTAACCGCATCCTAGTTCTACCCGGTCAAAGCAAGAGTCATACCGAGTAGCATAAAAAGCAACACAGACGCGTTTGGATCCTCCCAGCATATCTCTCGATTTTTGTAAGATCAAGAAAAAGAAGCTTCCCAGCCAATGATTCCTATGATGATCTTGTCAATACATCTTCATACCAGCGAGTTTGATCATTAGAGGAGACTGCTCTTGAATATCAAGAGCGCTGTGTAACTGAAAATAAGCATCTTGATCCACTGAATGTTGCTGCAACCAAGATTTTTCTGTTGCGGCCTCCATTGACAATAGCAGAAAGACGTTGGACTCAGTCGAAACGTGAGATTTGGTAGTCCAATTTTTGTTCATCAAGGCATTTGTCAAAGCCTTCGTTGCCGTACTCTGAGGTTGCTGTGAGGAGTTGTGTTTTGGCCAGGGTTCGCATCTCCTGATCCCTACCTAGTCAATCTTCCACCGCTAGACTTGCAAGGGAACCTCAGAATTGCAGGTTGGATCAATTTCGATACGTTTTAAAGGCAGGTTTTAGACTAGAAGTTCGTGATGTGAAACGTCCAACATTTATTATGTACACGTGCAGACGCGCTCCTTCCATTTTCGTGGCTGTCTGGGTACGCTAGTGATGAGTGAACCTCGAGGCTGTTGGAGAAGAAGTCTGACGTTCCATTCGCAACAAAGTACAATCTCCAATCGCCCACACGCGTCAATCAATCATGTCTTCAAGCAAGAAACGAAAGACTGGAGGAGATGGCGTCGCTGGTCTCAGCCCGACGTCCATCCTTGAGCCCAAGGCCAAAATCGAGCTCTCGAGGCCAGAGAAGCTCGAGTTTCATTGCTCCATGCCAGCCAAGTAAGCACTGACAAGAATTGATGCTGTTACATCACACTAATTAATGAAAATAGGATCGCGCCATTCTGTCCCACCATCCTCATCTCTGTCGGGTCGAGTAAACAAATCTTTACAGTCCCAAGGGATCTCCTCACACTCCATTCCGGCTACTTCAAAGAACTTTTCGCTAGTCCTAGAGAGGATGAAGATGAAAAAATTGCGCTCCCTCTATTATCTCCCATGGATTTTGGCAACTTCGTTTCATGGATCTACATAGGCAGAACGCTATCAGCCGCTACCGCTTCTGCTACTCGTTTCTGGGTGGTCGGTGAATTCCTTAGTGCGCCTGCATTCCAAAACTGGTGCATCGATATCTACAGGAATAAGCTACTATTGGCGGCAAACAGATCGCCACATAGAGACAATGTTCGACTGGCCTATGAGAAGAGTGGAAAGGGCTCAAAGTTGAGGAAGTTTTTGGCTCATTGCTCGGCACGACTGGGTCCACTGGAGAGTCATGCGGAGGGAAGTGACCAGCATACTGCTTGGAAGGTGCTATTTCAGGAATTCCCAGATCTTACCTATGATATTGCTGCGATAGCAGGAAAAGACTGGAAGGGCACAATGCCTTGGGATGATGAGCATAGAGCCTTGTATGTGGAAGACGAAATTCCATTGGAGAACCAGTGGGAGTCTCAGATCTTGCTGGCTAGGGACAAGGATGCCATCAAGGAAGCCGCGAGCACTGGCTGTGTCTGCAGTATCATCGAGCTGGATCATCTGGAGCGAAACAAAGGAAAGGAAGCTGTATCTTGAGCATGGCTTTGGCATGTGTATCACCTAAGTAAGCATCTCAAGATCACATCTCGAGTTCAGGACCCTGGGAGCTTTTCATGGTTGCACAACCACGTGACACTCAATTCATTGAGTTACATGGACACGGCTGAGAGACTCTTTTTCGAGAAGAGGATAATAATAAAGTGGACCACAGCAGAGTACGCCAAATAAACAAGCTGTGATTTCCCAGATGCACAAAGATATCGCGCGTGAAGCCAAGTCATCCAAGTGATCTCCAAGAAGTGAAGACAATAGGACGCCGGCCTGAACTTACCAGATGCTCACTTATCATGCTTGATTGATGCAAAACGAACTTCATGTTCTATTTGAATGAAGTATACCTGCAAACGCGGCGCTTTGGCCAGGAGATGAGGCTGTTCTTTGATGCAGTTGAAACAGCGAAGCTATGCTCAGGGCGGGATGTCGGTCGCTTGATAATTACCAATGATAATTTCCATTGGTAAAATGTGTCGTGATAAAGACGAAGATTAACGGAGCAGAACCTCATGTTGATATATATAGAAGTATTTCAATGCTGGTGAATGTTAAGATCCCCTTTGCTGACGTTAAGCGACGTGGGCCTTCCCCCTTTCTCAGCAATTGTTACAGGAAAAGGATAGTCCAGACTTGAACAAGAGTTCATTCAAACCCTGAGATGGAAGAGAGCGCATGGATCCTCGACATATTGAGCATTAGCAAACAGTAAAGATAGATAAGCGATCGCATGTGAAAAATTTGTTACAACTAAAGTTTGAGATGGCTAGGTGGCGTTATTTCAAGCAATTACTTATTAATATTAATAAGTTTATAAAAAAGTCGCTTATAATGCATGACGACGGAAGTAGTTAGCGGCATAGCTTTAATTATACAACGTATAAATAAACTGCTTAAAGTTAGTTCATGTTTGATTTCAAACGCTAGCCGATTTTTTAAAACTCTTTCTTTAATTCTTTTTTCTTCCATTTCACAATTAATTAATTGCTCTATTTTCGCCCGCGAATCGAAAACTCGGATCCCTCGCGCCATTACGAGTTTGTATGCAAGTTTATTTCTTCTTTATATTGCTTTCTATTTCATGCTTTTTAATTGTTTTTTTCTCGACTTCGGTTCTCAACTTGACGAGGCTAATTTTATTCTTTTAGGAAGGCGAACCCCCGCCTGCATTCACATTGTTCTTAACTTTTTTCTGCTTACTCTTAATAATCGCGATTTTCACAGTGCCCGACATTGTGAAGCACATCGTGTACAAACTCTCGAATAATCATAATTTTCGAAGAGTAACGCTTTTCCGGACCAACATTTTGCGACCAGAAATCTCAAAGAGTTAAGCCCAACTTCGAAAATCTCACAATGTCCGACGCGAATGTCGACAGCACGAACAAAGACTCCAAGACAGTGCTTAGCGAAGGGGGCGTTCGCGAGCACGTGACTGCTGGACTGCTTCTGTCCGTTCGACAAACAAAGACATCAGACGAACTGTCTGATAATGATATTCCGATCTCAGAAATTTCGCGGAAGCACCTAGATATCTCGGCGGAAACCATGACCTCATCTCACGCATCGGACAACACTAAACCTGCTCGCGTAATCGTGGAACCTGCTCCTAAAACCGCGAAGTCTGCTAGCGGAATCGCAGAGCCTCTTCACGGAATCACGGAACCTCCTCACGGAATCACAAAACCTCCTCCCGGAACCGCGGAACCTGCTAGCGGAATCGTGAGACGTCCTCACGGAATCACGGAAATTCACGGAATCGCGGAATCTACTCACGGAATCGCGGAACCTTCTCACGGAATCGCGGCGCCTCACGGAATCACGGAGCCTCACAGAATCACGCAGCCTCACGGAATCACGCAGCCTCACGGAATCACGGAATCTCCTCACGGAATCTCGAAACCTCCTCGCGCCGCCGTGGACGAGACGCAGCCAGTCAAACTTCAGCGGAAAGGTTTATCAGAATCGCCGAAGAAGACCCGAACCCCGATCAAAGCTACCATGTCATCACCATCGGATATCAAAGTTGAGAAGGAAATCGCCAGATTGAAGGAAGTTCTACAACAAACTTCAGGGGTTGCAGCCCAACAGGCTTTACGCGAGAACTGGCGTTTTCTCCTATTCGAAAGTACCTCAGGAGACACGGAAAATCACATCTCGTTCCTTCTTCGCGCCATCTTGAAGAATGTCACCTGGACCCCAAGACTCTTGAATATCGTCTTGAACGATCCCGATATCTCAGAGCAGATCCTTGAACAGCCAACAACCCTCCCAAAGCTTCTTGGCTCAGTTTCAGCAGCTCAGCTCATGAAGCATGTACCCACTCCTGTACTGGATGCAGCACTGAGAGAGAGGGTGAAGGACGTGGATGGTACCTCGTTGCTTAGATGGATGGGTGAGGCAGATAGGTTGGGCTTCACGTTAGAGGACATATTGGACGATTACGAATCAGTGGCACCTAACCCAAACAGTGAGTTGATGGGTCGAGATAAACCTGAGATACTCGATGTCGAAGGACCACGGACACGACCCCAGCTACACCTTCTCCCTCCTCCTCCCTCCTTGCAACAACAACGCCACGATCCTCTCCTCATTGAACAAGAGCGGAACCTAGCACTCACGGGACAAAAAGCAGTCGCTGGACGGCGACCAGCAAACGGAGGTCAGATCGGATCGTGCCGTCACTGCGACTTCGTCTTTCCGACGTTCTCGGGATATTCCTACGTGAGTTTCATAATTCTATCACTAACTACATGGACTAACTATTCAATTAGCATCTAGCCAAGAAGCCTTGTCTGAGGGCAGTACCACCTGGTGGACACAAATTTAAATGCGGGAATTGCGCTCAGCGATTCACAAATGGTCAGGGATATGACTACGTAAGTAGCTAAAGATTTAGCAACTTTTTAGCTACTAACATGAATTATAGCATATGAAAGAAAGATGTTGCTTTCCTGGTAATGCTGGTCCATCGCCATCCGCTCAATTGCAGCCAGAAACAAACAGTCAAGATCAATACAGTCCCATCCTACCTCCGAACAGTGTGCGCCATCAGGCTCAGGGAAGTCTATTCCATCCCGCAATTCGACCACCTATGCACAGTCAAGGTCCTTCTTCAAGTACTTTTATTCCTCTTCCCTCGCATCAAGGGCCTCCTGCATCTCTATCACAACCATCTATCAGTACACCGATTCAACAACCTGCTACATCCGTACCTAATATGACAGGCATTCGTCGCCATCCATCAGAGTTATCACGTGCAGAGCGAGCTATTCTGGACGCAGAAATCAAGGCACAGGAAGCCAAGCACGAGGCCAATGTAGCTGATATCAAACGAACCTACCAAGATAACCCAGTTGAGCTTCAAAAAAAGTTGTATTCTGCCAAGACTGGTAACGATACCAAGATGAGTGGGATCAGAAGAAAGCATGGCGTCAGCTTGAGGATGAGTAAAGCAGATAGGCAACGACGAGAGGAGGCGGGCGTGCCATCACCCACTTATACCTACAAGGCCTGTCCGCAACATGCGCCGACTGACATGTCGCCCCCTACATCTTCATTCTCCCCAGTCAATGGTTCAGGGAATAAGCGACGAAGATCTCAAGAAGACGATCATGGCTCTCCCCGACCTCAACCCTGGTTTACCAACCCTTCTACCAGAAACGTATCTACTCCGAAACACAGCTCGAGTGTTATTGTTCTTACGGACTCTGAGAGTGAGAATGAAGGCTAAGCGCGGACGGAAATTCTGATGACTTGATGGATTCATGTATTATAGTGCTTTTAGCGTGACTTTCAAATACTTGCGATGAAATTCAAAAATCACTTATGACTAAACTTTGCCGCTGCAGATGTACAGTGAAATTTCCCGACTTTCACAGTTCTTTGCTATTAACCGAACTTTTAATTAGTATATGTGTGGTGAGACTGCCGGACATTCTCAAGTCTATTTTTAATTGAAAAAATTCTAATGATTCTGGACAATAGTTAATCCTTAAAGTGCGGCTTTTAATTAAGACAATATCCGACTTTCATAGTATTTACTAATAATCGAACTTTTACTTTGCATATGTCTCGTGAGACTGCCGGACTTTCTTTTAATTAGAAAAGTGCGGCTATTGATTAAGATAATATCCGGCTTTCACAATACTTGCTGATAATCGAATTTCTACTTTACATATGTATAGCGAGAAGGCCAGACTTTTTTCTAATTAGAAAGTTCTTAGTAATTCTAAACATTAATTGATCTTTAAAGTGCGGCTTTTTGTGACAGCACTGTGACGATGGTGTGAGGTGGCGACGCAACGTCGGGCTATTCATTTAGAATCTAAAGCTAAGGAGAGAAGAAAGGAGAGGAGGAGAGATCTATATACATATATATGTTAGAAGTAAGGGGATGTCATGTGAGGAGCTAAGCCCTAGTAGGCTTAAAGCTCGGGAACGCCACCATTCCCGGCCTGGCCTCTGTCACAGGCGATTAGGACAGGCGATTGGCTCAGGCGATGGGCTCAGGTGATCCGTAACAGCCGGCGCTGTGACACTTTTAATCAAAACAATATTTAATTTTATTTAGAATAGAGGTACCCAATAGCTCCTGTCACGTACGGAAGACAGGAAGGAAGGCAGGAGGACGCACACGGTGCGAACGTGTGGTCAGCGACTATATTAGTTGTGTTTACTACAGCAGCTCTAATTCTATCTAAGCTGCTGTAATATAGAGAGTGTGGCCAAGCACGTGCGCTATACCCGATTAGGTATAGTGCTAGGGAGACTAGCGCTCCCGGGCTGGTATTGCACGTGCCACCACAACGATCTCATCCAGTGCTAAGACCTGGTTATACCTCCATATCTACTCTATATTCCAACAAATTTTCACAATACTTACTAATGACCGACTTTCGGCTTTGTGTATGTACAACGAGAGTGCTAGACTTTCTTAAAAAAAATTTAATTAAAACTCTTTTAATAATTTTCGATAATATTAGTCTTCAAAGTGCGGCTTTCCACACACACAAAATTCTTTTTTGAACAACAAAATCACATTTTTAATGTTATTAGTATCAGAATCTCGTCTCTCTGTTCATACATTACTCATTGCTTTGTTATCTAACGTTCATAAAGCACTTTGATGAAGCAAAATTTTGGTCAGCACGTGATATATTAACGAATCTTAAATGCCAAGACTTCCGAACATGAATGCCGCGAAAGCTCAGTGACGTTGCTGCTCTGCGGCGCTGCTTCTGCAACATATCCAATTGTACACGATGGCTGTGCTTATTGATGAGAGGTGAGCTGAGCAAGTCTTTACTAAGTGATGGGAAAACAGAAGCTGACTGTGAAGGAGGTCGAAGATGGAGATGTAGCATCTACGAATCCGCGACACGCCCCGAACATATACACATTGAATGATAGATTGAGAGACCTACAAGCTGTGGAAGGCACATTGGGGCGATAAGGCTGCGAATGGAAGCCTGCCGTCATCTTCCTGCGACGAGAAACGAAGCCTACAACCCAAGTGGTACCATGAGAGGGCCATGACAAGCTGTGAAGAACATGCCTGAAGTTGCCAACCGTCATTGGGATCTAAGTGGGTGCCGAAGTGAACCCTTCCCCTCGCTGGAAATCGGGCAGGGATGGTCTCTGTGCGTCATACCGAGCAGGAAATACAAGTTTCGAAGCAGAAGTCAAGCATCATATCCAATCCGTACTCCATTGTCTCGAGGCTGCTTTCTGGTTGTCAGAAGTCCAGAAGTCTGTCACTGTCGATGGCTCTTATAACATTGTGCAAGAGGGATAAGTTGTGTGAGGACTTTCTTTGCTGTTGGCACTCCTCTGTTCACAAAGTTGTCCCTGCGCCTGCTTTCGTACGAGGGAGAGTTTCTCCGTGTCTCCTGGTGTAGCACGACTCAGTTCACAGGTACAAGACCACGGTAATTATTCAAGAGTAAGTTGCACATGGTCTTACATGCTTTCTTGTGCGAGCTGAGACTTGAAGACTTGCGGTGCGATAAGATAATCAGAAGAAGAGGTTTGTGCCAGTTTCATAGAGTACTCTCATTACTTCTCCAGCATGGGAATCTTCTGGCATATTTACGGTGATAAAACCTGAGGGTACGAGGTGAGCAGCGCTGCTGAATTAAATTTTCTGATTTGGAGAGCCTGAGCTGCCGACGAACAATTTGACGCTTATATCTAGGTCAAGAAGACTGAAGATGCAAGTACATCGATAAGATCGCCGAAGACGACAGCTAACATCATTCTGAGAGTTGATGGGTAGGGAACTTTGGGCAGGGATATAGTAGTACAATTCCTGGTGGTGTTCTTGGGGAGAGCTGGTATCTGCAGCGCGACGATACATCGCATTCCAACGATTAGATCGCCATGAACCCTTGCACCACATCACATTTGGTACTACCAACGGAAGTAAGCACACGACACAAACAAATCTTGCGCTATAGAAAGCAGCAAAGGTGTCTCGAAAAATATATTTTGAAGCTTGAAAATTACCCAACACGAAACAGTTGCCTTTCTTGTCGAGACATGAAAATACTTGTTGCTGGCGTATGTTTCCATACCAATACTCAGTGAGGGAAACCAACTCATCTCAATACAGGGAGCAGGATTCCTGGGATCCAATCTTGTTAATCATCTCCTCAAGGAAGGCCACGATGTGGTGCTTCTCGATTCATTCATCGTTGGTCTCGAGAGCAGTATCAATCATCTGGTTGACTTACCCAACTTGACTGTTCTTCGGTAAGAAACAAGGAACGGGTCTCTCAATTGTTATAGCAGCTGACTATAGGGTAGCCACGATATAACAAAGCCGCTCAAGGACCTTCGCGTGGACCAGATCTATCACTTGGCATGCCCAGCAAGTCCCAAACATTACCAGCGCGATCCTATAAAGACGCTTCAGACATGCTATATTGGGACAGAAAACATGCTGAAATGTGCCTTGCGGTGCAACGCACGAATGCTGTTTTCAAGCACGTCAGGTGCGTGAAGCAATTTCCGTTTCGTCGGGTTCTAGCTATGACTGAAACCTGTTCTATTCCTGCAGAGATCTATGGAGATTCTCTCGTCTCCCCGCAACCCGAATCGTACTTTGGAAATGTCAATTCCTACGGCCCAAGATCCTGTTACGATGAAGGCAAGCGTGTCGCCGAGTCTTTATGTTATGCGTACCAGCACATGTACAAACTCGATGTCCGTATTGCTCGAATATTCAACGCCTACGGCCCAGGGATGCCGGCTTCGGATGGTAGAGTGGTTTCGAACTTCATCGCAGCTGCTATTAATGGCCAGCCTCTGAACATAACGGGTGATGGCTCAGCAGTTCGATGCTTCCAGTACGTTACGGACTGTATTTCTGGACTAACGAAACTCATGGCGAGTGATTATTCGCAGCCAATCAACATTGGGAATGATCGTCTTTGTCGGGTTGATGAACTTGCTCATGTTGTGATGGAGGTGGCTACGAAGAATGGTATTCTGGGACTCGACAAACGTATCACTTACTCGGAAAGACCGGTTGATGACCCAGATCACCGACAACCTGATATCAGGCTGGCTAGAGAAGTGTTAGGCTGGTCACCTGTCGTTAGCCTCGAGGACGGCATACAGAAGACTTTTGAATGGCTCCTCTCCATTCAGGGAACCTCTTTGAGAGGCAAGGTTGCCAAGACAGGAGCAGGACTCGTGTCTCTGCCATCGTAAGCTTCCAGCTCACTCGTCCGCTGAGAGGCTATTCCCAAGTAGTGCTGTTGTTCTTGGTATAGAAGCCGAATAGTCAAGGTTGTGGGGGGCAACATGGTAATTCTCATCATTTGATACAGGAAATAACATTTGCAAACTTCTTTTCTATTGATTTCTTGTCCGTCAAGTGAGTCCTCATCCAGATGAGTCTGTTGAGACTCGATGAACACTTCCATACGAGCATTTGACTCTCGGTAAGGCAAGTATAATCCGAGTTCGTTCACGTGAAGCACGCTCAACAATTTCGTTGCACATCGCAACGGAGCTAGTTATAGCTGCGGGTGAGGTTGGAAATTTGCTTCCAGAACTTGATCATACTAATCTACAGCAACAACCACTATGCCCAATACCAAAACGAGCGATCAAAGGTTCAATTGGCATTTGAAGATGCCATTCTAATTTTCAGAAGGGATTTCGTTAATTTGTTGGAGGCATATCAGCGTATTGCAGAGGCAGAGAGAGAGGAGGGAGCCCGAAGGTGAGGTGAAAGCAGGTGCAGGAGTTTTGACTCAACACGTGATCAGTAGCCATGAATGACATCCCGGCCGTATTGCCTTTGGTAGATCTGGATGTCGGTATATGGCTTGAAGCTTCAAATCTGATCATTCTAACAATTCCACACATTTGGTGATCATGTTGTGGACAAAAAATGACCCCAGCGTGACCCTCGGAAGAGTAGCGCCAAGCCTTCTGTCCAATTCAACCATCCCTCTTCCATCCGCTTCTTCAATCTCAGAATGATGTCCGTCACATCTTCTTCTTCATAAATCTATCCAAATTTCTCGTTATGCAATATCTAGAGAAGAACCCTAGCCGCTATGCCCGTGTACGAATCCGATATCCAAGATGAGGAGGATCTCAATGTCCGTCACGCTTCCCTGGACATACAGTACATTCCCTGCACATCCTGATCCACGAGACCTAGCTAATGAAGATATAGCCCTCTCAAGCTCTTCGACATCGCCAAAGCTGAAGGGAGACCTTTATACGCCGCTGCTCCCATGGTGAGGTACAGCAAGGTGAGGCTTCTTTGTCTCTTGATGGCAAATCTTGCTGACTTGTTCTGCAGCTGGCTTTTCGAGAGACTGTTGCGCTATATGGGGTTGATCTGACTTGGACGCCTATGGTGAGTATTCTCAAGACTTCCAGATGGAGGATAGAAGGACTAATTCGCCTGAGAAGGTGCTAGCCAAGGAATTCAATCGGAGCTTGCTGGCACGTGATAGTGGTAAGCACGTGGTCATTATCTTCTTCATCCTTTCCTATTTTACCAGTTGCTTGGAAGCCCTATCCTTCATTTCAAGCCCATTATATACTCATCACACAAGTACTGTTACCCTCCTAGACTTCACAACCTCCCCCCATGCCCCTCCAACAATTGTCCAGTTTGGCTGCAATTCGCCACTCGAACTGAGTAGAGCAACGACCCTCATCGCACCTCATGTCAATGGCATCGATCTGAACTGTGGCTGTCCGCAGTCTTGGGCCTGTTCCGAGACTCTTGGTGCCGCACTCATGCACAAACGCGAACTCGTAGCGTCCATGGTTTCATCCGCCAAATCCGCTTTGGCATCCCTCGGCTACGAGGGCCAGAAAACGGTCTCTGTGAAGATTAGAGTTCACAAAGACTTAAGAGACACGATTGATTTTGTGAAGACGGTGCAGGACGCAGGAGTAGATTTCATCACGATTCATGGGAGGATGAGAAGTACGCCTAGTTCGAAGCCTGTTGATCTTGAGGCTATCAAGCTAGTTACTGAGCATGTTTATGTGCCGAAGTTGGCCAATGGGGATGTGTTTACATTGGAGGATGCAAGAGAGCATGTTAGGGCTACGGGGGTCGATGGCGTCATGGCTGCTAGAGGATTGCTGGAGAATCCGGGAATGATCAGGGGGGATGTGAGGTGTGAGTGGGATGTCGTGGAGAGTTTCATGGAACGGGTAGTGAGGGCGCCGCTCCCATTTAAGTTGGTGGTTCATCATCTTGGAGAAATGGGGGGAAGTGAGAGAAGTCAACGTGGGAAGACTTTGTTCTCAAAGGAAGAGAGGGCGGAGTTGATGGCGTGTGAAGGGATGGTGGACTTGATTGATTGGTTTGAGGAAATGAAAGAGCGGAAAGCAAGGAATGGGAACTGAGGCAACATGTGTCCCAGGGAGGTGAAACATAGATGGAAGTACTCGGCACGAAGAATAATCATTTTGCGTGACTATATGCATACACCCCCTGTTCCACAGCTACTCCCGTCTCATCCATGCTGAAAAAGTGTTATCAGCAGCTATTCTTCACTGTCAACGTTTCGACGCTGTCACGTTGCCATTTACACTTTTCATCTCAATCCAGAACGTGTTCGATGCCCACAACTTATCGAGTCAAAATCGAAAATTACACTGCAAGCCCTCCCATATCTTTCAGATTCAGCAAACTTACTTGTTGAAGAGTTGGGAAGACCGTTCGTAGACTGCAGATGTATCCTGGTGTTGATACTGTAGAGGGGATAAGAACATGAACCAGCAGTACGCAAAAACAACAAAAACAACAAAAACAACAAAAACAACAAAAACAACAAAAACAACTAAAACAACTAAAACAACAGCAAGTGGGCACCGCGCGAAGCAGACCACTATTCGCAGTAGTAGGACAGATTCAAAACATCATGTAAAAGCATTCGAAAACATATCACTGTGAAACTAAGAGTGGCAGAAGAGTTGCTCTTATCCTAAGAGTGCGCGACCACAATATATGGGAAGCGTCACATGATAAACTAGACCCAGTTGAGTATAGTGCTAGGGAAGACTAGCGTTCCCGGGCTGGCCTCCTCCTCAACCACACGTGCCGGTCAGCGCCAAAAGGACCAAAAAGAGCTAGCCCTGCCACAATACCTTTCTACCATCAGAGGCGGCTCCCCACGAGAGAGAGGGTTATTTATAGGCACTCTTTGTCTCGAAATATTTCTCCTCCTTTCTGTTTCCATGTAGTGAATATCACTTCAGATTCACCAATTCACTACAGGATGTTCCTTCCAGATCAGAGTGAAAATTCAAATACAGATAGCTCTGAGCTGTATCACTGTTATATATTCTATAAGTGAATTAAGCTCAAGGGAGCTTGCAACAGAAGGATCCTTCCTTCATGCCATATCCAAGAAGTATAAAAAAGCGGACGGAGCGGCCGCTTCAAATCAAACATCTTTCACCAGTTCTCAGGGTCACTGAACATGTGAAGGAGCCCTGGCCAGGCAATCGAACCACGACGTGACGAACCTTGACAATCTCCTCATACCAGAGACGCGTTGAATGGATTTTTCTTTGGATAAAACATCCTAGTAAGACGATTGTCATCGATGTCGATTTAGTTGTCAATAGGCAATGCACATTTGCACGTGTGTAAGTCATGCGAGTCAGTGAAGAACCAACTTTTCTGCCTCTCGTCTTGATATTACAGTGTGATTGTACGATAAGTTCTTGCCGTTGATTATTCTGCTTTTAACTTGCAGAAGAGAGAACTTATCCCACTTTAAAAGTACTTGATTGATAACAGACTTAAGCTCTTTACGAAAGATCTACTTGTGCGCTTCCCTTAGATGAAGTGCTGGTAGTCTGCCTCCGCTATTCATGAGATATTTTATCAACAAAGTGTCTTAGCTGAGCAATGAAAGAGATGCGGCAGTGATTCATAACTTCCAATTCACTCGTAAACGCCGAGAGCAACGAATGTTTCCAGTATTCTATCCGATTACCTACAAAACTCTATTGTATATTTTATACTTTATACTTCAGATCTGGACGAAGTCACGCTACACTAGTGCTACGGAAGGCATTTACCTCAGTTGTGGATACCAATCGATCTCATGAATGCAATTATCGCTATGGACTAGCTTGGTTGTGAAATGACACATGGCCCATTGCGAGCCCTGAAGACATGAAATATTGGCAGGGAGGGGTTTACAGTATGGTTGCCGTGGTTTTATTGCTGTCAACTAAACTTTAATTCACCAAACAGGCTACATTCCTTCGTTGCTGTCTTTTTTTCACCTCTTCTTTTGCAGGTCAGCACCACAGCTTTGACCCGTGCCAGCCAACCTACGGGTTCATCGAGCATGCCAAGCTTCTCATACAAGCCCTTGATCATGAGGTGTAGTTTAAACAGAATTTTTCTCGGCCACTGATGGAAATTATATAGGGAAGCAAGAGTCCTAAGAGGACATGGAAGGCTGAGGACCTACGCAGCCTCTGCCCACATTCGTTCATTCACCTTATTAGCCCTAGTATTCTGTTGACTCCTCAATTCTTCAAAAGACACGTATATAAGAACTTCTCCTGTCCTTAGTCAGGAATCAAATCGACACGTACTCGTGCAACCACACCACGGCTCGGAGCAGACCATGCTATAACGAAGATTTCGACGGCGAGCTATTTATCAAACCTGGTGTAGGTGAAGACTGTTGCTCGCTGTCAAGTCACACTTTGTTGTCAAATCTTTAGAGTTTCTTTGCATAAGAATAATCAGCTAGAGTTCAACAGCAGGAGTTCTCATGCTTTTATTTCGTAGCTCTTGAGCTTTTGCATCAATAATTCGCTTCTAAGGTATGCTAGTCTCCACAGGTAATCAGAAACCCGCACCTGATCTGTATATAATGAGCGTCTACTTTAGGCAGCATGACATTCCTATATACCCGTAGACGTCTCAAGGAGGAAGGTTCGGGAACAAGGCTAGCACGTGTCCATGATTTTGGAAATGCTCATTTCATATTAGAGGGAAGAAGGTGAATGGACGCGGAGGAAGACAAAATTGGGAAATCTGGGGTTAGAGAGACTGGGGTCGAGTTCAAAATAGCATAAAGACTGCCGCTCCTACTACACAGAAGTTTATTTTCAGTACTCGGCTTTAACCCGAGTTACCCACCCCTAATCTTGACACTTCTGAATTCGACTAGAATGAAGATGGCATCATGACAACACTGGTATAAGTCGTGCTCGTCGTGTGGTGAAGACCACATCATGGCCTGAATGGGAACTTATCTTGGGTAGAACCTGTAAACACTTTTAAGGAAAGTGAGTAAGGAGAGAAGCGAAGCTTGTTTGTTGTTGGTTGTTCCTATGTTGTCAAAATGGTAGGTAAGAGTGATAAATTGAGAAAGCTGAACGTGCAAAAGCTTAAAAAGTTAGCTAAGCCTCAATTACTAAGACAGATCAAGTTCTTTGCACAATGTAACTTCATTTGCTCAGAATTTCCATGCTGACGCAGTTTTAGCTGGGTGGCTATGAGTTTATATAGATCAAAACACATCGACGCAAATGGATGAAGACAAGTGGCTCACAGTTTTCTAAATCTTGTCACACTCACAATGGATTGAATGAATCTGCGACAACCAGCGGACGTATTGCGGAAACATGCTTGTAAAGGCCACAACTATCGATTAAGATATGTCGGGCTCACAACCAGGGATCGGAATTGCTCATGTTTATCGACAAGGAAGAAACTATATCCAACTTTCGTGTTAGTGGTTATATACAAGAGGTAGAAATGGAAAGTCGGGCTTTGTTCGCGTTACCAGCTTGTGGGCAGGAGTGGATAATGGTCAACTTTCCCTCAGCTAGCCGACTTTATCGTATTCACTCTAAGATGCACTTTATGAACAAGATAATATTTGAAATATGAATTAAATTTTTAATTACGTTTAGCTACTAATTACAAGGTTGTTGGGTCCTGGATCTTGATACGTTTCCCATCCTTGGTCTCAAAGATAGACTCGCTGGGGCTACCACTCTGGCCCAGAAGTCTGGACACCGGAAGTCATGGCTGGCGAAGAACAATATTGGCTTACAAGAGCAGCCTCGTTAGTTTTCAGGGGCCACAGCCTATCTGCGACTCACAAGAAGCGGTAGAACTACAGTACACGCTCTTGGGATGCAAGTGACTGGAGGATAGCGAGGATGAAGGTCCAGTTCTTAAGCTCATCACAAGAGAATATAGTAGCTGAGAAATATAAAAGTAATAAGTTAATTTAAATTGGCTGCTGTTGGCTCCAGGTTGTTGTCAATTACTTTCTCGCTCGTATTATGAATCATAAATCTCTAGATGGGCATTCTCATCCACCGTTGCTGCTGCGTTCCTTGTCTCTTCACCGCATAATTTTAAAACACCAATCTCAGCTTAGCCAAGTTGATCAACACGGCACCCAAATTGGCTTTTAAGTCGAGCTATATCCAATTTGCAAGCTTCTGATGGTTATTTTATAAACGGGGAGAAGTCTTGATGGCAAGCCCCTCAAAAATCCCGCTCGTTTTCTTTTTCTTTCGAAATCATGATTCAATTTTTCGGAGCAGGTGAATGTTCCTAGAAGAGGATATTCGCAAGGTCGAGGTGAAGACGAGGCGGGAGGTGGAGGGTCTAAAAGCCAGCCACTTCCTTTCTTTACAAAGCAACAAGTGCCATTAGATCTTCCTGTATTGTGACTGCCCGTGAATTATTGCTGCGCGTCAGAGACGGGTTTGAGTTTGCAACGCCACGAAAAGAAAACTGTGAGTCTAGATGTCAAGAATACATTTGTTGTTGTCAACGACTCTTTTGCTCTCAACGCTCTATCACAACTTAATACCACTGATCCAAGCCACGTTCTGTTAGTCTAGGACAATTACAACACAATCATGTATCACTAAGGTCATACTAATGAGCTACCTTAGCGCAGCGATTTGTTGTTGAGTGTATCGATATTCGCTCTCAAGTTGAGTGGTTGGGATCATATATAGAGTAGAAGAAAAGTGAAAGGATCATAGTATTCACAACTTGCGAGAGTCGTGCTAGGATCTCTTTACAGGCTGAATGGTGAGTGAATTTGCGAGATTTGGGAAGTTTAGGACAAGCATGATAGATATAAAGGGCGTTCGGGAGGGCAGGAAAAGATTTTGACATTGGCTAGGGTAGAGAAGTAGAAGTGATGTTATTAATGGATGAATGCCAATGAAAGCTTTTGGACAGGGAACTAATTAGCATGAATTCTCAGCTTGCTGTCAAGTTTTCTTTCGTCACTTGAATCCATGACTTCAAACAAAAATCACCATTCCTTTGCCTTCTTCCTTTACGCTTGAAGAATCGATATTTCACTCAGTTCTAGCCGAATCAAGATAATTGATCTCCCGGGGAGGCGTCTCTAATCCTGAGGTGTCTGGCTTGATAGCTTGGTCTTGACTACATCTTGATCTACAAGGTGTTTATATAGGCAGAGGTGTGAAGA